TTCGTGTTATTTTGCTATAAATTATAGGATTGCTTTATTATGCGTATCAAGATACATACAATAACGTAACTTTGACACTTAAAAGCATAGTTCAATAGCTGAGACTTTGAATTATCTAGAAAAGGCTGTAGTTACACGATGGAATGTATGGCTGCGGCTAATGCTCACCCACTTGACGTTTTTGAAACAGGGAGTTGATTTCTAGAAAGATAGGCTTCTTCCGCCGTTTTATTTGCCAACGACGCTACTCGCTATCTAATCCAGTCACTATATAAACTATCTATTATCTAAGAGATATAGCGATATACATGATGAGTCCATCTTAGCTTCGTTCAAACATTGAACTACTAGTCATCAGCACTGCGTAGAAGTGTGGACTCGTCGCTGATGGGAGAAAGGTCGCCGAAAAAGCAGCCTTTCTCCTTGCCACGAAACGCGGTTGCTGCCCAGCAAAGCTAACAACCCCGGGTGGGATCAGCCGCAACGTTGAAGGCATGACCGGATGGTTTAGCCTGTAAAATATTAGCCGTGGCTCGAAAACTGCAATATCGGCAGGATATGGATGTCAACTTACCCAGATCCACACTTAGTATCCCGAGAACCCGTTCTATCCCTAGGGTAGTGGGCACCGTTGTTAAGAGCGCTTCTTTCTCAAGAATACAGCTGGGGGAGGAGAGCATACCTTGGGGTTCTGTGCGGTATACTCGTCTACTAGAAGATCAGCTCTCCTGGCGAGGATGCGCTTTGGGTTCGTGACTGGAGGTCGTAGCGCGTTCGGAATCTGAAGTGTGTGTGTGGGGGAGTCTCTCGAACAAATCTTGGAAACTGGTATTTATACTCCCATAGACACTTATGCATCGCCACAAGACCCTAAATGATCACGTTAACGGCCTGCGAATGAGCCATGTAAATTCATTCCTTGGAGATGGGTAGGGGTAGTGCAGGTGCAGGTGTAGGGATACAGGAGGTGCAGCAGGTTTAAGGTGTAGGTGTAGGTGTAGGGATGGGGATGTGGATGGCGATGGCGATGGGGGTGTGCGCAGGAAAGGAGTACAGGAGGTGTGAGAACTACATGTAAGGACGGGTATGGAGACGTGCAGGAAGTGCAGGAGGTGGAAGGATGGGGATGGGGATGGGGAGAGGTGTAGGAGAGAAGAGGAAATGAAAACAGAGGCCAAGAAAGAGAGGTATTTATAGCCTTAGGTGGGTTACAAAGACCATGATGACTGCCTTAGTAGGGGATGTTTTGATAGCCCCTTCCTCCACAGCTTCGACGACTATTATTCTTTCCTGTCAGTTAAACTATAGATAAAGGGTATTTCAGTGCCACTTGCAACATGACATGGAGAAAGAAGATACCACGGGCTAGAGCACGAGAAAGAGCACTCAAGAAGCTTTCTTTACGGCAGGAACGATAGGAAGAGTGAGAAGAGTGGCAGCTGTTGGCTGGGGAAGAGCTTCTTGTAGGCGGGAGGAGGCTGTGATTCGGCGGCTTGCCGGGCATTGTTGTTTAGTTAATAGGCTGTCATCACTAAGATAGGAAAGGAGACAGGAAAATTGGAGCAAAGGGAGGCGAGTCAATGACGATGACGATGAGGAAAAGGAAGATACTCAGCGGATGCAGTTGCACTAGGTGAGTCTGTAGACTATACTCTTATGTATGTGGTATAAATATACAGATGTATATGTAGGTAGGGTGATAATGGTCGAGGCTGGTGTTATATAGAGGTGTATCTAAAGTAAGTTTTGACCACTCTCATATCCTGTAGGCTCTCATGGCACCATTGACCACATTTTGGCCAACGAACTAACTAGCATAGACTGCTAGTTAACTAGGTTGTTCGGGACGGATAGCTAGTTAGTTGGACTAGTCTACCAAGACATGGCTTGGTGTCGCAGTCTGATTACGATAAGATAAGGTAGCTATCATAGAGAGGGGAAGGGACCAAGCCACTATCCCTTGACAACCTCCATGAAGTCTTCCCATAGTTTCGCTAACCTAACTACGCCTGGTAGTTATGGCGTTGGCATGGATCTAGAAGAAGACGTTGGCTATGGGTACTTCATACTAAATTTAGACAGCCCGGTAGGTGAAGGATCCCATAGGCCGGGAAGAAGTCAAAAGGGTCCAGGGTAGGAATGCTCCTAATGGAAAGGCTGCCGAAATGAAGATAGCAGCCATTGGCTCTAGGGACATTGTAACAATGGAGTCAGGCCATCTCTTGTACGGAGCATGTATAACATAGCTATACACTCTCGTCTCGACTCTCCTTCTATCAGGCCGCTGTCATCAGTCTTTTGCTCCTGGCTGAGCCCTAAGCCCTAAGAGAGAGTGGCAGTCATGTGACGCGGGTTCTGATGAGCCATGGCAGGAAAAAAGACCAGAGAAATAGAAGAGAAAAGGAATAGAAAAGGAGAAGAAGAGAAGAAGGCGCAGGACGAGTGAATCCTTGGAGCGAGCGTGTTTCAGGAGGCCGCTGGAGCAGGAGTAAGTTGGAACGTTTCCATGGGGATTCTATAATCCCGCCGTGGCGATACCTAGATCCAGCGCAAAAGTACATCTCCAAGACAGGTTATGGACATGTAACCACCAGGTACCTGTGGCACAAGAAGGCCCCATCTGCGTTGTCTCATCGTTTGTCGTTGGCATCGTTATGGGGATAACTAGCTACCCGGGCAAAACCCACCAGGCATGGCACAGCTCAGTAGCAAAGTCGTGGCCCTTTGCCCTTGGGCAGAGAGAGAGCAGGGCGAGGAAACGCAGCCTATCAGAGCAGCACTTCTCGCCAGGCCCAACCGCAGGACAGAGCGAGATGTGCAGCTCGACGCAGTCTCTGCATGTCGTTGCAGGCATCTAGTATCTTGGTGCAGCCAGCGAGTTCGACCTGGCGGCCTCGGCGGCCCAATGGCCTCGAGTTGCTTGACGGGATCGCTGGGATGGCCGACGTGGAAGCCTATAGAAATGCCTGTAGCTATTAATTACGACTGTACTCCGTAGACATGGCCCTGAGGAGGAGAAGCAGAAGCAGAAGGGGATTCGGCTCTTCGTGTTTCTCGTCCTGCGCTTCCTTGCTGGCGTGTCTCTGCTGCTCCCGCTGCGCTGCGCACGGTACGACGTTTCGCGGGACGAAAGCCTGAAACTGCTTGCCATCGCCAGGTTTGCGAGCGTCTGCTGGCCGTAAACGGGCTCGACGAGCGTCTCTCAGCAGCGTCTCTTGTCCGCCGCCGTCCTGCTTCTGCTGGGTGGTGAGAATCTAGGGATATTTGTTTGTAAACACTCGGGCTGTCGAGGCCGTCCGAGTCGTGTCGTCAAAATTGCCGTTTTAAGGCACCTCGACGACTTCGTCTTCTTCCAACCTCAACTCCAACTCTTCGAACATCGTCACCTTTTCCTACGCATCGCCAGCTTCACTTTACGGGCTGCAAGAAGCTCCTGTCTTGGTGATATTCGTATCCCCTTTTTTGCTTTACCCGCGCGGTTGCATGACGGCCTCACCTGACTTGCATCCGACTTTTTTTCTCCGGCTCTTCTGCGGTTCTTCCTCTGCTCCGTCCGCTAAGTCTACGGCCTCGACAAGGACTCGCGCCAGGAGCGAGACAGTGACCTCAAGATACCGTCCGAGCAAGTCTCTGCGCGGTAGACACGCCGTCCAGATAGCAGAGATAGCAGAGATACGCAGATACGCGACGTTACCGCCTCTCGTTTCGTCTGATCGTGTCTTGCAGAGGCCAGGGGGACGGCCGCCCACTCGCCCGGTCCCCATCGACGAGATACACCGCAACACCGGCCTCAAAAAAACTGTCCATATCTTAGTTGTCGACGCTGTCGAGACTTCTACAGGTGTTGTCAAGCTCGTCTGCGGCATCTATAGACTCTGTCGTGCCGTATCGTGCCTGGTAAGGTCGCCCTCCTCACGTCTACACGCGCCAGAATCTGACCTGTCCCAATCGACCTCCAGTCCGTTTCGAGATTCAAGCACCCGATCCTGACAGACGACAGTACAGCGCTCTCTCCTTCGCTCTTTCACGCATCCGTGACTGTCTTCGCGCCCTTCTTCCATCGAGCGCCAGGTGACAATGATAATTTCACCTTGACTGAACCCCGATATCAGCCTGCAATTCACTTACAATGACTGGCGCACACACCCTTCCGAAGGACTTTACCTTCTTTTCCCCAACCGAGTCCGAACCGAGGACCCCAGATCGTCCTCTTCGCGACCTCTCTCACCCACCACGGCCTCACCACACCTCTCATCGCGTCAGGAGACGGCGCATGGAGCGGAAACCCATCCCCTTCTCCGCGCCAGACGTGCCGCTCCCTTCCATCGAGCTATCGCGTATCTCGCCTCCAGAATCTACCAGCGAATCGCAATCAACCAGCGGCCCAGCCTTCATCTTCCAGGGCTGCGGCGGCTACCTCGACGTGCCACGACGACAGAGGACTGATCCCAAGACACCGCCGGCCCAGATCCGTGACCTGGCCTCTCAATCGTTCGAGAATGGCGCCGCAGATGGGACAACAACCCCCGTCGGCGCGTCTATCAGTAGACCGTCGTCTGCCTGCTCGCACGCCTCAGATTCTTCCTTCTCCTCCACCTCAGCCGCGTCCTTTGACTCGTTCGATTCATTCATATCCTTTGGCGGTAGTTGCACTAGCCCTGAGACTGAGATAGACGACCCTTTCCTCGCGGTCAGCCTACCAGATAACAAGAACAACCTCGACACCCCGTCAAAGTCCGTCAAGAACACACCAGTCATTCCAGCTAACCTCAGCCAAAACCAGCGCTGGACCTCAGAGATGGACCAGCATCTCTGGAACACCTACCAGATTCACCTCCAGGATCCAACCATCACCCCGTTTAAGATGTTGCCTGGTAGCTTGCCACCACTTGGAGTCTCCCACCGGGTCGCAAGGGAAGCACGCAGAGCCTGGGTGAAAGCAAAGCAGCAGCAGCAGCCTCAGTCTCAGTCTCAGTCTCAGTCCCAATCCGAATCCCAGCCTTCTGAGTCTCAGTCTTCTCAGTCATCCGAAACGGCCAATTCCGCGAGCAAAAACACACCACAGTGGCCTCGCTCTGATGCTGTTACCAGACGGAGACTAAAGGAGTTGTGCAAAAGGAAATACTCCATTGCTCCGCACTATCAACGTCTGTTGGAGTCTCGAAGCCCGTCCCCTCCTCCGGACCTGCTCACCAGCTACACCACCACCGCTGTTACACCTGTTTCTGCGCCTTTCACCAGAGACCTCGGTATTTCTCTTGTCTCCGGAACCATGCCCAGCGACCCTCCAGAAGCTGCTTCAACTCCCAACATCATCTCCAACACGGTTAGCTCTGTGGCGACTACCGGTAATGACGATGACATCCCCCGTCTCGGCTCTCCCTTCATGTATCATACTTGGGGACCTTCAAATACGCGTCGAGTCTCGCAAGCGGACACAACCCCAGTCAAACCTACCGTTGAGACTCATGATACAGTTCATGTCACCGGCTCACGCCTACGCTCTGGCATTGCGCCTGATCTCTTCACTCCCACCAATAACAACCAGCGTCTGCCAGAGGTAACAGTCCCAGCCGATACCAAAGATCAAACTCCAGCCCGTGTCCGCATACGTACGCGCAACAGGGGCCTCACTACTAGCAGCAGTAGCAGTTCTCACAATAGTAATATGCTCAACATCAACTCGCGGCACAGACTGATCCAGCTCTTCACTCCTCCTTCAGGGTCAGGCTCTACCGAAACCGACGGTCTAACCTCCCATGGCCAGACTCACAGCCCTGAAATTGAGGGAGAACGGATCAAGCGCTTGGGTTCTCCCTTCAATCTTGACCTGCCTGCAAGCAAACGGCCGCAGCCGCACCCACGACAGTACAATCGTCCTCGCCATGCACCCTCTCGCTCTGACACTTTTCTCATGCACCCGCCAATACACGTCCAGGGACAGCCGTTCTTCTCCACTCTCTCCTCAGCACCGGATCTAGATGCGTCTGATACAGAACGAGCACCAGCTCCAGCCACGGCGCTGCACTCACCAAAGGCATAGCTTCCTCACACCCTCCCATTCACGCCATAATGTCCTTCAATTCAACCCTCATTTTATTTATTGCTTATCGAAAAAAAGACGACGAATGATGATGTGAAACGACGATACTGCATGCTAGCCGTTTGGAGCATTTCTGGTGTCTTATCCGTATTATAATGCGTTGCATGATCATATTCTTGCTTCCAACAGCAAACAAGTTTCCATCCGCGCTCGACTTAATACACAAAAGAAGAAATGGATACCATTCAAGCGTACTGATTTCGGTATCGATACTGTCGAGCACGGAACGGGGCTTTTGTTTGCCTCTTTACCTATGCCCTTCTCGCGTTTTGCAGGAGATGATGAGAAAAACGAATCAACGCAACGGCGGCGACGATGACTATGAACCACGAGCAGACGAATACACACAAATGAATTATCGAACTATCTGGAGTTAATTTGCAAACAAAACAGTCCACTCACTATTTTCCTTGATATTTAACACTTCGAAATTTTACCGCCGATGAGACGACACTACGTCTATTTTTTCTTTATCTTTTGTTGCTGCTGGCCCTGCCTCGGCCCATGATCAGTCAAGCTTTAATCTTGCTATATACCTTATATCCACTATGATATAGGAAAGATAAGACTGACGTTTTGATCCGTTGGCTGGACCATCACTAACTTACCTGCCTTACATTCTCTTGATCATTTTTCTCTTTTTATTTCTTTTTCCGTTCCTGAATTTTCTTCAGTCCTCTTTGAGCTCATCTGAAATTTCCACTCCAATCAAAGAAAACGAAAACAACTAAAAACATTTGAAAACCCCTTGGAAACGCTCTAAAAAAAGATCACCCTTGCTTATTTTTCTTCTACACAAAACGGCACCTTGCTTTATTTCATCTCTTTGACCCCATGACATTGCTTGCTAGCCTGGATGACCTGTGAAATGAATTGGCCACCCGATGGCCCATGATCTCTGATCAATTCTCCTTCTACCTTCGTACTTCCTGTTTACCCTCTTCTCATTCCTCTATTCTTGGGACAAGTATGGAATACAGTGTTGGCCTTTTTAAAACTGCCTTGCTTCTTGATCTGCCTTGCTTACACGTTACCTTTTTTACCTGATGACCTGACACGATGAACGATGCGAGACAATGATAAACCATTTCTGTTCTTGATATGATTTGTCTTTTTCTTCTATTTTCTGCCCATCTTGATCTTCCTCTGGTTGCACATGGATTTGTTTTTTCCCCCTTCCTTTCGATCCTTTTCTGCCTTGTTTAGTCGTTAACAAATGGGCTTTTTGCTATGTTTTGATTTGAGTTACATTCTTTCTCCCACTAGAAGAGATTGGAATTAAATACACTACTTTTTTGAACATGGCCTTTTGACTAAATACGTATATTCGTTGACTTTTCCATAAGCGAGAAGAAGTTGGGTTGCTCAAAGCATTGTTTGTTTGGAGTGCCGACCTTGCAGCGGAAGCCGTCGTTGATCTTCCGGGCCGGTCAATCAAGTAACCCATTCTTTTAACGGTTATAATGGCAGGGGTACTGCCTCATGCGCTGAGGTATTGAAGGCCATTCGTCGACGGTTGTTGCGCTTGATGCTTAGATATGCTGATGTATGGAGTAGGCCATAAGAGATCGGCTTATCGTTGTTAACCAGCTGAATATGGCGTGAGCCTACCTCAACTATCTGACCATCGAAGGTCGAAAGGCAATAGCTATGACACAGGCAGGCGTGCCTCCAAAAGCTTACGATACAACAAACGATAATAACTCGGCAGTATAATCCCGCTGGACGCTACGGATCACTCTGTACAATGTAAGTCAATTTGGCGTCGCTCAAATCGTACATCTTGATGAAAATCTCTGTTGTGTATCAGTAAGTACACCCTGGACGTCATGTCCTGATCCTACATAGGAAAATGCATGCTGGGAGCCAACCAGTAGTAAGCGGGCACAGCCACTAGCAGCCAGGGTTGGAGAGGGTGTGTGCATTGCATCACCTGAGGATTGACAACCAGCCCGGCATGCCTCGCTAGCTTTCATGCGGTGTGCCCTTCACAGCCTTCAACACAATCCGTTTCTATGCATCCTGTCAAAAAAGGCGAACAAGGGTTCGATTTGCCGGAGATTAACTGAACGGGAATACGGGTTCGGCATATCGAAAAGTATGTGTGCGTGTCTCTGGCTGAGCATTTGTGAATGATGAACCAACTTGTTAACTAACTCATGATCAATAACTCTATGGCTGGTAACGTGGACTTAACGAGGCATTTCATTGCGGCCTCAATTTTGCGGCAGCTCAAGGTCGAGAAATATTCGCGGAGGCTGGGGATGAATGATACTCCCAAGCAGCACGATATAGTTAAATGTGCCAAATCCCTGACCAGTGACGTCGTCCCTCGCTGTGGAGAACTTAATGTCTGCAAACCCTTACTACGATGACCCCTTGGGGTATTAATTCGGCATGGCTGGGCAGCTTCTATCGCGGCAAAAATGGATAGCCCTTACTTACCAAGTCGCAAGAAATCCCTATCAGTTGGACTCCGAATTTTTCACTGCGGGTCTCAACGTTCTTGAATTCATGGTAGTGCGACTTGGGTTGGCGGAACCAAGATTGAGTTACGTTCCATTCCTTTGCTCCAGTACGGAATACTCCGTAAGGAAAAGAAATAAAGGCACACGACACGATACGCCTTAACTCGTTAGTAAGTGGATGAGGCCGAGTAACAGCCAGCAACTTTGGGGGCATTAAGGAAAGGGAAAGAAAAGCTTGAAAGGATGTCGATGCCGTCAGCCTTCCCCATTGATTGAAGGAAGATGCTTCTTCTGCGCCCGAGCAAAGCTTGAAATGGCTTGAAGAACGCCATCGAAGGGCCGTCTCAAAGGAGGCGCGTCTTGGTACCAGAAGGAACCAGAGGAAAAAACACGAAGCCAGGTGCGAACCAAGGTCCGCCGCCTCAGAGTTCAACCAAGACGCCTGCAGCCGCCTTCTGCCTCTGCCTCTTTGACACGATGAGGTAATAAGTCCGCCCCAGACTGGCTGCTATTCGCTCGCTTTCATGCAGCCTCGTATCCACCTGGAGGAACAAGATGCAAGCGTTCTTGATGGAGGTACGGGTACATCGCTGACAGCTTGGGCGAGGGCATGACGGCTGTCCTTGTACCAGTCGCAATTTCTCAATGTCTCGCGGGCTGTGGCTGGTTGCTTTCTCGCTTTGTCTCCCTGGGACAAATTCGTACAGGCAAAGAAACGCCTCTCGGGAAGAAGCAAAGAGAAGCCATAGGCCTGCTGATTCGTTGACGGCACGGTCGAGCAACTTTACGGGCGGAGAGAGTTTCTGGTCTCCAGTTTTCTCCAAGCAACGCTGCTACTCGTCGGTTACATGGATGGAGAGCGTGGTATATATATTAGCAGCTGTGCATCCTGCCTTCCTTGCACCCTGCCACTCCCCGTCAATAGCTTCTTATATATCCCAGCCAAAGCTGTATATATATAAGAGGGACTCTGCCCGGCCTGATAAATTGATACCGGCCGGCACACACACAGCTGACATATATCCCGAACGGATTGGAGTTGGCCACTGTGCGACTGACTGGCAGAGTGACCACGGACTGAGGGAAAGAAAAAAGGGCTTCGTCTTTTTTTCATCATGGGCCAACAGGAGGATGTCGAGGCCAGGGACTATGCGCCGGCTCCCCCAGTCTACGGCGATGAGAAACGAAACGACATGCGGGCGATGGTCGAGGCCAGCCTGCACGACACCCGGTACAACCAGACACAGCGAGGCCTGAAGTCGCGACATGTCCAGATGATGGCCCTGGGAGGCACCATTGGAACTGGTCTCTTCGTTGGCTCGGGTCAGGCGCTGTCTACGGGCGGCCCTGCGTTCCTAGTCGGAGCTTACCTGCTCATCGGGATCCTCGTCTACCTTGTTGTTACGGCTATTGCAGAGGTCGGTACCTATTTGCCCGTCCACGGCGGCACGATGAGTTACTACGGCTTCCGTTACGTTTCGCGCAGCTTGGGCTTCTCGCTCGGATATCTATACTGGTACTCTCTCGGCATTCTGGTGCCGAACGAGATTGTTGCTGCTTCGCTGATCGTGGGCTACTGGGACGACTCCATCAATATTGCTGTCTGGATCTCTATCTTCCTTGTCGTCATCATTGCGCTGAACTTGCTACCGGTACGCTGGTATGGAGAGAGTGAGTTCTGGTTTGCCAGTCTCAAGGTCATCATGATGTTTGGCCTCATCATCCTCGCCTTTATCCTCTTCTGGGGCGGAGGCCCGTCACGCCAGCGACTCGGATTCCACTACTGGACACACCCGCGGCCGGCGAACGAGTACATTGTCACCGGTGACGCTGGCCGATTTGTGGCATTCCTCAAATGCGTCGTCCTCAGTGCCTTCGCGTTCCTCTTCGCCCCTGAGCTCATCATCCAGACAGCCGGTGAGATGGAGTCGCCTCGACACAACATCCCACGAGCCTCTCGCCGCTTCTTCTACCGTCTAGCATTCTTCTACATTCTCGGGTCACTGGCCATCAGTGTCACCTGTCCCTCAAGCGAAGCGTCCCTGACCAACGGTGGCGCTGGTGCTGGCTCGTCCCCCTTCGTTTTCGGCATCAAGAACGCCGGCATTGCTGTTCTCCCTAGTATCGTGAACGCCGTCATCCTTACCTCTGCCTGGAGTTCGGGTAATTCGTACCTCTACATGTCATCCCGAGCTCTCTACTCACTTGCCGTGGCCGGCGACGCGCCACACATCTTCAGGGCCTGTAACCGCTACGGTCTGCCTTATATGGCCCTGGCTGCTAGTGCTCTCTTCCTCCCGCTCGCCTACCTGGCTGTCGGCAGCGGCAGCTCCCGTGTCTTCAACTGGTTCGTCAGTTTCACCAACACGTCCGCGTTTATCAGTTGGACGTGCTGCTGTATTATCCACTTCCGCTTCACCAAGGCCGTTAAAGTCCAGGGCATCGAGCTCACGTACAAGTCAAGATTCCAACCCTGGGGAGCTCGTATCGGTATCGTCTTCTTCATCATCTTGATCCTCATCAACGGGTTCGACAAACTCTTCCCCCAGAAGTTCAATGCTTCCGACTTCCTGACTGCCTACATCGGCATCCCGGCTTTCTTGATCGTCTACTTTGGCCACCGCTGGTACACCAGGGAGGACCCCTGGTGCTGGCGGCCTGAGGACATCGACATGGTTACCGGTTTGGACGAGATCATCGCTGCCGAGCGCCCAGTTCGCAAGCGCACGGGAGTCATGAAATATATCAGCTACATATACGAGTAAACCACGGCGCATTTGGGAATAATGTCTTTATTTCATTTTTCTTGCTGTACACCTTACCTCTTCTACAGGTCACGGCGAGCCACCGGCTCTCTTGTTCTTTTTGAGTATCGAGAGATGGAGGCTACCCTACTGTACTTTATCGCTGTTGTTTTGCTCGCTTGCCGGGGTGCAGGACGAGAGAGCAGTATAGAGACTTACGATCTTTAGACGAAATAATCAATGAACATGACCACATATAATCTACAGTTTGTCTACGACGTCACTCTATAGAAATACATACTCCATATATAACAACCCTTTGTAAAAGTATGCTGCTATATGTAGCCTTAGGTCGTTTACATACCTTGCAGAGGCTTCGTATATAAACATAAACAACTCGTTAACTAGCTAGCTATGTGAAAAAGCAAACAAACGCAGAACCTCTGACCAGCAACGTCTGATATTGAATATACAGACCACACACAGCTGTATATCTCATATATAAAATGCTCCGGACGGAGCAGTATCAGTACCAGCCGCTGCCAACACGCACTTCCATCCGTCTGCTTCGCATCAGCTCCCGCGATAAGTTCAACCAGCTGGAATGCACGCTACGGACGGTCGACCTGGACGATGCGCCGTCCTTCCATGCCTTATCGTATACGTGGGGAAACCCGCATGCGAGAGCCCGCGACGGCCACCGGTTCACGCAGCATTACAATGCCCTGGATGCAGAGTACCTGTTCCCCAGTGCGGGTGTGCCAGTCAAGTGTGACGGGAAGAGACTGCTGGTCAGCCGCAACCTGTACGATGCCCTGCGAGACGTGCCGGAAGATGCGTGGAAGACGTTTATCAACCGCCGCAACGATAGCAAGGGCTGGACGAGGCTGCATACGCACTCGATCAATGGAGACGCTAGGAGGGTTAGGTCCCTGATTGCATCGGGTGCTGACCTCAATACAAGGGACCGTGAAGGGATGACTGCGTTGGTCTGGGCGGTGCGGCTGCGCAGGGGTGAGGTGGTGAGGCTGCTGGTTGAGGCCGGAGCGAAACTTGATGTTCAGGATTATGAACGCAGGACGGCGCTGGATTACGCGCGAGAGATCGCTGATGAGGAGATCCTTGGCTATTTGACTGCTGAGAGCGCCCCGGATGGCTGCCAGCAGCCTGAGGAAGGGCAGGGCGGTGGACCGGAGGTCTGGCTGTGGGTTGACCAGGTCTGTATCAACCAGACAGACCCGGAAGAACGCTCTTCACAGGTAGACCTCATGCATAGGATATACCATCAGGCCGCCTTTACACTTCTATGGCTGGGAAGAGAGGACGGATACACGAAGCGAGCGGCCCATTTGATACCCAGGTTTGCCAGGGCCGGCAACCAGTTTATTGAAAGTACCATTTTACCGTATACTCAGAACAGCCAGGAACTTCATAAGAATGAAGGCATACCGTACGTCTCTGAAGGAGAATGGGACGCCCTGGCAGCTTTGTTCCAGAGACAGTACTTCAGGCGTCTCTGGATAGTGCAGGAAATCATCCTGTCCGGCATTGTGGTGGCATACTGCGGCGGAGTCGAGATCCCCTGGAGACTGTTCTGTATCACCGCAGAGATGCTGCACTACCGTCAACTAAAGATGGGTACTGAAGTGTCTGCAAAGTACGTCCCTCTTGGTGAAGGGGGCCGCGGCATCGAGCAGCCCCTTGTCCAGCTGCTTCAGTGGCAGGATAGGTTTGGTTCAAACCCTCCCGCAGATAAACCGAGAGTGGTCTCATTGGAGAATCTAGTCTTTGATACATGGCATTTCCTTGCAACGGACCCGAGGGACAAGATCTATGGGGTATACGGTTTGCTGAACAAAAAGGCTCAGGTAGATGGGCAGTCCGGAGATGTAGAAAAGCTTCTATGGCGGGCAGACTATACGAAACCCGTTGAGCAGGTATATGCAGAGGCCACGAAGCAAATTATGCTCGATGCTGGTGAGCTTCGAATCCTCTCTGCAGTGCTTGATCACTCCTGGCGTAAGATTGAATCTCTTCCATCATGGACGCCAGACTACAGCGTGACATGGACGAATATGATGACTGCTCATTCAAATGCAGCGGGTAGCTTGCCAGTTCCCAGTCCCCTAATAGAAGAATCAGGCCATTGGGGAACCTTGACCATCCACGGGCTTCATATAGATACTGTTTTGGCTATTGGGACCACAACCTCGGGCCCCGGGGACTTGAAGCGCTTCTTTGACCCATCATGGCTGGAAATAACACTTCTTATACCATCATCATACCACAAGACCGGCCACCAGCGATCAGAAGTCCTCTGGAGAACCCTCTGCGCTAACAAGGGGCCTGACGGGCGGCAACCAGCCCCCCAGTCGTTCAGCTTAGAATTCAGCGAGATGATAAGCACGATGCTAATTAGGGAAGCATGGGTCGAGGAAAGCAAAGCTGGTGCAAATCCCGAGCTGAATTTTGCCCCTAACCTCGTACATGGTATTGGACGAGTTCTCGACATGTTCTCTGACCCACCGTTGGCTGGGTTATCGAAGGCGGATCTAGAATGCGAATTTAGTGAACCCTCTAGAAACTTCAGTTCCCAGGCTACCCAGATGCTAGTATATACCCTCTTGAAAGCTCATGTGCTTACACTGACGGAGCCCGAGGAAAGCTGTTGCATCCCACCTATCAATATACTCCTTGACTTGGAGCAGAAGCTGGCGGCTAAAAACGAGGATCCATCTGTTGGGCTTTTAGAATTGCTTCGCCAGGGGGGGACATTGGTACGGACCTTGCAGAGTACGGTGGGCAGAAGGAGGCTCTTTGCGACCAAGAATCGGTACCTTGGCCTGGGACCGGCCGGAATGCAAGCGGATGATGAGATATGGGTTTTCCCTAGCGCAGGGGCGGCCTTTGTGCTGAGAAAAATAGTAGAAGAAGCTGACGGTGGATGTTCTAGGTACAAATTCATCGGGGAGTCATATATACACGGCGTAATGGATGGTGAAGCAGCTGCAGGGAAGGAAGATGAAATGAAACGGATCTCGTTGATATAGAAATCACAAAAGATAATACGCTAACTACCATGGAGGGTTAATATTTCTAATATACATATTATTGGAGGACCATTCAGCTGCCACCCGTTTATCCCTGTATTGCCGAGTGTATGGCTTCTGGCAGTATCCACGTTTCGCTGGGCTCCATGGAAGGCGTCTGGTAGGTTGATACTGACTAAATGTTGCCCCTACCTGAGGCTCCATACATCATTCATGACTGCTGCCGCATTCCCCATCAGTTTCATCTTCACTGCTATCATCATTCTTCCTTGAGCCCTTCTTCTGAGGCTTTCCTTTACCAAACATAGACCGTATGTCTTTACTTTTGCCGGCTTTCTCCTTTGCCTTCTTATCAAACATGGCTTGATGTTTGGCTCGCTCTTCTTTTCCTTCATCTGCAAGCTTGGCTTCTAGGTCAAAAAACTCCTTACTCTCGGCATCCATGCCAATAAGACTCTCGAGAAGCTTTATTTCTTTGGCCCAGACTGATTTATCTTCAGTTGTTTTCTTACCTTTAGCTCCTGCCCCTGCACCTTCAATGGGCCTATCAATTGGAGTCTCCAACACCATCGGCATCCCTTCTACCCTCTTATCGTTCATCAAATTGTGGAACGCTCTCAGCCCCAGGAACCCAGTACCGATGTTAGCATGGAGGTCTCGATTGCTACCCAGAGGCGTTTTCGAATCATTTAAATGCCACGCTCGTAGGAACTTAAGGCCAATGGTTTCATCGAACTCCGTCATGAATTTATCCCAGCCAGCCGGAGAGCGTAGGTCATACCCAGCCGCAAAGCTGTGACATGTATCAACACAGACACCAAGTCGAGAGTGGTATGACTCTGGGATTAGCGCGAAGAGGTCGCGGAAGTGAGACAGTGGGCCACCAATTGTAGTTCCATGGCCACACATTGTCTCGAGCACTGGAATAACGGTCTTTGTTGCATCAAGAGCAGATATTAGGGCTTTAGCAAGGCGGGAGAGAGACGACTCAAGAGACGTCTTATTTGTTGCCCCTGGACTAGGGTGAGATTAGGGGCTTTTATACTACCACTTTATCAAAGGCGGCCAATCACCAGCATTGAAGCGGCCAAGATTAAATGACTTACTGGAAGTTATATAGCTTTATACCAAGCGCCTCGCAACGGCGTAAGTCGTCCAAGAAGGAATTATACGCTACTGTTGCCTTGGCTGGGTCTTCTTGCGCTAGATTCACAAGGTACGAGCCGTGTGGAAGGATGTGTCTAAACAGGCTCATTAGCCGGGGGTTGGGTTACATGACGAATATGAGAGTATCGTACTTTGCAGCGTCGTAATTGTTGTCCACACATGCTTTCTTGAACAAGTCTCTGTTCTCATCTTGGAGAGGAGGATTGTCCCATTTTCTCTGAGACTTTAGAAACAGTGCGAATGCGTTACCCCTAGATAAGCGATTAGCCACGATTAATGGGGATTTAGTGTACGGCATTTCGAGAAAAAAGAAGTGGCATGTTTACCCAATATGAATGCTGTTTGGAATAGAATTCTGAACGCCTATAATATATACATCTTAGCCTAAGAAACAATAACATCTGACGCATAACTCCTGTCCCAAGAGTATAGCACACACCTTTTGCCGCACTCACATGGGCTCCCACAAACATTCGAAGTCCGGAAGCACGGGAAGCTAGGGGGTTCATCTCTGCTGACGACTCTTCTTTGATCTTCCGTTTCCCTGGAGTTGTACCTTTCGCTCGCCTGGATTTTCCTACTTCCACTTCCTCTTCTTTCTGGTCTTCAGGTTTGACCTTTGTTGGATGTTCGGTCCTTTCGGTTTCCAGTAATTTCTCAGACAAATTGTCAGTCTCTGGGGTATCGTTGTCCTGTGAATTCTTCTTCAGCTTCGGCTCAGAATTGGGTGGTTCTGAGGCGCCACTGTAGCCCGACTTCTTTGATCTCTTTGCCAGGGAAGCCCCCGTTACACTCAGCCCTCGTTTTCTTTCTAAAATAGCTGTCTCCGGAGCACCATCTACTGCTGTGGAGGTGGCCTTCGTTTCCTGGTTCCGGCGTGTTGACCGAGTGGCTGGCATTGTTTAGAGGGCTATAACAGGCAGACTTTCTGGATATTCAGCTTCACAGGGCACCAATAGCAGCAAAACAGCTTCCCTAACACCCAGTATTTGCTCCTGGCATCAGCTTGTCCTTCTTTGAAAGTTTCTTTTCGTCTTTGTTGCCTCAACGCAAAACTCGGAAATCGATATCACGTGACACGTTCCCCGGCCAACGTCAACGCAAGAAGCGACGTCAACTTTACTTTTGCTTTCCAGGATAAAAAACATCAACTTATCGATCAACCTCATCGACAAGGGTATAAGGAGGGCAAAGCCAGATACGCTATTGCTGGAATGTTTATTGGCACCGGTGCACTGCTTACGGCCTTCACGATTGTTCGATTGACTGCTTCTCCTCTATTTACACTCGTTTCCTGCACAGCAATTGCGCATCACGATGGCACGACCCTCTAACGACCATATTGATTTCGACCTTATCGAAAACCAGAAAGAAAATATCCAGGCACTGCCCAGTGGAAGGTCGGCGAAGGCGCTGGCGGCGGTGTTTTCCCCTCGACCATTGAACCAGAGCACACAGTCATCGGAATTAGATGAAACGAGGACGCTGAACGATGCTGTGCGACGTGAATATGAGGCCGAGCTGGATTCTATTGCAGAATCAGACGATCCTCTCGACATATACGACCGATATGTGAAATGGACACTGGATGCATATCCTTCTGCTCAAGCAACTTCGCAGTCGGGGCTGCTCCCACTTCTAGAACGTGCAACGAATGCATTTCTAAGTTCGACACACTACAAGAATGACCCAAGATATTTACGGCTCTGGTTGCATTATATACAGCTTTTCTCAGATTCTCCAAGAGAGACGTTTGCCTTTTTAGCGAGACATGGGGTTGGTGCGCAGTTGGCGCTGTTTTATGAAGAATTTGCGTCATGGCTAGAGCGTGATGGAAGAATAGCACAAGCGGAAGAAGTGTATAAGATGGGCATCGAAAAGGAAGCCAGGCCGATCGAACGACTTTTTAGGAAATTTGGGGAATTCCAGAAACGAGCGGAACAAAGACCGAGCGACTCTGATGGCCCTTCATCTCCTGCTCTTCCCAAGCTACGGCCGGCCTTAGCAGCGAAATTTGACCCCTTTGCATCATCTGCGGCGAGTCAAGACCCTCAGGCTGCAACCCCGAGTAGTGGGCTTGGCGGCGGAGCCACGGCCAACAGAACCCGCAGCGGTAAGCCAAAGATGGCCATCTTCTCCGACGCAGACGGAGGAGCTGAAGCCGCCAAAGCGAGCTCTAGTCCAGGTACTGGAGGTTGGGACAGTATTGGGTCATTGAAGGATCGCAGGAAAGAGAATACCATTGAGCCAACTCCGTGGGCTGGACAGACTTTGAAGGCTGGGAAGAAGCCCACAGCCGTCCAGAAGATGACTGTGTTTAAAGACGAGGTAAGCCCAATGTCGAGTTTCCTTTCAACCCCTTTTGATATATGGTGTTTATATTTACGTTCATAGGACTAATTTCTGGCATAAACCTCCTTTTCGGTTATTTTTGTTTATAACTTCAGTCGTCAAACATACGCCATAGCTCAAAATCAATGCAAACCACCAATGTTTCGCGAAATAATAATGAAAGAGTCGACCCCCGAACTGGAAAAATTGAACGTGTTGTTGTTAACCTTGAAGCTATATACCCCGACCCCCATAACCCAGCGGTTGAGATGAGTCTTGATGAGCTCAGAGCAATCAGTCGTGGCTGGATGAGTAAAGACTGGTCAAAACAAAGGAAAAAGCCACTAAGGGAGATACCGCAAAATGAGATCACAAGCAAAGAACTGCAAATGAATGAGAATGGTCATAGCTCAGATAAGCATCTATCTATGGCTATGCAAGAGAAGCTCCAGATCCATGATGAGGCTGGTCGAGACCACAAACTAGTAAAAGGCAAGAAATTAAAGGTGAAAGAAATCAAAGGGGAGACACAAATAGGTAAGATGTTTACTGTGATAGCTTATATGCTATAAAAATTACTAATATCTGGTAATATAGTTAAAACTAATCTTGATTCGCCTACTGGACCAAGGATCAAAAAGAGAGGGTCTACTGAGCCTACAATGACATTTCACACTAAGGCAGCTACAGATGAAATATATGGTATCTTTAATCAACCATTAAAGTCTGAGCTTCAGCTTGCTAAAGACGTAGACAGTGTTTATGGCAGTGACTATGAAGATGATGACTATACTAGTGTGGGAGAAATCACTACTACTAGCGGTATCTCTGCGCCAGGCAGTGAATTTGGAGATGATGAAACCAATACATTTGAAGCAACTAGAGCTAGTATAGGAGCAGACAGACTAAGGGACCAAACAGAAGGGGATATCACCAGTGTCAGTGCATGGACTGAGTTCTCTCCTGAAGAGCACATACCAAGGGCCGGAACAAGAACACCCAGAGATGGAGAGGACGCTGAAAACTCTGACAGTCTGGGAACAATGCCTACTCCTCGGCGAGGAGATCGCATCGTTCACCAGGATGAAAATTTTGTCCTTGTACCACCAGAAGACTACAATCCCCCTAGGGGTCCTTACAGAGATGCTTTTGTGGCCGCTCAAAACCGACTCCCTTTTATGACACCAATTGTTGAGCACACTGAAACCTCCCTCGCCTCGACGATGTTCAAAAACAAGCACTATATGAGCTCAAAAACTCCATCCAAGGGCTCCAAACCTCTGTTCTCCGCAGCGACTCCAGCCATTCCGGAGATAGACGATCTGATTTTTGCAGGCCAGGACGACACAGAGTTTGACGTCCTTGGGGAAGAATCGCCCAGCAAGATGGCTGGCAGGGCCCGATCGCCTCGAAACCTGTTGAAACGAGGCGGCCTTATCGAGCCTCGTGTGATAATAGAGGACCCCCAATGCAACCCCATCGATGCTACCATACGGAACAAGATTCTTAATGGGCTTCAGCCTTCTTTGCGAGCCTACCCTGGCTATAATGATCACACAGCTCATATTGGTGGAAATGGGCCCGAAATCAAGAAGTACCTGAAAGCTTTGGCAAAACCATCCAAAGCAAACGGAGGCGAGAAACAGTTTGCCATACCACCGATCATCTGCCTTTCAGGGGCAGCAAGAAGCTATGCTGTGAAACGAGAACTTGGAGAAGGGGGTTTTGCTCCTGTCTATCTTGCTGAAAGTATTGACTCCCCCGATACTTTCTCAGATTCGGAGCAGGAGAACCTTCCAAACACTAAAAGCTCTCATTGGGCCGGCGGAAACGCTTCAGTTCTCAGGGACTTAGAACGAAAGTCTCTTGAAGCCCTCAAGGTTGAGTCAGACCCGGCATCCCCTTGGGAATACTATATGCTTTCAACCGCCAGAAACAGAATCGAGAACTCGTCCTACTACCGCCGGGCAAAGGATAGCATTGTTCAATGCTATGAAATGCACATGTTCAAGGATGAGTCAATCCTGGTGGAAGACTACTTAAACCAGGGCACTTTGCTCGACCTCATCAACATCAAAACAGAATCCGCCGGCCCAGTAACACCCTCAGACCAGGGACTGGAAGAAGTTGTGATTATGTTCTTTGCGGCAGAATTATTCCGTACGGTTGAGGCGCTCCACTCTTGTGGGATTCTTCATGGAGACCTTAAACCGGACAACTGCCTGGTTCGACTTCCAGAGCCAGCTTCTGCAGCCACAATCCCTACCCCTCGAAGTGGCTCCCTGCTGGGAGGCGACGAGGGTTTCCGCCCTGAGGACGGAAGTGCCGAGTACTCCCCGTCTGGGCTTTACGGGTGGAAGAACAGAGGGCTAACGCTGATAGACTTTGGTAGAGCGATTGACATGTGTGTTTTTAAACCAGAGGTTCAGTTTATTGCCGACTGGAAGGTGGGCCAGCACGAGTGTGTCGAGATGCGCGAGTGCCGGCCTTGGACGTATCAGGTCGACCTATACGGCCTGGCTGGAACAATCTACGTTATGCTGTTTGGGAAATACATGGAGGTGTCCCAAGTGACCGAAAGAACAAGCAATGGGCCAGGATCTCCCAGCCTTGGAAACGAGCGAGGCTTAGGGGCACACAAGACGTACAGAATCAAGGAGTCTCTGAAACGATACTGGGAGCGGGAGATCTGGTCAGAAGTGTTTGACTTGCTACTCAACCCTTTGAGCCCGAGATGGGTGGAGATCGAACAAAATGCTCGAGAGAAGGCGTCACCTGTCTCTGGAGATACCGACAAACAGCCTGCTTTTCCCGTTGTGAGCTCGATGAGGCTGGTGCGAGAGAAGATGGAGGCGTGGCTGGTTGCTAATGCAGGGCGCAAGGGACTACAGGGTCATCTTGATAACCTGGAGAAGTTGATTGCCCGCAAACGGGGGAAGAGAGATGCCTGATTCAGCTAATTACAGAGTACTTTTCCCCCAATTTTTTTTTTCTGGGTTGGTGTTTGGTGCGGATGCGGATGGCTTAATGACACTTATCATGGACAACGACGAATGCCTCTAGACGACTGATTATTGATAACTATACCCTGTGGATATTGCCTTTTTCTTTCCCACCCCTTTTCTCTGGCAACTCTGTGTTAATCTTGACTTTCTTATGTTATGGAGGGTTACTCAGGGGGTTTTGGCTTGATCACAACTGATTTACTTATCCAGATGCAATAACTAACTAATAATTCACTTCATGTTAATCCTTACCATTCGATTATTCGTATTCCAGTGCTGAGATATCTCTATTTCCATTGAGGCATCGAGTTTGCCGTGTTGGTATATTGCATCACGATATAACTGCCACAGGGTAATGAGTCAAGGGAATGACCTTGCGCGGCAAATAAAAGATAAAGCGGTAATAGAGAATATAAGGAGTGTTGCTCTTTGATGATTGAATGTCAATATCGAGTGTGTTAAATAAAAGGGGGCTATTCCTGTGGATTACTTTGTCCTCTCAAACAATAGAATCAAAAGACAGTGAATGCCTCTTTATCAATATGCGCAAGACAACAGCTATTGACGGCCATTATCTAGCGAGGACAGCTAGGCATTAAGCCGTTATGACTTCATTGGGCTTACGTATAAATAAATGACTTTTGAGGCCGCTTGGATATCTCGTTTGATTTGGGTATGCAGCCTGTGAAAAGCTCAAGCTCTCTTCGGTATTTAGTGGATGAACATCCCTTTCCTCAGTTCGGTATCGCATCTTGACACTGATACTGTGAGTATAACCGAGTCAAGGTCGTCTTGTGGATATGCATGTGCATGTGCATGTGCATGTTGATGTTGATATTGATATTGGTTGGATATCTGTAGCTCCAAGGACTGTTAACTAAAACAATGGCGACGGAAGACGGGATTCCTGTGTCCGTCACTGTCGACAGTGCTGAAGAAGAGCAGGTTCCTTCATCCAGTGAACCCGAATCGACATCCACGGCCGGTTCGTCAACAGAAGAGACATCGAGCCCGCCATCAGTTGATAGAGAAGAGCAGCGCGTGGACATGGGGGTCGCGGTGGACGAGATGGATGGCAACGTCAAGGAAGTTGACACGCAGGAGAAAGACAAACATGATGACCAGAAGGACACCGATGAAGATGAGGAAGATAGCGAGAAAGAGAATAAGCCGGTTGAGCCAGCCGAGCCAGCCGTCCTTCTGCCTCCACGGCCTGATAACCCGCAACAATGGACCTGGAGATGCCACAAGTGCCATACACACTATGCCCTCGCGGTGACGAACCGATGCCTTTCGGACGGGCACTACTTCTGTTACGGCCTTGCCCAGGGCAGCAAGCACTGGGGGCGCCGACAGAGACAGGTCAGAGGGGAGAGCAGCCTGGGGGCTTCATGCACGTCCTCCTTTGATTACAGCGGATGGGAGGCCATGGCTGCCTGGCAGAGACGAGTCAGGCAGCAAAGAGGTAGCAGCCCATCCCCAGGCTGTTGGCAGGGCTGCAAGTACCCAGGGGAATGCCGCCAAAGCACGCTCGATGGCATCCTAGACTCGCCTGCTGGAGAGGCAGACACCATACCACCGAATGTACGTCCCCAGTTTGCCCCGTACCTAAAAGATGCATTCCATGTGTACGAGATCTTTAGCCATCTTTTCCTCGCTTCACATTGAGGAAAAAAGGCCTGGAGGTATCATGTTTTAACTAATATGTATAATCAGCCCAGATTCTTGCCACCGGATGAAATCCCTTACAAGGCACCATCTCCAGCACTGGCAACGAAGCCCAGCTTGAAAAGGAATAAGAGAGCTGCCACAACGGAGCCAGCGAGTGGCCAGCTGAGGAAGAAAGCAAAGAAGACGAAGAAAGGCACCGTAACTCCCGCCTAGCGAGGAACTGGGCATCCATCCCGGTTGAGTTGATACGCATACGCATGGCTACGTATACCAACGCAGAATGGATATATATCAATGGATGAATATTTGCTCTGAAGAATGCTCCATGGTCCGCAGTATCGCCTCCATAATAACAATGCTACTGCTACACACCGCAATACAACTGCTGGTTAATATCCCTGTGGACCTTTTTCTGGTGATAATCTGGGACATCGTGTCTATCAACCAGACAAGGGACAGCCCTGATGATGTCTAGACCTTGAGTATAGAACTCTACCGGCAGAAGAAAGCAGGCAATGGGTATCTCGAGACCTCCTCTATGCGATCATGGTTTTTGGGCATGTCTTCCCGTCATAATCTCGAATATCAACATCCCCCTTAGCTATCGACAACCTGAGACATGGCAACATCACTGGACACTGCCCTGACATCCTCCTCTAGCGAATCGCAGCCTGTACACACCGAAAACGAATGGGATGGTCATCTTTTTCTCCTCGCTTGCTGGCCTTGCAACGTCGAGCTCGCTGAAATGTAACATGGACCGGTAACTAACCGCCAAGGGGCCCTATTTTCGGCTCTTTGCTTTTTTCTGCGCTGCTTTTCGTCCTCCACAAGTCATGGAGCAAAACGCCAGGAGTCACGGTAGCATTATACCACCTGCACAACGATAAGGGGGAGAAGAAGGAGAAGAATAAGCGGAAGATGAAGACGAACAGGCAGAAGAGAAGGAGATGGCGGGGATGCACAGGTTAGGGGGTGACGGAGTGGTATCGGGCATCAGACCCTGGATTGGCTGGCTGGTTCGTTCTGTTTACTATTTTATGATCAATGAAGACGGTTCTTCATTTTTTTACAGATGCACATTTACTGAAATATATCTATTAGGCTTGGTATTTCTCCAGCTGACCTATAGCTGTGTTTTTGATATATTTTGATATATTTGATACGGCCATGTCGGTTCTTTCGTCGTCGGACGACGATGAGCATTGCTCCCGAACAATTGAGAGCTTCCTCCAACCGCTAGCCATCACCGATGCCACGCTCTATGAGCTCTCCTACCGTCTGTCAAAGGTCTACCGTACCCTTGCATTGACGGGGGATGGACATTTCTTTCCTACTCCGGTCACTTGCCTGCCCAGCGGCAGAGAAACGGGCGTCTACCTCGCCGTTGATGTCGGAATGACCAACCTGAGAGTCGCTTTCATCGAGTTGCTAGGTTGCTCGTCTGCTGATTGTCACTCTCCCGGCGACCGAAGCGCCTCGCAGTCAGTGTCTGATCGAAGGGTACGAAGGACGATTGAGAAGGCCTGGCGGATTGAAGAACGTCTAAGGGAGGACAAGGAAGAAGCGCTTTTTAGCTGGATAGGGAGCTGTATAGCCGAAGTCGTTGCTGATGAGCTGACCGTCTATGATTCGGCCGATCAATCACTTCCTCGAGAGATAGAGACTGGCATCTCATTCAGTCTGCCTATACGGTAGGGTCCAACTAATAGCTACGCCGTATAAAACCTGGACTGACTGAAAGGCTGGTTACATGATACAGGCAGGAGTCGCTAGACGAAGCGACATTGATGCCAATTGGCAAGGGATTCACTATCAAATCGAACCTCAACCTTCGCAGAGCGGTGCTGGATGGCTACGAGCTCCATTGCTATCAACCGAATAGGGACCAGCCGCAGCCACAGCCCAAACGGCGCAAGACATACACGCTGCCGGCCCTCAACATCATAGCCATAGCCAACGACACTGTTGCGACTCTGGTCTCGCTTGCATACGCCGTAAAGTCCCTGCCAAACACCAGAGTGGCCATGGGCATTGTAGTTGGCACAGGCTGCAATGCCACCATCCCCATGAAGCTAAAGGATTTGCACCAGACGAAAGCCTGTCAGATACGCTCATACAACCCGAACGCAACGGAGGCTGTCATTAGCACCGAGTGGACGCTCCAGGGGACTGAAGGGCCCTTGAAGGAGCTGGGAATCAACACAGCATGGGATGATCAACTGAACGCCCGCTCGGTCAGGCCGGGATTCCAGCCATTTGAATACCTCACTGGCGGCAGATACATCGGGGAACTCATCCGTATTATTGTTCACGACTACTTTACGACCATCCTGCCCTATTCCTCCGCCGTTCTCCCTTGCGCTCTCACGAAACCCTACGCCCTCACGGTCGACTTTGTCTCTGATGTCATCGCTACCTCTCGATCGGATAGGGAACTAGCTGCCAGACTTACTCGAAAGCTCGCTTCGCCCATCAAGGACTTGTGGCTCTGGACTCCTGCATCTGCTCGCGTCGTGCGAGTTACTGCTGCGGCAGTTCAAACTCGCTCAGCCGCCCTGATTGCGGCAGCTTCGGTGGCCCTGCTCGCGTGTAACCACGAAATACGCCTTGAATGTCCGCAGAGATGCACCTCGCTGGGAAAGCTGCATTCTATCACTTCTCCGTACCAGAACCCCCTTCTACTGCCGACGTCGAGGTCATCTGCGAGCTGGCAGCGAGGCCCGGAGGAGCTGGTTGTGGCGTATACAGGCAGCATCATACAGCATTATCCCAACTTCAAGGTGCTGTGTCAGGGCTATATTGACCGGCTAGTTATCCGAGCTGGGCCTCAGGAGGGAGGAAAAAGCGTTCTCTTGCGAGAGGCGAGCGATGGATCGGTCATCGGAGCTGGTGTTTTGGCAGGAATGATAGCATCGGGGTGAGGCCTGCCAAATTGGCAGCCTCTCTCCGATCGAATTACTTTTTGAGATGCCGTCAGCCTACGACACACGGTATCAGGCTTGGACTTGTCGATATATTCACGTTCCTGAATCAATGAATATTCCTGGGCTCTATCATCTCAGCCTCCCTTACCCGGCCGCGCATATCTGACAATATTCGTACCGCTTGCGTAGGCAAACCATTCAGCTTTGACTCCTCGATCCATGACCGGATCGGATATCCTAAATTCCCGATTGGCCCGCCAGGTATTCCTGCTTCTCTCCAAAATGATACGCACTTCGCGGACGATACTGGAGAGCAAGCGAGTCATTTGCCCTGCCAAAACGGCCAGTATAAGATGTCGGGTATAAGATGTCGAATCGCCTACCCGTTTCTTCACTAACCCAGACATCTGTCGGTCAAAATATTTTTTTTCTTTGAAAGCATATCTTATTGACCTTTATGATCGTGGGGTGAGTTGATGGTTTCGCACCCATGCTGTTGCCGGCGGGGGACAATAGATGGGAGCCGCAAAGAGCATATACAGCGGATGACCGACACTCTTTCAGCGCCCTTGACGCGGATGCGCGGAAGACGCCCTCCTCTTCCTCTTCCTCTCCCTCTCTATCGGTAAAATGCGCATGGGATCGGGGATTGAATGACTCTAATCCGACAAGCTGAGAGCCCGTCTCCCCCTATGGCACGGCACGCTGGATACTAGGGCAGGGTTGGCCCTTGTCACATAGCTACCGGACGTGCATAACTCGGCCGTCGCGCTTTCTTAATGCTTATGTGCATACCTTCTTTCGGTAATCTGGTATCCTACCCTGCTCCCGCTTGCTTGAGGGGTGGGTGTGATATGGGGGTGGTGGCCGTTGTGTCCGCATCGGTACCCCTGGCTGCTTGCTGCCATTGTAGCTACATATCATCAGATATTTTTATCAGGAGGGAAGACTGGGCGCGGGGTGTGTCTGTGGTGATGGGTGATATATTACGATGCCGGCAAGGGTAATGCAAATCGGTACTATGCCAGGGTGGCCATCCAGTTGAAGCACCATCCTTTCAGCTCTCCTACCTGTTATATCCGTGCGGGCAGTTGGTACACCGAGTGCCGAGTATGCCAGCTGTCCACATCTGCGCCATGCTCGCATGATGCTCTCTTGGAGGGAGGGGAAGAACACCGGAGTATATCGACTCTCCTTTCCGGTTTGTGGTCAGGGCCATCCAGCTGTAGGTTCAGGGATACGCCGGATGTCCGTGGAATGGGATGCATTCCCCAGCCTGTCTGAGGATCGGGATTGGTGGATGAGCTGCACAAGCAATATGGTTCCCCGTTCGATCGCCCTTAATCGTGAGATAACGTATAATATCCGCGTATTATACACGTTGGGGCTGGCTGATCTACTGAAATATCTCCCATCAGGATGCCGCCACTCTGGTAACTAAACTGATCGGCATTTGGCCCAGTCTGTCATTCATGCAACTTATTTTACGGCCGGTACATACTTGTGAGCCGGGAACGGTCGACTGCTCACGGCCTGGTCGAGAGATTCTGTCCCTATCCGCTGTTGAGAAGATTCTTTTGGTTATTTGCAGATTTGGGGCAGAATATCTGAGAGAAAATACCACGATGGCTCCTTATTTAAGCTGTGTCGTTCTTTCGGCTGCAGCTTTACCACACCAGCATTTTACCTCGGATCCTCTACTCTACCTTAAAGAGGCCGAGCAGTTATGGTAGGGATACTCTGGGACGATCCTTGAACTATTTTTTCTCCCGGATGTTGGGCAGCGTTACCCAGAGAGTGGATTAGGGAGGTTGGGGGGATTCCCCCAGGAATGTATGTAGATACATCCCACACGGCCAAATTGCAGAATCTTTCAAACACGTCTACATGGTCTCACAGCCCAGAAAGTGCCAGAGAGCCAGAGGGACAGCTGACAGTCATCTCGTCATGGAGATACCCCATGCACTGGCATTGACATTGGAGCAGTGTCCATTTTTTCAGCTGCCCCAACCTCGAACTGCCTCCCCTCACCTCATAGGATGCTACTAGGTATACCCCCACGGCTCCCACTTCCCGCTGTGTTCCACTCCCCGCTGCGTTCCCGCCGCACTCCCGCCGCATAACTGAAAGGGGTCCGTGTCCATTTGTGCTGGCAGGATTGGGCATAAGGATAGGATTCCCGGTGCCGGCAGCTACCCAGCTGGGCAGAGAGACAAGTTCTATATCTTGCGACGGGCAGATGCACCTCGCTCGCAAGGTCGTTTTGCCCGTTGGACGTGGGGGTTCCCTAGGTCTCCATCTCCGTCACCGTCTTCGGATTATGGCGAATGTTAGGGAGGTCAGAGGGAAGACTGACATATACGGTCTGTTGGCACGCTTGATGCGCCTCGTGCATCTAATGCATATCCGTCGACATCATTGGGGGGGCTATTCTTTCCCATCTGTCCTATCCTATTCTGCCCGGGCCCTCCACCTCTTGCTTCCTCCTGGGTACGTGGGCGACAGCTTGCATCCAACGCTGAGAAGGTGCTTTGGCTTGCGTCCATGCTCCCAGATCTTGGCCCTTTGCAAGATAAAGCTTGGTATGCCTGAGGTACATCGTACCCTCCCTTAGTAGAGGGCTGCACTAGCTTCGGCCCGCAAGGGATACATGGAGATACTTGGGTACCTGGTATATCAACGTCCATGACATGTACCAGTCCTGCCATTCAATCGAGAAAACCGAACAATGAGCATCGTTCTATAATAACACATTTCTTTGGACGACATCCCAGACTTTACAAAAAAAAATATGAATCCGACAAAATTACCCGTTGAGGACGTCTGTGTCTCTCAAAAAAATAAACAATCCCACCCACCACACAAATGCAAAAAAGCCATAGAAATGCAATACATAGACAAACAAGTTTCTAACGGCCAGCCGTTTCCTCCCTCTCACACTCACTCGTTTTCTCCTGTTTTGTCCCGATTCAGCAAATATGCGTCAGCCTGGATACGAAGCATTCGACCAGAATGCCATTTCCGGTGACGGTGTACCGGCTATGGCCAACGTAAGAATATCTTAACATATCCTGAAAAGACTCATGGCCGCTGGAAAACGAGTGGCTTGTGGCTAGACAGAAGGTTAGCTATAAAAAGGACTCCAAGATATGACGAGCCAGATGATATATTTAGAGACTGCTGGTGCGCAAAGGGAAAAAAAAAGGCGTAGTGCTTACTCGAAGAGCCAAATGGAGTAGTCTTGTGCGCTACACTGCTTGCACTTGGTGTAGGAGTTGTCGCCTCTCGAGAGATGGCTACTATCCCGTCAAACCGGAATGCAAATGGGATGCCATCATGGTTTCTAGACCGAAAGGTTAGCTAGAAATAGAAACCAGCGCGAGAAATTAAAAATAGAACAGCAGTAGTCAAAGTTGACAAGCTAGTTAATATCAACCGTGGTATTGGTAGTTAACAGATAACCACCAACTAGATTGATTATCAAGGAGCACTCACTGCGCAAGGCCGATCATATTCATACGTGGCAGCAGCTCGAGGGAGTCGGAGGAAAGCCAGTCGCTGCCAAAGGTAATAGTGGCATCGATATACGGCTTGAATCCATCGACCGATCTGATAAATCCCTGGGGCGTATTCTAGTCATCGTCATCCCGCGTTAGCTGGATCCGGTTCTCCGGGGAAGGACGTCTAGTCCAGTCATTGAACCAACAGCTAGCTAGTAGCGCTGGATCGACGGGTGGCGGGGAGCACAGCCCTTGTGCGAGCCCACGCAAGGTCTGAGACTTGGATGTTTGATAGACGGGGGATTCGTAGGCTCATAGAGGCAATGTAACAGTGTCTCTGCCGCGGAAGATGGCGGACTGAGATGGAATAGAACATACCTCGCCGACGTGTATCTAGAGGCCATCGGTTAGCTGGCCGTTACGGCAGTCAAGCTGAGTTACGAGATGCAACCGAGAATGTAACCACATCAGAGAGGGCAAGAGTCATACAAGAAAAGGGGGCCACAAACCTTCATGTACAGCGCAGGTTGGAGGTAAGGGAAAGCCATCATGCAGTAGACATGGACTGCTCACTGACGGGTAATTAACTAGATGGCTGCCTGTATCGCTAACTACTCCGTAGTCATAGGCCGTCTAGATGCGATACCGGATTTGAACAGCCAACTGTGATCAGCCGTTGTCTTGGGGAGCTGCCTGTCTTCCCGTGTCCCAAGGAAATGGCTGAGTATTTATCCACATACTAACGCTCTCACTAGACAGCAGACAGCAGTAACTTACTACACATACAGCAGCCTGATGCTGTCATGGGGATAGCTCGTTAACTGGTGGGATTGCTGGTAGATAATATGTCCGAATGCCATCGTAGATATTTCCATGGCAGAGTGCAGCAGGGGACTACTTAGCTGTGTCAAATGGTTGCAATATAACTAATATATCATTACATACGAGGGATGCTGACGCCGGATGCCAGCCGTGAGGAACAACTTAACTAGTTACCCTTCAATCAATTTCATTTCTATCGAGAGTCAGAGTAACTAACAAGTTAACCAGCAGCATCACACAGCTTCTGAGACATCGGTAACTATCAATCTAATCCTAGCTCTGCTCGAGCTTTGCGGCTGGTTACATTGCCGCCTTCTCCTGAGGACACGGAGACGCAGCAGCCTCTGAGGCGAGCCGTCAATCCTCTGCTGCTTGGTAATGAGCAATATATCCAGCTCCTCAATAACTAGTTATGGACAAAGTGCATCCTTTAATTTTTCGGTCAAAAACAAGAGGAACGTTGTTTGAAATTTCTTAATTATATCTTCGCATGGCAGACATGGGTTGAATACGATGGACAAGAAAATCGTGGATTTGGCTGAACTGGCCCCCAAATGACCAAGAAAATGGAGGTACGGAGAACTTGCTACTGAACTAGTAGGAAGAAGCTGCTAAGTGATTTTAATTAATGGTCTCTCTTTCAGCTGTCGCTACACCCGATCCCTGGTGCTTACTCAAGAATCTATAAGATTGGCTATGCAGCGGCTCCTGAACTGCCTCTTCTAAGAGGAGCGGAGTCTCTTTGCTTTTCTGCCTGGTTCCAGGGCCGTGTTTCAGCCTTCTAGATCTTGCTCCGGGCAGAAATCTGATTGGTGGCATTGTTGGCGTAATATCCTTGCGGGAAGGGATATATCCTTGTGTCGAAGTCTTCGATAGTCTTCCTTTTCCTTATCTTGCTTTTTTCTTGCTGTCCATCGAAGAAACTAAGAGGTGAGGAGACTGGTCTAAAGAAGAAAGAAGAAATATTCCGTTGTTGGTAGCACAACCTTGAGGGCTAATTAGGGATTCATTTTCTCAAATAAAGATGAGATCCGTCTAGATATAGTGTGACGCAACAGATCGATCCTCGAACGGTGTAGCTCCTCTTGCTATATATATTGACAGTGTTATTGTTAACTGATCTTCGTCAACCCGCATGCACGCATACGCCCTCTCTGCTGATTAAGTGTAAGCTAAATTTTCTCCTCTCCGCGCAGAAGATGGCTCCTCCTTTAGCCTTTGAAGGATGGGAGGTGCCTGTACTTTCTTTTTCCTTGATTCTTTCCTTTGCATTGCTTTGATTTATACTTCAACTCGCTGGCACGAAGGAAACATGGCAACAGGGAACATTTTGGACCCACGTGGCGGAGTCAGACTCTCCTTCACTTCTGAAACCAGATGCACTGTCGATTTGATGTTGATTGATCGCATTTTGAATTGGGGCTTTCTCGCACGGTATACCTCGTGGCCGATGTTAGTCTTGGTGAGCAACTGGGTATATCCTGGGGCCGATGCGTACCTTGGCGGTAGCGGTCAGGTCGGGTTGGACACCATTTCCTGGGACATGCCATAGTTGATCAGACAGTAGCGGTATACAGAAGAAGTGCCATCCTTCCTAAACACGTTCGAATTGCAGTAAAAGTTAGGGTATTAATCACTCCTGTCCGTTGCATGGACTGGCCCAGAGAAGAACCCTATCCTCGTGCTGAGTAAGGCAAGCTTCGAGCTTCCACACTCAGAATAGAGCGGCCAAGCCAGGCACAGAAGGGATCTCGACCTGCAGTGTAACTATCTCTCCGTTCGAGCCTGGAGAGAACTAGCGCTGCTTCGTCTTCTGCTTTGCTCACTCGTTGTTGACATCACATGGCCGCTCGTGTTATAGCGGAAAGTTCCTTTTCTTTTCTTTTTCTCTCTCTCTTTTTTTGTCTTTTTTGCAAACATACAAACTAGAGTTTGATGTAAATAAGGTTAAGGTTGGGCGTGCTCCATGAGCCTTTTTGCAAAAATAATCCTTGTACTAGTGCAATAAGAGGGAAGGATCGGCGCGATTAAATCAACCCTTAACCTTTTTTTGACCAATGGAAAAATCGCTACTCTTTTGATGCTTGTTGTTCATGACATCATCGGAAGATCTACTTCAAAGCTGGATGAAGATGCTGGTGAAGAAATCCTTTGTCCTTTATATGTTCTCTGCTACTCGGGAAAAAGGTGGCTTCGCTTTTTTGCAGAAGGACACGGGAGTGAATAGCCATGTCGTATATCAATGGGCAAACGGGCCTGCATGAACATCTCTCGCGCCTCTAACTGAAGCTTTCGTAAGACACAACGTGGTTGTGCTACGCCACCCTTGCTCGGTCTATGATTAAAAGGAGCCCTTAAGTGAGCGTACAGACGGCGTTTGAGAAAAATGATAGGCTATGTAGGTGTATACCTTGTTTTGTATGATCTTCTTCGGATTTGTGCGGATAGAGATGCCCAACAGATAAACCTGTCGTTATCAGGGAATCTATGCACATAGGTACAACTGATTCCGAGACGGAAGAACAAAGGAAAAGAACCTTTCCAACATCAAGGCGAGCGAATGAAGACATGAAACATAACGTTGGACAGGTAGATCGTGTACGAAAAGATAAGTAGCGAATGGGCTATGGTGAAACCTTGTATAAACAGTCCCTCGGGGTTTCCAGCACTCCACGGTATCGAATAGTCCCCTCATCTAGCTTCTGTAACGCATTATTAACCCCTTCAGCCGTGAGGGGGAATTTCTGCACGATTGGTTTTACTCGGTGTCTGGCGGCAAAGTCCAACATTCGAATCATGACGCTTCTCGGCGCAACAAGGCTACCAAATACCCGTAGCCCGGAATCAATCAAGGCCGCAGAGGGCACAACAAGATTATCCTTCAAGCTCCCGGCTAGCAGATGGACCGTACCACGTGGAGCCATTAGTTCGAAAAAGGTAGACCAAACCACATTCTCCGTTGTGGTGACTATCAAATGGTCCAGCGGTCGGATATCCATAGCGTCGTCCTCACTTCCGTCGTCCATGCTATGCCTTTCCCGGTCATCAATACCGCTATCACTGTCCCGCCGTTTCCGCCGGGCAGAAATTATGCGTGGCAGATCTTCAAGGGGGATGAATTCTGTTGCACCCATGACAATAGCGTCAACCTGTTTTGCAACACTATGCGTAAAGACGACGGTTTCTAAGCCCAGCTTGGCTCCAAATATCACCGCCATGTGGCCAAGACCCCCTAAACCTATAATCCCAACCCTATCGTTAGGTCTGATGCCGCATTGCTCATAGATGCCAAATATGCTTGCACCGGCACACATCATGGGTGCGGCGTCGAGCGAGGCAAGCTTGTCGGGTATTGCATAAAGGGAGGATTCGGGCCATATAGCTGCATATCCCATGGACCCTTGATCAAGATTTGTAACACCATATACTTGGCGTGAAGAACAGAACTGGTCGTAGCCTTCGAGGCATTGTCGACATTTGTGACATGCTACGCGGTAACACGTTATGTTAGTGAAAGCTGACCTTGATCGTCAGGGTAATTTGCCCATTCCATTCTTTTCTAGCATGTTGATGTAATGTAGAATTGTGTATATTTAGAAACTCCGGGGGGGATCTCGGGGCCGAGTTCACTGAGAATCCTTCTGGCGTCGGGTAGTCAAGAAAAATGAGTGAAGAACTTACTGCCATGGACATAGCCCCAGCCGACTCGCTGCCCGCTAGTAAGCCCAATATCAAGCCGTTATCAGTAGGTTTCTTCCAGCTCTAACCAACGATGATAGGACTTACACCCCTAGGGTTCTCACACCCGGGCCTAGAGACTGGACAATACCTATGCCTTCATGTCCAAGTACACAGCCGGCCTTTCGATAGTGTTGATCCGTTCCACACAAGCCGGAGTGAGTGATTGAGACTAGGACTTCGTTGCTCATCAATGGCGCTCGTTTTGTCTGAGAGGCCACCACCCCAGCGTCCGTTCCTCTAAAGGTAGTGAACTCGTAGCCTTCTTCACGTTCCATTGTTTCTCTAGGTCGTACTGGCAAGTTTAGCAGGGCGCTGCGCATGTCACGGCTCCAAACTGTCATTATAACTATACAACAATTTCAAGCTGCTCAAGAGATGATGAGAGATGAGAAGGAGATGAGGCTGGAAGATGGGGTAAATAGATAAACAGGGTCTTTTGAAACACGCAATCAAGATCTATTATTACCTAGCCGTCAAGGCTTAGGCGGTCATGTACTATATATATAAGGAGGTGAAGGGAATTATTTGCCGACGGCAGCATGGCAGTGTCGCTTACATCTACACTCAACCTGGGGTAGCGACAACGGCGAGCCAGGGTTAATGGCCCCACGATGAGATCTCTACGGCCGTTGACAGTGCGGCTCTTCTCGAGTTCGTGCAGCTGTGTCGGTATAAATATCCTCAGATGCCTTCTGTGGTAATGCAAATCGCTTCTGCGCCCCAGTGAAGAAGTATTGGCATATAATATTGACATCATGTTATATGGAGATACGAATTGAATTCGAAAAAATTCTTGTATGCTTGTAACTACCTAATATTTCAAAATAGCTCAAGTAAATAGCCACAGAAGCATATAACTAGGTGTGGGCCTAGGGGTAGTATGTATTATAAGAAAGAGATCAAGACAGCTCTGTACCTCGAGCACCAGCCTACTAGTAATAATAGAGATAACTAGCTAACCATCAGTCAAGCGAAAAATGACGGCGTGGAATAGCGGAGATATTAGATAGGAATAGGAATGCGTTCATCAATACACACACACACACACACACACACACATCTATATATGTATGTATGGATTCCCTCATGTGGATCGACCTGTGTACTCGTAGATAAGCCGTGGGAAGTTTGCAATCGATCTATAAATCAATAACCGTGATTCTATCTTAATATGCATATCTAACCAGTTTCCTTTCTAATAGGCAAACACGCGCGGGATCGCGGAATAATGCAGATGCGTCCGATATTTAGGTATCCCCTGAAGACACATCTTACTGTCAGATGCCATGCCTGCCACCGAAAATACTACCTTGACAGCTTGATGACCCCCACGATGGAGTCCCTTCGTGCTGTGTCCTCTAATGTCGTCATCCCGAGTGTCTCCGTTTCGTTCTGCTGATATTTTGGTAGAGCACGCCCGGTCAAGCCCCGATAGTTATCAAGACACCCCTTGCAAGCAAGGAGGGCTCTCTACTTCTATACAACCAAATAAGCAAATTTTTCTGGGCTCCAGATAGTTATGCTTTTGACACGTTTTTGAACGCGTTTTTATCCGTGGGGTGGCCATGTTCTCGGCCTAATGGAAGTAGCTAGACCTAGGCAGTTATCAGGGGCATCGAATATTGGAGACCTTGCAGCATACAGCACTCTCTTGAACGGGATGATCCATTAGCTCTGCGGGCTAGATGCCGTCCTGGCAGAGGAGAAGGCATCAATATATATGTTTCATGAATCTTAATGACCAGAATTTCCGGATGTCACTATCCTTGCTTTCAGCGTAACTACTTTATCAATTCCTTGACTTTGCGCTGGTGCAATAATGGAACTGATTTGCTCGTGTAGTTACAGAAACAAGAATGACGCTTTTGCACTACGCGTGAAGTTTTAATTCCGATGTATAAAACTGCCTGTTCTTAAAAGAGTTCACCTCCCTGCCTCGTCGCCATGGTTTAGTCAAATGCCCTGCAAAAAGGGAGGCCTGGGGAGAGGCACCCTGGCATCAACAAAAACAGGGGACCCTCCATCTACTTTCTTTTTCTGAGAGAGCGAGAGAGAGAGTTACGTCTCCCCAGTCTCTTTCTCTCGGCCATCTTGTTTCTTTTTCTTCGACGATTTCTCCAACAACCGTCTTTGGAGATAGTCACAGAGACAAAATGATGATCACCGGCCACGTTCTGATCCTACAAACCCCACGCCCGGAGGGAAGTTATGCTGCCTCTATCAAAGGTGATTGATGGCTCCATGGGGGTGAACACAGAATTATCGAAGACTCGAGCATATCAGGCGGACAGTGGAAGGGGAAAGAAAGGAAATAAAATACGTGAACTACGCGAATTGCCCTTGTGCTAACTTATCCCACTGACTAACTATGCAGTTAGCTACATAGTTAGATAAATATCCGCTCTTCCGGGTGACATAACTGTCGTATCTAACACTGCTCCCGGCCGTGGAGGATGAGGGCCTGGCACATAGCCGGCTATGCATAGTTACATAACTCTCCATAGCACATTACAGCGGCTAAACCAGATAAAAAGGAGCTCGTCGAAAGGGGTTGAAAGAGGCATGCGGAGTGCACACCGTGGTAACCTTCCAGGACCGGTGTTCTTACCTTACTGCCTGCTAATTATCACACCCGGCTTTCTAGGGTGGGTGGTGATCTTATGACAGCCTGTCCATCTCGCATAGAGAATCAAGCAAAAGGCCAAATAAGCTGATGTGGGTTGTCTGCTAGCAGCCTGTGCGTGTGGTAGATGATGCCATAATTACTTGAGCAATTGATTAAAAAGCACGATCGATAACCAGAATAGGGGGTGTTCGTTGGGCTGGATGCACCAGGAAATATTCTCCCCCTGTTTGGCTCGGATGCTTCTGGAGGATATACTTACTCTGTACATGCAGGTATGTAACTAAGAGTGAACAAGTCTGTCATCCCTACTTCAACGTGGCCCTGGTAACCATCACAGGTGGAATAAGCAACAATACGATCGCTCCTCGTATACATGTCGACCACCTTGGGGCGGAGAGGCTTTCCCTGAGGGCGCAAGATGCCACCGCAACAGGTTAATTAGTGGGAACGAGTTATCTGAGTAATTTGTCACACCTAGCCAGCTTCGACGGTCCATCTGGAACATCTGCCAGAAGGCTGCGGAAAAGGGGCGTTCTACCAACCGTGGTATGGCCGGCTCTGCGCTCGGGATCATCGATCAGCAGCAATCCATCAGCCAGGCTGCAGAGTCGCTTTGTACGTGACCAACCATGGCTGACGGTACCACAGCCTCTTTGCTCCCCTTACTCATCGGTAACTAGAGGATGAAACAAGAAGAGCCCCAGGTGTGTGAAGAAGGATGAGCCTCTTCTGCCACACGTATGACATATTGTAACTGACGACTTACTAGTCAACCGTTCCCCCGGTCGTGGGGGGATAGGCTGTGGGTTTCCTCTCCAGCGTGAAGGGGATAACTCACTTGATTGTCAACGACATAACTAGAGAGTTACCTAGTTATTTAACCTGTTTACTGATTAGCATCAGGACTGGGGATATCGGGGTGGCATCCGTAGGCCTGGCCACTGATGCCTAGTTATACGACGATCGAGATAAGTTAACTGACGGACTGGCAACCAATGCGTCGACAGCGTCAACATCCAAGCCTCCTCTTCATTGCTTTTTCTTTTCTTCCTGTTCTTTTGCTCGCTTTGCTTCTTCTGCCTGTCTTATCGTAACGACGTCAGGCATGGGCTCACGCACAAGTCGAGTTTTAAACTTATTAATGGCCTTCATGCAGACGAGCTTCATTCCTGGCTGATGGCTAAGACGTTGCCTTCTTGAAGGAATAATGTTTAATCCCGCTTGGCTCCATACAGCGCAGCACTGAAGACGAGTGGATGCAAGATGCAAGTGTGAGACCAGCCTTGGACCATAGTGATTGGTCTTGCACCTCCAAACCCTTGCTCTCTCTGCCTTTCTTTTCTCTTCGGTAGCGCTGCAGTGGAGAAGAGGGCTGGCATCCTTTTCCACTTCCCCGACCCAGCGCTCAACTTGGCCCGCATGGGGGAAGCCATCCAATGTTGTGGCCGCTGTACGGGATTAACACGCTCGGGATAGTTTAACTAACCAAGCTGCAAAAAGAACGAAGTCAAATTGACGTAGAGAAAGGTTTATCCATTTTCAATTTGAAAAAAAAAAAAATAGACACATGGTGCAGGGGTACTCAAAATCTTCCTTTCGTTGTGAAACTTTTGGCCCTCTGTGTCCGTCTCTGTCTCGAGAGCTGGAGCCAAAGCTGGACTAGGATTGCAAAAAGAGAGGTACAAATTCCAAATTCCCAGCAGGCGGGAGAGGATGCAGATGTGCTTAAGAGTGTTCAGTGGGGCTGTCAAAGATCCCTTGCCCATGCCAGCCTCTCACGGATCTCCTTTGGGGGGCTTAGGGGTGAGAAGGTGGGATACAAGTACATATATGAAGGCACGAGCTCTCTGGATTGCGCCGCGGAGCATCTATATCAAGGCTATCTCCCTCCCTTCCGTGGCCCCCTTTTCCGATCTATATATTCCGGCCTGGAGCACACGACGCTGATATCAGATTGATCACGCACACTGCCCATTAAGTGCCTCTTCCTGATCACTGATCCGAAGCCCAGATACTTGGTATATAACCACGCACAATGTCTAAACGCCCGAGACACATTGCTTGCCGCACTTGCCGGGAGCGCAAGATTCGCTGTGATGGACAGCAGCCATGCTCTAGATGCGCTGGACAGTCACAGTCGTGTGTCTATGCGACCCCGTCAAGCTCAGATGCCGGCAATTCTGACCTCACACAACAACTTCAAATGATGAACGACCGTCTCAGTAAGTTTTCTACGCCTGTTTATCATCCCGTAGTTCGTCTACTGACCGGAGCTCATCTACCCCTTGAGCAGGAAGAGCAGAAGCCCAGCTGGCAAACCAAGCATGCTGGGCCATCACTGAAGAACCCCTTGCTACTCCGGGCACTTATCCTTATACCAGTTGGCCTACCAATACCATTCAGAGTCCTATTCCTCTCAGCCCATCTTCCTACATGACATTGCCAATTGACATGGAATCCCCTCAGCCCGAGTGGGCTTTGGACGCCTTTGCCGGGCTTCCTGCTGTCACACAGCCTTCTTCCAGCTCGTCTACCTCCTCATCTTTCTCTATTCCTCACTCAAATTACGAAGATCGTATACTTTCACCACAAAACATGCAAAAACTGTAAGCTTACCTCCTTCCGTCCAGATTAGGCTTCGTTTGCTTACAAGAAAACAATTGACGACAGACAAGAAGCGTTCTTTCAATCACACAGCCACCTATTCCCAATGCTGGACCAATGGCGGAACCTCGCCAACCCAGTGGTGATCCAGTCAGAGCCATGGAAGAGCAGTATCTACTATGCCATCTGCACTCATGGAGCCCTGGTGTCCGGCAATGCTTCCCTCGAGGAAGCTTGCTACCACCGTGCCCGAAGGGAGCTTGAGCTATCAGACATGGGCGGGCCTGGGAGCCAATTCTTCAAGATTGAAACCCTACAAGCCTCGCTACTAATCGCCCTATACGAATTCAGGCGGTCATATCTACCACGAGCGTGGATCTCACATGCCCGATGTACCCGGCTTGTTCAGCTACTGGGCTTGCAGAAGCTCGACCGAGTTGCTGCTTCAGAAGAAGACGAGGCCGAGTTGGAAGAGAAGAGACTCACATTCTGGGCTACATACGTCTTTGACTGCTTAATAAATATATCTTTTGGAGGCTCATTGGCTTTCTCAGAGCGTGAGGTGAGATTAGCCCCATCCTTAGTTTACGAATTTCCTCTAATTATAGCGATAGATCTCTACGCGGTTTCCAAGATACATTCACCAGAGCCCGGATATACTTCCTACTCCGCAACCTTTCACACTTAGCCATCTCTTACAATCCCCCGACCTATCTCCAATGACACCTTATATGGCTACCATAATTCTTGTTACGACGTGGGCTAAGACCCTCAAGCATGCTCGAGATGCAGACAACTTTGAGCTGGAGGATCAGAACCGACACCAGTTCTGGGTCAGCCACCAGGCACTTGATGCTACCATAAACAAGGTAGAAGCGTGTCTTGGTGACCTTACTCAGTTCACCCTGCTTGCGGATCCAACTATTTCTTTTCTTAATGCCGCCAGGCATTCTGCAGCAATTTCACTTTATCAAACAGCCATCGCTGCGGCAGTACCGGCCAGGCTGCCAGTGGCTCTGATTGAATCCTGGCAACTGAGGTGTCAGAACTCAGCTATGGAAATAATAACTCTCTCAGGGGTAATGCTTGAAGGCAATCTACTTCACAATATCAAGCATTTTAACCCCTTTATCCTTTTATGTGAGTGCCTTTTACAGAATCAGGGGGTGAGATTGAAAACACTTATACTAACTAATATATCTTAGCCATATATACTGCCTGCGCATACCTGGCTCGAATTATCCGAACGGGCAGCCCTGACTCCAGGATCCTCGACCCAATTGAATCTACCCTCAGATCCTTTAATAGAACTGAGATCAAAACAGCTAATCCGACCCTTGATGTGTTCCTACCACGCATCTTCAAAGACATCGAAGACACCCGGGGATTTCCCGAGCCAATTATAGACCCATCGGTCTGGCTATTGAACCCAGGAGAATGAAAAAGAACTCCAACATGATTGATCTTTATATATAATGTTAAATGTTTTACGACCTTTTTTGCTTTCTATGCATAATGACACCTACCAGGAACTTCTTCGCCGTGACCCCTTTTTTACACTTATTATGACTTTCTCTTCTCCTACGCCCTCGCCATTCTGCCCGGTATCTCAACATCACTCCTTTCCGACCACTTCCTTTGCCGCTCCTTTTCTCTTCTTTTTCTTTTCCTTTACCTCAAGCATGTACTGTGATAGACGGGCACTCAGCTGGCGGGTTCCAAGAGGACAGCGTGTTTAGACTTGTATTTTCTCCTCTAGCTCCAAATTTGGAGACTCATGCCATATATTTTCTATTTATGTCTGACAATTAGTTAGTTGACTAGTTAGTTAGTTATGGAGCGAAAAAGCTTTTTATACGATTCTTTGGTTGCAAGAAAGGAGTTGGCTGTTTCTCAAGTGTTACCAACAGCTCAACTAGGCTTAAATATTGCTCTCTTGTCTTGCATTCTTCCTCTGCATTAGGTATTCACTCACTCTTCAAAGAACAGGAGGGCTAAACCAGTTACTTAACTAGTTAACTTAAGGGCTAGCCGAGACAGGGGGTGCGAATTTAGTCGCCAATTGCCCTGTTCCATCCAAGATTCGACTTCACCAGCTCCACGACTCAGCAGCAACTTTCCGGATACTCGCTCCAGCTGCGTCGCGGGTGCTTCCGCCGCATGGCTATCGTTGTCCATTGTGCTGATTAGCCACTTACCTAGTTAGTTAATGGTCAGATGCGGCAGCTTGGATTTGTGCATCCATCTACGGAGTAGTGATGCAGCTAAGCGCCCGACCCTGGGCGAACACAGCCAATTGGCCCCTAAAGATGCATGTTGGATATAGAGAGCCAATGGATTGTCCAGAAACGTGCTACAAGCAGCTGGTTTGCTCGACTCTGGAGGTGCCAGGGCCAATAACGGAGATTGATACGATGGAACGACGCAGTTAAGGGCGTTGGAGAGATCCTTGCAAAGCGGCCGCCAGCGCTCATTTTAAAGCAGAGACATCCCTCCTTGCATTCCCATCAACTCCTTTCATGTTTCTTGCGACAGGTGCTGCATGCGGTTCGCGATGGCGGCTGAGAGCGAGAAACATCCCTCCTGGGGGGTAAGCATCCTTCACGAACCAAAGGATGCCGTCTTTGAGTACGCCGATAGTTTCTTGCCCCTGCCCTCTACCAACCGGACTTGTTGCTGATGTTTTCGACAGCGTCGTGGCCGTTCACGGGCTCAATGGACACGCCTTCAACACCTGGACTCACAAGAAAACCGGGATTATGTGGCTGAAAGATCTGCTCCCAAAGGAGCTGCCAAATGCCAGAATTATGACCTATGGCTATCGCGCCAGGTTTGCAGATTTCACCGCTCACCAGGACATAAGAACGATTGCGGAGAATCTACTTCAACAGCTGTCAGGTCTAAGGCAAGATAATGTATGCTATCCCGATTTCATCATGCTGAAAATAGAGCCTGACGCCACGCCAGACATCCAAACGGCCCCTTGTTTTTGTTTGCCATAGCTTAGGAGGGATTGTCATTAAGAAGGTAGGAAGCCGGTCGGTAAATACCAAGGATCAGAGGACGTGTCTATCTAATTTGATTGTTATAACTAGGCCTTATCTCAAAGATCAACTGAGAAGTGCAACGAAGTGAAGGATGCAACATATGGCATTCTGTTTCTGGGTCAGTTTCAATACCCCCTACGCGGCCAGCAAAAGCGCCCTGAATTGACCGAAGAATAGCAACTCCACATAGTGGGAGCAGTCTCGCACGAAGTGGACGGACAATCTCTAACCTGATCCCGCGAATGTTTTCGTTCTCTGCGGGCAGAGAACTCGTAACATACCTCCACGAAGGCTCGGAAGTCCTCTCTGACATTACTCTTGATTTTATGCATCAAGTATCCAAATATAAAATTGTATCATGCTATGAAACAAGACCTATCAAAATCATGGGCATCCCAATACTCGTAAGTATACGTTAGCCATACAATGTCCTACGTTAGCCATACAATGTCCTACCATGCTAGCTGTTCATTTCTAATACAACCCCCCAGGTCGTTACTAAAGACTCTTCTCTCCTAAAAATACCAGGTGAAGAGATATTTGGAATGGACGCCCATCATCGGGATATATGCCGTTTCTCTGCAGCTGATGACCCGTTTTATCAAGCTATCGTGCCGTTCTTTATTGGATTCAGTAAAGGAATCGACAAACTGCTTATTCCACCTACGCCAGCGTCGAGCAGTGTGACGATCGAAACCGATACCCTTTTCGATGTGCCTTACGCACGATGCGTCGAGTTCCAGGGAAGAAAACAATTACTTGCTGATATAGAGCTATATTTTGGCGAACCTCACTCTGACCAGCAAAGGGTGTACGGGATATCAGGTCTCGGTATGCATATTATCCATGTTTTATGTTAATTCAACAAAGAACTGCCCTAGTTAACATCCCGTTAGGAGGCGCCGGTAAGACACAGACCGCTTTACATTACGCCTTTAAAAACAGATTCAAGTACAAGTCTGGAGTTGTCTTCTTTAATGCGACTTCAAACACGACGCTTATAGCCGATTTCCACCGAATACATGACCTTTTGCACAGGGGAAAGGCATCGAACAAGATAGACTACCTTAAGAGGTGGTTCTCCAAGCCAACAAGACGTGACTGGCTTTTGATATTTGATGGGTTTAGCGATCTCAACTCTGTGCAGATCAGAGATTTCTTCCCAAACACATCATGGGGCCATATCATTGTGACAAGTCGCGATCAATCTACGATAGGTCTTGTCAGCCCCTGTGGAACCATAATCACGCCCCTGGAAGAAGAGGCTGCCGTTAAACTCCTTCTGGGGAAAGCGGCAATTCTCAATCCTACCCGTGAGGACTACAAAGACGCCGCTGCAATGTCAGACATCTGGGCTGCCTTGCCTTGGCCGTGGACCAAGCCGGGGCGCTTATTCGGAGACGTCAAAAGTCTCTAAAGGACTATTATCGCCTTCTTCAGAACGAACAGAATGAGCTTCTGAAGATAAACCCAGGTATTGGGGTGCATGAGAAGACCGTCTCAACCGTATGGGAACTCAACTTTCGGCAGCTCGAGAACGATGCCCCAGGTGCCTCACTTCTCCTCCTACTCTTCTCTTTTCTCGAGGCTGCGCAAATACCTGAAACAATGCTTCAAAGGGCATGTTCGGATATGCAGATATGGTCTGAAAATGGCGGCGTTCGCGATATCTCCGCTGAGCGCGCTGGCATTGACTCTGAGATTATCTCCATGGTAAATAATGAGTTGAGATTTGATCAAGCTATTGAACAGCTGCTAGCATTTTCCTTAATACAAACCAGCATCACCGCCAGTGGACGGTCATTCTCAGTTCATCCACTTGTCCAGTCTTGTGCCTCTCATCGCGTCTCCATCGAGACACGGCAGAAATGGCAAGTCCAGGCCATAATTCTCGTTACCCACGTATTTCGAAAGCAAAGACTCTCAAGTGGTATTGCTGATCTAGGGGATACTGGGAACCAGATGTTCCCCCATATTCCTCGCGTGCTAAAGGAGTTCGAAACTCTGGACAAGACTTGCCCGCTTTATCCAAAGGCAAAACGAGCAATGTGTTTGTTGCTACTCGAAGGGTCCAAATTCAATGGTAATGTGTGGAGACAGGACACTATTGCCAAAGCCAAAGATCTGCTCGAAGGCCGCGATCCTGTATTAGAAGCGCGAGTTGCCCGGCGGGAAAGCACAATATTGCGCTTACATGGGAAAATAGGTGACTCCTATCGAGTGATTGAGAAATGCCTCTATCATGGTGCGTTTTCCGATGGCTTGGATATCAGCAAGAAGGCAAACGCCGAGAAAGGTAAATTAATAATTTCATATGCCGGCAGCTTGATTATGGAGAATCAGCTTGAACGGGCAAAGAAAGAGCTCGAATCATGGCAGCCAAAAGATCCAAATCACCCTTCATTGATGGAGTCATCTGTGCTGAGCGATAGGAACGTTTCCCTGGGGAGACTGCTCAAAAATCAAGGATTCTTCAGCGAAGCCTTACCATACTTTGAGCGGATATTTCACGATATAAGAAGCGAGCAGTGCAATGGAAACCCGATATGGCAGATGAATGCCTTGGCTAATCTAACAGACTTATACCTGGAAGTGAGACGCCCTGATGATGCTGAAGCAACGCTTAGAGAAACGATGAAGATAATGTACTCTCGTGGATGGCAGAGATACTCCATAATAAGGAGACTACAGCTCTCTCTGGCCGAAAGCTTTATTATGCGTGCCATGTTCCAGACGGCCGAAGAGTGTCTTATACGACTGATCCCGATTCTCGAAGGGATTGAAGACCCAAACATGAATCAAAAGACGGAGCATTTCCGAGCCTGGTCTGGGCTCGCAAGAGTATCCCATCTCCAGGGCCACTGGGAGCAGGCCATAACCCGTTGGAAAACGACCATAAAGGTGGTCGAAAAGAGCGGTTGGTCCAAGAAGTTCAGCCATGGTGTTATGCTACAGTCTCTTGCCCACGCTCAATTCCAGGCAGATGAGGTCACAGAGAGCCGGACGACGCTTCAGCTAGCTATGCAGAGCCTTGCAGCTGAAAAAAGGAAATATTGGATTGTTGGCCTAGGCTCCTACTGGTTTGACTATATCCAGGCGCCTTTGGGGCAAATTGGCCAAAGCAAAGTTATTATCGAGCCAGATGCTTATAGCGAAAAAGAGGAACAGAGTCGGGAAAGGCTCATTGCTGATCTTTTCGGGTCTTGAATGGTATTGCAGATGTTAGGCTTAGATTAATTTTTTCATATTTGGTTCATTCAGCAATTGCTTCCTTTCATTATATCACCAGCGTTGTCTAATCACTTTTTGCTCCTTAATATAAATATCGTAACCGCTTTCTGAGTAACTCCTATTATTATATTTTATGCATATGGATAAGAATATAAAAATATTTTGTTGTAGAAACTTCGTTTTTTATTCGTTGGTAAGGGTTGGATCGCCCATCGAAATTCATAGTGTCTCCCAGCCTCCGTTGTTGACCTCGGACTCCAGCTTTCTACTCACAGCTGAAGGCACACTGTGAGACAACCACATATCTCGCAGAAGACGGTCATATCGCTTTTGATTGAGCATCAGCCGTCTGCGGTGTCTGAAGCCAGGGTCAACTTCCCCATGAACATCCAGGTAAGGAGCAAATCTCCAGCATCCATTGCCGTTGTGTAAGAGTACCACTGCGCATTTGCGAATGTTTATAAATATTCCAGCATTCCTCCCGCACCTAAGTTTGTTAAAATGTGTTCAATTACAGTACATATATATGGAGTAACGAGGTCTAAGGGGCTACTCACTTTGCAAGATGACGGTTACAGCCGCCCAGTCGTGTATTTACCATGCAGCAGCTAGCTTGAGCGCAAAAAATTTCACCACAGCAAAGGCATATGGTAGCATCGGTTAACTCCTTCCCAGTGGTCATGCAAGTTCGCTGGGTGGCTTCTTCTAACAAGGAATCAAAGTAATAAGGAAGACCAACAAGCTCAAAGATTGCTGGATGCATCAGAGAAAGGCGTGGTAGTGGAGTGCCAGCGGCTTTAGCCTCATGTTTCGAAATACAGAAGTGTTCCATCCACCCGCATACGATCGCGGACAGTGGGTTCCCATCCTCGGCAGAGGATAACCTGTCAAATATTACGGGTATCTTTGGCAGCTGTAGAAGCTCACAGAGACGATCAGCCTCTGACATGTCCGAATGATCCGTGCCCCAAGCGGAGAAGTCAACGCCATGCCTAACGTTAAGTAGTATCACTGTTTTGCGTAAGAAAGGAAGAATGTACTTCGGGACCACTTCGTAGCAGCCTCTGAGCCGGTATTTGGGTATATAGTTCCTATCAATCCCATCTAGCAGCACTTGCAGGGCTGGATCCGCCACAAATGAGGCACAGGACCGATAGGCAGATATAACCCACATAATAAAATCCTTCACTACCGAGTATTCGGCGGGAGTGGTGTGATCTTCCGCAGGCTGATCCATATTTGCCTTCAACCCTTGGGGTGTAAGAAGATAAGCCAGCACCACCTTGACGATCTCGGCAGTGTAGCAAAGTTCAACGTAGTTCATAATATCCATGTCTAGAGCGGGGTTCATGCAGAGAGAGATTTCGGCTAAGAAGACAAAAGTATCAGTGGAAAGAAGCGGCTCAATATCCATAGAATCGCGGGCAAGATTGGATATTCCTGCATTTGAGAGCTGGGGGGAGCCAAAGAAGAGCTGAAGGATCTTTCTTCGATGCATGTCCCGAATTTCATGGACTGGCTTCAAAGGGAAATGGAAGTGCAAGTGGCCCAACGAGGTGTACGCTAGAGCGGTATCACAAAGAATTCGTAGATGTGTCAACGAAGTCTCTGATATTCCATCTACCAGAGTTTCTCCAGGGTTGGTTTCTACGCCGCGCTGAGCAATTTCAACAGAGGCTATTGAATAGGCAAATGTTTTGAACAGAGAGTCAAGGTACACTAAATCTGAAGGGAGAAGACGGCTAGACGGGTATTCATAGCGCGAAGGTATACGATTCAATCGGATTGTTTCCCGGAGTCTCAAATAGACGGTAGCAAGCTCTGAAAATGGAGTAACATCGGCGGGCGTTTCTTCATCATCTGAAGCTCTCGGCGGACGAAGCAATTCTGCAATTAACGCGCGACGGGCCTGAAGAGCTGCGGGGTCATCTGGTGGAGTTTGAACGGGCCTATCGTCTCCTTCGGATACCTGATCATCGGAGTGATCTCCAAAATCCCCCATATGATGGCCAACATTTTTCTGAGGTGTAAACCCCCGGGATCCTCCCGTCTTAGTCAACAAAAAGTCATCCGCATGGCGGGAGAGAGATGGTGTCAAAGTCAATGACAAGTACTCGGAGAAAAATGTTTCATACCCAGGAACAAAGTCCGTTTCAGTCTCCTTTGGCAGGGCGTATCTGCTAAACATTTTGAGCATCCCGTCTAGCTTATCGTACATAAACTCGCGAAAGCTTGTTTCTCGGCTGGTTACTCCGGGGTATGCCATCTGCTGCCCTCTCCATATAATGGGGAGAAAAGCATTTCCTAATGCTTTGCAGAGCGGACAGACGAATTCGTTTAGGCTAAGGTTTTCTGGGTGATTCCGAGCTACCTGCTGGTTGTGTCGTCGCCTTGTGGCCGCATAATATGTCTCGAAACATTTGTAATGCATAATGTGACCACATCCTGTGGAAATTGGGCCTTGTTTGTGAAGCTCTGCCGGGAATCCTTTCCCTAATCCTTGTTTTGTTGATATTATTAGCTCTCCCTTTGAATCCAGCTGGCGAACACGCTCGAAATTCTCGCTAGCGACTCCAAACGGGCGGATGGACTCAGCAGACCTATCAAGGGATGATGGTGTGGTGATGACCTCTTTCACGAAATCCTGGTCTTTCAAATCGGTCTCGCGGAAGATAGAACTCTCGGTGATAAGAGCAAATGTCCCGTAGAGCTTCGACTCGTTGGTATCTTCCTGGCATAATATACAGTTCCCAGAAGGATACTTGCGAATCTCCTCTCCTGAGAATCGTGGTGACTCTTCAGTCTCATCAAGTTCATTTTCACCCCAGTCGAAGTTTTCCTGGCTCTTCAAGAAATCCTGTCGTTGTTGCTGGAATTGGGCCATAATCTTCGCCTGCCGTTCGAGAGCCCGTTTCTTCTTTTGCTCCGCCTCATTGTCTGACACAGGAGTCGAAGACGACGGATATATGTTGCCATATGGGAAGACAAGGTCATTTGAAGTTGAAGAGTATAATTTTGGATTATTCTTCCAAAGACCCTTCAGTATATGTCGGATTTTGGGCGCACAGGATTCAAAGGTCGAGACTTCTGACAACTTTTGAAAGAGCCCAATGATGGTCAAATCCCCAAGTTGTGTTGACTTAGCTCTCGTGAGTGCGTGGTACGTGAATGTTTGTTTGTCCGCCTCAGGGTTCTCCTCGTCTGCTTCAGGATCCTCCAAGACAGCAAGGAGAGTTAAATGGAGGACCGTCTGGAGGAAGGGTTCAATCCGCGTCAACTGGATGGTGGGTGTGCTTATTTTGAACATAAGGCAGTACTCTAAGAACTGATGTATGACCTGGGCAAACAAGGGGGTTCGAGTAAACTTAGTATATCCAGTAAATAATCCAGGAGGAACTGGCTCGAGCTTAGGCTCAAAAATGGATTCCTGGACACTCTTTCCAGTCGACTTGGCTTTCCATTGTTTGAATATATTCTCAGCTTCATCCCGCTGGTTTCTACTGTATTGAGTAGAGTAGGGATCTACCAAGCCGATGTATTGCGGCTTCAGTTCAAAAGTTCCAGTGTCATTGAGCCCATCTGGCGGTCGAAACGTGGCGACTTCATCAAGAATCTGTTGGAAATCTCTAGACTCAACGACCTCATCTCTTATCCTGGCACTAAGGTCAGTGTAAGCCAACGGCTTGAAGCAAAGAGTGTGTGCGATGTCTCTTCTAATGACATGGTGCTGGATCGCAGAGTCGTCTTCTCCAGTTGAGAACGAAGTCCGCTCAGATATCAGTATAATCAGCAGATGCATGAATTCATCAGCAACATCCACATGCTGGCCTTCATCATAGCCAGGCCGATCCACACATCCTCCTTTCATCCATTCCAGTATCCCGTATCTCTCACATAGGGTTGCAAGAACACGGCTTGGATCGCAGATTGCCATGGCGGCCTGGATCAAGAAAATATCTCGACAGTATGCAACATCCCGTGAAATCACGGCACGATACTGCCCCATTTGATGCCTGAGACTCATGCCGTTCCTAACCCACATTCCAGCCTTCATCTGAGCAAGCCAGGCACATACTCTTATGGGGAAGTCGAACATCGCTAGGATGACGTCTTCTGGATCGAGGGCATTTGATGGAGTAACAGGGTACTTGTCTTTAATCAAGATGACCGCCCGGTCTAAAAGCTCTCGCACCCATTCCTTCGGCTTGTTCCTGGCACACTCCAGTAGCCAAGAAAGGATATAGTGAAGGGCATGGTGGAAACTCAGAGCTCCTCGCTCAACGACGAAGTCGACGACAGTATGGCGTCCACATTGATTAAACGCATCAATCTCAAACTCAAGGTATGGCACTGTTTTAAATCTCACTGGCTCCTTTATTTCGGCCTGGACGAACCGTTTTCTTTCCAGACCCATTGAGTTAACCATTGTTGCCAGGGAGGACTGAACAATTGCATCCGCAAGGTTGTTCTCTCCCTCCGCAAGATTATTTGGACGGAAAGCTTCACAGAATATTCTGCATAGTCTTGTCACTTCTCTCATGAGGATGGAAGCTCCTATCCATGCATCTGTTTCATACTCCAAATGTTCGCCAACTGCTCGAACATTAGGACAGATACCCTGTGTAAGCTTCACTAGATCCATAAACTGCAAAAGGTACTGCTTCTCCGTCCTTAGGTATCTCTGGATGTGCTCGGAGGCAAGGATATAGCGTAGGTCTAGGAAGAAATGATAAAGTCTTCGATTTGTGATTGACCCTGAGTCCATTGCAAGTGTGGCTGTAGGACTAACATCGTGAGGCTCACCAACTTGTCTTGTGGTGAGGAACGTGTAAAGAATAGCCATTATGCTGGTGAGGAAATTTCCACGCTCAACAACTTCCTTTGTGATAGACGGGGTCGTAAATAGCTGCAGCGAGAGTTTGATAATAGAATGATCCGGCTCTCTGTCTGCAATGAGGTATAGTTGGGCCAAAGCAGTATAGAGAGCGGAGAATCGAAGGCCAAGGACTCTCTTGAACTCGGGGACATTGACAACGGTTGCGAGATACAGCTCCCGAACATCAGTGCGTGTCTTTTTCCATAGTCGCAAGTCATACAATATGAGCCAATCCAGCCGTGTCCGTTGTTGTAGGTCTTCATGTGGCAAATTTCTCCTTTCATGGAATAGACGAGGTTTCTCCTCCCAATGAGGTAATGATGCAGAGGTTGCCTTCTGCTTGACTCCGGGAGTCTTTGGTATAGTTACTGGCTTCCTGGAGAACTGCGGGTCATCAGTTACTGGCAGGATTACCAAGGGGTCACCACCATCTCCCGGCGGAGGCTGCGCTGGCGGCGGAGGCGGTGGCGGAGGTTGCGGCGGAAGGCCAAATTCTGCAGCTTCATTGTCTACTTGTGCCTCCATGTCAAGATCGTCCTCATCGGGGTTTTCTGGGTCATCTTCAAGAACATGCTGGACATGCACATCTAGTTGCACCTGATCGACCTCTGCATCGTCCATATCCTCGTCATCATCATCGTCAGCGGCGCGAGTAGCACCGTCTTCTGTATCTTCCATCTCGGCGTCAGTCAAGTCAACTGTTTCTGCGGCAAGCATTTCAGCCTGTGCAATTTGGACGGAACGATAAATACGACCATCATCTAGACTCTGATCGTCGATTCCCTTGCTGCCAATTCCGGCATTTGAAGCAGCGCTTCCAGGATGCCACGGCTGAAGCAGCTGCTCACATATCATGAGCCTTAGTAACGAGCCATCCTCGCCGACACTGCAACCAGATATGTCAGAGAGCCAGTCAATAATAGTGGCACACATCTGCTCCCGGAAAGTGTCCCTGGCAGATCGGACAGTCACAGTGACTCGGATCTGCTCTATGATCCTGGAGACTTCAAGCAGCCGTGTGAGATTCTTCGAGTATTTGACCACACTACGCCCAATCTCATCCGATTCATTTGCCTTTTGGAGCCCGAATCTTTCCCTTTCTCGGCACGCTCTGGCTACCTGGTTTGTGACCTCGTTGATGGTGTGTTTCTCGTCATTCCAGAGCACAAGAGCAAACTCTGGCTCACTTTCCTCAGGGTCACTGGCATGATACCAGTCCCCAGACAGCCTGGACACAACCTCGTCCTGCCTGATTCCGGCCTCTGTCTTGGGTAGCCGTAGCTGTTCCGGAGAGCAGGATATGACATCACAGAAGTAGTCAAGCACTCGGGCCATGGTCATTCTAATGTAGGCAACCAGCATCTCAGGAACTGGATTCTCATCCTTCTTATCCTTATTCTTCTTGTTCTTGTCATCGGTTTCAAGCGCAGTGTGGATGGCACAGTTGACCGGTATCCGGAAGGCTTCTTCGTCCCCGCAGTCACAGCATCCAGAGTGACCGCTCGAGACGAAGAACGCATATTTATGCCCGGTGTGATCAGAGGCGTTAAAGCATCGGTTGCACAGACAGCAGGTTTCATCTACTGAACAGGTAATGCAATGGTATGCCGCGTCGCCGGACTTGAAAGTGTGCCCGCAACGTTTGCCGCGAGCTGCCTCGGAGTATTCCGCTCCAGCCTCCAGGCCCTGGGCCTTCGACAAGTTCCAGCAGCTATTTCCGGGTCCTTCAGGGAAAAGTAATCGTAGGAACTCATCGTTATAACCCGTAAGACAGCGAAAGAGGAGCTCTATAAGCTCCCTTCTAGCCTTATCATCGTATCTATTGCCGTACCGCGCTGGAAATCCCACCAGCGCCTGGCCAAGCGACTTTTCAACGTCCGCAAGGGATCGAGGCATTATCTCCGCCGTACGCCTAGCTTACTCATATGTGCGTACAAGCCGATGAGAATGTAGCAAAAAGCTCGCCGATACCGTTGTTTGGGGTTGATACGTGGTTGTCACAAGTTGTATGTATATACCTAGAGGGGAAGACAGGTTAGACTGAGATATGCCGCCAGCAAAGGGGAGACTTACCGGTACAAAGCAGCCAGTGAACAAACGGTTGACGCTATTTCTCCAGCCTTTATGTCTTGCTCTTGTCTTCTTTTCCTTTGTCCTGGCTGGAGAGACAGAGAAAATGGCTTTTCGGCGAGAGTTTTCTGATGTTTGTTGCTAGCAAGAAGCTCGTCTGACTAAGATGGCGATGCTGGGGAAGTTGAGGCCAGTCACCACTTGAGCATTACAACACTGGGGCCATTAGATTATTCCTCTTACGTCTCTATTTACTTGGAGGTTGCTCTCTGGTTAGTGTCTAGTGAGGCGAAAGTTTCACCTGTACATCGGTTGAGCTGTGTAAGTCAGTAGACAACGAGTGCTTGGTAGCAGTACGGGAATCGGCCGTGACAGTGATGTCAACAGCTGAATATACGACAGAATAAAGCGCCGACAAGGTCGTAGGTAGAGTGAAGCTGGATGTGAACTGAAGTCGCCTAGATTCAGGATGAAGGGTGAGATACAATTCCGTTCACCATCCTCAGGATAGACAGCACTAATGGAGGGAAGCGTTCAATATCAACTATTGAGTATTGAGTATTTATTCTGGGAAATCCCACCGATTCGAACTTGTCAAAATAAATGGTATTGAAACATCTTTGTTCTTCTATTCCTTAAACAATTATTTGTACAGCTGCATCGGCCGGTAGTTTCGTCTATATCGGGCACCACACGTCGAATGCGTCTACTCTTCTTCCTTATTGATATATCGGTGCTTGATATCCTTCCATTGTCGCTAAAGAGATAATTAGCCGGTTGGTATGGAAAAAAGGGCTGGGAAATCCACGGGGGAGAAGGGAGGCGTACGCCGTTGTTTATGCAGTCCCAGACTTTAGTAGAGACGGTGTCGAAGGCCCTATACAATATATCAGACTAAGCGCAAAAAAAAGATCAAGTCTCAGGCGTATCTGCATCCCGATTATCAGTAGTAGAAGGACGTACATCTCAAAGCCGAAAGCGCCGACGAAAATGGTGCTCAGCATCATGCCATTTCGCCTAATAAAGGTGCTGCGAGCGTAACAATATCAGTGGAACAGCCACAATCTAGGTCCATTAGACTGCTAATCGGTTCTTACTTGTAGATAGAGGTTGCGATCTAGAGAAACACCCAATCGTGTCAGCATTAAGTCGGTCCCTCTTGACATGTCCCTTAGAATAATACTTACACCAGCCATTGTGAAATGAGATTGACTGTGAATCTGGAGCAAAACAGATAGAGGCTGCGACGTTTCACTAAGTGACTGCTCGGTGGACTGCTCAGTGTACTCAGCGAGATGTTTGTCCGAAGATGAAGGAAAAGCTGAAGTTGTTCGTTTCGTTTCTTTCGTGAAGTTCGAAGTTGAAGTTTTGGACTTGGTAAATGGCGAACGCTGATTGGTCAGCGGCTTCTTTTTATCGATCTTCAACTTCACGTTGAAAAAAGGTAGAAAAACATCTAGCAAGAAGACACAACGAAGGACGAAAAAAAGAGGAGAAAACAGCCTGAAAAGGGAGTCTGGAGAGACGCTTGGTAGTCTGCTAGACGGCTGGAAGAGTTACACAAAGGGGTTCGACGAGAAACTACGGGACGGCATGGCTGCCAACGAGACCAAGATATCAGGCATCACCACCAACGCCCTCACTGGCGAGCGCCATATACCAGCGTCAGTCCGAGCTGATGGCTCCCAGAGGCGGGAAATACGAATTAGACCGGGATATAGTCCACCGGAGGACGTGGAACTGTATAGAAACCGTGCTGCCGCTTCGTGGAAGAATCGTGGCAAGGCAGGCATACCCGGGGCAGAGCCAGCAGTGAACGAGGACACGGCTTCGTCAACGAAGAATCCAAAGAAGAAAGACGCTAAAAGCAAAGTCAAGGCGAGCAGCGAGGGTGTGTCTCAGAAAATAGGCAAAGGCACGGCTCTGGACAAGGACAACTGGAGGCTGGCGGCCAGTAAAAACACAGCCGGCGGGCCGAAGCAAAAGGAAGAGCCCGAAGTTGACCCTGAGGTTGAACGAGAAAAGAAGGCCCGAAACCTGAAGAAGAAACTGAAGCAAGCTCGGGAGCTGCGAGATAAGAAGGACAAGGGCGAAAGCCTTCTACCCGAGCAACTGGAAAAGATCATCAGAATCAACGAGCTGGTGCGGCAGCTGGAGTCCCTCGGCATCGAAGCTGATGACGAGAAGAAAGTTGACCCAGCCGAATCCAAGTGAGAGGCTGAAGGACGAAAGCTGCTACCGCAGCTTAGCACAGTTCTACTCACGCATATCACGACAGCTTTTATGATGGGATGAATATATTTTCACTCTTACATTATTATTTCCAGACCTACCACCGGCTGACATTCGACACATTTCCTCCAAGGGGCCCAATGGATGCATAAACCCGATTATCTTCCCTCCTTGAGAGGCAGTAGTCTCTCCACACCTTATCTCCAGGCGGAAAGCCGTTAGAAGGGCAGAAGAAGTCAGACGGTGATAGAGAGAAATGACATCGCCTCGTTCAAGACGAGTCAGTAGTGAAATCTACCTTGCGCAACTTTTCAAAGCAGGTAAAGGACGACATATGAGGTACATATCAAGGGAAACGATGTATTACAGGCAAATGAACTCGCATTAGCTGTACCCTAGTTCCCTTCTAATATTCTCCTGTATATTTATCCCTTGGTATAGTTCTATTTCTATATTACAAATAAGAGCCATAATATATAGAGGCCAGGAGAGGAGAGGTTACCGCCTATAGGATGGCAGCGCTCACTCCCTGCATGGGATTCACGTAGACTTCTAGTCCAGTCTCCTCAGTTCTTCCGTCACACAGAGCGGTGGCTATGGCTCGTCCGGCAGCGATGCCATCATTCACCCCCACGCCCGTATACCAAGCGCCAGCAACCTTAAGCCGAGAGTCATACTCCCGACATAGCGATTCATGTAAATCCTCCATCCTATCACAATGTCCAACAGCGTATTGCGGTATTGCCTTGTACTGTAGTTTGGCTATGGCAGCAACTGGCTCGTCAGTAATCCCCAGATGGCGAGCGAGCACCGATTTCGCCATAGCAATGCCCTCCTGCTGTCCCGGAAGATCAGATTCGTTCCATCCATCCCACCAGTGGCCGCCTATCATGACCGCTAACTTTGTTCCGTCAGCACTGTCCTGACCACGAACTGCCTGAGTTGCGAACATCACGCCCAGTGCTCGCTCCGGGTTCTGTTCTATAGGCACAGATCGAGGTATCAGGTATCCGAAACCATGCATGGGAATGAGATTAGGGTTTTTATAGAAGAGATTGACCACCATGACGCTGACAGCATAGTCGTTCGCTGCTAGCATCCTTGAAGTGGCAGTGGGAGGCGTGCAGCTTCCTGGCCCACGTAACTGGTCTGCCAGCACCGTGGACGGAGTGGTGGAGATAACATAATCATATCTTGCCTGCGGCTTGTTTGCGGCCGAAGATATCTTTATCAGAGTTAGCTATGCAATTATATGCACCTGTACAAATTAGACGTATTAACGAGATTGTGAACTTACAACCATGGATCCCTTGGGCTTATCATACTGAATATGAGTTATTGCGGCGTCCCTCACAACCTCAACGTTAGGAAGCTTTTCCAGTCTCTGGGATAGAGCTGACACAAGGGAACGCATTCCACCTTTGAAGGACAAGATAGAAGCTCCGCCAAACAACTGGCTCATCCGCGTGTTGAACTCCGACGAGTATTCGCGCCTTATAGCTCTCACGACCTCTAGCTTGTTGTGGTTATAGAGGACCAACTTGTCCCCCGACATTTGCCGATCCATAACTTCTACATAGATGCCATGGGGGCCAGTTTCGAGGTCCCATAGCATGGGCATAGTAGCTTTCATGCTCAGTTTGTCGATATCACCGGCATAGATTCCGTGCATAAGCGCAGAGACGAAATGATCCGTCGTGGCTCTACCAAATTTCCTGAGGTGGAAGTCTGCGATCGATTCATCACGAATCTTCAGGTCCCGACGCTCCCTAAACGGCTCCCCTAATAGGTCTCTTAGAAGGCCCTTGAATGCTGGCTCGCTTCCATTCTGTAGCAGGTTCCATATTACACTGAGAGGGGATGAGCCGGGGCGTGGCATGGGGACTCGAACGAGGTGATCCGGGTAGTAGATATATCGGTTCAGGTAAGCAGGGCTATCGGCCCTTGTTTGCAGTACCAATTCGAGCATCTCCAATCTAATTATCTAGGCAGACTATGTCAGTGATTGCTGCTCGCGGGGATAGGGAAGATAACACACCAGCTCAATCGTGGCCATCGCGTTATACAAACCGCACTGTAGTGTCCGCGGGCCGTGCTCGAAGACGACGTTGCCGTCGCCCGTGTCGACTATGTCTGACTGCATCCATCCTCCCAGCTTGTTTGATTTCTCGTACAGAGTAACCTGGGTTTTCGGCTGGCTGGCCAGGTGGAAGGCCGTCGTCAGGCCAGTAATTCCACCACCGACCACTGCAATCTGTTTACCTTGTCCTTGCTGACCGGCCGTGCTGGAGGCCCGAAGCTGCTGCTGTTGTCTCTGCCACTGCCACTGCGACAGAGGTAAGACTCCTTTGCTTGCGCATTGCCGGCGCAGGATGGAGGTTCGTGGCTGACACAGGCAGCTCTCGCTGACCAGGCCCGGCCAGCGCCGCGTGGCCATCGTGCGTCAGTTTCTTTAGTTTTTTCACTGTTCCAAGCCCAATTGCTAAGCCAATTCCATAATGCAGTTTATTCGGGAGTTATCGCCGTAGTTGTGGTTGTCCTTCACCTCGCGTGAGGTTGGTTGAAGCTATCAATTTTCTATGTGTGTTGACAGAGAGTTAACCAAATGTCAGCTCACCACGGAGTAACTAATTAAGCTCACTAGTTAAATAACTGGTCGAATTTGCTACAAAGAAGACAACGAGCATTTGGTTAGCGGCAGGCATAGTATGGATTGGCTGGAAAATATTCAAGCTGGGGAAAGACGGTGTTTATATTACATGCTACTACTAAGAGTACAGCAAGGAGAGTGTAATAACTGGATTTAACGCCATATACATAATCTAGATGTTCAACAGTGGGTGCGCCAGCCGTATAGAAGTCGAGGCAGAGATAGAAAAACAATACCCTGATCCAACGCCACTCATGCTCGGAAGACCGTAAGAAGGAAATGAAAAGCAATAGGTTTCTTTTGGGGGATGGAAGAAAGTTGAGGGACATAGCGTTGCGCCTGGCACTGGGGTTTCTGGGGAACTATTTGAGGATAGCAGGACATTAATGATCAAATTGATGGGACATTAGAGAAAGATTGAGACGATGAGGATATAGAGAAAACGAAGTTGTTGCAACGGCCGGTTAGGTGATGATTCCAGCATCATTCGAAGGAGTTGATCCCGGCTTGATGAGCTCTTCTTCGCCAGCTTCGTCGCTGATGAATTTTCTCTCGCTGACATGTGGCGTCTCTGCCTTTGTGCCGTCTGCACGCCAGACCTTGTCGGTGAAAGCTCCCCGCTGGCCCTCAGTGTGCTTGTACGGACAGGTTCGGTTTAGGCATGGATTGAATCTGCAAGCCGTTTGAAGATGCGTAAACTTGCAGTCCTCGGTCGAACAGTCCGCTCCGTTCCGGCAGAGCGGCATACTCGGATGTTTAAAGGTGCATTTCGGGTTCGTACAGTGAGGAAAGTACCGACAGATCTCCTCAGACTGATGGACTGCCTTTTGGGCGGGCGACGGGTGTCGGGCAACACATTTCCGGTTCTTGCAGGCAGCTCCATATGGGCAATGGTCGCTCACATCGACACTGGCTCCTTCAGGGGCAGCCGGGGATTGATGGGCGTACGGACAATCCTTGTTCGTGCATCTAAGATTGAACCGACAGACCGTGTCTGGACCTGGGGCTTCTCGTGCCGGCTGTTCATCAGTCGGCTTGCTTTCAGCGCCGTCCATGTCGACATCCGCAGCCGTAGTCTGTGGAGACTGGTTGTTTCGTCGGCCGGGGTGGAATTCAGCACGTTCAAATAGCGATCGGCCCTGTGCCTGTTGTGGGGGACCATTCTGAAAGGCTGGATTGATCGCAGGGGCCACGAATCCAGGTATGAGCTGAGACATCATCCGTGCTTGCTCCTCAAACATTGACATCATCTGCATCTGTTGTTGTGGAGTGATGTTCATCATGTTCTGTTGAGCCATGTTCTGCATCTGATTATGATTCATGCCCATTCCCATGTTCATTCCCATGCCCATCCCTATCGGCATATTGTTGCCCATCTGCCTTCCCATCTGGGACCTATGGCTGCCTCGGCCACCTCTGCCACCTCTAGCGTTATCTCGGTGTGAATTTATCCTCTCGGTTCCTTGCTGGTTTCGGACTCGGTGCAGGACGGACTCGCTCGACCGGTCCATCGCGCGGCTAAGCTGACCGAGTATACCTCTACCTCGCCCATTTTGCTTCTGATTCCGCATATTTCTAGGGCCAGTTGGACTATATCCTTTGTTAGTAACCGTCTTCCAAACCTCAATGGGTAGGGTTGGAGCATACACAGACGCATCGGCTCCGAGGCCGACTCCATCATCCATATCCATATCCTGCTGTGGCACAGGCACATCAGCAGGTGTCGCATTCCCAGTTCCTCCATTTGTTTCGTCTAAGAAGGATGGTATCGCCTGTGGGAGTTGCTCCTGAGGCGTCTCCCCTTTCGAGCCGCCATTTAACCGCCTATCCAGCGCTTCAACCTGCTCGAACAACCATTTCGAAAACTCCGCGGCTTCCGTATCTTCTGGTCCAAGGCTGAGTAGGTCATTCGCTAGCTCAGCAGAGATCTGGTCCTGCGTCTTCCCGTTGACAAGCATCAATATCACATACTCCGCGAGCGCAGAATCATCCCCGCCGCCGGTGCTCCAACCAAGCTCGACCAGCTTCGGCTGCACCACTTCATTCAAGGCATCGGCCAGCGGCGTATTCAGCGCAACAGTAACACTCATGGCGATGCAGCTGCTTCAAGAGCTTCGATGGAGGGCGTTTCAAGTGGCAATCTTATAACTATCTCGTCCGAGTAAGTAGATGGGCTTCAAGGGGCCGTAATCTGCTGTCCAAAAATAGCGGATTTCCTCAAATATCGCGGACCAAGTATCTCTCAGCCCGGCAAGACCTCCGTATCACTTCTTCGACGTCGATCTTTGGCTTGTAGATGTTTCGATGTTTTTCTTTCTTTGCGAAATCAAAGAACTTGATGCCAAGGATATGTTTAGTCAGTAAATGCTGATTAATAGAATCACGTGGACAGATGCCCAAATAGGGAGCTTGGACATCTTCAACTTGTATTCCTTTTCTCTTCGATATCCAAGGAAAAAATCAGCAGGAGAACGAGATAAAAGGCCGAGATTCCCCTGTCAGATAGCTGGGCTGCTATGGACGATGCTGTGTCTGCCGTGATAAAGTAACGCTAAACCGGGCTTCGCTAGTATTCACTCACTTGGCTCTTGTTTACATACTTGCGGTCTTCCCTGTTGTAACGCTGTGACACCAGATCAAGGCCCGAACTCAGCTCTATTCACTGCTTCGCACACCCCTAAACTCGTTCATTTACCACGCTACACGGCGATATACCCTGCTCATACACGCCGGAGGTCTTAAAACCTCTGTCAAGTCTACTATAGAAAATGTTGTGGATTTGGCTAGCCGGTATCCTTGGCTTGTTTGGCCAAACGCATGCTCTATGGCCCCAGCCCAGTGAATATACGCATGGGAATAAAACCCTTTGGTTGTCTCCATCCGCCCAGTTCACCTATAATCGAGATAATCGGTCTACTGTATATACAAGGACGGGCTATTCAGGAGCTGGCCGGATGTTCAGGAGCTGGTTCGATGTGCTGCAATACCCTCGGGACACCACACAACAAACCCTCGCAAAACCACTACCTAGTGTTGAGCAGTTTGTTGAAGATGCTATAAGACGTACCAAGGACGCTATTTTTGCTAGCAAGTTTGTCCCATGGAAATTTTATCCCCGTCACCAAAAGTTTGAACCTTTAGTAGATGGTCAACATTCCACTATCAAGCAGATTGTTATCAATGAGAGATCCATGAAAAGCCGGAAATGGTTTCCCCGCAACTATGTTAATGGAGATGAAAGCTACCAGATTAGGATTTCTGAGGATGGGGTAGCTCAGATCTCCTCGACATCCCCTATTGGCACTATTCGTGCCCTTCAAACATTCCAGCAGCTGTTCTATCCCCACACTAGTTTAGTGCCTTACACCCCCTTTGCTCCAATTTCCATCTCGGATTTCCCCAAATGGCAACATCGTGGACTGAATCTTGACATATCCAGAAACGTATTTCGACCTGAAGAGGTAAAACGTACTATTGATGCAATGGCAACCGTAAAGCTAAACCGGCTTCATATCCACGCTGCCGACTCACAATCCTGGCCGTTAGATATTCCCTCGATCCCGGAACTAGCAGTCCAGGCGTCATACCATCCGAGCCAAATATGGTCTGCTGCTGAATTAGAAACGGTGCAACTATACGGACTAGAACGCGGGGTCTCAGTATTCCTCGAGATTGATTTGCCTGGCCATACTGCCGCCGTCGGACATGCATTCCCTGATTTAGTTGCAGCCTTTCATAAGGATGACTGGGAGACATATGCCGCAGAACCTCCAAGCGGCCAAGTTAAACTGAATTCCTCTGCCGTACATCAATTCCTTGATCGGCTCCTGGCAGATATACTCCCTCGTGTCTCCCCGCTAACAGAATACTTTCATACTGGAGGAGATGAATTCAACCTCAACACCTACCTTTTGGAGCTTAACCTAGGTTCGAACGATCGACGAGTCCTAACTCCCCTCCTCAAGAAAATGGTCACGCGCATCCATAACTCACTTCGAAGTTCTGGGCTATCCCCAATTGTATGGGAAGAGCTAATCCTTGACTGGGATCTCAACCTGCCTTCTCAGAAAACAGACGGTGAAACTGGCGGAGTCATCGTACAAGCATGGCGTAACTCATCGGCAGTGAAACATGCCCTCCAAAAAGGGTATCGGACAATATTTGGGTCTGGAGACGCTTGGTACCTTGACTGTGGGGTAGGGACTTTCCTAAATCCTCGCCCAGGCTCCAAACTTGTCCAAGATCCGTATCTTGACTGGTGTTCACCTACAAAGAACTGGAAGCATATGTACGTATATAACCCTCTACAGGATATACCAGCTGAATTACAGCATCTTCTTATTGGAGGCGAAACGCATATGTGGTCGGAGCTGGTTGATCCAGTCAACATGGACCAGATGATCTGGCCTCGCGCGGCCGCAGCCGCAGAAGTCCTTTGGACAGGGCCGAGATCGCCGGAGAACATTAAGGATGCATCGTATCGATTGGCGGAATGGAGAGAGCGAGCAGTGATTGAGGTAGGTATCCGTGCTGCTATGGTCCAAATGACATATTGTCTCATGCGGGAAAGCGGGTGTGAGCTTTAAATAACTCCAGAGTACTTGAAATCAACCTACAGTGGCAACCTTTTTCAAATGGAAAAAGGCAACATGGGACATATAGTCAAATCATCACCAGCTAACTACTCCGTATATCGCGGAGCTCAACGGAAACTTCAGGGCCTTTAACGAGCTAAACCTCTCCCGGCTCTGGTTATGGCCTGGGAAAGTCGGCATGTTTTGTCGTGACATGCGGGCTCAGCGTTATTCCGTATCCCCGAAAGAAGGCAACAGCGAAGAAACACCCTTGATCCCGCCACACAAAGCTGAATACGAGCACTGAAGATCCGTTACATAAATTGTGAACGACACACGGGGTCTTTCACATGCAACAACCGACACAACGAAGAAAACGTTTCATACACCGATATGTGTCATGGCCTCCGGAAGAACTCGAATCAGCGCTCACACTGCTCTTGCTAGCTTTGCTTTATCCTAGCGGTCTTATTCTTTCGATTCTTTGTAATGGGAAGTCTGGAACTACGATACATATGGATTGGCCAGGCTGATGATTTCATTATGTCAGCCAATCAACATTCGGTCCATCATGTCAACGTTTCCAGATCTGGAAACGTTTCCACACTTGAGTCCGCAAAAGCTGGCACATATGTCGTATTCGTATTTAATACCAAGGAAAAGCATGTCCCTGAGGGTATGCCGTTTCATCTCCCTCATGCCAACAGATTATTGCCCACACAAGCTTGTCCCTCGGTTCAGCGGCATTCCGGAGAGTTAATTTGGCCGTTCTAGGCTCGACCCAACCCAAAGGATGCAGTTTCATGTTTGATCCGGGGGAGTTTTTATAATGCACCCCGCTCCTATATTCCCATTCGATTCAACGTCATTTTGATAGTACTTCTACATGGGCCCGTTCTGGACATTGTTGTTGAAACCCTGGTCGTCTCTTGTTTTGTTCTATAAGATACGGTCAATTATCAACTTGCAGTCTTCCGATTCGCAGGCAGGGTGATCAAGCCTACTGTACAGCCGTCAGATGATGGGGTAAGGGAGCAACGCTTTTAAAGAACCTATTCAACATGATTGAAGAAATTGCCCAAAAATTTTCTGTCAGCGGTGGAATTTTGTGGTCGATTGTTGCTCTAATACTTTTCTACGTGGGTTATGATTTATATACAGACTACCAAGTCTCCAGGCTAGGAGCATTTGCTCCTCGAGTCAAGTCTTACATGCCATTAAGTAAGAGTTTACCCCCCATGTCCTGAGATAAAATCGTTATTCTAACATGTTGTGCCTGATTAAGGTGCCGACTTTATTCTGAGAGGTTTCAAGGCTGCGAAAAACCAGAAAGATCTCGAATTTTTTACCTCCATTTTTGAAACCACTCCTTCACAATGGGGCGGTCCTATTTCGACGGCTACGCTAAAAGTTCGTCCCTATGCACGAAACATCTTCACCGCCGATCCAGAGAATATCAAGGCTGTTCTGACCAGTCAGTTCAGTGACTATGGAAAGGGCTGGCGTTTTCATAGAGAATGGAAAGATTTTTTGGGAGACAGCATTTTCGCAACCGATGGGGAGCTTTGGTCACGATCCAGACACTTGATTCGACCGATGTTTGCAAAAGAGAGATTTGTCGACACGGAGATCTTTGAAAAGCACATTGAAAAGTTGATCCCCCGTCTTACTAATAATGAAAGTGGCGGCAGAATTGTCGATATCGGGCCATTATTTTTCAGATTCACCCTAGACGCTGCAACTGACTACCTGCTTGGAAAGAGTGTCGACAGCCTTGACGATCCTAAGACTGAGTTTGCCGAATCCTTCCAATATGTTCTACATAAGCAGTCTATCCTCTTCAGAGCTGGGTATGTATCCTGCACCATTATCACTCCGGGATGAAAGTACGAGTATTAAGACCAGTATAGGCCCCTACGAAAGTTCATTTCAGAACGAGAATTCAAGGCCAATATCCGGAAGATGAACAACTTTATTCAACAATTCATCGACCAGGTGCTAGCCCTAACTCCCGAAGAACTAGATAAAAAGCTATCCAAGCAAGATACCTTCCTCCATGCACTCGCTAGGTTCACCCGCGACCCTGTTGTGCTTCGTGACCAACTTGTAGCAATTCTTCTTGCTGGCCGTGACACTACTGCAGCCACCCTTGCCTTTGCCATGTTTGAGCTCTCTCGCCATCCGGAGACAGTCAAGAAAGCGCGAGCAGAGATCTTTGCAACATGCGGTACCAACAAGCCGACATATGCAGACCTGAAAGCCATGAAATATGTCAATGCTGTCATCAACGAGACTATGCGCTTATATCCTGTCGTACCCTTTAATGTCCGCCATGCCGTTGTCGACACCACTCTTCCCCGTGGTGGCGGCCCCGATGGGAAATCTCCAATTGGTGTCCCTGCTGATACCCGAATTCTGTACTCAACAATGGCCATGCAACGACGACGTGACCTTTACGATCCTCCACCATCGGCGTCCTCATCACCAAATGAAAAGGCTAAGCCTTGGTACGACCCTCTTGAGTTCCACGCTGAACGTTGGACTTCCGGTTGGCAACCCAAGCCGTGGCATTTTATTCCCTTCAATGGAGGACCAAGAATTTGCTTAGGCCAACAATTTGCTACCATTGAAATGGGATACACTATCACCCGCATTTTGCAGCACTTTTCTGAGGTGACTGGAATCGGCTGTCCTCCACCAGGGACTGATCCCGCTCTCAGAACTGACGTGACTCTCTCCCCAGGCGAGGAATTTAATTGTGTCTTTGGCCGTGAGGGCACTGTCTAAGAAACAATTATTATCCCAGTTCTAATGACGTCTATGCTTTCCCTGACATATAATTTATTTTTTCTTCGTTTTTACTTTTCTGTTTTGATTGACACTTATGTTTCTGGCCACTCCTTGCGTCGAGCTGGGCTGGCATAGAAATCAGCCCCTCGCCAATTATAACATGTATATACGTCAATACCGACCCAAATGAATCCACAGGATAAATACCTTATCATTCCCTCTTCTCTCACCCGCCTTCAAATGGTCGGTTTGGGCAGCCCATGTGTCGAGTGGAGATGCGCAATAAAAACGAAGAAAACATCTCAAACCCCAGGCGTTCCACAAATGGCACAACCAACAACAAATAGCCAGAAAATGATGGCTGCGCAATATATGTCAGTGAAGATGAACATTGTGCAGCATGATCGCGTTGGCTTTGCGTCAAATTCCTTGTTAAATGTTCTTGAGGAGCTCTGGAACAGGTCGGCAGGTGCATGAAACGGCATAGCTGACCTGGAGCTATAGTTCCATTGTTTGTTGCCTAGTCCTTCTGCCCCTGATAGGGTGGCGCCCTTGATTCATGTCGTGCAATTATGGAAGACAAAGAGCTGAAGATCATATGTTCATTCATATGTAACACGATACAGTATCCAGGCGATATTCGCGCATTATCTGTAATGTGTCAATGCCTCTTCTTTCTTCTACGGCCTTCCCACCGAGGATGCGGGCTACATATGGGGCGTATATTTCAAAAGATGTCCGGGTATATATACCAGCGGTATCTAATACCCAAAGTAGGGCCTCTGTTCAAATTTCCCTATTCAATCATCCAGATCTTCTGTACAGACAAACTCCTACTTTCAATATGGCAATTATCACCTCTGTTGGCAGGATTGCCATTCTGACTCTTTTGGCCTTCGGGAAGATCACCCAGGCGAGTCCAGTCCCCTTCGAAATAAGGGGAGATGTCATTATCTCCATACCCAGCGGCAGCCACTCTCTTTCAAGCAGATCCAATACCAACATTGTGTCTGGTGCCCCAGAAACGAAAGCGCCTATTAAAGTGAACAATCCCGATAGGGTAGACCGAGTACCACAGTTACATCATAATAGGGTGCCTCCCGTTACCGAGCGCCGTGCTATTATACCTGATCCCATGTGGTTATCGTTCGAAAAGGCAGTCAACAGGATTAGGGGCTATATAGGCGCTAGACCTGCCCGAGAACAAGGGGACCCAACCGCAGTAAAAGTTGGAAAGCTGCATGGAAAGCCACATGGAAAACGTGGGGATAAAACAACACATAGAACTTCAACACCAGGAATGCCTCAGGTGTCGGTTGACCACATTACTCCTATTCCTGGTGGTCCCTGGAAGCACAGGGAAGAGGGCAAAGTGAGGGAGCCTGCGAAACACAGAACGGAGGTAGATATTATCTGGTAAAATTGTGAAGGGTAATGCAGGGAGAATATCCAAACGGTCTCTCGAACTTGGATATAACGGTTTTAATTCTTATCGGGAATCAAGTACTAAGGTGTGGCCATAGGAACTTATGGATTATAGTTAAGATCTCAAAGTAAGAATAAAATGAACATGGATAATCTTTTATTGCAAGCAACCATTTATTTTACTGTTTGGCAAGCCACTATTATAGAGAGACTACGCTGGCGCTCAAAACTCCGCCTTCTTTCACAAGGTCCTTTACCACACATTCGTCCACTGCCCTATCGACACCTAGAATCATTAGTGCCTCGTCTACAGAATTGGTTTCTTTCTGTGGTTTCCCCTTTGAAATAGGAGCAACGCTCATAAAATTGATGTTAACCCCATTTCTCCCTACGATGCTGCCAACTACTCCGATCTTACCGGGAGAATCAAAGTTATGACATATAAGAAGATTTCCTTCAGGGACGAAGGATGTGGCAAACCGATCAATGCGCGATATCAAGGGCTGAGTGCCAGAGCATGTCCCAGAAATGATATAGTCAAGTTGACTGTTGGGTCCTGAATCATCTCCATTCATCGTCGGTGCCCTGGCAACTAGGGTTATTAGGGAGGAATAGGAATGTGACGGGCTGTCCCTTGAGCGTTGCTCGTTGACTATTATCCCTCGTTCTCGAGCAACGAGCTCGGCATTGACAATATTCACGTTCAAGTCTTTGCTGATCGGGGACATAAGCCCCTTGATAAGAGCAGCAAAAAGGGGCTTTGTATTGTTGAGCTCTGAGACCTCGCCTTCATATATAAAGTCAAAGGTGTTCCGGTTCGAGAGAGGGCTGTTTGCTGATCCATAATGCTGGGTATAAATGCTTCCAATTTTCTCGACAAGATGAACAAACGGCTGGAGCTTTTTGAATTCCTCCGGCAGGATAAGGGGTGTGTTTACTGCGCTCCGCGGAAGGGAACCACCCAATATCTGAAGCACCTGCTCGCACACGTCAATTGAAACGTTCTCCTGCGCTTCAACAGTAGAGGCTCCTAGATGAGGAGTTGGAATCACACGAGGATGAGCAATGAGCTGTGCTGAGGCTGACCCGGATGTAGGCGGCTCTGTTGCAAAAACATCAAGTGCTGCTCCAGCTATGTGCCCTGTCTCAAGAGCATTCAGAAGGGCTGGTTCATCTATTGTACCTCCTCGAGCCACATTTAAGATGCGGGAGCCCGGTTTCATTTGAGCCAATTCAGCAGTTGAAATCATGCCCTTGGTAGATGCAATCAGGGGGGTATGGATGGTCAAGAAGTCGACAGTAGGGAGCAGCTCGGTGAGAGACCGCATCAAGGTAACAGAAGCAGATGCAGCCACTGCTGAAGAGGCATATGGGTCAACAGCATTGACTTTCATACCCAACCCCTTCGCCAGACGAGCCACGATCAAGCCAACTGTTAAAGATTATATTAGAATGGCCCTCCTATCATCTCAATCCCAGCCTTGATGTCACATACCTTTTCCTAGTCCGATGATTCCCAAGGTCTTGCCCTTAACTTCCACGCCAACGAGCCGACTCCTCTCCCACTTGTTGCTCTTCAGACTCGAACATGCATCAGGTATATTCCTAGCCATACACATCAACAGTGCAATGGTATGTTCCGCCGCAGCAACGTTGTTGCCGGAGGGCGAGTTGACGACGATTATGCCCTGTTTAGTTGCGGCATCAACATCTTCAGGGGTAGATTAGTTAGTTAACTAGCAACTGTGCTCTAGAGAAGAAGCAGTTTCTTACCAATGTTGTCGACGCCTACGCCGGCTCGGGCAACAACCTTAAGCTTTGTTGCCGCTTGAAGAAGAGAGGCTGTCACTTGCGTCCCTGACCGTACGAGGAGAGCTTCATACTCCGGAATGATCTTCAAGAGTTCGTCTGCCGTAAGCCCCTGACGCTCGTCGACCTCTACGCTCGACCGTAGGAGTGCGAGGCCGTCCGGGGATAGCTTCTCCGGCACGAGGACTTTAGAACGAGGTGTCATACCGTTGGTTAGATGGGAGGCAGTTAACTATATTAACCCGGCCACTAGTCAATATAACTTCAACTTTTCAACACTTCAGTTGGTAAGGGGTTTAGAATTTTGGGGATATGGGACTTATAATATGTAGAAAAAGATGAGCATGCTCAGAAAGGCCAAGGGCCCTCTTCATCATGGCAAAACATGCCTTTATATAGTTAGAGAGGTATGCTAGGAGGATAAGCCATTAGCAGAGGACAGCTGAATACCACCTTCGCGGGCGTCATACTTCACCAAAAGTCAACCTTCGTGGCAAGCAAGGCTCTTGTCCCACACGCCAGGGAGGCATTTTTGCGCCAGAAGCCAATTAACTGTCGGCTATATCGTCTGCAAAGCCAATGACAGGCCGGTACAATCCGCTGAAGAAGAAGAGGCGTACACGGAACTTGGTAACAACGGGTTAATGTTCTGCGAGGGTCCTCAAGGTAGACATGGAGATGGAGTCTGCTCAGGGGCTCCGGTAGTTATAGTAACTAGTTAGTAGTTAAGTCCTTGGGTTGGCGCATGATATCTGCCTTTCCAAGGTAGATAGCTAGCTATAGATCTGGGCAGACTGCATGGGCTGCATGCATATTTCTCCATTAGCATTTGTAAAGACGATGTCACTGGCAGGAAAGCTAAAGCCGTGAAAGGAGTTTGTACCTCAGTGGAGCTGTCTGTGAAGAGTTCGTATTGATGTAATAGTTAATATGGCAACTCGCAAGGTTGCTCTAGGCATGCGGGTGGTTATGACAGGAATTTACTCGTGAACTGCAAGCAGGAGTGCAGGAGTAGTTATTGTATTGAAGAGGCCGTTGAGTACTAGTGATTGTAATTCATGCCGTAGTCATAACATTCATCATACGGGGGGGTGGGCATAGAGCTGTCGCTTATCTACTTGGTCATACGTAAATAGCTAAGGGGCGAGGGAGATACAAGTCCTAGTACTCCATAGACTCTTCAAACAGCTTCCGCAGCTGTTCTCGCTCCTGCTCGAGTTCTTTGCTAAGGTTGGGAGCAAGGTTGAGCACTCTTTGCTGTGGAATCGTACCCTCGATCAACATATCTAGATGTGAGTTGTCGAATCCAAGGGCCTTCAGGCCCCTGGGCTGGTCACCCAGGCCAATCAAGAACTCTGCAATAGCTTCACTCAGAACCTCTCCGGCACTCTCCCGCTTAACGTTGGAGATGTCGACGCCAAAGATCTCCGCAGCTGCCAAGTGGCGGTCGGGGTTGCTGGCTGCAGTGAATCGGAAGACAGCCGGGGCAGTGACGGCGACGGAAACGCCATGGGGGATGATGTCGTGCTCCACCTCGTACCCCTTGTGCTTGTACCCAGGGTTCTGACCTGATACCGGGTAACTCATACCATGGCACAAGTGGACGCCAGCGTTACCGAAGCCCACGCCAGCAAGCGTTGCAGCGAGTAGCATCTGGCTCTGGGCTTCGTGGTCTTCGGGGTCCTTGACTGCTCGCGGGAGGTATTTGACTGTGCTGCGAAGTGATTGGAGTGAGAATATGTCGGAGATGGGGTTGGCTCCTTGGTAGGCTGGCCGGTTGATAGGGTTGGTCGGCCGTGGAGTGCGCTCGTTATATGGGATCGCGGTCCAGGACTCGAGCGAGTGACAGAGCACGTCGAGGCCGGAGGAAGCGTGTACGGCCGGCGGCATGGTTCGAGTGTTGAGGGGGTCACAGATGCCGAGTGTTGGCTTCATGTTACGGTGTGCTACTCCAGTTTTGGCCTTCTTGTCCGTGAGGTCGAAGATGGCTGTGCCAGTGGTTTCTGCTCCAGTTCCCGCGGTGGTTGGGATGGCGATGAGCGGCCTCAGGGGCTTTGCGATAGGCAGTCCCTTGCCCAATGGTGCATTCACAAAATCCATGAAGTCAGCCTCTGGGTAGACACAGTAGAGGTTCATCAGCTTGCAGGTGTCGATGACCGATCCTCCGCCTAAGTGCATGTCAGCTACGGGATGTCTACCACTAATTCAGCCTGCATATCTCACCAACAGCAAGGAAAGCGTCTGGGTTATACGGTTTGGCAAAGGCAATGGCATCTTTAATACTGTAGAAGGTCAGTAACCGGAATATATATGTGCACGGAAGAGGAAACACACGAATAGTCCTTTGGCTCAACCCTGACTCGATCATAGACAGTGAACTCGATTCCCTCCCTGCTGAGGCCCTCAATGGCCTGCTTCATGGCATCCAGCTTGGCCACATTCTTATCCGTGACGACACAGACTCTCTTCGCACCTAGGTTCTTGCAGTCCATGCCGACCTCTTTTGTGGCTCCAGGGCCAAACCGGATGCTAGAGGCCGCCATCTCGAACGCGTACTCCTTCTGCTGCGAGGCATCGATAGGCGAGGCAAAGTTCCGGACATGTTTAGCTACAGCGGAGATCTGACTGGGTTGCTGGTGGTGATGGTGATGGGACGGGTTCGAGTGGCATGGACAGCTTGGAGGATGGGTGTACTGCACGGTGCGCAGAAGGTTGAATGCCCTGGTGGCTGCCGACGGAGCGATCCTGATCGCTGGGAGGACCATCCTGGCTGCAGTCACGGCGTGCACACGACGTATACACAGAGGGAGGCGTCGGCGGACGGCGGGCGGCGGAGTGTGTGTTTTCGAGCGGCGTTGTCGAGCAAAGCGCCGGGCGGAGAGCCGAGGGGCGGAGAGGAGAGCCGAGGTTGTTCTAGGCGGAGTTTTCCGCGGCGGAGAGGAAGCGGTTCTCCTTAATTATTTTCTTTCTGGCCAGCGATTTCCTCGTTTTGCAGCAATGATTCGCAGTCTGAGTCGATATCAGTGGAATGACAGGCGGACGAGTCACTGCGGGATGTTTCACGGAGAGTCTTGAGGACCAGACAGCCTGGCCTGGGGCTGCATACTTATCTAGCCGGCCGGCTGAGGCTGACTCGCTAACAAGCTAACTCCTTCGCTAGCTAGTAAGCTAACTAACAAGCTGCCAGCGAGGCAGGATACGACGGACATTCGATAGCTGGTAGCCTTGAAGAGACATGGAAATACATGACAAGCAGTCGAGAGCGAAGCTGCTGGACGGTAGTTACCACTTTTCATGCATTACTTTTGGGCATACAAGCCGTAACTAACTAACTAATAGTTATAACTAGCCAGTGAGCCAGTAGATGTCACGGCTGGCCAGGGGTACTTCCACCTGCATATAAGCTCACATACAAAGCAAAGTACCGTCTCTGTCAGGTGATAATACGAGCTAGATGCCTGCCCAAAGGGCACCAAGTATGAAAGCTCTCCGTCTTTTTTTACAACGTGAACAGGTGCTGATATCTCGAGCACCAGGCGAAGATGAAGTCTCTCTTCGCACGAAGCAGACACCCTCCGGTGCCCCGGCAGCAGCAGCAAGGGTCTGAACAGGAGTCCCAGGAGCAGAACCCACCCAGCTATCCCCCCCAGTCAGTTGAAGCGTATCATGCTCCTCCTCCCCCGTACTCCGAGACGGTAGAGACGCCTTCAAGCGGGTCAGGGGCGGCTGTCGTAGAGACTATCAACACCGATACCACGGCGTCAGACAGCCAGACGACAGCAGGATCCGCGAGCAAGAGCCACAGAAAGCTGGCAGATGACGAGGCGGCTCTGCATCTGGCCGTCAAGAACAACCATGTCGGCGTCGTGAAGGCCCTGATCAAGGCTGGTGTTGATGTCAGTTGCGCAGATTCAAGCGGATGGACTCCTCTGCAGAAGGCTGTATCCCATAACCAGGAGAAGTCCGTGGAGGCCGTGAACGCCCTGCTGGTGGCTGGCGCAAACGTCCTCGCGGCAAACGACGAAGGCATGACAGCCCTGGGGGTAGCGGCGTCCAAGAACCTGCAAGGGATATCGGACATCCTGCTCAAGGCCGGCGCTGAAATCAACCCGTCGGACCCCAAGGCCGTCCCCTGGGCCCCCTATCTCCTGGCCGCATGGAGTGGACACCTCGAGCTGATGAAGTTCTACCTGAACTGGGGTGCGGATGCCCACGCCGTCAACGACGGGGGCTGGAATGCACTGCATATTGCTGCCAGACAGAACCACTTCCCTGTCCTGCGCTTCGTGCTTTCGACCGAGAAGCCTCTCAGCATTAAATCCGTCATCAATGATAAACGGACGGCGCTGCATATTGCGGCAAAGTACAATAATCTCGAGGTTGCACGGTTCCTTATCAACTCGGGAATCTCGATCTATGCTAGGAGCGAGGCAGGATACACCGCTCTACATGCCGCTGCAAAGGAAGGGAACGACGAGATAGTCCTACTCCTCATCGAGAGTGGTTCAGATGTTAATGCCAAAGCGGACGATGATTGGACTCCCCTGGCACTGGCTGCGTATCACGACAAGGAGTCGACTGTCCGGTTGCTCGTCGAGAAGGGGAAAGCTGGTATCGAGATAAAAAACTCCAGCGGCTGGACTCCCTTGCTGCTGGCCGCCAGATGGGGCCAAGATGGGATTGTCAAATATCTCATCGGATGTGGTGCAAATCCAAGAGTTGTTTCAGTCCTGAACAGGACGGCATTGCATATGGCTGCGCTTCACCAGCATGAAGAGATCGCCAGGATGCTGGTCGGGCTGGATATAGATGTGAATGCTGCGGACGAGGATGGCTGGATGCCTTTGCATATGGCTTCCAGGAACGGGGCAGAGACCATTGTCAGCCTCCTGCTGGAGAGCGGCGCTGATCCCCATGCCGAGTTCAAGCCTGGCGGAGTCAGCTCATCCCCTCTGCAGCTTGCGGCCGAAGAAGGCCACGATAAGGTGGTTGAGATGATACTCCAGGCGCAGAAGAGGATGCCTAAGAGGGTGTCGAAGAAGTAGTCATTTTTATCAAATTTGTTTTTACCTATCGGCGGTTATTTTTACGGCACAATGAAGAGCGCGGAGTTTGAAGAGAGTATACGATTTATGAATGATTTACATGTGCAGCAGCGTTCAGTAGTTATACTATGAATTAGTTAATGATAGAATAGTAATATTGTCGTTAGTTACCCCGAAGTCAATCAAGACTATACCATCTTCTTCTCCACGTTATACCCAGACACCTCAAGCTCAACCTTATTTGTCCTCGGATAAGTAACCTCCAGGACCAGTCTCTCGTGTGGCCACAAAGTCACATAGTTGTCTTCCCAGAACACAGGCGTTACCTCGTCACCAGTTGCCTTATCTAGGAGACTAAGCCGTATGAAGAAAGCTGGATGACTGGATCGATTCTGCAGAGTGACGCGGAGCTTTTTTCGACCATGGATGCTAACGTCGACGTTGACATTCGCCTTGCGTAGCTTGCTTAATGATTTCAGATCAGCGTACTTAGTAACTGGCGTGTGGTACCAGGTAGAATTGCCCCAATCAAGCACGTCTTCTTTTTGCGGAAGCCAGTAAACGTTTCGGCTTAGTGCTTTGCCTGTATTGTCTTTAAGAAGCAAACGAAGAAAGGCAACGTCCTTGACCTTATCTAAGCCAGAAATGTTGGAAAGCTTCTGAGACCTGAGTGGTATAGTATTTGCCTTCGTAATGCTGTGACCCATCGACTTACCGTCGATATCAATGAGATCCGCAGTAACGCTACGAGCACCGCTTCGGGAAAGAGAATGATTTATCAGGTAGACAACCTTTTCCCGATAGTCAAACACAGCATGCTCAATGCGTGCTCCTGTCTTGGTTCCAAAGTAGCTAGCCATAGGTTTCAAATAATAATCAAAGAGAGCCCAGTGTAGATTTGGCCAGGCGGGGTTCAACATCCAGTAGATTCTATGATACATTAGCGAAACGCCATTCATATTCGAGCAAGAGGATACTTACAGGCCAGATGTTGGATTACTATTACTCTTGTATGCCACGTACGCCTCATACTCACTACGAGTTGCCTCATAGTCCATAAGCTGAGCTTTCAAGGAATAGTCCTCCAGGCTCTTTGGCTCGCCATATCGAGCGTAAAGGGCCTTATTGTAAATTCCGCGGTCACGGAACTGAGACACCCCAGCAGACATGTGATAAAGAATCTTATTCGGTTGGGTCCATAGATCATTCATGTCCTCCGCGGAGAGGAACTTTTTCAAGCTACGAATCTCAGGTGTACCTACACCAGACCCGAGCTCTGAACCAAACCCACCAGCCCCTGCAGCACCAAGTTTGTCACCATACCAATATGACGGAGGCACCCAGTCATATGGACCGTCCATCTTCATACCAGAGGGGCCTAGAAGCTTGGGAAAACCTCGCTTTGCAGCTGAAGAGATTACGGCGGCATTCCAGTCCATACGCTTGAGGGCGTCAGCATAGATCTTGGTGGCTCGGTCATTCGGCCAATAGTCTGATCCAACTAGGAAAGCAAGTACGCTAGGATGAGTTTGCATCATCTCGGCCTCATGTAGCATGCTAGAGTTGGCAATTGGATAATCCACCTCAGTCCAAGGTTGTCCAAAGCCTTCAGTGTTGTATGTCCATCCTTCCCAGTGGTCACAACACTCCCAGCCGCTTATGATCATTAGTCCCATTTTATCTGCAATGTCGTAGAGTTCTGGATGTTCTTGTTTGCCCTCAAGACGAACGGTATTCATACCCATGTCCAGAATATATTGGAATATGGCTGTAATTCTTTCAGCGGTAAACCGTAGAAAAATATCGGAAGAATATCCTGCACCCATGACAAAGAACGGGTTGCCGTTAACTTTAAACTCCACGGTATCTTGGTCGTTTACTCTAGATTCAATATGTCTAATGCCAAATCTGCGTCTCTTTGGCCCATCAGACCTGCTCCTACCGATAAAGGCAGATATCTGGGCGGTATAGAGGGGTTGATCACCCCATGAAGCCGGCCACCATATCTTAGGGTTTTTAATAGTGATGCTCATTTCTATTGTTTTCCCTTCACCAGGATTTAGAGTAAAAGGAGCGGAGATTGGTCGCCTTTGACTGTAGGCTCCCTCAATGAATCCTCTGATGCTAGCTGTGACAGTTTGTTTGCCGATATTACGAACATCGGTTTTGACTGTCAGTTTCGCACTGTTTATATTAGCTCCCGGGACAAAATCAGTAGTCACACGAGGACTAGACAGTCGGATAGGGCCACTTTGAGAGAACTCGACGTCGCGCCAGACGCCAGTGCCATTGTCTGGTGGATATGGATTCCAGTCAACGAAGCCTAGAGCCAGATCACGGAGGTAGTTGGTATGGTAAGCCTTGATCAATAGACAGTTTTCACCTCTGCGGACATGCCTGGTAACATCGTACTGGTGACCAGCATAAGAACCAGCCTGAACATCCTTGGAAGCAATTAGCTGGCCGTTCAGGTATATATCTCCCTTAGAAGAGATGCCGTGGGTATGTAAGGTGAAGTATTGTCCACTCATGGGCTGTAACGTGAACTGTTCCCTATACAGCCAGGCAACATCACGGAAGTCAGCATCGGGTAGAGACTTGAAGTTATCCGAAAAGAAGAGATGTGACTCGTTGTAGACATTGTTCTCAAGTAGACCAGCCATCACGGTGCCCCGCGAGCCCACGCGGTACCATGACGAGACGTCAGCTCCAGGCGATGAGAGGAAGGAGAGGTTGCTTGAGACATGGCGTTCAGACTGCAGATGCCATCCCGGGATAATTCCATGCTGACCGGCCGCGGAGACGAGAGGCTGTGAAATCGACAGAGCAGAGACAGCTGAAGCCAGCAGCAGCGCCGAAGTTGCAGCAAGTTGAAGTATAGTCTGCATCTCCAGTCACAGAGATCCCGTAGTAGCAGAACGGTCACAGAAAAGAGATTTGGGAGTGTTTCCTCAACAAACAGCCTACCTGGATATTTCCTGGTAGACAGAACTCGTCACACACTCGTCACACAAGTCTTCGGCTACTACAACAAACACATCCTGCAGCCCCTCGGCAGTCGAGCAAGTCACTGGTAATTTGATGTATGCTCTTTGCTATAGTAACATGGACATGGACAGGGGGAGGCGCATGCCCACTCTGCCAAACATGACGATATGCCACCCTCTGTCGTAACGTCTCTATGGGAGGGACTTCCACGACGGCTGGTTGGCCACCCACCTAGAATGCTTGTCAACCTTGTTTATGATTGTCACTGCATCATTTGGCACGGAGACGCAGCTAGTTAACTAGTTACTTGAAACTGGGTGTAGTTAAGTTCACTAACTAACAGTTCTTTTGTCAGTTGCACTCAAAATCCAGGTGTTGCATTGCATGAAACAGAGAGAATAGGCCTAGAACGCAGTTAATCAGGCGAGTTCAGAATGAGCCAACATATTCTCCCGCTCAACAGATAAGTCTTTTCTCGATCTTCTTCTCGATCTTCTTCTCGATCTTTTCTATCAACTTCATCGTCTTCTTTTCTTCCTTTTCTTCGTCTTTTTCTTCATTTCGACTTCAAGCCCTCAAAATAAGGCCGTATCACGTGAATGGATAAACTCTATGCCGAATTCCGAAGAACTTTAAAAAAATAAATAAAACGAAATTAAATGAAATAAAAGACGTTGAAATGGCATACGTTGATGTCGTTTAGCTATTATAGCTCTACGTGTATGAATATATATTGATAAACTGTTCGGATTGCTTGTCAGTAGCAGCTCTTTTCTGATACAGCTACGGCTTCAAAACGGCATAGCCTACTCTCCGGGATAGAGAGCTGAAAATGGCGCCAGAAGGAGGCAAGCATGGTGGAAGGCCTCAGAAGAAGCTAGTAAGATTATGCCTCTAGTTATATGACACTCTGTCTGGGCGGATAGCTAACTGATTTCGTGTAGAAAGGTCTCCAGCGGTTGCGGTGGTGGTGCGAAGTGTGCCAGAAACAGGCACGCGACGAGAACGGTTTCAAGCAGCACACTCTGAGCGAGAGTCACGTCAGGGCCATGCAGATAGTCGCGGAGAATCCAAAGAAATTCATCGAAGGATACAGCAAGGAATTTCAGCATGACTTCATCCAGCTCCTTCGGACGTCACATGGCGAAAAGCCGATCCACCTAAACCGTTTCTACCAGGAGTACATCTCGGACAAGACGCATGTGCACCTGAACAGCACCAAATGGTCAAGCCTAACGGAGTTTGCCAAATATCTTGCGAGGGAAGGGATATGTCGAGTGGAAGAGAAGGAGGATGGGATTTTTGTGCAGTGGGTTGATAACAGTCCCGAAGCTATTCGTCGACGAGATCTTGTGCAGCGAGCGAACCGTTTGGAAGAGCAGCAGGCATCGGAGGAGAAGGAGATACTGCAGCAGGTCGAAAGAGCCCGCCAGACCACGGCCGTTCCGACTGAGCCCGAGAAACCTGCAGAGCTTGCCAAGGAGAAGTGGACGGATTTTAGCCTCAATTTGAAGTCGTCCAGCAACTCGCCAAAACCAACGATGGCGACAACTGATCAAAGCAAGAAAAGGGAACAGCAGGATTCTGCATCAAAGTCTGCCGATAAACCGGTTAAGAAGCCCAACGTCTTCGGTATGAAGCGAAAACAACCATCCGGAACTAAAACCGCTACGGAACCGCCTAAGAAAATGACTGAGATCGAGAGGATCATGAAGGAAGACATGGAACGCAAAAAACGGCGACTCGTAAAGTGAGCTATGGACGAAGCAATATGATCCTACTCCTTAGTCCGGCCTCATCAGACTCACAGATCGAGAGTCAGAGACTGAAACGATGAGTTCTTCAGGTTCCATCACTGATCACCACATCGCATTATTTTTTAATGTGATTCTACCACCGGTGACTTCAAATCGGGTTGGTGATATCATTGCTCAGGACTATCAACTGGGTAGCCCTGGCTGGAATCTTCAAGAAGACCACATTCTTCGGGGGCCATGAAGTCAGAAGCAGGAATAGCGAGGCCATACATCTTTAATGTGCTTATGGTGAGCTCATTTGTATACTCGTTACACTCCCTTTGCTCGTCCTGGCTTATGCCGACACTTATGGGCTCAGGGAGCAGTTAGCAAGAGTTCGAACTCGATGAAGAATCTCCAAGCATCACTGGCCTTCCGGCGTTGAATCCTTGAATAACGACCATTAGAATGGCACACATCTTGTCTGATGAATAGTCCATCCAACTCTCTATGGCTGGTATCTACACTGGCTATACAGATAACTCCTGATCAGCGCGTAGCTATCAGAGAATTGCTCACTAGACACAAATAAATATTACGCTTCCATAAACAACAAGCCATCGCTTCCATCTTCCTCCCCGTCTTAATGTTCAGCTACATCTACCTCTTTGCCTGCTATTTTCACCTCGATCTACATCCCGAGCTTGTGTGGGCCAAACTTCGGGCGAAAAGTGAAACCCCTCACCAATCTTGCATCATAGATTTATAATCATTATCTCCCGTACTTCAGCTTCAGCTTCAACTTCGACTCTATCAGCTCAACATCAGATATAAACCGCGGGCTGATACGTCTTTGCTATCTGCAGCCTTGTCTTTAGCGCCATCGACGGACGTCTATCGCCGCTTGCTCCCGTAGGTTGGTTAACGGCCCTGATATATACCCCCCATCTATGCCGGCTGGTGCTAACGATGGCGGACAGGAACTTTCTAGCACTGCTGGACACCATCGACAGTCAAGATGACGGATCCATCGAAGTATAAGCTCCATCGTAGGTGCAGAATGTCTTTGGCTGGAGCTGTATAGCTGCTTACCGTCCGCAGATACGATGCTTCGGGTGAAAGACCCGAAGAGGTCTCGTAAGTCTACCAACTAATCGACAAGAAAGCCAGCAACGACGGCTAACGAGCATAACCAGTTGAATTCTACAGTTTCCTCGGCTTGACCCAAGTCAACCGGCTCGACTTCGAGGACGCCAAGTTCTCGCTCTACTTCCTCGCGTACGATAGCCCCAAGGCTCTGAGTGCCGGCAAGCATTGGACCGACAGGAACGGCGTGCTCGAACTGACTCACAACTACGGTACGGAGAACGATGACAACTTCTCTGTCGCGAACGGCAACACGGAGCCGCATCGCGGGTTCGGCCACATCGCCATTTCGGTGGACAACATCGAGCTAGCATGCAAGCGGCTCGAGGACGCTGGGTACCCATTCCAAAAGAAGCTAACAGACGGCCGGATGAAGCATATCGCCTTTGTCAAGGACCCAGACGGGTACTGGGTTGAACTCATCCGCCGCGGGGATGTGGATGAAGCCGTGGCCGAGACGGACCCCCAGTCGTACCGTCTAAACCATACCATGCTGCGGGTCAAGGATAAGGACGTCTCTCTCAAGTTCTATCAGGAGGTGATGGGGATGACGCTGCTGAGGACTTCTGAGGCTCCCGAGGCGGGGTTCAACCTGTACTTCTTGGGGTATCCCGCCTCAAACCCGCCGATGGAGAAGGACGCTCGCAACCCAATTGCCAACTGGGAGGGGTTGCTTGAGTTGACGTGGAACTATGGCACGGAGAAACAGGAGGGCAAGGTGTACCACGATGGCAACAGCGAGCCCCAGGGATTCGGCCACATCTGTAGGTCTCTTGTTTTACTCTCCACCCTCCATCTATCTCTTTCTCTCTCTCTCTCTCCTAATTTTTCTTTTCTTTTTTTTTTTTTCTTGGTGTCAATGTGGAGTCTAACATGAGCAGGTATGGTGATGGACAACCTCGATGCCGCGTGTGCCCGGTTTGAAGAGCTGGGGGTGACGTGGAAGAAGCGTCTGACGGACGGGAGAATGCACAATATCGCCTTTTTGCTGGACCCAGATGGTTACTGGGTGGAAGTAGTCCAAAATGAGGCATTGAAGGGGCAGTAAACCTGTCGTGCTTGTACATGCATCTACATATTCTGGTATCTGTACGTATGTACTTTTGTAGTATGTGGGGGTTGTGTCGTGTGGTAGTTATGTTGTTGGTACTCCGTATGTGTTACATGTTTGTAGTGAGATGTACTCCGTACCCCGCGGAGATAAAAGAGGCACCAGCAGCCTGGTCGCCAGAGATCTGTGCCAGCACTTCACGCTATGCGGTGCAGTACACTGCAGGATATACACTGTGCATACATGGTTCATCGCGGCATTGCTCACTAGTGTGCGGAGAAGCAGGACCTACCTAGTTAGCTACAGCATATAAGTAAGCAATATAAGTCTCGGTGTTCTGTCCCTCGGTCTAGAAAAAAAAAAGGCTGGCGCAAAACGCGGAGGAGCAAAATATTATCATATCATTGCAGGAACTGTCACACCATGTTTTGACGCTTGAACATTTGTAAGCTTTTTGTCTTTTTTTCCGTGCTGCTGCTGGTACGCCCGGCGCTAAGTATATGTAAGTGTGAGTAAGGTGCATGGATAGTTAGGTCGTAAGGCATGAGCCAAGCGTACCTCAGAAACAGTCAGCCTTCCGCTCGACGCCTTGTCAATATGAAACGTCAGCCGATCTTGCCTATTCCCTGCACCGGTCTTTCGTCTGTAAATCCATCTATCTATATCTATAGTAGCTGTGTCTATGTATATAGGTTCCTATCTAGTATCTAGGCTGTTGTGTGTTTTTGGTGTCGATGTTTAACCTCATCTTATCTTATCCATCTGCATCTAAATATATACATCACGTGTCCCATTTCCCTTCCCGTCTCGGCCCGATCCGCTCCGTATGACTAATCAATCACATGACCAACCTTCTTTTTTAACTTTTTGCTTATTTTTTCTCTTTATTTTTATTTTTATTATTTTTCGCGCGCTTTTGGCGACAAAAACAATAAAAAAGAAACGGAGCAGCTGCAAAAGAAATAACGAAAGACACTTCCGAGACGACGAACAAGAGACGAACAGAGGAAAGCAAGCCGAAAGAACGAGATCTCCGGCTAGCACATAGTTTGTGGTAGGTCTCTTTTTCTCTTCAGGCTCTGGTGACTCTTGCTGCGTATGCTCCGTGTACACAGGGACTGCCTGACCACTACATGCTTCCCGTACCCCATAATTAACTAGCTGCATAGGATGTATCATGTCCTGTACGTACCCTCCGATGTATACAAGATGCGTTTTGCCGCCACACGAGACACTGTCTGCCCTACACGTGTCTGCCTTCCCTTTTCTCGATGGGCCGCCGCTGGCGCGAAGGTCGCTGCAGGCTTGTTAGCGCAGCAGAGCAAGGGAGACAAGGCGCATGGATGGCGGATGGAGGATCTGTGATCGCGGACACTCGAGAGCAGGGCCCGGGAACAGAAAGATGCTTATATAGCGCCTCGTCCGTCTCGGGCTGGCACGAGAGATGGCTCTCTTTTTGCCTGCTGGGTCTGAAGCCGCTTCTCTCTCTCTCTCTCTTTGCTGCTGCTGCTGCTGCCGCTGCCGCCGCCGCCTGCTCACTGCTCCCTGCTCCCTGCTGCTGCCTGCTGCCTGTTGGTGCTGCCCTTCCGTCTCCTCTGCCTTTACCTCCTGATGGGGCGTTCGACGGCGCGCTCCCCCCTGTACAACTGTCCAGCTCGCTGCTGTAGTTGTTTCTCGTGCTGCTCCTGCTGCTACCTCCCTGACCCATGGCTGAAACCGCCCGCCAGAAGCCCGCCGGCCCTCCCTCGCCGCAGACTCTCTACGCGCCCGCCGACTTCGTCCCCGTCTGGGCCAGAAGTCACGTGAAGTACGCCCAGAACCTGCTCGAGCTGAGCGACGAGCCGATCGAGTACGACGACGACGAGGACTACAACGACAACTGCTTCTTCTTCCCCGAGGACTGCGTGTACAACCCGCCCCCGGACCTGGCCAGCAACCCGGATGCCTCTGCGGCCGACGAGACAGACTCGGACTCGGACAGCCTGCTCCTACACGACGACCTTGACGCCGACGACGACGCCAACCACACAGACGAAACAGACGACGCAGACGACGCCATGGCTCCCGCGCTGCCGGAGATCAAGATGCTCGATACAGCGGCCCTCAGCGACCTGCTCTCAGATAACCTCTCGCCGCCAGAGATAACCTCTATATTGTGCGTCTTCCCGCGTGCTGACCGCTTGCCTTGGGGCCGTTTTTCTAACATAACGTCTTTTTGTAGTATATTCGCTTCGAACGGGGCAGTGTTTGCGCACGCTTCTCCCCTCCCCCAGCGCAGGATACGGAACCTGTGCGCGACGTACGGAGCGGCGTACAAGTCGTACGCTGTCAAGGCTCCCAATGGCAACCTCACCGGTGTCAGCGCCTCCATTCACCCCTCCGCCTTCTCCAGCACTCCCTCCATCCCACTAGGGAACGTCGGCTCCATCATGTTCGAGCTGCAGGATATGGTAGCGGTGGTCACCAAAATAGCAGACAAGGTCCTTCTCGCCGTTGTTGGGCCTACACATATCGTCGAAGAGCAGCCTGCTCCTCGGACGACGCAGCACGGAGGGGACCTTGGCGGTAGAGCAAGAATGATTGCAGGCTCAGCAGCCAGCGACTCGGAACGAACCGTGAAGGCCGCAGGAGACTCGTCCTTCTCCACCCTCACTGCTCTCGAGAACCCCAAGGCCGAACACGTATCTGCCAAACTCGCCTCTTCGGCCCCAAATCCCGCCTCCTCCCTCTCCAGCCTAGCTAGCACCTCACCCACGCCCCCCTCCGACGAACAGATCGAACAAGCCGAGATAAGGCAGGACGAAGACATCATTCATCAGGCACTGCGGGCCCAGTGGGCCATCGATCGAAGCCACGACCTCGATCGTCTGGCGGGGCTCAATCTGTCTTCCAGCCCGCATATCCTACTCGCCCTCGAATCAAAATCCGCCGCTTTGGGCAAATTTTTGGGCAACAAGCTAGCGGACCTAGAGAGTCCCGAAGACTTTTGATCTATCATTATTATATTTTTTCCCTTACACAGCTCCCTTTTTATCATACATGGCATTTTAACAGCGGTTGCTCTTGTGTTGCTTTTTCCTGCCTGTTTCTTGTGTATGTGTCTGCCGTCACTGTATTCTACCTTCTAGGGCTCCATCGTAATTTAATACCAACCTCCCACCCGGCTCCCTTTTGCTCGTGGGTGTACATATATACAAAATATTCCTGTTTCTACCTCCAAATACCAACTTTCAGATATATTAACAAATAATGTATTAGTTGACTCGAGTCATGAGGCTTAAGTGTGACTTTAACATGCCAGGCCAAACAGCAACCCAATATAGAAAGCAGAATAAGAGAACAAGCAAAAAAGAAATGATAGCTAAAAAGGAAAAAAACCCGATAGGTTGGGTCACAAACTAGGCGGTTAGTTATATGTCAGGATGGACTCCCTTGGCCATAACATTTTTGGTCTACTTTGTCTCTGTCGTGGGGACGGAAACAACACCCTCTTCCTGTCCTGTTGGCTTCATCGTGGTGCCCTCGGTGCCCGTTGTTGTTGTCGTCGTCGTCGGCAGTGGCTCCGTTACAGGGGCACTCTCACCGGCTGGAGCTGGAGCAGTCTCAGTAGCAGGCTTCTCAACCACTGCTGGCATCTCCGTCACAGGAGCCTTTTCGGTTGTGCCAGGAGGAGGAGTAGCAGCAGCACCCGCAACGCTGGACTCTCCTACGTTTGGCATGGTTGCTGCGGGAGAAATCGGCGACACTGGAGAAGCGACCTGGGAGCCGCCGGGCGAAGCAACCACAGACCCTGATCCACTCCACAAGGCAGGATTGGTGAGGACGGCCTGCCACTGCTCTAGGTCGTTCTTGGTTCGAGCCTTGAAGTTGTACTCGCTGGTCATGTGGAATGCGTTTCCAACCTTGCCACCAGACAGGTCTTTGCCCTTGACGCTAAATTTGAGATCGTTGAACCCGCCGATCGTACACTCGGGGAGGTAGAGCGAGATATCCGGCACAGGCTCGTGACGTGTATCATCGTTCTCCTTGAAGCCATGCAAATAACCTGCGGGGGTCACAGCAAAGTAGCCGCCCGAGTACCCCTTCAGCATCGCACGAGACTTGCGGTCCAAGATTCCCTCCACCACAGGCTTGGTTGCGTGGTGGTCTTGGTTAGCGTATTTGATCATTGCCAGGTCCCGTTGTGGCGCATTAGGATCAAGCAGAGTAGCGTCATTGCGCTTGAAGAAGTTGTTCCATTCAAAATCACCGGTGATCTCTTGCGTCTGGGTGACGATGTTCGAGTACATGTTTCGGTGATGGTCCGTCTGAGCCGTCATGCACTGAAAGAACTCGTTCATCGCCCGCTGGATCGTTTCGACGATATGTTTTTCAAAGGCAGGGAAGGAGTTCTGAATCGTGAGGACCTCCTGGAAATGCAGGTTCTCGTCTGCAACCTGTCGTCCAAGACGGTAAGTGACGCCGCGGGAGAGAACATACGGATCATGGGCGGCGTCCAGTCGCGACTTGGATGTTTCAAAAGTCGCCGCATACTGACCCAGGAGCTCGATGTGCTTCTGGGTAACGGCGCGGGACTTGGTGACTTCCTTTCCGTGCTTGATGGCTCCTCCGCCTAGTTCCTTTGCCTTGGTTTTGATCTCAGCATGTAGCTGCTCGAGGATTGGAACAACAGACTTCTTCAGGCGATTCTCTGCATCAGCATGAGCTTCTGCGAGCCCCTAAAATGTTTGTTAGTATTGTCTCTGCCTTTTTTCTTTTTCAAGTAGATGGTGTATAGGTTACCTGTGTATTTCTACGCAGAGATTCGAACAGGCCAGCTACACCGGTTGCACCTTGGTCAAAATGATGCTCTTCTTTGATAGGTTCAGACACTGTCTATCCATACTATTAGCCCAGCACTCTCAGTATTTGATATATTGCTGTGGCATACCTTGAAGATCTTCTCCAGCTCCTTTGCATGAGACTTTTGGACTTTCATCGTCGTGGTCACATAATCCTCCAAATTTCCGCAAACATGCTTCCATGCCTGGAGTCGTTCGACCAGCAGGTTCGTCGTCTACATGTCTATCAGCATGGCCATGCCTTGCATACAGCGCGTTAATACCTCTTCTACAGGACCGGCACTTACGTCTTTGTAGTCGGAGTCGGGAATGGCATCCTCTTCGCCCATCGACGTCGTGGTCGAGGTCCTCGTCGCGGTGGTGGTATTGGTGGTGACGGTGTTGGACCGACGAGGCAATACTGACTTGAAAGCCATCTTGTATCGATCAATTGATTGATCCTATGACGACAGCAAAATCTACCGCCGTTGAACTATCGGTGTACAGGGGTCGAAAGGGGAGAACAACACTCAATTGACCGTTGGCAAGCTACCCCTGGGCAAGACTCGGCCACACAGCAGGAGGATCAGAAGGGAATATAGCAAGGAGGGATTCTCAGTCGAATTCAAAGGTATAGACCACACCAGGGAGAGAGAAGAGGCAGAGGGAGAGGAGGAGTGAGGCGCAGCTTTTATCCAGGAAGACGAGCGATGCAATAACTCCCTTTTCCCCCTCCCCACTTCTGGCCGCGAAAAAAAAGAAACTTCAAAAACCAAGATCTGTACAGATGCAGAGCCAGCATGCAGCAGCATTTGAGATCTGGCAGCACGCCAAAATCATGTCACCTTGCCGCCCAACTCGTGCTGGTGGACTGATCCATCTCACCTTCATCAAATTGATCTATCAAGGCGACAAAATTGAACATCCAGAGTGTCCAAAAGGGGAAATGAACGGGAGATAAAGACTGGCTCGTGCGTTCACCTTAATGTGACGTCATGATGACTAAGCTAATATGTGCAGGCCCAACGGGATATTAAAATGGGTGGCGTATGTACAGAAAAGCTTGCTATGTATCCAAATTGAAGACGGTATATAAAACGTCTCAGAAAAGAAAGAGAAGAAGAGAGAGGATGGAGGGGTTTATGCGGCCAGAGGATGCCTAGAGACTGAATTTCCCAATACCAGAAATGAGCCAGAGAAAGAAGCAAAACAAAAACACCCAGTTATGCATCCCACCAGAAGTCGTCCAAATCGTGAATTAGAAAGATAAGCAGGAAAGAGATAAGAGAAAGAGAAAAATAGTAATGATAGTTGGGAAAGAAAGGATATGGTCTGAGGATCAGGTTGATCGAGCCTGGAGAATGCGTACTCGTCGTTCCGAGTCGTGGTCGTGGCCCACACTGTGCCGGTGGATGGAAAACTGAGGGAGGGCGTCTACAAAAGTGGAGGACAGCCGGTTAAGTGCACTAGCTGTGTTCCTTGGAGGTGAAGGCGGCAGCTCACTGACCGGCGAGACATCGCCTGCGGTAGCCGTTTCGTAGTTTGGAAGGCCGTTGTTGTTGGCGGACATGGCACAAGATCGCACAGCAGTTGAATAACTAGGTACTCTGGAGAGATCTTCAACGTCGTTGGGTCGAAGGAAATATGGTGATCTCAGCCCCGATGAAAGATGTTCATCTTCGGAAGTGCGTCGGGATATATCCGGTGTTGTAGCAGCGGTAAATGTCGTGGCCGGGAATGTCATTGAACGACGGTTATCATGAGCATCAGGCGAGAGGAGTTCGGGTGGTGTCACTGGAGAGCGGAGGGACGAGCTGTCGATGTGCAGGTTGACCAAACGGCTGTGCAGTATACTGGCTGCAACATCTCCTCCAGCGTGTAGAGTATCCAGAGAGGACAGGTTTTCGGCTGATAAGTTTCGGCTGATCGAACCGTACAGCGGGGTCGCAATTCCGCTGTGTACTCCGGGAGTTCGGTAGCCGTGAGGGTCGAGTTCACTATATAGCATATCGAATTGGTGCTCCCCATACAAAGGGGGTGCCTGCTGGGCTATGCAGAATTCAGCTACCTGTGGCGAAGTCGGTAACTGACTAACGAGGTTGTTGTTGTCATCCAGTGGTAGGCTAGGCGACAGGAAGATGAACGCTGGTAGCGTAGCTCGTAACTGTAGGATTCATATCAGCAACTGAAACCATAGCATGGACAGACGAACGGAGGGATGTGGGACTATAATATAGGTGTACCTCTGATGTATGTCCGTCCGGGTTGTGTAGCTGGATCTTGAACTTCAGCTTATGTCGTATCTTGATGCCTGTGGTGTCTGTATCCTGTATGCATTTGCTGAGCTTCTTGGGCAGTTCAAGAACCCGCGAAAACTGATAGCCCTCTTCCTCTTCCTCGAGAAAGCGGCGCTCTTCTTCAGGCCCGAGACGGAAGTGGTCTGCTACCACTACTCTGATGGACTTCTGTGAGGTCGGTTGCAATTGCGAATCGTCACGGCAGCTCATCACATCGTAGCTCTCAATGAACTGGGTAGTAATCATCCCAATCTTGAGGCCTTTTAGCAGGGGGATGAGGCGGAAATCGATACGGATAGATGTTCCAAAGACGACAGCCTTGCTAGGGGTGGAAATAGAGTATTCCAACTTGTTCGGCCAGATGTTTTCAACGGACTGATGACCCGGTTAGCTCTGATGGTCACAGATCTTAATTTCGACATAGATAAAACATACCATAACATGTGATAGTTCGAGAGCACTTGGCCCCAGCGTTCGTATAATCCGTAAAGGCTTCCTAATCTGGATGTCCTTGGTGTACTTCCGTCCGATCTCAGCCTTGAAGCGGTAGATAATCCATGTATCCGGCAGACCTTCGATGCTCTCTGGCAGCGAGCCTGGCAGAACAGTATCAAAAGGGAACTCGTAGTTGTCTGCGGGCATGATCTCAGTCTTTCCCTTGCCCGCATCTCTAAACTTCCATGTCTTCTCGAAGAATGTTCGTTCCTTGCCGTGCTTTTTTGTGCCAGGCACGGCGCCAATGAGGAACGGCCAGCTGCAGCACCGCATTAGAATGTACCACGAGAAGAGGAAAAAGCTATATACGAAGTATAAAAGCGTACCTTATCCTCGACATGCCTGTCAAGTGCAGCCTGAGGTGTTTGATAGTCATTGGCTCTGAGAGGCAGAGAACCAGAGTGCCTTTGAGATGGGCGCTCGCGGACTCTTCTTCATTGCCCCGAAATACGATATACGGCTCGTCCAGTCTGGCTTACTGATTAGCTGTTATTCGAGGGACAAGCCAAATATCTGGTTAGCTAGTTAGTTATACCGAGCATGACATACCTGATATCGAAGTATTTCGCATGGCTGGAAGTGCCCGTTCCGCTAAAGAAACTGGGTGCCATGTTCGTCAACGATGTATGGTGTATGAGCGATAGATGCGGAGAGTTCTACAACAGAGCCGGAAAGACGACAGACTCTGCGCACGCCGGTTGTATGAGTCGCATGGACCGCAGCGGTGTAGCTTTATACAATGTCGAGGTAATGATATAGAAGCAGACGTCGGTGAGATAAGAGCGAGTTTAGCAGCAAAAGAGGAGAAAAGCACATGACAGACAGGGGCAGCTCTGGGTGCTTCCTTGGGAGGTTATATATATATATACATACACTAACAATATGTATATATGCGCGGAAGATATATATCTGCAGATGGAGCCAGCGGCAGTGAGCCAATATATGGAATCCCTGTTCCATCATTAATTATTAGGCAAGCCAGAAGCGAGAAAGAAGGAAAACTTTCGCTGGATAATCATCCGACAAGAGTCCGCGTTCATGGGTCTCTCCCGCTGGCTGGCTTTCATCATGTATATCCAGGCCGGCAAGGGTTTAACCTATTGGGGGTCGCATCCACTTGGAAAATTTCTTGCGTGAGAAGAAAGAAAAAAGAAAAATATACTAAGTTTTCTTTCTCTCGGCCTTTGAGCCTATGAAGTTGCTGGATTTCACATGGAGACGGCCGGCTTCAAGCAAAGAAGAGTCGGATCTGTCATGACTTATGACTTATCGCAGCGTTAAGGGCGTCGAAATCTTGTCTAGCTGGCTCTGACGGATCATGCCTAGGCTTGGAGTTATCAGATAGGCATTTTCCCTATCTGCGAACAACCAACTGATAGACATCTCTGCTCCGGCCGAAGGACTGCAACTTGCCGGCGTCTTGCTTGGCTCCTCAAACCAAAGAGACGCCAGGGTTGATCTCCCTCCCGTGGGGCGAGTCGCAGTTACGTAAAGCCTGGGCATGGATGAGGAAGGGGCTCTGACCTGCCCAGGGGGGAGGGATAGCTGGGGAGCTGGTGCCCTGGAAGCGCTGGAGATGTCCATCCGCCGCCATTTCGATGGTAGTTGATATTGCGCAAGATTGTTGTACGGAGTAGTTAGACTAGGTGCCTACGGAGTATCGGTTGCGCGTTATCTTCGACTGTCACTATACAGAAGATATGAATGACCGTTGAACCGTATCGTATCCGTTACTCCTTATATCGTGGTAGATTGCCACAGATTTTTCTATCCCCTGCCGGCATAGCCGTAGTGACTGGCTCCACCCGTCCTGATGAATCTCCGGCGACTGGCCAAAGGGAGAAGACAAGGCGAGACAAGACAAGACAAGCTCTTGAGGCCCCTTTTGTCGGCGTATTATCCACATGAATTACTCCGTCATAGGTGCCTTTCATTCATTGTCATCATGGTGTCATCTTATGTTGTTTTATTAGGGAGGAATGTCTAGTCAAACAGCCTCGGTTCGATTTTCCTGGCTTGCTTGCTTGCCTCGGATGACTTTTATGCTGGTCATTCGACATGTTCGACTTGTAAAGTGAGCTCGACATGATAAGCAGATCTGCCTGCATGGTGGTGGTGCCACAGGCCACCGCCTCCTCGTAAGCGCATGCAAGCTCATGCAGGTTCGGATTGAATGTCCACCGTTTAGCGCCTTGACGTGTATATAATTCTAGGCTCCGCCACTAGAGGCTTCTGGGTGTCTTCCTTTGAGCGATATAAGGACAGCGTATACATACTTCTCTTCATATACGAGTTGACAGTTATGGTTACGGAGAGAAATGCGCCGCGGCGGATTGCCCGTATATTCCCCGGCTCAACGTTTTAGCCATGCATAACAATTCCGGCCTGGATGATGCGCGCTGGGCGACGGGGGTTGTATCTCCACCCAACCGGCCCTAAGAGTAAAAGAGGCAGTTAGTTGAAAGACTCTGAATATGTATATCGTGAAGAATTGAACGCTCAAGGGTATCTACATTTAAAAAAAAAAAAAGGCGACAAGCATCTACCAGTGGGGGTGTAGCAATCGGGGCCGCCGTCAATAGCACGGCGCAATATATGACGGTCACCTCCCTACCAGCCTGTACCTCTCCCTGGCCATTCCGCCCTCCGCACCTTCAACACCGTAGCCCTCGCCAACCTCGCCGACTACTCTTGCAGGTGCGCCACCGACAACAGACCAGCTGGGCACGACCATGCCTGCGGGAACAACCGCTCCGTCCAGCACGACGACGTAGTCCTTCAGAATAGCCATTGACCCTACAACCACATCTCGTCCAATATGTACGTGATTTCCAACTGTGGCAGCCTCAACTACTGAATTCTCTCCAACAAACACATGATCGCCCATCTTGAGGGGGTAGTACGAGTGCACACCGCGATGGAGACGCGATGGAGGCCGCAGCAGACATGACCGAGACAGATATGTGTACCGACCGATCGTTACCGCGATCGATGGGGTGTTGGCGGCAGGCTTCGACCCGGCTCCTGCCCCTGATGCTGCTGGAGGTGTTGCTGGCTGCTGGCGGTAGAGGTCACCACGGATACAGACGTCCGCCTGGATAACCGTCTTGCCCCCTAGAATGATATGCTGGGTTCCGTGCACCTGGTTGCGACGAGATACCTTGTTCCCTGTATCCTGCAGACACGTATTAACAATGCACCCTTCACACGCGGAGGCAGCCAGAACTCACAGTCTCGATGTATTCTCCCTTGATAGCTTTTGGGGCCATGTTTGATCAGTCGTGTCTTTCACGCGCCTCTCCACAGCATATCCTGACGCTCGCTTCCTTTGCGTGGAAAAAGGTGCCTGTCAGCTCCCTTTAGCCCGGTATCATCGACATCTGTCTTTCCTATTGCTGTTTATTTGTTATTGATTCTCTTCTTCTTCGTCGTCATTCAAAATAATAAAAAAATAAGCATCTAATGCCGATGCTGACTAAGTCTGTCACGTGAATATCAAAGTTGAAGAAGCAAAAAAAAAAAGCAGAAATAAGGCAAAGAAACGAAGAAGAAACACAGAGAAAAAAAGGTCTATGGAAATGGGATGATGGATGGAACTGAGCAACAAGTGGGCTCAGGTCCCTGCGTCGTTTCTCGCCCGTGAGGGTGCAGAACCAGCACTCGGACGCTGCAGCTGGGCCTGGGGTCCCCTGAACAGATACCTCGCCCCTGAAGCTGGATTGAACATCCTGGACGCTGCATCTCGCGTCCGGTTAACGAGCAGCTCGCCTGTTCTCGACGCAGAAGATGGCCAGTGATATCCCTGGCGCAGTCAGCCTGCAGTGGCCAAGTCTTGAGGGACATTGCGTACTCCTTGCGCCCTCTGCGACTGATCTCGACTGGCCATTCGAAAAGCATATGTATGCATGCCACGTCCATAACTATATAATCTAATTACCTGTAGCTGTGCAGCTGTGAATATGTACTCCGTATTGGCAGCTATAATCTCCTATCGGCAAGAAATTTTAACATTTTCGACACGAAGGATATTGATTTCCTCGAGCCAATTTCTCGGGTATACGGAATACATATATGATCGCGAGAAACTATGTCGCTTGTAACCAACCCATGCGAGAGAACCCCCCTGGTCTATACAAACTAATAGCCTTGGCCATTAACTATCTGCATCGCCTACCCTGGTGGACGCGGGGAGGTCAGGCCGTACGAAAATATCGCATTTCGCTGATGTGCTGCACACGGCTGGCCAGTTCTAGATTGGAGTTTCGCAGCTCCGGCTTTGATACCCTGACAAATCTTAAGGCTGGAATTCCAGCGTCCTTTAGTCATGAAACAGAAGCCAGACTCGAGATACGGGATAATCATGATTAATGACGATACTTAAGTCTCATCCAGAATGCCCACTCTGTGGCAAAAAAGAGGGAATTCGAGATCAAGTACTGAGTCATGAGGTGAAAAAAATGAGCCTAGACGAAATGCATACAGGAGGTAGATTAATTAACTAATTAGGACTGACTATGAAGCACAGTGGAAACGATACAACGGGTATCAAATACAAGGAAGACAAAAGAAACTATCCTCAGTATCCAAACACGTGTGTAGGTATACAGAGGTATTCAAAGATAATATATCAAGAGATCTCGATCACCAGGCTAGATATCAAACTATCCGCAACTGACGGTCAGGAGCCATTTCTAGCGGGCTTTTTGTGCTGGCAATTCTCCATCGTAGTGAACTTTGAGGGCTGTAGAAGGCGAAAAGGTCAGTACGCTGTTCACTATAATCATTAATACAAGAAAATTGATGACTTACTCATTGGGAAAACAAAGTAGCCGCTCTGGTCCTCGCGCATGTAGATGTAGAAGCCGCCTGGGCGTGGAATCTTCTTCAGTTCACCCTGAGGTCCTGGAGCTCGGCGGAGGTTGTCTAGACTACCGACGACACGAAGCATGGATGTGAGAGCAATCATGTTTGCATCCTTGCCGAGACAAGCATGGGGCCCTTCACCGTAGTGGATGTATGCATCAAGCGGACGGTCGAGGCGGACTTCATGAGGGGAGGGGAAAATGTTGGGGTCGCGGGCAGCACCGACCTGTGTAGCTGGTGGTTAGATGCATTACTTGTAGCGTAGCTATAGTATTTAATGGAATACTTACGAAGCTAACAAAGACTTTGTCACCGGGCTTGACGGACACATTGCGGCCATCATCGTCGATGTTGAGAGCTGCAGTAGACTCGCGGTAAGATCCGAAGGTACCGTTTAAGCGGATACCCTCCATGCAGTAGTGGAGCAGCTTCTCATCGGCTTCGTCGGTTCTCTCCTTGGCCCAGCGTTTGATATCTGGGAGATGGACTCTGCCCTCCTCAGAAAGGTAGTAATCGATGATTTGGGTGAACTATATTTATGTCAGAGAATCCATACTGTATTGTAGTCACAATTGAATAGAAGGGTTTGCTCCTTACCACTTGGGCCTGGTTTGGAATCATAGCTCCAGCAGTTGGCATAACCTGAGACCAGGTAACCTGCTCAACACTGAGCCCGGCATCCAGAAGGCGGCGGATCATATGGACTCCATACTCCGCCAAGGCGTTCTTGTTCTCGCCCATACGGCTGAACAGGGAGAGAATGCCGCCCTTGACAGCCTTGACACGAGCCTCCATAATCTGGCCAAGTTGCTGAGCAACAGTTCTAGAGGCTTGTCTCAGCGGGAAGGACTTGGCAGGGTCCAGGTCAAAGAAGATAGTAGTAAAGATCAAGCACATGATCATGAACATTTCATGTTCGGTGTAGACGCCCTTGGGGTTCTCTGCAGTCTTCAGTGGCAGGCCGAAGATGTTAGAGGCAAAGTGTACATGTGCAAGGTTACCAACGCTATTGTCAAACGTTAGCTGTGGCCAGACCTGACAATGGAAAGGAACTATGATGTATGGCCAAACTTACTCTCTGGTGATATCAACCTGGTTGATGCCTGCAATCTTGCAAGACTTCTCCCTGAGGAGCCTGATGGTAATGTCCTCATAGAACTCCTTGATATGCTTCTTCCACTCGCTGTGGTACAGCGCCTTTCCCATGGTCTTGCGCTGCTGGCTATGGAATGTACTGTCTCCAGAAAGCATGAAGTCCAATCCTCCCTTGCCGAAAAGGAAGCCAGTAGCCTCACCCCAGGTGACACGGAAGTCCTTAGAATTTTCTAAGATAGTCTTCGCTCCCATGTAGGAGGTGATGTTGACACGAGGAGGAATAAAGGCTGGTCGATCCCACGAGAAGTTATCGTGTCGACCGAGATCTGTGAGGACCTTCTTCATTTCGCTTGGGATGGTCATTGGGAAATGAGCATAGACGGAGTCACCCTTGACATGATTGGGGAATGCCCTAAGCATGAGCTTGTAGAACATGCAGCCCTGGTTGACACTAAGATCATAGTGAGTCTCAGCGTAACCCCAGTTGGTCAAATTCTTTGGGTGGTAATCAACCTGTCACACGGTGTTTAGTCAAGTGGTACTAATATAACAGAGTTAATGGAAGAGAGGACTTACGGTGTAGAAACGATCTCCACGGACCAACACCACAGCATCAGACAAGATGGCACGAGAAATAGTGTAAGTCGGGCAAATACCCGCACCAGGAACCATCGGAATCTTTGGCTCTTCGGCAACAATACCGGGGTACAACTCGACGTGGTCAGGGTGCTCGTAAAGGTTACGAAGAGCCCCCGAGATCTCAGGATCAGAGTTGATCTCCTCGAAAGTCTGATACTCCTTCAATCCGAAGAATTTACGGAACTCGTTGAGAGAGGCACAACCCCATTTACGGGCCATTTGCATACCCATGATTTCAACACCACGGAGTGCCTTTGGAACGTTCTTGGGGCCGAAGGAACCTATAATTGCATCTCGCTTTAGTAAAATGGTTGGGAGATTAATATGGTAGGAGTAAAACTTACCAGCAACTTCTTCGATAGCCTCTGTCATGATGTTCATGAGCTCGCCATCATCGAAGGTGCCATCAGCCTTTCGCTTAAGGCCGGCAAAAGTTCTCTCAGCTGGGTCGTCAGGAATGCTAGCCTGCCACTTGCCGAGTCCTCCAACAAGCTCTGGAATAGAGAGTTCTTCACCACTCTTTCCGAACATCTGCTTGTAAGTGGTGTTGGTGAAATCTTCATCTGCAGCGCCAATGCAGGAGTGCCAGCGGTAGGCCAAGTTGAATTCCATGGAGACCTGGTTACCAATTCCACTAGCAGCAGCCTCAGGAACAGCACCCTCACGCATTTGAACTCGTGGGTCCTATCATCGATGTCAGTCTCGTTGTTCGAGTGTATTAATGGTTTCAGGTGATGTACGAACCAAACTCCAAGTAGTGTTGCTTCGGGTCAAATTGATAATGGTACGGACGTAATCATAAAGGGTGATGTTAATGTACAGACCACAGGTAATCCTGATCTTACTGTTAGCTATGTCTGGGGGAATGGAATGATTGTAATAGAACTTACAGTCGTCCAGTCTGGAAAAGGTCATTGTCATATTTAGCCCAGGCCTTCTCAGTGGCCTCAGGGCTCATTCCACTTCTTGGTTTCGCAAATCGGCCACCCTCATTGATAGCGGCAAGCTGCTCGACAGCATAGTTGTGGAATCTATATGTCCAGTGTAAGAAAATTATTTTCTATGTGACAGAGGAGCTGAAATACTTACCGGTTCAACATGATAAGGATAACACTGCACGCCGGAGGGAAGGCAAGAAGGCGTGATTCAGAGTAGCAGTCTGGCTTCATTTTACCATCCTTGAAGGTTCGTACCTTATTCTGGTCATCTTGGTTATCTCCGTACAAGATGGACAGATCGAGGTACGAAGAGGTCTCCGAGATGTGAGGGTTTCGATAGTCAGTCTGGAACAAATCGTGAATGATCAAAGATGCCCAATTGAAGAAGATACTCGAAACTCCGTTCGGATGAGGCTTGAACTTCTCACGGGCAAAGATGCTATCGAAGATAAGCCCTGGGTCTGGAAGGGATCCTAGTTGGACTGTCTCCGGAATGATAGAACGAGCATAGGGAGTGTTTGCTGCTCCCAGCATTGGGACCATTGGGTTGTTGTAGGATCCATCTGCAGTTCTATACCTGTAATCATCCCCTAGCAGTCTATATCAGGGTCAGTAATAGTCCCTGAATGATGTGAATTCAATATATCATCGGTATGGGTAGCATACGTTGGTGGTGGATGGAGGAGAGAGTCCCAAAGCTGCTTCACAAAGGTGTTTGTCAAGTCCTTGCGCATCTTGGATTGTGGTGGAAGGCCAGCAACGAGCTAGTAATTAAAATGTAAGCATCTCCTTTGGTCCGATGATTGATAGATCAAATAGACGTACACTGATAACTCGCTCCATAATGTATTCTCGATCGTTGTCGAGCTTTCCACTCTTCTTATGCTTTCTGACTGCCAGCAAAGTGGAAATACCCTTCCATCCCATAGTCCGCAGGTCAGAAAAGGTGCTGGTATACTTGGTCTCCTCCCTGAGATAGGAGCCATCTCCGGACTGAGTGGGCAGAGGGCGTCTGGAGGCATGGATCAATTGGGCGTATTTTGTAAATGTGCTTTCAACATCGCCTCTCTTAGCTCGTGGAGCTGTGCTCTGGCTTGGGGGCGACTTGGTACTCGGCTTCGTTCCATTTGTAGTTGCGTGGGTGCCATTTGTCGTGTGGGTGCCATTTGTAGCGTGAGTGCCATTTGTAGTGCCATTTGTAGTGCCATTTGTCACTCCATTGACACCGTTCGTAGCTCCTCCGGCCATATTTGCTGTTCACTCAGCGATCCTTCTCAAGCAATATACTCTTCCAGAGTAAGCACGAAAACGATCCCCAAAGGCTACGCACACCCCCAAAGACAGGACAGTCTTCCTCGAATATAAGGGAGGAGGGTCAGCAAGGAGGGCGATCAAAATAAGCAACAAGAAAAAAAGAGCGAAGAGATTATACTCGTGGGCGACGCTCGTTTTATTTGCCGTCACGGACTTTCGCCGCGGAGAATGATCGGGTATTCGGGAGGTCAGCTAGGGAAGAGTGGTAGATCCAAAGCTGGGAGCTGATATGCTCTGGATGGCTGGCTGCGGATGGGGATATGTACCTTCTTCCCTCCTGTTGCTTAAGAATAGGACAGACCCACCGCGGCTGCGTGCTTGGGGTGAAGCTCTGAATATGCTTCGTATCCATCCGGGCTGCATTCTTGCATCCTCAGTAATCATTGAGACCTGACTGGATAACCTAGAGGAAGCCAGCTCAGAATCTCGCACGACGCAGCTCGAAAGCTTCCCGGCCCCCCTGCTGGTTCATCGAATTGGATATCAGCCCAGGCTCAGCACGCCAATGACGAGAGCAGTGACGGCTGAGTGGAGTGGGAGCCCATTGAGTTTTCGTTTATGCAGAGTCCATGGATGCCTCCAGCCGTTCATTTGTTGCAATTTCGCCCAGACGCCTCAAAAATTGGGCGCGCAGGGATGCTACAAAGATCAGACACAAGCAACCATATTACCTGATCGTTAGCCATGTTCCGATAGTCTCTACCACCGTTCGGCGTGCTAGCAACCGGATGTAGTGCGCAGCTTTTGAGACCAGGCGCTCCCTCTGACACAAGACAGACAGAGGAGCTTGAAGGCTGAGAATTTATCCAGGCCCCATGGGAAGCTTGATCCTCCAGGACAGGGCACCCCTATCAACGAGAAGTTTCCCTTGGTCCATTGCATCGGTTAAGGCTGAATTGTCAGCTCGAGCAAGGGTCTGTTCTCTGGGACGGCTTCGGTTCTCCATCCAGCAGCGGAGGCCGTCACAATATCAAAGAGCTTGACGAATAGGATCACCGCGCCCAAGATGCAAACCTAGTCACTCTGTAATCGAGCGTGCGTATCTCTTGTCATCGTCACCTTGCTGTGGAACTCTTCCTGGGTGCAGTTTGTGGCCTGTGTATCGACATGTCGATTCGCTGCTATCAATGATGGAGGGTCGGCTGTTGGCCTGGGGTCTCTTACTATTGCTCCGGCCGCAGTTGGCTGGAGCTGGGCTGTTCGCTTCGACATGCCAAAAGCCTCGATTTCAATAACGACTGGGGATCTGATCAGCCAGCGAATTGCTGTCCTCGAGTTTCTCGGTTTTCCCCATCTGTTTAGCTCTCTATCTGGGACTCCTGAGGCTGGCTGGGGTTCCACTAGTTAGCTAGTTTATGCATCCAAGCTGTTTTGCTTTCCCCGTCTTGCGTTGATATGACAAGAGGACCAGAGATTGCACCACAAATTGAACAGATCAACCATCCCTGTCCACATACCATACGGGGCAATTAGCATGCGACAGAGATGGTCAACCTGGAGACCCAACTCTCCTGTCCCTTTCTTTCCATGTGACTGTCTGCAGGGTCAAAGATTGACCAAGATCTTCCCCCTAGATGGGGGCTGCTCACCGTGTTTCTCGTGGAACAGGAGCTTCTCTGCAAGCTAGTTCGGCACATATTTGCATATACGGACTTGAAAGGTTTGTTGATTTCTTTTTCTCCCCTATCCTGGCTCTCGAAAGGCATGAATATCTGATCAAGTATGTAGTTATGGTTTGCTGGTTTCCGCCATCCGCTGCCATGTCTGTTCAACCTCGGAGCTAGTTGCTGTGTTTTGACGTCAGTGTTCAATATATAACCTTCCTTTACTTCTCCGTGATAGCCAGCGGTAAATCCTAACCCAGACACAAAACGGCTACCGAATGTTTGATTCTTTGATCGTGGTTTTCTTTTGCTTTCATTTCTGATGGCGACTACCGACGCCCCTTCACGGCCGAGGACCTTGGTCCTCTGTTTTGATGGCACTGGAAACAAATTCTCAGGGACAGAGGCAGATTCCAATGTCCTCAAAATTTTCCGAGTCAGTGAGACGCTCAAACTATGAGATATACCATCAACACTATGTTGGACAAGTGGTCAACTAACAGCCGCACTCCAGATGCTGGACAGCAGTCAGGGGGACCAGTTTCACTATTACCAGCCAGGAATAGGCACCTATGTCTCTTCTTCAACCTTCTCAAACACTGGATTTTACTCCAGGATGAAGTCTGCCATGCTCAAGGCAAAGGATTCAGCCGTTGGCAGCTCGTTTGCCGACCATGTAATGGCTGGCTACCGGTTCCTAATGCGCTACTATGCGCCGGGAGATAACATGTATTTCTTTGGATTTAGTAGAGGCGCGTATATCGCCCGGTTCCTCGCAGAGATGATTGACTATGTCGGCCTCCTAGCCGCCGGTAATGAGGAGCTGGTGCGCTTTGCCTGGAAGAGCTATGCCAAATGGCAGCAAAGAGACGGCAAAGGGGACGAATATCATGGTGAGAAGCTGAAGATGTACAACCATATGAAAGCGTTTCGTGAGACGTTCAGTCGGCCGGTAAAACCTGTGCGATTTATTGGTATATTCGACACCGTCAACAGTGTTCCCAGATTCGAGTCAGCTTGGATGCAGAGGAGTAGGTTCCCATATACCGCAAAGACATCGGCCAGAGTTATCCGACATGCGGTTGGTATCGACGAGAGGCGGGCGAAGTTCCGACAGGATCTAATTTCTCAGATGAGGGATATCCATTTGAAACATAGTCACCACCATCATCATACCCATCATGATCACAAGTCCGTCTTCAGTAAGTTGGACCCTCGCAAATGGGTTCGGGGCAAACGCAAGGATAATATCCCAAATGTTGTTATCAATAGCCCGGAGGCGAACGATAAACAGACCAACGGCACTAGTAATAACCGAGCCACAAATGGAGAGCCCAATGCCTTAAGCGCAGAGATAGACCGCAACCGGCCAAGCGGCGGTAGATTCAGGCCACCGTCCCCAGCTCCTAATTCAAGGCTTGGGGTACCTAAGCTCCCTGTGCCTGGGGCTCAGTCGGGGGAAGATGCCATCTCAGTTGTGGAGAGCTGCCATTCGAAGATTTCGATGCCGGTGCCTGGACTTGAAAACGGGAGCGAGGATCAGGATATCCAAGAGGTCTGGTTCCCGGGAGGCCATGCAGATATTGGTGGAGGATGGGAGCTTGCCAAAGACGAGCTCTGGCAGCTTAGCCATACACCTTTAGTTTGGATGGTCAATGAAGCGCAAGCAGCAGGCTTGCGATTCTGTCCTCGCGCGCTAAAGCAGTTTGAATGTGATGAATTGTACTCCGGTGAAGTCACACCAGTGCAACGCTCATCCTTCCAGTTCGATGACTATGAAGCACTGCAAAAGAAGTGTGTTCTCGAAGCAGGACTTCTTGATAAGGAATTGGATGAGGAAGCGATTCGAAACTCATCTCGCAAAGTGACCGCATCCGAATCCTTCCTTGCTGCCCTCCACCTCTCTAGCACTCAGGGTCAAATGCATGACTGCCTATCATATAACATGGGAGTCCCCCGGCTTTCAGTGGCCCTTTGGTCATTGATGGAATACCTCCCCTTCAGGCGTATGGATCTTCAAGTAGATGGGTCGTGGAAGCCCATCCGCTGGCCATTGCCCCGGGGTGAAGTCCGTGATATTCCTGATGATGCCCAGATCCATGTGAGTGCTATACGCAGGCTGCAAACCCGAGACGACTACAGGCCCGGAAATCTCATTTTGGGTGGAGGTGGCCGTGGAATCAAGAGGCTGCCCAAAGACCATCACATTGGGGATTGGGAAGTGCATAGTAACGAAGGATGTCCCATCAGGGAAACCTATATTCGCCGGAAGGTTCCTAAGAACGGATCAGAACAGAACGGGAATAAGTGTCGCGGAGAGAAGGGACACAAGCATTAACAACAGCAGAGGGGATGATTTGTATACCATTCTTTTACCTGTTTTCATTTCTTGTTTGTCGTTTATAAAATATTCAGCTATCAGCTGTCGGTTCTAATTAGTAACTTTTGCAGCTGGAGGGCTTAGAATAGGGGTAAATTGGATACGCTTTGTCATTTGTATCTGCCACACTTCTACATTCTACGTTAAAGGCTCACGTCTCCCCTGGGTCTCTCTCCCTAAACATAGGCCGATGTCGTGTTAGCATTGTTAGACGTTAACTCCGTGACCTGAATTGGGGTTGTTCCGAACAACGGAATTTGCCTTGGATTTGCCCCTATTCCCTATTTTTATGTACCCAAGAATTGGGCCAGAACATAGAAAGAACGAGCTATCAGAGTCGCATTTGATGTCTCCTGGAGTACACGATGTTCCGTTACTAGAGCCCGCGGGTAGTGGTAACGTGGTTGGGAGTAGAGGCGGGAGGCTGGGCTTGGACGATGTTGGACGACGGCAAACTCTTGTACCATTCCTCGCAGTGGTTTGTGGCGAAGGTGGCATCGTTTGTACAGCTGGTGGGCTGCTAAGCACCAGAGGACATACACAGGTTGCTGTCGGCGCTGGCGGTGGTTTTGAGACCGGTTCGGAGGACGATTGAGCTGGTGGCTGTGACGGCGGTGCTGGCTCTGGTACCTCGAATTTGCTTGCGCATGCATACCCTTTATCGGTAGCACCCTTTGCACCAGCACCGTATTCAACGGACTGTCCGGGAAAGGGGAAGACGACTTCCTTGCTGTGATCAGTCTTGCATTGTAGTGCCTGATTGATATTCGCCAGGAATATATTTGGGAGCCCCTGAAGCGCAGCTGCTTGCCCTGAGAGAGCCACCTTGCTGTTGCCAGCAGAACTATCATTCGACCCCGATATTGTAACATGTGCACAGTTCATGTACATCTCTCTGTTACCCAGGCGGTTGAACCAGGTCCAGGCGAGGAGGGCGTTTCCGCTAGGTGCATTGCTCGGGATGGTGAACTTGTATTGTTTTGATAGGGGGCAGCTTCCAATGAAAGATTTGATGGCCTTGAAAGTCTCTCCGGAGTCGTATGAGAGTGAGATTTGGCACGATCCACCACCGTGGGTTGCGCCTCCAGCTATCTCTATTGAGTATTCTTGTCCTGCCTTGTATTGTGCTGTTGGTTTGAAGGGATCCTTATGATACCCTTTGCAAGGGTAGTCCGAGCCATCCGAGCGCAAGGGAGATGTGTACGAATAATCTTTATTCGTATTTTCCTTGTTCAGGGGGCTTCGGACGGGGAATGGTTTTGCCAGCTGCATATGGCCATAGGCAGTATGGCAGGCGTGGAAAAGGAGTATATGTAAGGCAACGAGAAGCTTCATGGTGACTCCCTATCTAGTTATCACTTGACGCGGTGGGATACTATTATTGCGAGTATCAAACCTGTTCGCAGTTATTGGCCCAGCCAGTGGGGAGTGTTGAAGCATTGGTTTATGTTGACTGTTGAGAAAGGGGTTCTAGTTTTGCAGCACTTATATATCTGTAGCCAGCCGTGGGATTGATGGAATAGAATCTTCTAGGTTAATACGGCCACACCAAGAATAAAAGATATGGTGGATAGTGCCGGGCACACTAGCTACATCCAAAAGCTTCCTTCACAAAGCTATGAAGATAGTTAGGATAGTGAAGCGAGCAGGTGATGCATCACTTGCAGTGCCAGTTGGCTATCTTGTTGGAAGGGGTTTCATTTAACCGTGTTTTGTCTGTCTGTTTCAAAAGGGATGCATAATAAGGGTATGTAATAAAATAATGTCAACAACGGCCTATGGATAGTATATAGCTGTAGCCCCTTGCCCAACTAAGTATTGTTTTGGACCTTGAAGCCCCGGAGTCGGGTGTTGTTTGTTCATGACTGGATATCGTAACCCGGACAACGATGGATAAAATATTAAACATAGAAACAGGGGAAAGTAATCACTATCTATGGGGTCCGTATCCATAGCCACGGGAATATTCACCCACATCTATACCTCTTTGGCCATAGGTATACTCCAGATATTCGGGCCTTGCCCATGGGTTGGCTGGCTCCGGCAAAGCAGGCGATATAGGACTCTCGGCACTGGTAACAGTGTATGCACTTTTTCCGGGTCCATAGCTGGGGTTGAATCCAGATAGGGGTTTGTTGTTTTGGATACCCTGCTGTAATTGAATATCTTCTGGACCAACATTTCTGCTATTACCATTCCTCAAGCGCTGCAGAATGCTGGTAAAGCGAGGTTTTTCCCCTTTCGGCTTGTCCTCCAGCGATATTGCACCGGAAGATAGCGGTGCCTGGCTGTACTCAACTGCGGGATCTGCAGAAGAAGGGCCCTGGTGTTGCCGTCTCCTTGGCCAGAAACGTTGGCGGAAGCCGGCTGACGTATGGGAAACAGGGCTTGACGAAGATTTTGAACTCCGCTGTCGCTTTTTGAACGCTCTCTGTATTGGAATGGAGAGTAAAAAGAGGGCACTGAGAAGATATAACTATATAGTTAGCCAGCGGGTCGGGTGCGTATAGGAAAGGAAATACAAGGGGGGCCCAACATTGCAATGATAGAGACAGCAAAGACCACTTTCTCTAACTTGCACGCGGTAGACAGATATCGCATGAAAGTGAGGTTATCCCCTCTGTCAATCCCTATAAAACCTTCGCCGAAAGCAACATTTGGGTCTTTTGCAGCACTGCTTCCAACGGGTGTAGTCAGGCGTCTGGTGCAAGGCAGAGCACCGTGGCGAGTCATAATACAGACAGATAGAAACGCGAGCGCGAAACCTCCGTCTAACAACATGAATATATGAGAGAAGAATAAAGGACCTCCGTATGCAAGAATGAAAAACGATGCGAGGATGGCATAAATAGCAGCTACTCCGGCTATCCCAGCAACAGCCCTCAGCCATTCCGGCGCATGCGCGTTATGGTCTGCAAAGACAGCGAGGAAATAACCAAAGACCCCGACGATGATCAGTGAACAAGAGAGCTGAAGCATCCTTAAGCCGAAGCCCGTCAGCCGGAGGGCGTTGTCGGATGCCATGGCTTCTGGGTATGGCTGAGCAGCTGGCTGTGCTGTGTAGTAATGGTTGTATAGATTGGAAACAGTCCGTGGACTTGCTGGTATCAGGGTATTCAGGGAACAAAAACAGGGGAAGGGGTATTAGGAAAAAAGTAAACTGCCATATTACTTTGGATTTCTTTCATTTCCTCTGCCCTGGTCCTCTGTTTTTTCCTGTGGTGGTGGTTCGGCTTTCCCCGGGCAAAAGCTTCCCTCAAAATCAGCGAAAGAAAAGCGCCTTTTCCACTGTCTCAAAAAAAGAAAAACAGTGGCAGCGATGTCATATTTACATCTAAGCGTCCCTTTACCTGGTTTAATCACCTTACAATATATGATTTTACTTTAATGGCAACATTCTAATATATTAGTCGTAGAAGATGACTGTGGTTTTGTACTGATGTATATCGTTCATCACGTACCATGTCATAGCCAGATAGGCGGGGGATACACGCCCATTGATGGCCCTTAGCAAGGACCGTATGAGCAACAAAGTCCACGATTTCCGGCTCGCTCCTCAACGCTGGTTGTTGAGTTATCCATTCAAGCCTACAGCGAGTACCCGGTGGGCATTATGCGGGCGTTACACCTGCATCTCGTCCCCAGCGGCATGATGGGCGGAAGCCGAGGACCTTGGGGTGAAAGGAGGCTCGCCGGCAAAAGCGATATAAAGGAAGCTGAGTATGGATGGCTCTGACTGCTTCTCATTTGTTTGCAGCCTGGTATTGCTCTGGAAAGGTTTCCAATATGGCTATAACTATCAACGGGAAGCCCGCCACGGCACTGCCTGATGAAAATGCTGTTCTTGACGTGATCATTATTGGAGCCGGCCCGGCCGGGTTGGCAGTTGCTTCACGACTGAATGAGGAAACACCTTCAGCCATGTTCACGGATGAAGAACATCAGCGGTATCACTGGATCAAGAAACACAGCGGGCGGATGGCACTCGTGCAGGCGCACCACCGTAAAATGAAAGGGGTCAAGGCTGCCAGATACCCTGGGATTCAAATCGGGCACAAAAGCCCCGTCTTTTCGCCAGCAAAGGAGCCGCTGTTCTCAACCCTTGTATTGGACTCGTCGGGGGACCGATGGCTGTCGAAATGGAGAAGATATTTTAAGATGTTGGAGATCCAGCAGCTCAGGAGCCCGATGTTTTTCCATGTCGACCCCGGAGATCGAGATGGGATGCTCGCGTACGCAAGGGAAACAGGGCGGGAGAAGGAGCTCTGGGAACTCCATAACTGTGTTGGACGCGAATTGAGCAAACATAAAAAGAAGAAAAAGTCCAACGCGCGGTGAGTGGATTAACTAGTTAAATAACTAGTTAGTTATTGACTTGTGGAATTACAAGCTGATATGAAACGATCTCAAAGCATCACGGGAGAGCCTGAAATCGACGAACGGGACCGGAAAGACTACTACTCCCCCGGAACCGAGCTCTTTCTTGATTACTGTGATGCTGTCGCTTCTAGATACGGATTGGACAAGCCTGGCCACATCCTGCAGCGCAACGTCAACAGCATCAAGTTCGACTACGTCCCCGAACTTCCCATAACCGACAAGATCTTTACCGTGACAACCAAAGAAGGGGACACCTTCTTTTCTCGCACTGCGGTCCTGGCTGTCGGCACAGGCGAGGAGAAGGTCTACCCGTGGAAACTCTCGGCTGATGAAAGCTTGGGCGCAGACCATATCTTTGACATCAAAACGCTTCCGAGCCCAAAGCTGCGAGAGATGATAAACAATGGCAAGGAGACGCATGTCCTGGTGGTTGGCGGCGGACTTACGTCTGCGCAGATATCCGATGTTGTGATCAGAAAAGGCGTCACCAAAGTCTGGCTTCTCATGCGGAGCGACCTGAAAAGTACGTGTCATACGCATTCGTCTAACTACTCTGTAGAAGTAGAAGAATCAAGCAATCAACTAACCCTGTGGTGGTGCATTCAGTCAAGCACTTCGATGTCGGGCTGCCTTGGGTGGGGAAATTCAGGAATTATGAAAAGGCTGCTTTCTGGTCAGCAGATGGAGACGATGGTAAGCTTAAGCAAGGGCGCATTCTAGATTGACTGTTTGTTTGCTGAGAGGAAATCGGTAGATCGGTTTGACATGATCAATGAAGCTCGAAACGGCGGCAGCATCAACCCCCGGTACCACAAGGTCATCAAAAAGCACATGGCCAATAGTCGACTGTCGCTGCACACCCGCACAGAGATTTGCCACAAAGCAGTATGATCCGGTATCCCAAGACTTGGGCTATCGCAACAGAGCCTCCGATCCCAGATCTGCCTGCCATTGACTATGTCTACTTCGCAACCGGCGTGAGATCCAATGTGAAGGAGATGCCTATGTTGAGGCATATCAATGAAGGCTACCCGATCGAAGACAAAGGCGGCCTTCCCTGCATCACGGACGACTTGATGTGGAAGGACGCCGTTCCGCTCTTTGCACGGGTCGACTGGCGGCGCTGCGGCTGGGCCCAGCTGCTCAGAACCTCGAGGGTGCAAGGACCGGGGCCGAGCGCATCGCATGGGCGCTGGATGAGGTGGTAGGACAGCGGAGCAGTGTGAAAGATGAGCCATCTCGGACCGACTTTGCTGGACTGGGCAATCGATATTCCTGTCTTTCAAAGGCGGAATGGTTAAATAACTGAATAATTGGTAGTCGACTGCATTCCGGATAAACATGACCAGAAGTTAGTTGCTTTCGTCCTGCCTGGCCCTTCAGAAGGGCGGTTCGATGAGGTAGCAGGCTGCGATCAAGGCCTTAAGGTATTGTCAAAAAGGAGATCGATGAGTTGATTGAAGATGCTGCGGTCAGTAGTTGCTAGTTAGTGCATGTCCAAATAGGCGTAGCGAGGCTGACTAATACATAACTAGTTATAGTTATATTTGACAGATATTCAACAACTTCTCGATCACCGCGACGGTCGTATACGTATACGTATACATATACATATACATATATATATATATAACTGTCACAGTCGATTCGCCTTTACTTCTTTTCCGTATTCATCCATGTATCCGTTTCTGACGTCTATGGTACTTAGTTACTAGGGGAATAAGAGTTCTTCCGGTGGCATTTCTTTATGTGCTGGTTATTGCATCATAGCTAACCACAGCCAGCAGGAGGCTACATATATATCTATATGTAGCCTCCTGCTTATACAACGCCTTCCTGGTCACTTCAATTATATCCCTGAAGATACCCCCCTGATACCTCCCTACATGTTAAACCAGTCCTTTGCCCAAAGTAAAAAATAGTATACCTCAAAGATCTAGTTATATACCAGTGCCAGTTAACTATAGTTATCTGCTATACCTGCTATACCTGAAGACAAGACAAAATGCCAGAAAAACCCCCTTCGTATGAGGCTTTATACCCTCTGAGCTCAAGCACCTCCGTAGCCTCAGAGCTATGTAGCTCAGACACACTCTCGAGGCCCTCGATTTCCCCCTTAAAGCTCTGCTCACGCTGCCATCGTCGCCCATGCTTTTCATCGCCCGCAAAAGATAATAGAGAATGCCCGACTTGCCTGCGGCCGTGGCCTCCGTTCGTGCCCTCTGATCTATGCAATCCCTGCTTCTACAAGAGCCCGCAGGCCATGGCTCTTTGCCTGAGGGCGCTTTCCCTGGGTGTCAGAGATTTAGTTAACAAGAAGATACGGTAAGGCGCTTCCTGTCCTGCTTGTCCTGCTGCTTGTCCTGCTCGTCGTGATGTGTCCTGCTGCTTCTCCCCTATACAAATTCCCTTTTCTCTTCTTCTCTTTTCCCCTTCTTTTCTCTCCTTTCTTCTCCTTCGGCCACGACGTTGATGATAAAGAGAACTACTTGCGCCTCCTGCTCCTCCGCGTTAAGAAGAAGAAGAAGAAAAGAAGAAGGAAAAGAAGAAGAAGAAGAAGAAGAGACCATGAGAGCTTGGATGGAATACGCCCTCTTTGGGCTGGCGGTTGTGAGCTGTCTCTGCGCAGTCATATGCGCAGTCGCGGCCGTTTTCGGCCCTCTATACCCGTTAGTTGGACGCTGTTCTTATGCCTTTGATCAATTCCCTTACTAGTTAATGCTAACATGGAAGTCTACTTAGCCTCCGCCGATCCTCCCATCTCTCCAACCCCCCGGAGGCGCAGCAGGGTGCTGGGATTAGTAAGATATAACCTCCCTTTCCCTCTCCCCGTAGCTATATTTTGACGGGTATATCTACATGTCAAGGACTATTAGCTAACGATGTATCTTTGGTATAATGCAGAAGACGTCGAGAGGCGCGCTGGCGCCACTCCGTCTTCTCTCCCAGCCCCTGCTGCGCCGGCCGGCCCGCCATCTGCCGGTACCGCCGCTCCTCCCATCCCCGCCGCCGCTCAGCAGCCTCTGGTCGACCTAGAGTCGGCGCTGACCTGCTTCGCCGGCGCCGTCAGGCTCGCTGCCCCGGCCGCCCAGGACCATCCTCTGACAATGCTCGCCGGCGCCGCCAGCGCCCTCCTCCACCGGGTTGAGGCCCTGAATAGGGCACTCCCCGCGCCTGCCAACGCCCCTGCCTCTGTCTCCGCCCACCCCTCCATCCATTCCACCGCCTCCGCCTCCGCCTCGACCACCCAGGCGGAAAGCTCCTCCGCCCGCCAAGAGGTCCGCCGCCGCCATCGAAGCGAGCACTAGGTGCTCACCACTCGTCTCCCTATTGTTTTGTTTTATTCTAAATATATTTTGTATCACTACAATATAAAGAAGCAAAGCAAGGCTACATAAGCCACCTGATATTAGTTCCTTACGTAAGCAGTTTGATGTTTGGTAATTATATACGCAATTTTCCTATAACAATCGTAAAAGGGTAATCAAAGAGTTCAATCTGACCAATCAGAGCGATGTTTCAACCAATCGGAATCCTTCTCAGCCAACCAACTAGGAAATTTAAGAGAGACTCTCAGTTTGAAATTTTCCACCAATATGTAAAACCTAATCTTGTCTTAATAGTCTCTCTTCGCTCCGACAATTATACATTCAATCTTAGTAAATCAGTATGCCGGTGGTATTACAAATCTACGCATTTCCGGTACAGATACTACGGTATTCTGATCCTATCCATTTTCTGTGTGGAGGCGGACAATGATGGTGGCCAACAGCATATGGAGGCTAAAAGGCGACTCTTTGGCGTAAAGAAAAAACGTGGATGTAGCGGTGCCTTGGGCTGTTGGTAAGGCGTTGTTATTATGATATGGCTGGCTGATTGTTCATGGGGTAGGTAGAGTGGAGGACCGCAGCGGATGTGGCGGATGTAGAGAGCCTGGATGGCGACTTTCGACACAGGGAGAGCCTCTCATCCTCTCAACCAGGGAAAATTAATTGGAGAGAGCTGATTGTGGTGGTATATGTGTGTAGCAAGCAGATCAGGCGTTGGTTTAATCCTCAAGCAAATCCGCAATATCCTTATCGTCATCCTCTGCTCGCTTCCTCTCAGCTTCCTGCTCTAGGTATTTCATGAAGTTCCGCTGCTTTCTTCTCGCACTTTTGCCCCAATTCGATACTCCAGTAGACTCTCCTTCATCTTCCTCCTCCTCCTCATCACTATCTGCGACGTCGCCTTGCCTCAACGCGTTTGCTGACAGCTTCGCTCTGCCTTCCGCTTCGGCAGCAGCGGCTTCTTCTGCCTCTTGCTTTGCGTGGCCGGAGTCAAAGAGCTTTCTGAAACCTTTGTCGAGGTATGGGCGGAGAAAGTAGTAGCCTCCTATGATCCAGACGAGGCGGATGTAATCTTGTATGGTGAGTTTGGAGACTGAAGCGGATATGTTGTTGGTGAAGTTCGAGTACAAGGTATACAGCGTGTCGGTCACACTGGTAAACTGGAAGTCTGCCATTGTAATAACTCGCTATGCACTAGAAAGTTCCGTCCAGGGATGGACTATGTAGCCGTAGCTGTAGCTAGAATGTAGACCTGGAATGTTGCTGTCTGTCTCTTCTGGTCTTCTGGTTTGATCAAAGAGATGCACTGGGTGTACAGTTGTTCTTGACAGAAAATAAACCTCTCAATTGAGGCAGCGGGGGCAGCACGGTAAATAAATACTCCTTCAGACAGGCTGTTATTCCTTTTAGCGAGGCTTTTCTTCTTTTCTTCTTCTTCAACCTGACAAGGCGGATGTTGGTCTCGGGACAATCTTGGAGGGAAAAGTAACGGGACTCGGATTTTCTGGATTCTCCGGTCCCGTGACATCGCGTTTGCCCATCTAGGTGGACTAGCGACTTGAAGCCGGCCTCAAAAGTTGTTGACACTCGAGGGCGAAAGAGAAGTAGAGGCCACGCAGAGCGCAAGAGGAAGCGGCAGACATATGACAATGGCGCCTAGTAATGACGATGGGCAGGAGACAAAAAAGGTAGGCTATCCATTTTATACCTAGTTAACAGGGGCTAACCCATCATGTTAGCAATTGAAGGCGATGCTCTGGTATACCCTGGGCAACCTCACTCGCGAACATGCGGACCTCTTTGATACTGAGGTGACTCCTCAGTTCATTGCGGGGTTGGTAGAGATTACTTGGGCACAGTTAGGTGTGTTGAATTGCTCATGGATAGTCCAGGATAGTGGTTAACGAACCAGACAGAAACGGTTGGCCAGGATCTAGAAATGTTTGCAAAGTGCGTATACACGCTGGCTGTTGCTTTGGTATCATACGAAGTGTAGTGCTGATACACTCGTTTATTAGCCATGCGGGCCGTTCGACGATTAACGCGTCTGATGTGCTGCTCCTGGCGCGACGTAACGAAGGCCTCGAGTCGATTTTGCGTGAATACAACGACCATTTGGAAGCTGAAAGGGAGAAGCGAGCTTCCAAGAACGGGTGACCTTAATAGTAGGCCCGAGTTTTCGGCATTGGAACCATACAAATTGTCCATCTAACTGGACAATCATTTATCTCTAGCAGCACTCACTAGAGATATGGCCACCTAGCCAAGCTGCGATGGAGGTCTTTCCGAGAGTAGTCACGGTCTGCATGATACACTGAATCATGTTGGAAAGAGGACGAGCCGATGGGCTAACGACCTTCCGTCATGACATCGAGTACCAAGCATCTGGCCAACCTGCCCTTTGGACGTTACTGGATACAGTACTTCGTCTGAAATTGCGGTTATGATTGATAAAAGCACAGAATGGCGGGAGAAAACTAGGTATATCGTGCATTATCTGCATAATATCGTCATTTTCCATGCCGTGTTTCGCTAACAAGCCTCTCTACCTCTAACATCTACATCAAAGAACCATACCCATGTCAGCGCTAAATTCGTAACTAATTCTAATGCATCCTTCTCAGTTCTTCAATCATTTCCTTCAATGAAGACACGGTAACATTGCTATCGTCGAGCCTGTTGGCTATCTCCTCCTGCATGGTAGGCGTGCATGAAAGGAAACGCTCGATGAGCTCTCCGTCCACGAACCTGAAAGGCTCGTCGGATTGGCGCACCGTAGTTCTGAACGCCCGGTATTTGGAGAACGGTATTTCTCCCGGGCTTACGGTGATGCTGGCCATGGCTGTCTGCAACCGGAGTAGGAGGTCTATGTAGGCTGGGTTGATAAGGCCGAAGAGGTAAATGGAGCCATCAACCTGTTAAACTGTTAGATTATGCACAGGGTTGCCAAATGAAGGATAGGAAGGCGTACAGTTGCTAGTAGCGCTCGTGCAGAAACGGCTGTTTCTGTATGTGTTTGCACAGTTATTGGATGGATTCGATTGACCATCTCGCCTAGCCGGATTTCACTGGTAGGTTGCAATCGTTTTCTATCTGACTCCGTTACACCGGTTGTGTTTTGCTGTAGAACCACTAGATTGCCCTCCGCGTCGGCAAGAAGGTAGACGTGTTCTTCAATAAGAGTCACAGCCGTACTCCAAAGAGTCTGATAGTGCCGTGCTATCTCCTCAAATTTGGGTTCTTGTTCATCTTTCTCAGCCGGAGTGTACTGTACCAGGGACATGCTTTTCATCACATCTGCTACTGCAACTGTGTCGCCAGTTACAGATATATCGATTGGTGCGGTAGATGTTCGATATGCAGTATGCTTTTCAAGAAAAATGTTTCCAAATCTGTCGCGTGCCAGTTTGAACACAGAGACCTAGGGAAGTGTTAGTATATAATGTCTGGTGGAAGCGTATATCCCTATACTGACCGACTTGACTAAACCGGCCACTAGCAGGCTAGGATCCATTACGGCGAGGGTACGACAAGCTCCCATGAGAGACTTGTCAACAATCAAAGACAGCTCTCGAGACTTGTTCACTTCGAAGATAAGGATACGGCCACGGATATGGTCGTCGCCTACATCATCCAAGAAGGCTGTTCCGACAAAGAACAAGTCTTTGGACATCAGATTGCCTACCTCGTCTTTACCACAATTTACCTGAGACCGAATAACACACTCAACCAGTTCGTCTGGGCGCAGGTCGTAGGTGCTTAGTGGCCGGAAGTGTATCTCGTCTGCCAATACAAACGAGCTGCTTACTTCTTCGACTCCATTGGAAATCGTTCGCTTTACTGTTCCTAGACCAAATGCCTTTTCCAAGGGAGAGTAAGCCAGACGCCTGACGCTGGCGTGCATGGGCAAGGTATGGATTTGGGTGGTGCGCTCTTCGTCCACAAGCGCTATCTTCAGCTCATTCTGGTTTGACAGCGCGATTGAGCCTGGGTAAGCCTGGGTGTTGAGACTGCAGATACGGCTGGAGCTGGCCGAATCGACTGCTGAATATACAATTCTTCCTTCCGATGCATGTATCAGGCTCGGGTGATCGCATGTTGCGAAAACGTTGTATTGCCCATTACCACGTGGAAGTTTCTTGAACGAGGGCTGCTCAGATCCCAGCGTAATCTTGCTAGACCCAGAGATGGTAAAGGTATTAATGTCGAAAGAAAAAGAGAAGACGGTTCCGTCAGCCATTGAAACGAACAAGGTAGGCGGTTTGCCAGCAAGTATCTCTGCCACAATGACAGATCGTGGGATTGCTTCACCAGGCTCGCCTAGTGCTTGCTTGTTCTTTACTTCGAGGCCAGGAAGGTCTAAAATGACGATCTCAGCAGACTGCGGGAGACATACAATGCATGCTTGTATTGGGGAGGCAGGGATGGTCATGCCAGAGACCTGATTGTCTACTTCAAAGTCTCTGCTCCCGACCTGCTCGAAGGTTGAGAGGGATATGCATACAAGACGGATGCCTCCGAGGACGAGGACGAGATAGTCATCATTTGCCGAGGCGGAGGTGATGGATTCATTATGGGAAGACTGCCAGATAACCATGCCACTATCAAGATCTATCACTTTAGCTGTGCTCTCGGTCACCTGGAGGATGCGGTTTTCAGGTATATTAGTAGCTAGCAGGGTACTTCGAGAGAAGACTAAACCAAGAAAGTCGTCTTCCTTCTCCTCTACCTCGCCATCCGGAGAGAAGTGAAATACTCGAGTCTCGTTGACAAAGGAGACGAGAAGGGTATCATAAAAGGGCTCAGGACAAGCAGAACGTAATCCCCAGAGGTCGGTGATATGTTCCATGCTGGCAAGAACACCGAGATCTTCTATTCCAACACCGCTGCGGACACTGCGCAGGCTACCATCGCCAAATGCACCTGAGCCGGTGACGATTCGTGTTTGGCCGGATGAGAACTCGCGAGTGGTGCCTGAACGGTCACCCATGTCCATTACGGTGAAGTCAAGAATGGGAGCGATATTGGAGATTGTTTGGGACAAGGTCGAAACCGCCCTCTTTAATCTGGGATGACCTGCGAGTCGCCCTGGTGGGAGCCGACGAAGACAAGGCCGCCATCGAGGTAGACAAGCACTGACGCGCGAGAGGTCTCACCAAGGAGGTCGACCTTCCATGATTCGACGGCATTGTCAGCGTCGAGAACAAGCATGAGGAAGAAGAGGCGGCCGTAATCGTCTGCTAGCAGCCACCGTTGACCGTCGACTTGCTCCCAGGCCACAAATACGGTGGACTCAGCCAGGGGCCTTGAAATTGTTTCGTTCCTGGAGACGTCCACATATTTGATTGACGACTCTCCAATGATCAGTAGGCCGCCTGTAACTGTTAGCCGGTTGTGCCTTTGTAAAGTACTGTGTATATAAGCAATAAGAAAACAACCTACCTAGCGGACGCGGAACAGGAATAAGGATGCTAGCACCGAGATCCAGCTCATCCGAGAGAGTGGTGACATCCTTTAGTTCAGCTGCGCTCCCCCCATCGCCAGTAACGACTGCATGGGTATGCTTAAGGTCCCGCAGCTTGAGCCTGACCTTGCCCTGAGAGTCTTCATACAATAGCGCAAATCGTGGGTGTGTGAGAAGCCTCCTGGTCTAGAAACGTAGAAGATCGAACCATCAACTCCTCAATTCGGACTTGTAGCGGCTCTCCTAGCTGTTCTATTTGAAGTAGGAGCCGTAGAAGCTGAAGTTGAAGCGGCCGACTTGGCCCGTTTGTGCGAATCTGCGGTGGCCAGTGGGATGACGGAGACAACGCCTTCGTACACTTCGAGAGTGAGGAAGCTGCCGGACGGGTCAATCTGACATCTATCATCGCTATGTGCTTCCCGTAACGATCCATCTGCCAGATCGATGTACTTCCGCTCGGTGCGTAGCTGGTCGTGGGCGGCATCCCAGGTGAGGGAGAAGTATGCGTACTGATCTGTGCCAACGAAGAGGACGTCTGTCAGCACCGGGCCGGCAGTAGTAGGCCGTGACAGCTTCTGGAGGAGAGTGATGCGCCCGTAGATGGCTCTGGAGTGTTGTAGGATGAGGCCGTCGGCTGATTGAGTGTAAAGCTCGAGCCGGTTTGCTTTCCTAGGACTTGTTAGCCGGGTGCAGTCGAGAGAGGGCGTGGAGAAGGAGGGGACTGACGCGACAACAAGACAGTCCTCGTCTGGACTGATAAATCTGGCTCTGAGGGCGTGGCGGATGCTGCTGGCGCTGTGGATAGGGACGACGTAGGCCATTTTACATCTTGCATAGGCGAGGTTGATTTGGCTACCGTCGTTTGGTGGAGTGTGTTGAATGTTGGTGTTGATGTTAGTTAACTTTGTTAAACACTCCGTAACTAGCTGTCGACTAACTTGGCTATGACGCACTTGCCTCACTCTACTTCAACATCCATCTACAGCTGCATCTACATTTAAATACAGACACACGGGCACATTCTACATAGTCGGAAAACGGATTAATGAAGCTACTTAGATTTACTAGTGAGGTACTGGTAGACTACAGAAAAGTCCTTTCCACGGTGTTCCTGTTCGGTAGCCTCATAGACCTGTTGGACGGTGTCGGCGAGCTCAAGGGCAGTGCCAGACTCCCTTGCAGCTTCAACGGCGAGACGGAGATCCTTCTTCATGAGACTGACACCAAAGCCGCCGGTGTACCCTCTGGAAGCGGGAGAACCTTCAATGACACCGGGAGCCGGGTTGTTGACTTCGCTGGACCAGCATCTGCCCGTGGACGAGTTGATCATCTGGCCGAGCACAGCAGGCTGGAGACCCCATCTGATGCCCAAGTTCATGGCCTCGGCGGTGGCTATGTTGGCGACGGCGAGGAGGTAGTTGTTTGCGAGCTTGCCGGAGAGACCTGCCCCCTGGTCACCGAGGTGCCAGACCTTCTTACCCATTAGCAGCAGCGCAGCCTCTGCGCGTTCGACTAGCCCAGGGACATCAGAAGGAGCACCGAGCATGAAGGTCAGGGTTCCAGCAGTAGCACCAACGACGCCGCCGGACATGGGGGCGTCGACAAAGCGGCCTGCTCCGGTAGATTGGACAGCAGCGGCCACTTCGCGGGAGGACGACGGGTCGATGGTCGAGCAGTCGATGAAGAGGCGATCCTGGGCGAGCTTGGGGAGGCCGTCCTTGAGGATGACATGGAAGACGCTCTTGACGTGCTGCGGTTCCGGCAGACTCGTCACCACGGTATCCTACTGTCGTTAGCTCTCTCTCTCTCTAGCTCTATATCTGTATATACGCGTGTGCATATATATGTGTAGGGTGAATACCGACTGCTCGGCCAGCTCCTTGGGCCCAGAGGCGACCTTGACGTTCTCGGTTTCAGCGGCAAACCTGGCGGTGGTCTCTGGATTGGAGTCGCAGACGAAGAGGGTGTCCGATGCAGGTATCTTCGCCCTCAGGTTCCTGGCCATGGGGTAGCCTATTCATCAGTTAGAGGCTGTATCGACACCAGCAACTCACGGTACTCAATGCCCAAGGATCAATGCTCAATGGCAACCGGGAGTAGTATCGAACATACCCATCTGGCCGAGGCCGATGAAGCCCCAGGTGGCATTGCGCGGGGCGGAGGAGGAGAAGAGGCGGGCAGAGGAGGCTCTGGACTGGCGAGAGAAGGCCCCGGCCCGTGGCAGCAGTCTATTCATCATGGCGGCTGTCTCTATGTCTATATATCTGTCTATTGTGCAGAAGCGAAGAACTCAAGCCAGGCAAGTCTCTATGTAGAGTCGGTAAGAGCAACAGCGCGCGGGTGAAGTCACGCTGCAGGCGGCAGAAAGGGCGGCGGGCGGGCGGCCGAGCCGAGCCTAGCCGAGGTTAGTTCAGATTAGATAAGATTAGCTAAGGCTTGTTGGAAGTTGGTTTAGATTCTCTTGACGTTTATTGGTTATAATCTCTTACTAATACAAGCTACTTATTACTTTGCCAATAGAAAAGCAAGTAATTATAACCACTCGCAGTTATATCCAGGTCAAGAGAGCTTAACTTAAATTTCCTGGCATCTGACTAGCCAACTTTAACTTAGCCCCTTTACTTCCCCATGTAATCCACCCTCCCCCTTGACTTCGACATTCCCCTGACTTACCAGCCTCAAAAGCGATATGATTTTCAGCGATCCTTCAGCTAGCGATGGAAAGCCGTTCTCGTTAGTCATCGGTGTCCTCGGGTCCCTTTGAGCCTCTCTCGTGTTCCGAAAACAGGCAGATATGCCGCTGATACACTGGTAATAAGGGCAGGCAGCAGGCAACCACAAGATCAGCGGCTACAGGGTTAAGACAAGAGTAGCTAATATAAAAGATACAAAGGCTTGAAGATGGGCGAGAAAGTGGCTTAACACTCGTCCTCACACCTTAACCATATCAATCGTTCTTCAACATGGCTGTAAAGGACAAGAAAAAGAAGGGCAAGGAAGAACAAGAAAAGGGGGAAGACAAGAAGGAAGATAAAAAGGAAGAAGAAGAAGAAGAAAAGGCGCCTTTCTCGAACCTCTGGGTGAGTGTGCTGTTTGAATGGTGCCTGGTCTGGCTGTATTTCATGATGATGCTTACTCGAGTACTCCATAGAGGATCTTTTCCTATGGCACCAAGGCGGATCTCGCCCTCATGGGCCTCGCCTTCTTCTGCTCTGCCGGTGCTGGTATCGTACGTCTCCTCGTCCATTTAGCTACACATGTATCTATGTATACTGATAGTGATAGGCCCTCCCTCTCATGAACATCGTCTTTGGTAAGTTCAATGATGCACATGTCAGTAATTTGGTAGCGTGGCTGACCAACAGGCGCCCTTATCACCGACTTCAACAACTTCTTCCTGCCTGACTCTACTGTCTCGCCGGAGGATTTCAGGGCCGCTGTCAACAAGAATGTGTAAGTCTTTCTTCCTGAGCAGGAATATGTGTGGATGTACTGAAAGTATAGCCTCTTCATCGTCTACCTCTTCATCGGCAAGTTTGTGCTCAGCTATGTCTCAATGGTATTAACCCCTATACCCATCTATACCCATCTATCGGAGTATCAAAATAACATGGATCAATAGTTCTGTTTACGGACGAGCGGAATCCGCATCTCAGCAAATCTGCGCCTGGCCTACCTAAAGGCTCTCTTCCGCCAGCCGGTCGCCTACCTCGATGCCATGCCCGTTGGCCGCCCGACGGACACCATTACTGCATCATCCAATCTTATCCAGGCCGGCATATCAGACAGACTTGCAGTGCTTGTCCAGTCGGCTGCACTCGTCATTGCAGCCTACGCCGTCGCCTTCTCTCGCTCCTGGTCCTTGACCTTGGTCTCATCGTCATGCTTGCTCTTCATCTTACTCATCTACTCCATGGTCATCCCCTTCTACCTACGTTTCTTCAAGGCCGTCGAGGCTGCCAACGAGCGTGCCACATCCGTGGCGGGTGAAGCTCTCTCGTCTATCCGTACCGTCGTTGCTTGTGGTGCGCAATCAAATCTCGTCGACCGTCACGCCGGTCACATTGCAGACGCCAGACGTAAGGGTCTCCAGATTTCTCCGGTCGTTGGCCTTCAGCTGGGACCGACCAATTTCGCCATGTACTGTAACTTCGCCCTTACCTTTTGGTTCGGTGTCAAGCAGTTCACAGCCGGTAACGTCTCTGATGCTGGGCCAGTTGCTACGTATGTCCTACCTCTGTCACGCTCATACGTAACTTGTTTATATTGACATCTACAGGGTTATCTTCTCGGTCATCATCGTGGTTTCGGCAGTCTCATTTATTGCCAATCCGATAATTGCGCTCTCAAAAGCCATTGCTGCGTCTGCTCGCTACTTTTCTGTCATTGATGCACCCCCAGTCAAGACAGATGGTATCAAGGATATTGATGTCGCTAGCTGTGGAGAGCTCGCATTCAAGGACGTCACTTTCTCTTATCCAACCAGGCCTGGAGTCACCATCCTTGACAACCTTTCTCTCGTCTTCCCTACTGGCAAGGTCACTGCTCTTGTTGGGCCCTCGGGGTGTGGTAAGAGCACCATCATCGCCTTGCTTGAGCGTTGGTACCAGCTTTCCGATCAATTGGACCTTAGTAAGGTGAAAGAAAAGAAAGAGAAAGCGAAAGAAAATGAAAAAGACAGCGAAGTCAAAGATGAAAAGAACGAGCCAGACAATGAAGAACGAAAGGAAAACGCTGGATCGATCATGATCGGGCCACACTGTATCGACGAGCTTGATCTCAAGTGGTGGCGCTCTCAGATAGGTCTCGTCCAGCAAGAACCATTCTCGTTCAACACCTCCATATTCCGCAATGTCGCCTTTGGTCTTGTTGGATCACAATGGGAGAATGAGCCGGAAGATGTCCAGCGTCAGCTTGTCGTTGAGGCCTGCCGTGAAGCTTTTGCCGATGAATTTATCGAGAAGCTGCCGGAGGTGAGTTTCCCAATGCATTACTCTAGTATATCTAACGATCATTGTCATAACATTGGGTATAGAAATACGATACGATGATCGGAGAGAATGGAATCAAGCTTAGTGGCGGTCAGCGTCAGAGACTTGCCATTGCTCGCAGTATCATCAAGAGACCGTTGATTCTCATTCTCGACGAAGCTACTAGTGCCATCGATGTGAGAGGCGAACGTATCGTTCAGGAGGCACTTGATAGGGTCTCGAAGGGTCGCACTACCATAACTATCGCTCATAGACTGTCTACCATCAAAAAGGCAGATAAGATCATCGTCCTACGCAAAGGTACTGCAATTGAGTCAGGTACTCATGAAGAACTACTTGCTCAGGAGGGCTTATACCACAGCCTTGTGCATAACCAGCAACTTGACATGGACGAAGATGGCAACAACGAGACTGTACAAGCTGAGAGGGAGACTGAAAAAGATGGTCCTCATTTGAGTATGTCCAGGACAAAATCTACTGTCCAAGACACAGATCTGGAGCAGGGCCTTACTCTACCCGAGGAGCCGCCTAAGGAATTATCCCTCTTCGACTCTGTCGGTGTCCTGCTGTGGGAGCAACGCAAATACTGGATTCTATACGTGGGTGTCCTAATTGGAGCTGCTGGCTGTGGAGGTAATTTTTTTCCCTGCACCCATTTACATCATGCCTTGCTAAACGTTTCCGGTAGCTGGATATTCAATTCAGAGCTATCTTTTCTCTCAGCTCATCACGGTCTTCCAACTTACCGGCTCTAAGTTGGTAGAAAAAACAAATTTTTGGTCTCTCATGTTCTTCGTCCTCGCGCTCGCCGTTGCGTTTTTCTATTTCATCCTAGGCTGGATGTCCATGTCGATATCCACCGTACGTATTTCTTTTTCATGATATAATTGCAAGTGTACTAACGTTGTATAGTATGTGTCAACGACGTACCGGCAAGAGTACTTTGATAGTATGATCCGCAAACCCATAGCCTTCTTCGACAAAGATGAAAACTCCGCAGGTTCTCTCACATCGCGCATTTCTTCCGATTCAACTCAGCTCCAGGAACTCCTAGGGCCAACAATGGCGTTTCCCATCATCTCTGTCTTCAATGTAATCGGCTGCATAGCCATCTCATTCGCCTTTGGATGGAAATTGACCCTGGTTGCTATTTTCTCAGCTTTCCCGTTGATAATCATTGCCATGTTTGTCCGGGTTAGATATGAGGTTCAGTTCGATAAGATGAACGCCGCTGTGTTTGAGGAGAGTTCACAGTTTGCATCTGAGGCCTTTGGAGCTTTCCGAACGGTTACATCGCTGACCCTGGAGGGCAGTATTTCAGAGAGGTATTCGGGTTTGCTGCAGAATCATGTGCGGTCTGCCTTTGTCAAGGCTAGGGTTGCTGCTCTCGTCTTTGCGGCATCAGATAGTATGGAGTTACCTTGCATGGCCCTGTGTTTCTGGTATGGCGGCCAGCTTCTCAGTACGCACGAGTATGACGTCCTGCAGTTTTTTGTCATCTACATTGCCGTTGTCTTAGTACGTTGGTCATCGACACCCTAATAACATGTCTTCACTACTAACAGGTGTATAGGGAGGCCAAGCAGCGGGACACTTTGGAAGCATCAGCCCGAGTAAGTTGCTTCTCTTAGTATCTTGCGATTGGAACTAATTAATCGGCTACAGATTTGGCCCAAGCCAAAGCCGCTGCGAACCGAATCATGAGTATCCGGCCTGCGCCAGATGACAACAAGAACAAGGCCATCCTTAGTCAATGCGAGGGTGGTGTAGAGATCGAATTCAAATCGGTCGACTTCACGTACCCTTCTCGAGATGTTCCAGTCTTCAAGAACTTGTCGTTCACAGTATGTTCATCTGTCATTTGTCTACATATTTATTGCTGAACTAACTGATGCCACAGGTTGGAAAGGGGCAGTTTGCTGCCCTCGTTGGTCCTTCAGGTTGGTCCTTACCATAAGTTATTGTCACTTAATAGGCGCTCTGACATGCTGTAGGTTGCGGGAAAACATCTGTCATATCGATCCTTGAACGGTAAGTGGTCTGCTATATCCAGGCGTGTGATGGGAGGCTAATACAGCCCAGATTTTATGACTACCAAGGAGGGCATATCCGCCTCAATGGAACGGAGCTTAGTTCACTTGATCTTAAGCCCTACCGGCAAACCATGTCTTTGGTATCACAGGAACCTACACTATATCAAGGTACGGCTGTTTATCATTTTTTTTTCCTGGTAATGATGCTGAAGAAGAGGTGTTAGGAACCATCCGAGACAATATCACACTGGGGATCAAGCCAGATGCCGTGACGACTGAACAAGTGCATCAAGCGTGTCGTGACGCAGAGATCCATGACTTTATCGCATCTCTTCCAGACGGTAAGTTTGTATTTCTTTTTCCCACTCTAGGCCCAACCCTGATCAATGTGCCCTGACTGACCTTGACAGGCTACAACACGCAAGTCGGACAAAAAGGGCTGGCACTGAGCGGAGGCCAGAAGCAACGTATCTGTATAGCCCGGGCTCTGATACGGAACCCACACCTGCTGCTTCTCGACGAAGCCACATCAAGCCTTGACTCCGAGTCTGAGAAGTCCGTGCAGGCTGCGATTGAACGTACGGCAAAGGGCAGAACGGTCCTAGTGGTCGCCCACCGTCTAGCTACGGTTCAGAACGCTGATGTCATCTTCGTCTTCGGAGACGGGGGCATAGTCGAGAGCGGCAGCCACCATAGTCTACTAAAAAAGCGAGGCGTATATTATCAGATGGTATGTCTAAGTTTTATTCCTGATTGATAGAACTGCTTCTAATAATTTATAGTGCGAGTCACAAGCTCTTGATCGGTGATAGAAGGTATATACTCCACTTCTAGGAGTTTCACTCTTATGTATTATAGAATTATTTGGTTTAAACCTCCCTTCTTCCTATATATAGTTATTTATTTAATAGATACTTTATTCGGTATACTTATCGCAACTATAATATACATATATATATATATATACACTAACACCTACCTACTATAACTAGCAAAATTAAATATTCATCAGTGTAGATAGGATATAATGTAAGGAAAAAACCAATACCAGAAGAGTGTAAACAAATAAAAAAAGAAAAAAGAAATAGTGATAGAGGTGGGATTCGAACCCACGCATCTTTCGATACTGCGATGACTAAGAAGGTCACCTGAACACAGCGCCTTGGACCGCTCGGCCACTCTACCTAAAGCGTACTAGATGCTGGCCGTGCGTGCGTCACATGGACATTCTGATACTACTACTACATACGCAGTACATTAAATGTCCTTTCCTTGCGATATCACTGTGGCGCTTCCACCAGCCAACATAATTTCGAGATGTGAATTTTTCCATCCATAGGACGTTTCCTCAATTTTGGGTACCACGCCACATCTGGTTGATTTTCACTTGGCAATGGTTCAGCCCAGGTTGGTTGTACGCTATGGGGCATTAAGTTGACTCTCTGGGGGGTTAATCGGAAATACTTCTTTAACGATTGATTTCTCATTGTTGACGGTTGATCGTTGCTTGACAGTTAGGAAGTGTTTCTAGTCTCTTTAACCTAGATATTTCTTTGGCCCGGGCTTAATCAACTACAAGACACCCTGCTAAGTCATGCTGCATTAGATTGGCGCAAGGACGCTGAATTCTCAACCATAAGACTATTCTCTTTCATATTAGACCGCGGGATTCATGTGGCACCGGTGAGAGCTTATAGAAAGCTGTCCATAATTTCTTGGGTAATCGCATCCTTTCGTGAATGAAGTACTGGAAACTTCGAAGAATGTTCTGAATGCATATTTGGTTCCATGGCATCGAGGAATTTCGTTACGTCTGACTTTATGATCTGAACAAAAGCTTGGCCGACGTATCCAAACCCGGTTGCGCACACCTCGGGTGACTGCAATTGTCAGTTATCGTGGAAGAAGGCAGGGAAGGTGGAAGATGAGTATACTGCTGAAATACCTTCTTGGCAATAGATGTGTGAAGTTTTCTGGTAGCAGCGCAAATGCGTTCTATCCCTTGCATAATCTGACCACTCTCTTCTGGGGTAAAGGTATTGCACTTTTTGGCATCGCGGATGGCAGCTACCTGCGCGTTATGCAGACCCTGGAGAGACATTAAAGACGGAATAATGGTGATCAGTCCGCCGCCCCAGCTATCAAAAGAAGATGCGGTATCTTCATACTTTTGGGCAATGGTTGTGGTATGGCCGATGAGGGTGCTGGCTTCGTTGCTGAGGGCCTGGGCCAGAGGAGCCAGGCATAGGGCGAGAGGAAGAAGGGCTTTGGAGAGGAGCATGACGAGCTGCAAAAAGGTTGTACTGGATATTTATCCTGTATTATGCAAATAGAGAAGTATCACGTCCTCGGGGGATTTTCTGTTAATGAGGGTATCAAGTGTTGCCTTTTGTCCAGGGATGCCTTACAATAGGAGGCATCCACACTTATTATAGGCATCGATGTGGTCAGAGAATCAAAGATCTACACTCGGAGCTCTGTCGCCGTGGCTAGAGAGAGCCAAGAGGATCTGTTCATCGCTTTGGTGCCTCCTAATGATCAGTCCTGCCCAATTTTTGAGATGATAGCCCCTAGAAACCGATAGTCATACAAAGTACTTATAGATTATGGGGCTAGCGGTGACCATCCGCCAATAGAAAGCTCTCTTTGTGGAGGATAATTTTATTTGAACGCCATCTTCGGCTTCACCACTTCACAGCAATACTTATTTGATTTGCGATTGAGCAGCCATATCACTACCAAAGCAAGAACCCAAAAACACAAAAGGGCATTCTGCTGATTGGGCGATGCTCTTCCACGAACACCAGCCCTCGATAGATAACCTCCCACTCGTTGCAACGCCATCTGAAGAATAAAGCATCTACGCCATTTATTATTTACTATGAATGGAATCAATCCAATATTATGATGACAATGCCGAACTTTACTGGAATCTCAGGCATGATGAGTCAGTTAGAAAGGGGCACGTTTTGTTTAACTGACCGTGGAATTCCTCCGTTGCGTGCGGCTATTCATCCACTTGGTGCCATCTCATATTCCCCATTTACTCCAAGTGGACTATCCCTCAGCAATCATCAGTCTTTGCCGTGGTTGCCTCATAACTTGCGTTTCCATAATTTTACGTACCCGGAAGGAGACTACGAAGCACCATTCAAGTGAGCACTTGTGCATACCGACAGCTTAAACATGGGCTCAATTGCAATCGAAGAGTTCGAAAAAAACCAGACATTCGATGGTATGAATCATTTACACCACGGTGAAACGAATGGTATATCCGATGCATCTATCCGCGTTGACCTAGGATTACACGGAGTGGTCCCTCCTGTCGCTATCGTGGGCATGGCAATGAGGCTCCCGGGCAGCATCCACTCTGCTGAGGAATTTTGGGAATTCCTGGTAAAAAAAGGAGATGCACGCAGTCGAGTTCCCGAATCCCGGTTCAACATCGATGCTTTCCACGACAGCTCGAAACCTGGCTCGGTCAAAACCGAGTATGGCTACTTTTTACACGAGGACCCAGCATATGTAGATGCGCCATTTTTCTCGATGAGCAAGTATGAAGCCGCGAATCTAGACCCGCAGCAGAGACTCCTACTCGAGGTAGTTTGGGAATGTTTGGAGACTGGTGGCCAAACCGGGTGGCGTGGGAAAGATATTGGATGCTTCGTTGGCTCCTTTGGAGAAGATTGGCTAGATATGTCAAGCAAAGATACCCAAGATATTGACAGGATTCGAGCACTAGGTACCGGAGACTTTGCACTCTCAAATCGTATTTCTTACGAGTATGATTTAAAGGGTCCCAGGTTAGAATTGATTCTAGAGGCCTTACGAAATTTCGTTAGCTAACCTTTTTCAGTATGACATTTCGAACCGGCTGCTCAGCTTCTATGGTCGCTCTGCATGAAGCATGTCGTTCTCTTTATTCAAGAGAATGCTCTGCTGCCATTGTTGCTGGAAGTAATCTTGTTCTTGCTCCGACCATGTCAACCACCATGTCTGATAACATGGTCCTTTCCCCCGACGGAATCTGCAAATCTTTTGATGCCAGTGCCGACGGCTATGGGAGAGGCGAAGCCATAAATGCTGTTTTTATAAAACGACTTGACGATGCAATCAGAGACGGCGACCCAATTCGTGCTGTTATTCGCTCAACGACGACAAACTGTGACGGTAGAACGCCTAATATCACAACACCTGGAGCAGAAACTCAGGAACAACTTATACGTCAGGCTTACAGCCAGGCAAAGATCCATGATATCTCAGAAACTGCTTTTTTTGAATGCCATGGAACCGGAACGGTTATTGGCGATACCACTGAGCTATCAGCCGTTGCTACGCTCTTCCAGGGGAAAGGAGTATACATTGGGGCGGTTAGTACTTTGATGTTAACCCAAAGAGAATTTTGGATACTTCTTGGCCTTGTTAGCTCACTTTGACAAGGTCAAACCCAACATAGGACACTCGGAAGGCGCCTCAGGGCTAACGGGAATAATCAAAGCGACCTTAGCCCTCGAGAACAAGACAATACCACCAAATATACATTTCAATAGTCCGAACCCGAAGAGTATGTGAATATCCCAATGCATACCTCTAGACAAGTTTATTAACATTATTATTCAAGTACCCTTTGAAAATTCTAAGCTCCAGGTGCCCGTGGAACCACTGCCATGGCCAAAGGATCGAAGTGAACGAGTAAGCATCAACTGTTTTGGGATTGGTGGCACGAACGTACATGTAAGTATGCCCTTCGCAGGTGTAAAGCGCTTTCTCCCTAAACTCTTGCTTACTCCCGCAGGCAATCTTGGATTCGACTGCATCATTTTTACCAGTAAATGGTAACCGCCACACTCTTTCCGCAAAGCACAGTGGACCCCGGCTCCTCGTTCTATCAGCGAATTCGCAACATTCTCTCCATCGACAAATCGAAAGATTGAACTCTTACCAGCAAAGTCGGCCAGGAATATCTAATGATATATGCTTTACCCTTGGCACTAGAAGAGAACATCTCAAGCATAGGGCGTTTACAGTTCTGAAGGACGAAGAAAATATTGATGTTGCAAATTTCGAGATGTCTCTGTCTACCAAAGCACGGAACATGATATTTATCTTCACTGGCCAAGGAGCGCAGTGGCCGGGTATGGGTAAACAACTGCTGTTAGAACTCGATACCTTCCGGAGTGACATTAAGGCTATGGATAGAGCTTTGAGAATGCTAAAGAATCCTCCTTCTTGGAACATAGAAGGTATGCAAGTTTCCCCATTTTACATTTTCCCTAGTTGTTAATATTGCCTTCTTTAGAGGAGCTCTTGAAAACTGGCAACCCTACCAGGGCCGATGAACCTGAATTCGCCCAAACTCTTTGCACGGCTGTGCAAATCGGTCTATCAAACCTATTAAAAAGGTGGGGGATTATCTCTGCTGGAGTAATCGGTCATTCGAGCGGAGAGATTGCTGCCGCTTACTCTGCTGGTGCGATTACTATGGAGTCAGCTATCATAATCTCTTACTATCGTGGACAGGCTGCGAAATCAATTTCTATGGATAAGAGTAAAGTGCAAGGCGGTATGGCTGCCGTTGGGCTCGGCCCAGAAAAGGTGAAGCGGTATTTAACGGATGGCGTGGTTGTGGCCTGTGAAAATAGCCCCCAGAGTGTGACGCTTTCTGGGGATAGTGATAAACTCGACATGGTCCTTTCGGATATTCAGTCCGCCAACAAAGATGTTTTCTGCAGGCGTCTTCGTGTGGGAATTGCTTATCATTCTCGTAAGTCAGATTGGACTTTTATATGCTTTCTAGAGATAACGTATACACTAACAATTACGTCCATAGATCATATGCAAAGCTTGGCTGAGATATATCATGAACTAATAAAGCCTCACATAACATTTAGCGATATCATGATTCCACTTCATTCTAGCGTGACGGGTAAGACTGTTGTTACGCCATCTCAATTGGATGCGAGCTATTGGGTTCAGAATTTACTATCTCCCGTTCTGTTTTTGACTGCAGTTGAAACTTTTTTCAATGGAAATATTGGAAACACCGCCTTTCTGGAAATCGGCCCTCACTCAGCTCTTTCCGGACCCCTGAGACAAATATTCGACAGCTACAAGCCCAAGCAGGATGCAGTCTATATTCCTACTCTTATTCGAGGTGAAGATCAGGTATCAAGCCTATTGACCGCAGCTGGGAGAGTGTACATGAAGGGTAACCCGGTTATATTCTCAGTTATTAATGGCCCAGGGAGGGTCCTAACCGATCTTCCGACATATCCATGGCAGCATAACCAGAGGTACTGGGAGGAGAGCCGGATATCCCAGCGTTGGAGGAGCCGTCAACACCCCCATCATGAGATACTGGGCTCGCGTGTTTACGAGTCGAGTGATCTAGAGCCCACATGGAGAAATTTACTACGTGTGGAACACGTCCCTTGGATTTGGGATCATAGATTGAACAAAGAAATTGTATTCCCATGTGCGGGATATATTGCCATGGTTGGAGAGGCAATCTACCAAGTCTCTGGATCTCATGGTTATTCGATCAAGAATCTATTCATGAAGACAGCCCTCAGTTTACAAGATTCCTCGGTGCTAGAACTTGTTACCAGTCTGCGTCCAGTGCAGCTCACTGATAGCACTGATTCAAAGTGGTATGAGTTTACCATCAGTTCCTGCAACCACAATGTTTGGCAAAAGCATTGCACAGGTCGTGTACGACCAGGCGAGGCAGAATGGCACCAATGTACAGAACATAGTGGGCCATTTATCAGGCATGTCGAGTCTGATCTGTGGTATGCTGCACTAAGTAGCCGAGGTCTGGATTATGGCCCTCGATTTAAGGGGCTGAAGGATATCACAGCAGACCCCGTAATCCGCCAGGCCGCTGCAACCATTACTGATGATCAAGACCTACACAATAGTAGGTATGCTCTCCACCCAGCTGCAATTGATCAGTGTTTGCAGCTTTTCAGTGTGGCATTTACGCATGGAATTTCTCGTCAAATGACCAAACTCAGCATTCCCATTTCGATTGAGAAAATTTACATCAGTAAAGGGACCTCGTCAATGTCTGTCCAGGCCAAAGGGACCAAAAGTTCTAGCAGTATGGCAAGTGGAGCTGTGTCTATGATATCCGAAAACAAGCCTGTACTGTGGATACAAGACGCTCAATTTTTCACTGTCGATGATGAGAAGGAAACCGAGCCAAACTCACGCCTGGTGTCTCGATGCCAGTGGAAGCCCGATATTGACTTCTTGCCGGCAACCGAGTTACTACTTGCTCTTCCACCAGATATGCGCTCTCGGGACCTAATTGGGAAAATCTCCAGCCTGTCGGTTATCGAGTGTTCAAGTCGAATAAAACATTTAAGCACTGAAACCCCACACTTGATTAAATATCAAAAGCAGATTGTATCTCAAGCAAATAGAATGAGTCAAGGCCGGGATGATCTTGTCCCTGAAGGTCCACAATGGTCGGCTGATACTTCTGAAGCTCGTTTAGCGATCATAGAATCTTTGAGGCGGGAGTTGGAAATAGCGTCACCAACGCTGGTATCCCTGATCAATACCTCTCAAAACGTTCTTGACAACTGTGCAAAGATCATCGAAGGCAAGATTAGCGCACTAGAAGTTCTCATGGAGAATGATGGGCTGAAGGACATATATGATAACGGATCTATGTCGGCTGATTGGTCCAAGTTTCTGCCATTGCTTGGTCACTCGAACCCAGGCCTGAGAGTGCTAGAAATCGGCGCCGGGGTGGGATCGGCTACTGCAAAAGCATTGCCAAATCTAATCCTCCCAGGAGGTACACGTTTGTATTCCAAATACACATTCACGGACATATCACCTGGTGTGCTACCATCAGCAAAGGAAAGATTCAAGGATTTTGAAGAAATTGAATATCTAGTACTAGATATTACTCGAGATCCAACGGAGCAGGGCTTTAGTACGGAAAGCTTTGATTTGATCATCGCTTCAAATGTAAGCTCAAGATGAAACCCCTTAATATGGCTTGCTAATGACGTGAATCAGGTCCTTCATGCAACACCAGTGTTGGCTGCAACCCTGAAAAACGTGCGATCTCTTCTGGTTCCAGGTGGCCGTCTTCTACTAGAAGAACTTTGCCCAGGTATGCTGTCTCCAATCATACCACTCAAATAACGATTAAATAACTAACATAGTCATAGCTATGCCATTCTTCGATTTCGTGATGGTACGTATTGCTCTCTTGTATTGACCTCAATATCTTAAAACTATATTTAACGGGTTTGTTGAAATTAGGGTGTCTTGCCAGGATGGTGGCTGGGGGAAGATGATGGCCGGACCGCAGCTCCGTATGTCACTCCTGAACGATGGGATCGAGTGCTTCGAGAGAGCGGTTTCACAGGTGTTGAAGCTGCCATATATGACAGTGAGTATCCGTACCAATTTGGTGCGGATATGATATCTCGGCGTATTGAAGTTTATCCTCCTAAAGGGGACTTGTATCTCCTTCACCATTCCAAGGTCCATCGTTGGGCATATACTGTAGAGTCCCACCTTACTGAGAAGGGCTATGCGGTTCATTGGTGCACATTAGACCAGGTTCCAGCTGGTCAAGTCATCATTTCATTACTGGACTTGGAGACCCCGTTCTTCGACAATATCTCTGAGGAAGACTTCCACACATTCCAGACTTGCATCTCGACCAAAGGAGACTGCCGGATTATATGGGTAACACATGGAAGCCAACTTGAGTGTGCGGACCCTAGATATGGCCAGGTCCTTGGCCTCGCCCGAACGCTTAGATTCGAGTTGGATGTGGACTTTTCTACGTTTGAAATTGATAAATTTGATGCTAACTCTGCTATTTCTCTCTGCAATGTATTGGAAAAGATTCAGAGCAGCCGAGAGAAACACTGGTTGGACCCAGAGTATGAATTCCTTTTACAAGATGGCATTATACACGTCGGTAGATTCCATTGGACACCCCTAGATGAAGAAAATACAACGACCAATGAACCGAACACACCCAGAGTTCTAGATATTGGGACATACGGTTTGTTGGACTCAATGTCCTGGGCTAATGGGGAAGAGGCCACAGTTGCAGAGCAGGAGGTTGGAGTAGACATGAAATATGTTGGGCTGAATTTCAGGGTAAGCATATGTGTTAGGTACTTACTTGGGAGACACACTAACTCTATGCTAGGATATCATGACTTCACTAGGAGCTCTGGGTGATAAATGCCAGTTTGGGATGGAGGGTACCGGAATCATCTCCAAGGTTGGATCGGAAGTTAGGGATCTGCATGTGGGCCAAAAGGTTCTCATTGTCACCTCAGGACTGCTTCGTACGTCCAAGGTGGTATCAGCAAAGCAGTGTATGTCAATTCCCGATGGGTTATCTTTAGAGGATGCAACAACAATGGCATCGGTATATGCTACTGTGATACTTTCCATAATACGCCTTGGGAACCTTCAAAAAGATCAGGTAAATATTCAAGATTTTTATGGCGTACCTTTATTTTTCTTCTCCGAGCTAACAAGTCATAAATATTAACAGTCTATTTTAATACATTCTGCATGTGGCGGCGTTGGTTTGGCAGCTATTCAACTCTGTCAGACAATTGGTGCTGAGGTAAAGATATTCTCTTTCTTTGTATCAAGGTCTTTTGCTAATAAACCAAGATTTTTGTGACCGTCGGCAATGAACAGAAACGAAAGTACCTTATCGAGAACTATCAAATCCCCGAGGACCATATATTTGATTCACGAAGCACCTCATTCCTCAAAGGTGTCATGCAACAGACTAATGGTAGAGGTGTTGATCTTGTTTTGAACTCTTTATCTGGAGAGCTGCTGCATGCCTCCTGGGAATGCGTTGCAGAACTTGGTCGGATGATCGAGATAGGAAAGCGAGATATCTTAGGCCATGCTCAACTAAGTATGGATGGATTTTCTGCAAATAGAGCCTATTTTGGAGTTGATCTATTTCGACTTGGTGAGACAAATGAAATGGCACTTCGACGGTAAGGCTTTTTTGATTCTCTTGACTTTGGAACGCCAGTATATTAACCAGTGATCAGGCTATTCGACGAAGTTATGGAGTTTTATCGACAAGGAAAAATCAAGCCAATTCGTCCAGTAACCGTGTTTGAGGCCAGTGAAGTTGTTGATGCTTTCAGGCATATGCAAACGGGCAAACATATGGGCAAAATTCTGATAAAAATACCAGACAGCCCAACAGACATACCACACACGCTGGGCTGCAAAAAACCCATTATTCTGTCCCCTAATGGCTCCTATCTACTTGTAGGTGGGCTTGGGGGACTCGGTCGCGCCATCACAACGTGGATGATTGAAAGGGGAGCTCGGCATTTCATTTTCTTGTCTCGATCGGCGGGAGAATCTGATTCGGACAAAGCCTTCTTACAAGAAGTTGCCGCTCAAGAATGTACTGCTACTATAGTCAAGGGGAGTGTAGCAGACTTGGATGACGTAAAACAAGCGTCCACTGTTAGTTTGAAGCCCATTATCGGCATTATCCACATGGCGATGGTCTTGAGGGTATGTAGGCTTGCAAGAGACCCCTTTTATTTGTAGGGAAACTAACACGGGAATGTATAGGATCAAACATTTGAAAAAATGACCTACGATAACTGGAATACTCCACTTGCTTCCAAAGTGCAAGGAACATGGAACTTACACAATGTTTTCAAGGACGCTCCTCTCGATTTTTTTATTCTGTTCAGCTCCGTGGTTGCTCTTGGAGGCAACACCGGCCAGGCCAACTATACCACAGCAAATGCCTTCTTGGATACCTTCGTACGCTACCGCAAATCTATGAATCTACCGGCTTGGGCTATCAATATCGGTTTCATGCAGGGCATTGGCTATGCTAGCCAGAACTCCAAACTTGTGGACAAAGCGCTTGCAAACTCGATACAAATGGTGGATGAATCCTACCTCTTCGATGCTTTACAGGCGGCTATGTCAAAATCGAAGGGCGCCGGGTCAGGCCAGTTTGCTATAGGGCTAGGTACCTCAAAGCCTCCTTCTGACTTCAAAGCTCAGCCGTTATGGCGGTTAGATGCTCGGTTTACCATGTATCAAAACCTCCAAACGCGGGTTGACAAGCCAGGCACTATTACTGCGGCAGATCTCAAAGACTTGATTGAAGACGTCAAGAAGGACCCAACCATTTTAGACACGCCGGAGACCGAAGAAAAGATTGCAAAGGAGTTGAGGATATTGATTGGCTCACGTGTGGGCCATGATGAGGATAGGGATAAACAAGAAATCGACAATATGGCCATTGACTCCCTGATGACGATAGAGATTAGAAGCTGGTTCCGTCGAAACTTATCCCTGGACATTCCGCTAATGGAGATCTCAAATGCTAAGACCGTTGGAGGCCTCACAGCGACTACCTTAAATGCTCTGCGCTCCAAATACCAGCCCCAAGCCTCGGAAGAAGATAGAGAGGATAGTGGCACATCTGAGCACGAAGCCTCAGAGGTTCAGATCTTGGAGGCTGATACACAGTTAGGTATCAAGTTGCGACCCATTCCAGGACCAATTATCGATTGGAAGGGTGAGTCCGAAGGTCGGGTATTCCTGACCGGAGCCACCGGTTTTGTCGGGGCATCCATGCTTGCATCACTCCTTGATCAGTCGTATGTCAAAACGGTTGCTTGCCTTGTGCGAGCCAAAGACGAAGACGCAGGAAGAGAACGCATTGAGGAAACTCTCAAAAAATACGGCATCCAACGAGAACTTGGTGAGAGACTTATAGCTGTCCCGGGAGATTTGTGTAGTCCAACACTAGGCCTTGACAAAAGGAGATTTGAGGAGCTATCGGGGTGGGCAAGTGTTGTCTTCCACCTTGCCGCCCAAGTGAACTATCTCCAGCCCTATTCTGCCCACCGCGAAGTCAACCCGCTTGGAACGTTTAATATGCTTCGGTTTGCCACGAACAAACGGCCAATAACTCTTCATTATAGCTCAAGCCTTTCGGCATGCGGGCTAAACGCTTATGTTGGTAAACAGCTCATTCCAGAAGATGAGAAGCCGACTGTTGACCTAGACGATACTGGCCCTAAGAGCGGATACTCACAGAGCAAGTATGCTGCGGAGATGATATTATGGAACGCTATATCTAATGGTATCCCCGTATCCATTTATCGCCTTGGCCTGGTTCTAGGACATAGCGTTACTGGTATTGGCAGCACCGACGATGCTATCTACAGGCTGATGTCCAGTTGCATCCAGCTTGGAAGCTATCCCATTGCACCTAAACAGCGCAACCAGTTTGTCCCAGTGGACTTTGTGATTTCGTGTCTCCTAGAAATTTCTGCGTCCATGGAGAATATTGGCCACGCCTACAATGTTATGCAGCCAGACCAGGATGCAGTGGCTGACTTCCCAGCAATATTCGACATGCTGAGTCAATCCTGTCCCTTCCCGCTGCGGCCTATTCCATACGAGGACTGGGTTCAAGCTCTTACCAAGCTGCAAACCACCGGAATGAACGTGTTCCTGACAACTATGGAGGATCGAGACCATCAACGCCATACCGTCTGGTGGGACATAACGGCGGAATCGTATTCCTATGGCACTGGCAATTTGCGTCGAGCACTGGCACACCGTCCAGATATCCTGCAGCTTCCCACAATAGATAAATTGATGAAGACGTGGTCAGCTCAGTGGATAGAGGGAGCTAGCGCAGGCAGCAAGCCGACGCCACCAACCAAGCGTGCCGAGAACATCTAAGCTGAGCTATCCAGCAATATGTTCGAATACATAGAGGAATACCTGCAGTGCTTGGAGGGCCGCATTAATCACCCTGGGCCACAAAACACAGGTTCACTCCAGGTCCGCTACTTTGTCATTCTTCATAGTTTCATGTAGCGGAAGGTCAGCTGTGGGAATAATAGCCCAAATCCCGATTATGTATATAGTACAGCATTCCCCCCGAGGGCCCCTTTCCAAGCAATGCCTTGATCTTATAGTTTTATGGATCACCTAGTTAGACAATAGAATCACTTCTGAATCACCTGGAACGGATCCCTAACAGTATCTGGATGAGTGAGGGGTTGGGGTTGACAAAAATTGGTAGCATAGAACTAGATATAAAGAATGAAAATACAGTATTAGACAACCCGCAACTACGAGGTTATATAAGAGCTTCTTGCATCTACCCAAGAATTAAAGTGGCAAGGAATCCAATATATCTGGAACTCCTAAACCCATCGTGCGATATTCGCGAGCGCAGTGTTAAGGGGAGTCTCCCAGAGCGCTGCCCCTGTCTATGTGAGCATTGAAGCTCCCGTCTACGTGCAGTGGTAAAACAGCCATGTTCTCCTACTAGAGTTGGGAAGGAACCCAGATATTCATTTGACTCGTAAAGGAAATTTTTTCTATACCAGCTACTCTGTACATGCAACCTAGTTGAGTGAATGGAAGAGCCAGACGTTGGGCTCGCAGTACTCACCCACGTCTCTGCTCGGGTAGTACAGCATCGGCGCCAGGCAGCCACTGGGCGTGAAGATGACAGGCGCCTCTGTGCTACCGGCCTCCACCCAGACACGCTTCCGCTGCTCTACGGCCTTGTCTGCCCGCTGGCGGACATCGAGGTCGCACCATGTCTTCCACTCGGCTGCGCTACCCCGGATGAACATGCTCTGACGCGCGATCTTGACCATCTTAGCCCCCAGGCGGATGTGTTTGCGCAGCCAGGGGTCAAAGGGGACAAAGGCCGCGGAGTCCTCTTCAGGCACAGGGATAGGGGCAGCAGCAGTCTCTGGCTTGCCGTTGGTATTGTTCTTTACTGTGTCTTTGCTAGTCTCGCCCGCCGGGCCTTCTGTCTGTCTGCTCCATCCGAGGTATTCGGCCATGTCGACGTGTGGGAATTCAGCCTTCCGGGTAGGCCGCAGCGGCACGACGAGGATGGCCAGGTTTTCGGCCTGAGCAACGTCTTTCATTGCCTTGATAAGCATCTCGGCGACGTTGTAGCTTCTCCAGGCGGGGAGGACGGCAATGGCCAGAGCAGAGAGGGCGTTGGGGGCTTCTGTCAGGGCCCAGCTATCCATGTCCGTGACCTGGTCGTGGGTGAGGGCTACGGGCTCCATCTTCTTCTTGCGCTTTCGGGCGACAGCTTGGTGCACGCCGCGGGCCAGGATGGTGTCGAAGCCTCCGTCCGGAAGCGTTCGCAGGACCGCTGCAAAGTCTGATGCCTTGCTGTTGTTCCCGATGTCCGCCAGCTCCCTCCAGAAGAACGGTATGCAATTGCCGTTCCCGACGATGGTTTCTTTGCCATGCAGCGTGTGGACGGCGACGAGCTGGCATTTAGCGAACTCGGGGAGGTCGTATAGCTTTTCGAAATGGCGCTGGGTCGTTATAGCACCGTCCAAGAACTCGGGCCACATGTATATCAGCGGGCAGTCATCTCGTTTGGTGAGGGCTAGGAGGTCTGGTCGCTGTGCTCCAGTGTACACAGTGACCTTCCCAGGGTCCTTCTCATCAGTGTTAGCTGGCATTTTCGATCTATGCGTCCGTCGTCGAGGAAGGGTTTTGGTCTTGTGCTTCGTGAGTACGGAGTATATGTAGAATGCTCTTGAGACAGTCACTTATGACAATCTCGGATTTCTATGCCTACGAAGTACGAAGTATGCATGCCGACCAGCCCTATCTATATATGCGCGAGGCTATGAAGTCACTACGTAGACAATCAACTATTTGAGCAGTGGAAAATTTTTGGGGCTGGCGCATTCCCAATTGTTAGTTAACTAGTCAAAGGATTTCTCCGAACTAGTTAGTTACCAAAACTGCAGCTGAAAAATGGAAAAAGTAACACGCTCAAGCCAAAATCTTAACTAAAATCCATGAACAAGGTGCTCTGTGGATAGCTATGCGTCTACTAGGATTTCCATGTACACTTGGCTTGTCCAAGAAGTCACCATACTCCCTATAAAAAGCAGTACTTTTTCGTCATTTTACTATTAACAACGTGGAGTCAGTCACAGCTGAAATACTCCGAGAATAGGGGATGGTACGAGTGACTAGGGTACCCTTGCAATACCCCTGTCTGTGGCTTGTTTTTAGTAGCTCCTAAGAAAGCATTTTGATACTTGAGTATGTACACTGTTAAACGTGATATCCTTGCCCTGGCGCCCACTAAGGCCTGATTTGGCAGCGTAAGGCAGGCGAATATTCCAGGTCAAAAACGCAACAGTATCCCCCTAAAATGAGTGCTGCGACCCCGTCATATGATACTCTATTAACTTCAAAATCCCAACACTATGGCGATACTCACTTTTCTATTCACTAACGAATAGTAGTTGCACGAGTGACTGGAAAAGTGACCGTAAATTAATTCACAAACACTCCAGCTCAATTATTGTTATATAAATGTTGCTCAAGAACACTTATACCTTTCTGCTTTTCAAACCGCTTACCGCCTCTGCCAGTTCGAGAATTTACCGCGCGGCTGCTAGGTTTTGGCTTGGCGCTGCTAACTATTTATATACATTCTGTGGGGCGCACTAGACCAAACAGAGAGGTCTATGTAATTATACAGAGCTTCGCGTCGACTTCAGCTTCATAGACATCGACATCGACATCACCAGCTGCTTCGCCGTCAGGGACGAAACCGTCATCGACATTCACTGAGTACACGCCCGTGAACGCAGATCAAGATTAGAGATTAGTTACGAGCCGCACGCCCAAGCAAAAAGCAAGCAAGCAGGCAGGCCCTATTCCGAGCTGAACAGGCGCCTGTCTCACAAGCTTCGCAGCTCGAAATCTCACCTCTTCCTTACTCGCCGCCCACACAACGCTGCCCTGCCTTCTCACGATGTTGCATAAGTTGGAACGCAAAGAGGGATCTTCCTCCGATGACTCCTCGGCACTCCTCTCTCCCCGGACCCAGTCAGCTGAGTCTTCCTTAAGCCCTGATGACGCAAATCCTCCGTTCTGGGCGCCTGGCGATCGGCCCGGCCAGAAGGGCCTCCTGGACCGGAGACGGCGAAAATCACGTCTTATTAGAAGCATTTGTCTGGACGCGAAGCAGCTACGGGACGTGCTCCGGTTCATACTGCATAATGATAGCCCCGATGGCATCAAGTGGACTCCCGACATCCTCTTTGCCTACGTTCCCAGGACATTTGAGGACGCTACTACTACAGAGACTATCGCCGCTCAAGCCCTCTTTCATGTCATCGCCCCTTCCCTCGCGGCGATATTCAAGACGTAAGTTTATGCGTACCATGATGTCTTTTATACCGTGTGACTGTGCTAACGTTGTTATCTGACAGCACTCATAGCAGCGTCTTGTCTCTAAATAAATATCCACAATACGTCGTGTTTGAGTTCTTCTGGCATGGTAGCCCGCCAGTCGTACCTCTGGAGTTGCGTGACTTGCCGAATATCAAGTTAACCCGCGAAGAACCAGAGATGATATACCCGGACACTATTAAGTCTGGAAGTAAGATTATTGTTCCAGATCAACTTTCATTAAATCTTAATAGCACATTTTCTTTCGGAACTGTTGGCTATGTCGCCGTGATCGAAGAGCTTGGCGAGCGGCGGTTGGTCCTCGTCACAGCTGGTCACGTAGTCGATGGTGCCCACTCAATCCAGGTACAAGATCAAAAGCAAGAAGATAACACTTATGAGTAGGTCGTTCCGGGGGTTCCCTTATTCCGGAGAGGGGAACCCGTCAACGCCCCCCCAGCATCACTCAATGAGACATGTCTCTTAAAGACCTACCAATACCTCGTTCTGCTTTACGACGGGTGGGTGAGCATGTCGACTGCAACCGCCTCAATCCTGACCCTGATATTCACGACGACTCTGCCTTAGTAGCCCTCGACCCAAGGCTAGGAAATATGGTTGCTCTTCGACGACTTGTGAATGAAGGCAATGGTATTCCAGTCTACAAATGCGGTGCTTCAACATCTTATACCGCCGGGATCTTGTACGGCATTGACTGAGATCGTTCTGAACCGTGTGTCAACAGACTAAAAGCCCGGTGGACGTCTGTTGAAGAACCATTTGCAGAGGAGGAGACTCCGGAAGCCTTGTTTTTGCCAAAGATAGCAGCTATATCATATTGGAATACTTCCACTTTAGCTACGACTAGCACTCATTACCCAAGGATACCTTGGGGCATTAGGCCTTTTTGTCCCTTGTGGACCAACATATTATACCCTTGGGGGTACACTGCGGGTCTAAAGGCACAACAAGCTATTCCCTATCTCTATGGTTGATATGTGAAGACATATCAACTCGGCTTGACGCGGATCTATTCTTCCGTAGCCCGAATGATTTACCTCTTTTTGTCCCTTCCGATGCGTGAGTTTGAACTTCAAGGCGCTGACCGCTCCGCTTCTACAGTCAATTTTACCGATCAGAGGCTACAAAGCTCACCACGTCTGACTGCTCTACTTTGCCAATCGGACGCTATATGGTCAATTTCAATAGGGCGGTATGATGTAACCCATAGGGCTTTATAGCTCAGATATAGCCTTGATTACCCTGCACAGGAACCAGACGAGGCTTGCCTATATGCAGTGCAGTTTTCCAGGAATTCACCACCCTCGAAAGATCTAATTTATGCAGTCAGTGGTTTGGGTACTACTAGAGATACTCTTGGTTATTCATCAATACCTCGCAGATACCCGCCAATTTCCAAGCTATGGTTGATGCTTGATGTGTAGCTTCAAGGAACCGGAATTATATAAATAACGAATGTTCTCCTGGTCAACAGTCAACAGGTCTGATTGATTTATTAATAGTATGCCATTACCAAAAACCACCCTGTGGTTCAATATCCGTATCAATGGTTGTCAGTGGCAGCAACACGGGAAACTTAATGAACTGCCTATCCCAACTGAAGCCATTACTCATTCCTAATGGAGACGATATGATCTTACTACTCAAGTTTGTTTCGTAATAAAGGCGGCCCTTTGACATGGATGTTGTACACTAGTTACTATACTGGGACTATCAAGCCTCATATTTACAGTTATTTATCGCCGTTTAGTCATAAATTGGACAATTCGTGGCAACATCATGCCGCACTGCGGCGCCCTTCTGGCTAATCGCCCCCTTACTATTTCTACCCTAGAAATACTGGCTAAAAATGATAAATCATCAAGCTTCAAACATTTAACTAGATAATAGACTGTACGGAGTACTCTGTGCTCCCATAGTTAACTAAACAAGTTGTACAGAGTAGGTAACTTGCTTCTCCTTGCTCCGATCAACTTCCATGCCAACCTTTATCAGAAGCTGCGCAAATGGAAGCTAGTTACCCATACGTTTTCCAGCCGTTTCTTATTGAATGGATGAATATTAGTTCGGTTAAAGGTGACTACCTAGTCTGCATGCTCTACGTTAACTGGTTAACTTAATACTAAAGATAATTGGCTGGTTAACCTGAAATCCAACAAATTAACGACTTATAAAGGTTTCGACCAGAGATTAGTGGTCTTGGTCGAACGCCACGCCATTACTATTGGCTGACTGAGTTAAGCGCTGCTCGGACTCAAAAGGCAATTTTGATTTTCGTCTTCAGGCTTTCTTTGGCTTGACAACGCAGGCTGGATGTTTAGAACAAGTTCAGAAAACGAAAGATGGTAGCCAGCGCGAATCGACTTTACCTCGCTCGGCCACTCTTTGCACGGCCGGTGCGTGTGGCATCATGTCTCTTCAGCACAACAGCGACGCCCGTAGTGGCTCCCGGGGTGAATGAAAGTCAGGCCATAGACGAGCTACGCTTGCTGCTCAAAGCTGGCTGGGCACTCGACGAGCGTCGCTGTGGCATTGAGAAGGCCTACTACTTCAAGACATACACAAAATGCCAGGTATGTATGTTGTTAGCTGTTTAAGTCTAGGATTAGAATGTGTGTGTCCAGCTTTAACATATCAAACCAGGACTTCTTCAATACTGTTGCCATACGGAGCAAGGCAAAGAACCACCATTCCACCATGACAATTGTAGACACTGCCTTTCTTCCACCCCCATGATTATCCTAGATATGGTTAACTTGCTAACACCTCTGCTTTTAGAAAGCCGGCTCTGTCCACGTCCACTGGACAACCCATCACCCTCGTGGGCTCACGCTTCTGGATACCGTCATGGCCCGGTACTGTGATGAGCAGTCAGCGTCAATTGGAACGGTTGACCAGAGCCAAAGCAAAAAATGCCATCCTGCGCTGGCTTAGTCTTTGCCTGGCTAGCTATTATTACTTTTAGACCAAGGGAGTTAGCCGGGTTTTGTCAAGTGCTATTATTATTGTACTATATATACCCTATCCGTTATAACAATGCTCTCTCTCTCTCTTCCTCGATATTCAATCGTTTCACGTGTCGATTTTCGTATATATGTTTATCCTATTGTTACCACCACAGTGCTGAGTTTTGTTTCCCGAGCAGAAGAAGCCACAGTCTGATTCAGGCTGCATGGTGCTCTCTGGGAATAGATCGGCTCCACAGTAACACTCACTGAAGTACTCAATACCAAAGTATTTCGTGCCGTTGCAGAAAGCGGCACACAGCTCCACCGTCATCTTCTCGTTATATGTCAAGCTGCCTGATAGGGTTCGGTTACTGGGGGAGTCGCTGTAGCATCCCGTATAGTTGTACCCGGGTATCTGAGGGTTGGTGGTGGGAATCCATGTCTTGTCTTTATAGATACCAATCCGATACCCTGCACCGCAAGTCTCAGAGCTATCACCACCGCATGGCTGGTTACATTCTGACTCGGGCGCTTGCATGCTGGAGCTGCTCCTTGAGTTTCCGCAGTAACATTCAGTCCCATACTCGAGGCCAAAGAATTGGTAGCCTTTGCACAGGCCAGAGCATGCGGCAACCGTCATGTTCCCGTCCACGAATGCAGCACCAGTCAGAGCTCTCGACTCGGGAGTATCGGTGTAGCATCCATCAAAGGTGTAATCCGGCATCGTAGTGCCGTTGGAGCCAAAGGGAACGCACATTGAGCCTAGGTCGGCGGTGTTCTTGAATGAATCCGATACCACCGCTCCGCCGCTCGAGAGGGAGACATCAAACTTGGCACTGGATCTGTACGCAGCTGCGAGGGTGAAGTTCCCGGAATACAGCGTATATGGGCCAACAGTTGTCTGTGATAGCATTGGGACCGACTGAGTCGTCAAGGCTGGAGTCACACAGCAACTTCGCGGCGTTTTCGTCGTGACAGCGAGCTTCACCTCTGGTGAATTAGCACTGTCCCGGACCTTGGGTGAAATCTGTCAGCCTATTGTTTTTCTCTTCTTTAATTCAAAATTTGAAAACAACACGAGGGTAGGTAGGGTCATACAGCGGCTACTACAACGAGATTCCCAGGCGCATTTCCCCCAACGACGCAACTCTGCTTAGGCTGGAGCATGATAGTGTCCTGGACAGGGTATCCCGACGCATTGTTATCGTAAATAACTGTCTCACCCGTGGTAAGGACTATCCGTACGTTGAACTGGGAGATGGACGACTCGACGGGGAGGCTGGCATCAAATCCGTAGAACTAGGGCCATGATCAGCATCCATACTGTGGGTTTTTTAAGTAGCTAAAAGGGAAATGGGGATTGGTTACAGCGAAGGAGTCATCAAAGCCTTCGGCGGCACCCTTGTATTCGGTACTGATAACACATGATCCGCAGCTGGAGCCTCCCATACGGTCCTTGTAAACAAGCTCGACCTTTGCGATCGATGTTGCCGGCCGGACAGTGGTCCTGACCCTGATCTCGCCAGTGAAAGAAATGGTGCTGCCATTGCCGGCCAGGTACAGCTGCAGCCCACTCGGCTTCACTTCATATGGCTCTAGGGGTTCCGTCAGGTTCACGCCTGCAGGAACAACCTCTATCATCTTCTGGAGAACCCTGGCGCATGTCGTCCGAAATGTTGCCTGGTCAGCCAGCGCCTTGATGGTGACATTCTGGTCGGCCGTGAAGACCTTTGTATCCGAATCCCGCTGGTTTCTCTTTGCCGTCGAGCTGGTAAGGGGATTCCCGGTCACTCCGCCCACAAAGTCCACCGCGACCTTCTCGTCGAAGGCGGCAGTCGAGTCAAACAGCTGGAAGTCCTCTGGCGCAGACCCCGGAATCACGATCTGGGGGAAGTTCGAGGCGTGGACGCCGCCCATCGTATGTCCGCACGCGGTAACAGCTATCATGTCCGCGATATCGAATCCAGTGCGCGTAAACTGATTGATAAAGGTGCCCTGCGAGTTCTCCGGCACCGGCACCCCTATTGGCCCCCGTGCAGTGGCATCGACTCTGCCGGCCTTGACCTGGATGACCGGTCCGCCGCAGGACCTGACTGCCGTGCGGACGCCGAGGGCTATCAGGTCGGCCATGGACGACCGCGTCGAGAAGAAAGGGGTGAACGTCTCCAACGTGGTGTTGAATCCTGCGCCGATGTTTTCTCCTCCTCTGCCGCCTAGCTCAAACACGATCGAGGCATCGAGGCCGCCGACGCCGGTAAAGACGTTGCCTGTAGCCATATCGTGGAATGCAGTGCGCACCCACTCGGCCGACGCAATTCGAGACGGGCCCTGCTTGGAGAACGAGCACGGAGTGACGCCGGCTGAGAATCCGCGGGCGTGATAGCCGGTGTTGAGAAACATGAGATCCTCCAGCTCGTCGACGGCAGATGGCCAAGTGGGCAGCGCGAGGGCTCCGGACAGCGCGAAGGCTGCCCATACGACGGGCTGGTTCATCAACATCCTCACCGTCCTCTTCGTCGTCTTCCTCTTGCTGGAGCTAAAGCTGGTGGTAATTGTCCTCCAGGTAGGTCCCCTGGTGCCAGAGCGCCCCTGGAGTTGGGCTGTACTTAAGTATAACCAGCAGCCAGCGGACGACAGGATGTATGTAGACAGCTATAGACAGCTATTTGCTTTAAGACAGGCAAAAAGGACGCCGTCAGCCCTTGTCCATGCGCTCTGCCTGCTCGATAGTTGCGGTTGCGGTTGCGGAGTAAACAGCTGGATGTTGCTACCGGCAGCTCAGGGGGGTATACAGGGAGTTATGCATCTTCGCGCATCACAACATGCGGCTCGCGGCATCAGGACGAGATGCCCGCTGCCGCCAATATAGTTAAGTACTTAGGATATCAAATCCGCGTGCCTCGATAGGCCGATAGCTTTCTCATCTTAGAAAGTTCCGTTCTCTCCGCTGTCCAGTTGGATATCTCGCGGGAGTTGATCCTTGATCCATGCTGCGTCGGAGGCCAGGGGTTGTCATGAAAAAGAAAAGACAGACGCCGGCGAGCTGCATCTCGGAGGGACTAAGGATGCACCTAAGTGGATCAGGCTAATATAATGATTGAGATCTGGGCCGTTGGACTCCTCTTTGCTTTTTCCCCTGATGCCCTTTCTACTGGTGGCTTCACGATGGGTTCTGACGTATATATAAAAATAGCAGTGCCCCTGGTCAATATCACGAAGTATTAAGTGCCAATGTCTCAGCTCTGCATGCACAATCACAGATTTCCTTTCTGTCCTCTCACTGCATCTGTTGCCCGAGGAAAAAGCTGGGGTAGCAGATATGCCTGTCTCAGATGCGCTGGAGCCACCAGCCAGCGCCACAGAGGGTGCTTCTTGTTGGCTCTCTTCTCTGTGCAAGCTGCCCAAGAGTCTTCTCGTTAAAGCTCGTACAGTTAATCATTATTGGCGAAGAAAGGGGGAGGCACCGAAATACTATTTGATGCAACGCTGTGTGAATGCTAGGGTAAAATAGGTCTATCTAATGCATGATGGCTAAATTGCAGCTAATGATGGTCAACCATCAGGTAAGACAGTAGGAAATTAAAGGTAGGGGAAAAGAAAAAAAAGGCCGACATGGAATACATATGCACCTCTAAACGCCACAAGTATTGGGACAGATACAACCGTGAAACAGAAATTAGTTAGTAGTTGAAGATCATGAGCGAGGGATTGAGAAGCAAGGGGAGCAGAGCGTGGAGAGACAGGGTCACGGCCATGGGAACGACGGCAGCAACCTCCTTGATCTCCCAACCTCGTGGCGCGAAGTTCCCAAGATATATCATCCCACCGATCAGGGGGATCAGGATGGCATACATCCACTTGAAGCTCTTGAAGATCTTGGGTATTTCCTTGAAGAAGTTGGAGTCGACCTTCTCTTTTGCCGTGGCGCCCCATTCCATCTTGATAGAGAGCATGTGGGAGAGGAGTGCCAGACTGAGATGAAACGAGACGCCGCCGAAGAAGATAGCCATCATGGGCATCCATTTGAAGTTTTCGATGAGAGCGGACCAGAGGCTCTTCTCTGAAAGACGGGATCGGATGATGGCAAGGGTTACATTGCCGAGCAGTGAAAACACAACGATAAGACTCAGGAGAACTGGACAGATTGTTAGCTAGGTCGACCTAAGTGTTAGTGTTAGTGATACATACCTTTCCAGGATTCGATGTAGAACTTGTCCAAGTAGCCGTTGAACCATCCTACCAAAAAGTAATTCAAGATAGTGAGAGGGAAGCCAGAGGCAAGAGCATAATCTGGTATAAGTTAGCATGGGTACACTCCAATAGACAGCAGGGCTCTTACAGGAAGAGATATATCCCAGGATGGTAATCTTAGATGAAAGCTGCATGTTGCACCAAAGGAATGTCATGAAGAGCTTAGTAAAAGGGCCCTTGTAGATCCAGGTATAGATCGGGTTGAACACCAATTCATTGCATCCATAGGCGTATCTACAGGGATTGGTTAGCATACTATCCAAACCTGAAGGTGTAACAGGATAATACATACTTTTCCCATCTTGCCAATTCATCGTAGATAGTCAGAGATACACCTTCCTTGAACTCATCACCGTGGTAGCTCGCTAGACGAACGATATCACCAGCAATTTGCAGCCGAAGTGCAATGTCAAAATCTTCAGACACATGGCTCTCGGACCAGTAGGCTACATAGCCGTCGTCCGGTTTTCCCACCGATTGGACAGCTGGTTATTTTTGGTCAAAGTGAGCATATTATTGGGTGTATAATCAGGACCAGTGTGAACGTACCCTTCCAGCGAAGAAATGCATTGTGGCCGACAAAAGGCGCCGTTTCACCACTGCCAACCGCAAAACGGATGGACGAGTAGATCAGGTTGGTAAAAAATGTAATTCCATTCTCGAAATAATCTCCAACGACCTGCATGACACCAGTTGAATGTTGAATAATAGCCACTTCAGGGCTTAAGAACATTTCGGCTGCCCCGTAGAGTAAGCAATCGACTGGCTGTGAATTTTATTATTAGTATTGAAGTTTTGAATGATGATATTGGGGGTTTATCATACCACTCGAGTATCAGCATCGACAATGAGAATTGCTTCTCCGATTCGGATATCTCCTGCGGCTTTGATCCGGCTATCAGATTCGAGAACTTCCTGCAAGGCCAGCTTGTAATAGGCTTCTTCTTGAGAAGCATCGATCATTTCGGTTGTATCCAAGGTATCTGCGAGCATCTCCAGCAGCCTGTCTTCTACTTTGTTTGAGACATTGAGCGCAAAGTTCATGTTAGAAGCCTTTTTGAACCTGCCCTTGCGGATGTAGCCATCCTCGTTGTTCTTTGGCCGCGAGACCCATCCGATGTTATTGTCATGATAATAGCTGATGCGTTCTTCCCGCTGCTCCTCAGAGAGATATGCGAGGCCGTCATCATTGACAAAGATTGTGGCAGTTCCTATTGTATGTGTCATGTTAGTCTTGGAATCAAAGGGAAAGGAGCAATTGACAGTATCTGATAGCCTGTACGTACCTCCGTGGGATTCGTAGTAGGATATGGCAGCTTTCAAACTGGTCACTGTAGGGATAATAACACCAGCGAGGGACTCAGTATATACCGGCAGCTGAATGGTGATGCGAGGCGGCTTGAAGCCCATGGCATAGGCCTGCGAGAGATCCGGCCTAACGGGGGAATAGAAGCGGGAGTTCGTTTTCAGCGTCTTGATGGGCCCAATGGCCTGGAATAAGTCTGAGAATATAACAATGACAAAGAAGACGCTAAAGAGCATGAATATCGGCAGAGAGGCAACCAATGCGAATCTAATGTATGATCCATCCACGAGAGTCTGGAGAAGGAGGTTCGAGACACCAAATCCTAGGAGGAGCACCACGATCAGACACATTCCCAGGCCCACGAAGATGGAGCTTGTCAGGGCCAATGGCCGGTCCAGGGACTCTATTGGTGCGGCTGCCTCTTCATCCCGGACACACAGGGGTGGGTTTGCCAGTCCACTGGCTTCTTTGTTCCAAAGGGGCACAATGTTGCGGGTAGATGCAGCTGGGGATCCGATAGTGGAATGTGGAAGAGAGTGATGCGGCGTCTGCGAGGGAGCAATGACTGAGATACGAGTTCCGCAGATCTATAACAGCAAATGTCAGTATTTGTCTTGATATTGATATTCGTTTGAACCATAGGGATGTCATACAAAGGCAAGGAGCTTCTCTTCAACGTCCTCAGCATGGATAAGGATCTTTTCGAGCTCGTCATGCCAGATCAAGAGGAGCCTCTCCTCCCTAACCAGCGCAACGTACTGAAACTTCTTGACTGCACTAGACGGTGAGCAGGCAATCTCAGACAGAGACTGGACTACCTGGACTTGGAAGCCGGAAGGGAGAATCAGCTCGGTCTGGTCTGGCTGCAGGATAGAGAAGATGATCCTAGTGATCTCCGTGGCCATGGTGAAGGCGACGGCGACATTGATCTTCTGCACTGCGCCGAGCAGCAGCGGATGGACCAAATCCGGCTCGGAGATGTAGACGCCTCGGGACTTTCGAAGCAGCAAGCCATGGTATTCGCTGTCAGGGTCTGATGGGGGAGGGCACCATTTGCTGGTAGCAAGCCTTGCATGCAGATATTTGATTATCTAGAGCCGTCAGTTCTGGGGTATATATAACGCGATTGAATAGATTGGATGATCAGATGGATGAACGGAATGAGGCCTTACTGCTCGGTACTTTGCATCGTCGTCAATTCCAACCGGTGTCTGTGTCCCTGAGTGGGAGATTGGTCGACTGGATGACTCTTGGAGAGAAGATAGGCCGGACTGCCTTGGGAGAGACGGAGGCGCAGACTGAAGCTGTTGCTGCTGCTTCTCTTTCTGCTTGCTGTCTGTCTTTGAACGTTTCCAGAACATCCCTGCGGTAACTATAGCTGTGTATGGCCAGGCCTGAACGACTGGAAGACCGGCTGATGGAAGGGATACGAATCCCCTTAAGAACGCAGGAAGAAGTGCATCCGGGACGCTGCTTGGGCAGAGATATCAGAGAGATCAGGCAACGCCGGTGGCTGTCGAGAACTCAAGATATCAAGGCAGCGCAAGTCTAGACGGCCTGAAAATCTGATAGAGATAAGGGACTGAGGGAAGAGAAAAGCCACGCCGGCTCCTCTCGTCTTCTCGTCTCTTCTCGTCTTCCCCTGCCGGCAGCTGAGGCAACGAGCAAAGCCTCATGTCATGAGCTGGCTAGCTTTTTCTTCTTGTCTCAGGGATCTTTTTCCCCATCGGGAGGATGCCTGTCCATTCGACAAGTAGCAAAGTTCCTTCGATTGCTTCCAAGGGGACTCCGTAAGAAGTAGGTAAGCCAGTCCTCCGGGCATGCTTGGACGGGACTCGACGGCGTGGCAACCAACGCCCGGCTATGGGATCCCTGCATGGAAGATATCACATATTGCGAGCGCTACCGATAACACGGGCACGCCCTTGTTCTTTTTTTTTTTGGCCTCTTTCTTCCCTTAATCTTGTCTGACTGCTTGCTTTTTTTGCTTTCCCTGGTCGAGAACAAGCCGGACGCCGCGTAGGGGTCCATCTGCTAGCTGACTACTCCGTAGATAGATAACCAGCAGCTACCCTGTGCGGCCAGCAACGCAGTGCAGCGCATGTAGTCCACTACTCAGAGACAAGATGACAGGACCGGGGTGATGCCCGCTGGCCAACAGGGTGTGTCTCGTCAAGCGAAGGCAAATATACTCCAAGGACTGCCCGGCTGTCTCCTGTGCGTCTGAACAGGGGGGGTCTCTCTCCCCTTCATGAGCTGTCCAGATGCAACCGTAATTTAAGTAGTTAACTGGATATGGAGCGTGAAGCAGCAGAAGCAGCATCTCCCAAGGCTTGCATCACTTGGCCGAGTCTTCCGTGATATCCTGTAGCTCAACTAACTAGTTATATGCTCGCTGTCACCGTGAGACTGCTGGAAAAAGGGGGCAGACGATCCCCCATACTCCGCATGTATATACGGCTGCCACAACGGCCTGCCCCTCCATCACCGATCGATCTGCCAGCTCGAGCCACGCGAAGAAGACGAAGAAGACGGCGAAGAAGAAGTTAGTTGACTTAAGGACGCAGATCAAAAGATCCGCCGGCGAGCAAAAGAAGCAAAGAAGGCGAGACTAGGGGGAAAAAGCAAGCAAGCAAGCAACTTCTTTGCTGCAGGAAAAAACAGCCATCGTATTCGCTAAGACACGAAGGGACAAGTCTTCTCACCAGCCTCGCACAATTTAATGCCATCGCAAACACCGCGAGAAGGGGAAATTTCTTCCGTTCCATGGCATGGAGGAAGCAAGGAGTCAGGCATGAAGCATGAAGTAACTGTAACTATATGCAGTTATCCGGTGCACGGCCAGGGGGACCCCCCCGTTCGCCCGGTGGCTCTCCAGATGGCCCTTTTTTTTGCTCGAACAGCCAGCCAGCCATGTAGCTAGATGTCTAAGAGTTACGGAGTATACTTGAGATATCCGGGTCCCGATCTTCTTGTCTTGGATTACCAGGAAGAAGCCATGCAGAGAGGGCCTGTTGGGCCGTTAAGGGTGTGCCGATATTATGGGCCGTCAGGGGTATAGCATCGAGTCGCTATATACTACTTATACACGGCCAGGCGTCTGACGAAGGCGACGGGCGGACAGCATAAAAAAGATTGAGATGACCGGCTGGACGACAGTGCCACAGCTCTGAGAGCTGAATTCTGCTGTCTGATGCCTATACCTGATACAATATCTGATAGTTATCCGAGATAGTTGTCAGAGATGGAGAAGCCAGCTTTGCAGGACCCCTTTGCCAGCAGCGTGGCCACCTCAGTGCGGACGGCCTCATACCACTCACAGCCGTCCGATAGACAGCAGGGCCGGCGGCAGCAGTTCAAGTCATACCGACTCAACGGCGAGTATGAGCGGCCGTGGCTGGGGGACAGCCGTCTGAAGCGCTCGCGCGTTGGCTCCTACATCATCTGGGGGCTTATCGGCCTGGGGCTGGCTCTCAGTGCGTACATCAACTTCACCGTCACGCAGAAGGTGTCGAAGCACCAGGTAGGCTACTTTTTAATAGTTCTACATATTCGATAGCAGTGGTCATAGCTAATAGTATATATAGTATTGCCTGATACTGGACGACCAGTTTTCGTCTCTCAATGAAGACACATGGAACCGCGAGGTCCAGGCATGTCGAACCAACCACTGATGTATCACTGAATAAAATACTAACTGCAGACATAGATCGGGGGATTCGGGACAGGCGCCTTTGACTGGACCACGACGGACGAGAAGAACGTGTTTGTCGACAGTGAAGGCCTGCATATCGTCCCTACACTGACCACAGAGTCAACCTCCATTACCCCTGAGCAGCTGGTAGATGGCTACACGCTCAACCTGACTGCGACCGGCGGTGACGGTTCCTGCACAGGGAAGACCAATGCTGCCTGCTCGATACGCTCGAACAAGACGACGGGGGCCATCATTCCGCCTGTCCGGTCGGCGCGATTGAACACCCTGGGGAAGAAGAGCATCCGCTACGGGCGAGTGGAGGTCGTGGCGAAGATGCCGCGCGGAGACTGGCTGTGGCCCGCTATCTGTAAGTCTATGTCTATCCCTACACCAACTAACTAGCTATTGATACGATACTGACATGGCTAGGGATGCTGCCGGTCAACGAGACATACGGCCCCTGGCCCTCGAGCGGCGAGATCGACCTCGTCGAGACCCGTGGAAACGACGTCGACTATCCCGCTGGCGGCAGAGACGTCATGTCCAGTTCCTTGCACTGGGGTGAGCTCTATCCGTTTTAATCCCTCTCATATAAATATCTACGTTTGTGTGAATGGCTAGCTAATTGTTGCTGAAATTAACTAACAGGCCCAACACCGGAGACGGACTCGTTCTGGCGGTCGACCAGGGGCCGCGAGCTGCGGCGAACCGACTTCTCCAAGGGCTTCCACACCTTCGGCATCGAATGGTCGAAGGACTACCTGTTCACCTATATCGACAGCCCGCTGCAGCAGGTCCTCTTCTGGAGCTTCAACAAGGACCAGACGATGTGGCAGCGAGGCCACTACGAGGGTGTCACCGTCAACTCCTCGCTGGTCAGAGACCCCTGGTCCCAGACCGGCAATTCAAACACTCCCTTCGACCAGCCCTTCTTCCTCATCCTCAACGTCGCCGTGGGCAGCACAAACGGCTGGTTCCCAGACGGCAAGGGAGGCAAGCCTTGGACCGACGTCGGCCGGGCTTCCTCGGACTTTTATTCCAGTACGTTCTTGATGCCCTTACCCGCAACGAGCTAACAACAGGTCAATCAAATGGGCGGAAGGACGCTAACTGGTTTATGCAAACAGGCCTGGACAAGTTCTACCCATCATGGCCCAAGGACAACAGCCGTGGCATGACCGTCAAGTCGGTGAAGATGTGGCAGGAGGGAGCCTGTGGCTGATATAAAAACAGCATTATCTCTAACTAATAGCTAATAACCCAGTACTGCGCTGTTCCCGTCGCCCGTGATGCTAAGTCAGTTATCCATTTGATTTCTCGCTCTCTCGTATTCAAATTTAATCGTAACCGCGCCAAGCTGTTCGCGGGTGAGATGGCCGAGATATCAACTTCCATCACCGTCATCGAACTCTGCTCTCGCAGCTACATCCCTGCAGCCGGAACCGCTGCGAAGGATGCCGAGCACTGAAATAGACCAACTGCTTGCAAGTTGGCTAAGAGAAAAAGCAAAGAAACTGCCCTAGAAGCAGATAAGAACTTAACTAATCGCGGACAGGGGCCAGGGGTCAATGTATCTTCGTGAGACTGTGACTTCTTGTCTCGCTGGCTCGCATCTGTGATGCCAGGGTTGACCCCCCCCTGCTATATCGCTGGCAGGCCCGCTCTTCTCCAGGCCCACTTCGAGAGATAACTAGGTGTCATCGCGATATTTCAAAGCCTCGAGCTGCTGTTTCACCAGACAAATTCGCCAAGGAGGTGGTCGTTCTGAACCGTTCTTCCTGATGAACTCCTGCACGACCAGCTGCTGTGCATCTGGTGCTATTATGCGTAGTTAGGCACAGGTCAGATCTGTGCAACCAGTGGCTATGCTCTGGTCTGCTACGCTACGCCATGCCATGTATGCATGCAACGGACGGACTCTCAGTCGCAATGAATGTCTTGCATAAAAAGGAATTCGGCAGCAATCACACGAGCCAGCTTTCGCCCTTCACACCCTTGGTCCGGCCCATGGGAGAGGGTCAGCCGTGGGAAGTGTTCGTCCAGAGGACCCTTCGTACCCCAAGGGGCCCCTCGTCTCCAGTCCAGCCGCTGCTGAATTCCGGAGAGTGTTGCTAATTTTGCCTCCGGCTCTCTTTGGCCTCGGTGTTTTCCTTTTTTTACGTATATACGCTTTGGGTTTTACAGCCCACCCCCCGAAGTGCAGTTTGAATGACAAACTGTTACTAGCTATACCCCTGAAATGGGAAATCAGTCTGTCATTTCTTACTCTCCATACCGCCCCCTAGCCGGTCCAGCTCATGTCCGCCATTCCTACGAAGGACGTAAATTGGGAATGTCTCAGAGCTATATGCACGGATTCGGCGTTGGTCAACCATGCTCGGCACATCTCCATGCGCCAGCAGGCGAACAATAGCCCTGCTGGATTGGGCTACTTTCTCGCTAGAGCCAAAGCATGGAGAAAAGGGTGGCATGACCTCTCTCCCGGGGGTAGGGGGAGAGTCGCGAAAGAGAGAAAAGTTATAAATTTGGCTCCTCTGGGCAACTCTTGTTGCTGATCTTGGATTTCTTGGTAGCATCTGGACGGAGCATAGCATCCAGAATAGCGTGGCTCTTTGTACAGCTGAGGTAGGGGTCTTTTCGGCTTACTGGTTGATTATACCGGAGCTACCAAGAGGCTGACTTTGTACGGCAGCTATAAGGCTGTTCTCCCACCGACAAAGAGACACAGAGAGACACAAACACATACACACACAGAGAGAGAGCGTCTGTGTCCGTGTGTGTGCCCTGAGTTGGCTGCTATATACCAGGCAAGGCTGACAAGATGGCTCGAATTACCCCCTTCCCCCATATTGTTAGCATCTTTCTCGTAAGTTCTGACGTACTAGCAGTTTATACCCTCGTTTCAGTTTCCAGCAACCTGCTAATGCCCACTAGTTCTCATTACTTGCTAAGCTTGCCCATGGAGCGGCTTTGATCCCAAGAGCAGACGGTGATGACTGGAAATACCTGGGATGCTACACCGACCAGGTGGGAGCAAGAACTCTCGGCCAGATCGGGTACACCATCGGTGGCCCCGGGAATATGACCGTTGCCAATTGCCAAAACGGATGTGCCTCCCAGGGATACCCGCTGGCCGGTGTTGAGTACAGCAGTGAGTGCTGGTGTGACAGCCAGCTGCGTAGCGGCGGTGGCCCGGCTCCTGATGGAGAGGCAATGTGCTCGATGCCTTGCAATGGCAACCCTGGTGAGAAATGCGGAGGTCCAGGCAGGCTGAACCTATATCAAAACTCCGCCATCGTGCCAACTAACACCATGACGGCCTCGACTCCCTCGACCGAGACCGGATCGCCAACTGCTACATCTGACCCTGAACCACCTCAGGGACTGCCAGACGGCTGGCAGTATGCCGGTTGCTACGAGGACAACGTCAACGGAGGTCGTGTTATGGGCAAGCTGCTCCCTGATAGCTCAACTCTCACAATCGAATCATGTATTGCCAGTTGTATCAAGCTTGGGTACACTGTTGCTGGAGCTGAGTACTCCAGGCAGTGCTTCTGTGACAACTTCCTTCGGAATGCCGCTCCAAAGGCAGTGGAATCCCAGTGCTCTATGACCTGCAGCGGTAACACTCAGCAGAAGTGTGGTGGCCCTAGCCGATTAAGCGTCTATTCCAAGGGCAACTTGACCGTTCTCCCTATTCCTGTTCCCCAGACTGGAGGCCTCCCCGGTGGCTGGAAGTATCAAGGATGTCTCCAGTAAGCTAGCATCCATATACCTTATGGCTACAGAACTCGGCTAATGTTATGTCTAGGGACAATGTCAATATGAAGAGAACGTTCCCATACCAGATTGTCGACAAGACGAACAACACTGCCACCAACTGCCTTAGCCGTTGCTCTAAATTTGGATTCGGGGCGGGTGGCATGACATACTCGGAAGAATGCTGTACGTCCACCTGCTACTTAAGAGACATATTTATGGACTAGCCAGTATACTGACCAATGCTTAGTCTGCGGAGATTTCGAGGATATTGCTGCTGCCGGAGCCAAACTTGTGCCCGAGGCCATGTGCAGCCAGACTTGCTCTGGCAATGCAACCGCCATCTGCGGTGCTGGCAACCTGATAACATACTACAAGTGGATGAATGAACCTCTGCAGAAATGGAGCCGTCCAACTGGGAACAATGCCGGCCGCTATGAGTTCCTCATCGGCGGAGTGCTCGTCCCTCTTATCACAACTGTCGGTATCAACGGCAAGATCACGTTCCAGGAAAAATCCGGAACTGGCGATCCAAATACTACTGGAGCATACGAATTTGACCCTTTCTACGAGAAAGATTTTAGCAAGGCATGGCGCCCAATGCATGTCAAGACTGATATCTTCTGTGCTGGAGGACTTGTCCTTCCAGACAAGGTTGGCAGACAGCTGACTGTTGGCGGCTGGTCTGGCATATCAACCGAGGGCGTCAGACTTTACTGGCCTGATGGCTCTCCTGGAAAGCCCAGTGTGAATGACTGGCATGAAAGCCCAGACGACCTAAGATTGCAAAACGGCCGATGGTATCCCACTGCCATGACGATGTCCAACGGCTCCATTCTCGTTGTTGGAGGAGAGGAAGGATCAAATGGTGCACCCGTACCGACCCTAGAGATTCTTCCCCGAGTTGGCCCCGTCTTGTTTATGGAATGGCTCCAGAGAACTGACCCAAACAACCTTTACCCTTACCTCACCCCTCTCCCCAGCGGTAATATCCTAGCCGCGTACTACAATGAGGCAAGAATCTTGGACGAGAGGACTTTTGATACCGTCCGAACTCTGCCAAATATCCCAGGAGCTGTCAACAACGATGCTGGCGGCCGCACGTATCCCCTAGAGGGTACTATGGTGCTTTTGCCCCAGAAAGCCCCCTACAACGACCCACTTGGTGTCTTGATTTGCGGTGGCTCTACACCTTACGGCGGTGACGCATTGGATAACTGTGTTTCCATCCAGCCAGAAGTACCAAATGCTCAATGGGTGATAGAAAGAATGGTAAGCATTACTATACCCCCTTCCATAAAGATGAAGGAACAACGGTTTTTCTAACACTGTTCTCAATATAGCCTTCTAAACGAGTTCTCACCTGTATGGCTGGTCTTCCTGACGGAACATTCCTGATCTTAAACGGAGCAAGGAAGGGAGTTGCTGGCTTTGGCCTAGCTGAAGACCCTAACCTCGGAGCCGTTCTATACGACCCTTCAAAGCCAGTCAACCAGCGTATGAGCATCATGGCAAACACCACTATTGCCCGCATGTACCACTCAGAGGCAATTCTAATGGCAGATGGCCGTGTCCTGGTCACCGGCTCAGATCCACAGGATCCTCGATTCCCCCAGGAACGCCGCGTTGAGGTTTTCCTCCCCCCATACATCCTATCAGGAGCGCGCCGCCCGACCTTTACTATTACCAACAAGGACTGGGCCTATGGCGGGAAATACACCATTAAGATCACATCTGGCAACCTGTCGAGAATCAAGATATCGTTGATGGGCATGGTTTCTAGCACCCATGGCAACAGCTTTGGCTCCCGAACTATCTTCCCTGCATTTTCTTGCAATTACAGTACCTGCACCATCACGGCACCACCGGATAGCCACACAAGCCCGCCAGGATGGTTCATGTTATTCGTACTTGATGGCCCAACGCCTTCCGTGGCCTCCTTTGTCCGAATTGGTGGAGACCCTGGCCGACTGGGAGACTGGCCTGCAACTGGTGGCTTCCCACTTCCGGGAGTTTAGATATTAATGACATGAGGCATGAGATATATATAACGAGTCTGGAGGAATAGAAGATACATATGAAGTAATTAGGAATATTTTCGTTGTTACTGGGTTTGAAGGTAATAATTACCATACTTCTGCTCAGTTACAAGTTTACTACTAATGAATGGTGTTTCGGCATTTATAACTATTGAGAAGTAACTTACTATATGAAGAGCTAAATGAATATCAGCTTTTTGCCCTATGAATACTTCCTTGTCTTCACACTCGGTGTTAAACTTGGGAATCCCAATGTTAAGGGTGGACAGGGCCTTTGTCGCTGTTGCTTTGGTTAGGTATACTTTCCTGACTGTCTTCTGCTTCAACTTGTTAGATATTACTTGAGAAAGATTGAGTATTTAAATAGTGATAATTCTTGAAGTAAACTTGTCTATAACTGTCCTTTGATTTAATAGTAGAATAATTACTATCATACTTATTCTAGTATGGAGTTTCGGTATCTCAAGGTACTCGACTTAGACATGAGTTTTCATTTATCACACAATAAAAATCCGTGGGTATGCTGCAGTCAGCCGGCTAGCAAAAAAAAAAAAACACTCGAGAATGACATAGACAGTTTAGAGTAGAATAAAAAAATGAAAGGGGAGAATCCGAGACACGAGACACACACCCAAGAGTCAGGGGCATTGATACTATGGTGTTACTTTCTTTGAGGAGAAGGAGGGCATGCAATGGGCACGGGAGGTTGGTTCTCTTTCCTCGCTAGAGGAAGAACAGTGTCTGCTAACGGGTGGTGTTCTTCAGTCTTGTCTGCAGGCTGTAAGATAGAAAGGCGTACGTCCGATACTGAGGGGCTAGGTAAACGTGGATCGAACTCGTATGCATAAGCGAATATTGGTCGAGCACCTGCGAGTTGGCGGAGGGTGCAGAAGAGAGAGTATGGTGCGAGTAAGAGGATTCCCGTAGAGCGAACTCGATACACTTTCTCAATCTTGATACCAACTGAAGCATCTAAAGAGTCAATCCATCGTAGGAGGTTCATGACTCCCGTGGAGTCTGGATCTTCGCAGATATGGCAGCTAAAAGCAACCTTATAGCAAGGAGAATCGGGTGCGACGGAGAGGCTTGACGTGTCGGTTCCAGGGGTCGGGAATTTCACGCGAACGGAGACAGAGCCATGCAGGAGTTTATGAACAGGAAACTTTTTAGTTGACAGATCGTAAGCCCGCTCCAAAAGCTCTGCAAAGTCTACAGACTGGGCCTTCCCACGCACTTCAGCAGCAGCCTGAGCGAGCTTTGCGGTAAACGTGCGACGTGTGACCATATACTCTGAAGAGCCGAAGGCAATTTGGTCTTCTGAGACGGCTGCAAGGACCTCAAATGTTCCTGTAATAGGACATGGGCGCAGAGACGCAGCAGCAGCACCGCAGCAGTCAACGATAAAAACAATATCGACAGGCACAGATGACACGGTAACATATGAACTCATTGACTCCGCAAGCGTAGAAAAACGCATAGTTGTTCTGGATCTAGGGTTCGCTCCAAAGGTCAAGCCGTGGCAGGGATCATTAAAACCGTGTCCAGCGTAAAAGGCAATAAGAAGAACACGCCCTGGTTTGTCTGGAGAGGATTTGTCGATTGAGACTCTGAGGTGATTGTTAAGCCGTCCATTAAGAGTCCAAGCAGGCGCTTTGTCTGCTGCTTGAAGTACACATTCCTCAACTGTTCTGATACCGAGTACGGCCATAAGGCCAGTGAAATTCTTCGTGTCCGTGGCTGCTCCCGTGTCATCATCCTCAAAACGTATTGCAATCGCGCTCATGCACTGATGGTAGTTGTTTCTCTGGTTGATATGGATCTCCAGGGCCTGCTGGATCTCCTCAGCGCGCTTAGATTCGATGCCAACAGTTTCCATTCTCGCAGATATCAGATAGTGAGCTCTACTTATCACAAACAGGAAAGAAAATGAAAAAAAGACAAGACTGATCTGGAATGTTGACTTGCATTCTTGCTGAAGTGCAATTTTTAGAAAAGGGGGCAATTGTTTGCGGCTTTATATAAGTAGACGAAGTCGATGACTTCATTTCTGTCCTGCCTGTTTTTGGACTAGCGCAATGTGAGACTCCACATAGACGCGCCGCAAAACCTAGAAACGTCCTGCCAAGTTCTTTCAAATGTCCTGCCAAGCTTTCTTCTCTTTGTTTGATTTGTTTGACTCACGCGGTGCCAAGCCTTTCCCACAAACGCAAGCGCGCGGTAGATTCTGCAACTGACAAGTAAGTCGATGGTATCTCTCCGCAGTACTGGAGATTGAATGAAATATAGTTGAAACAATAAATATTCTGTAGAAGTGGCTTAGGGAATACGAGAACAAAAAGGGGTTGGTAATATGTATCAAATGGTAGTTACTCGAGAGCTTGCTAAACAGTGACTATATTCAATCAAGAGAGGGCTGTTATCAACATTCCACAATCATTATATAGGTATAAATAAATACGCTATGCCGTGCCATGCCATTCCATGCCATTGAACAGCGCCAAAAACGCCCATCTTTTTCCCGCTTAAATAACCTGTCCCTTGACCTGTTTTATCTGCTTTACATCGACGTTTCGCCAGATGGCGGCGGCGGCAAACCCGACAGCCCAGATGGCAGTGCCAGCCGTGAGCATACTCGTTTGCGCACTTGAATAGGCGCGTTGGATGGCAATTCTGGCCGGGGAGCCAATGGGGTAGCTGAGTTGGACTTCTAGTTTGCCGAAGATCTCGATGAGGTTGGCTTGTTCCTCGACGGGGAGGTATTCGAGGAGCTTAGCTGGGAAGACGGACTGCCAGATGGCACCGGCAACGGTGAGACCGATGGCTCCGCCAATGGCCGAGAACATGGAGAGAATTGCAAGGATGGCGGCGATCTGCTGGTGGTTTCCGGCGGACATGGCGGCGATCTGGGGGGTGATGATCATGACTCCACCTGCAAAAGCGATAAAGATCTGACACATAACGACGTAGCCGATGTTGGCCTCAGGGTCGCGGAAGTAGATCATCAGGCCCATGAAGAGGGTGTAGATCGGTATGGCGCCGTAGAGGGTGATGGCCTTGTAGCGGCCGGTATAGCGGATAACGATACCAGCAGCGATTCCAGAGATGGTGTTACCGAGACTGTAGATCTGAACGACGTAACTGGCGTTGGTGACGCTGAGGCCGTTGACGACCTGGAGGAAGGAGCTGAAGAAGCTGTTCCAGCAGAAGAAGCTGATGAAGAGGACAGTTCCGAGCAGACAGGCGCCGATCAGGTTGCGATCAAGCAGTAGGGAGAACGGGATGAAGTTGACCGGGGCGAAATATCTCTCCCACAGGGCAAAGAGGACCATGAGCACCAGGCCAAAGACGAGCAGACAGATGACCAGGGGCGAACGCCAGCCCAGCGGCTGCAGAGCGTACAGGTTGAAGGGCAGCAGGAAAAGGGTGAGTCCCGCAGTGAGGAGCAACAGGCCGATGGCATCGAACTCGCGGCAGTAGTAGAGAAAGGACTGCCAGACGGTCCTGGAGCGGGTGGACGAGGCGATGACGCCCTGCTTCTTGGCCTTGAAGTAGTTGTGCAGGACGACGGCGAGCAGCGGCAGGCAGAGGATGGGCACGATGATCGAGAAGGCGCCAAAGCACCAGGGCCAGCCAGGCCCCTTGAGGAAGCCCTCTGAGATGGGCCCGCTCAGCCAGATGGTGATGATGTTGGGCGAGGCCGCAAGGGCCGTCATCAGGCCACGGTTCCGCATGCTGGTCGTATCGGCGACGAAGATGTTGATGCTGTAGAGCAGGGCGTTGCTGCCGACGGTCCAGAACACCTGGGCGGCAGCGTAGGTCTCGACGTTGGCCGTGGCCGCCATCATGACGAGGCCGGCGGTTGCGATGGCCAGCGACATGCCGTAGCCCTGCGGACGGCCGAAGACATCGAGGATCTTTGCGACGGTCAGGTTGCAGACGCCGCCGATGACGCTGCTGAGGATGCCCACCGTCGGCGTGAGCGAGTGGTGCTGGAAGGCAGAGGTGACGAAGGGGGTCAGCGCCGCCACGACGCCCATCTCCATCTGCATGATGAAGTAGACGATCCAGATGAAGGCGTACGTGAGGACGAGCGAGGTCGTCGACCAGACCGTCGCGATGGCCTCGACCTGCTGCACTCCCGCCTGCACCTCTGCATCGACGCCGTCACCACCGCTGCCGCCGGTCATCGTGGCCACCGGCTGCTTCTCATCGTCCTCGGCTGCTGGCGATGCTGGTGATTCTGGCGATGCCGCCGGGTATTTGGCGTCTTCTGCCATCGCTGGAGACACGCAATTGAGCTGATCTCTCCGCTGGCGATCTTTTCTTCGCGGTTGCTTGTTTCTCGAGTGAAAAGTCCCTGGCCCCTGGGGATGAAGCATCGACGGCTCCCGCAGCACTTTTATGCTCTGCCAGTCTGGCGTCCCCCCTGGCATCCATCAACCATCCCGGCGAGCGCAAGGCCCAGCGTACAGCAAGCGTGCAGCCCAGATGGATGCAAGCCGGATGAGCAAATAATCAGCTCATAAAAATAGCCCCTGGGATGGCTCGTTTTTTTATTTTATTTTTGCTTTTCTTTGCTTCTTTTCTCACCAGGTCGTGTTGTCTTGTGTCTCTAGTCGACTGATTATACGGAGCAGCGTGCAGAAATTTCCCGACGTCTTGCTTCTGCGTCTGCGCCGGTTCGCATGAACCGCGAGCTGCCAATGATAATTAGCTCGATTCACCTCAAGTTCCTTGCTGGGCTCGACTCGTTTCAAGAGCTCCGGCGGTTTATTGTTGTTGGCTTGTTTCGGGGGCGAGTTAGCGCTGTCTTGGGAGCGGCTTTAGCTAAGAGCGACTGCTGGGATGTTGCCTGCGGCTGCCTTGTGATATTCGCTCTCGCCAGCCCGCGAAATATGGATTCTTCTGGAGAAGTCGAGGCGAAATTTGCAATCTCGAGATGGACGGCGAAGAGTTAGTTATAAACCTGCTCAAGTCTGCTCAGTCTGCATATTGCCTTTGCATATTCTCTCCTGGGTCAGTGTTTGAGAAGCATAACATGACATGACAGGGACATGCGGATATCCTTCAGTCCAGTACGAAGCAGCCAGTCAACTAGCTAGTAAAGAGGAGAATCTAGGAGCAGAGTGTTGCTGCGATGCTGGCGGAGAAAAGGGAGAAAAGGAGCCGGCTTTATACTGCTGCCAGAGCGCGCGCTGAACGGCTCCAGGCCCGACCAGGGCGGCACGCCTGCGCGAAGGAACAGGGCGACTCCATGGCTAGAGTGCTTTAACAAGAGTTTCCTTGACACTGGAGAGTTCGCTGCCGGCGGCCGTGACGAGTTACAGCGGTAAAGTTGCGGCGTCGCGAGTGCTGTCAGGGGCAGCTCGGTCGCCTCAAGATCGCTGGTTAGAGGCTGCCTGCCGAAGCAGCCGGAAGTAAAAGAAAAGCGTGATGCCCTAACTAACTATATACATAGCTGTCTACGGCTTGTTTATGTCTACTGCAGCCCGCTGTTGTGTACACTGTTCATTTTTGGGTACAGACAGAGCAACAGGTGCCAGCAGTCAATGATAGCATCGTTCCTAATCTCTAGTCCCCTATCACTCGTAGAAGTCGCATGGAGGAGATGAGAAAAAATGGAGACTGCTGGGCTGGGGGACGGGATTCCTTGCATTAACTAAGAGGCTCCCGTTGAGGACAAGCAGCCTGGGAGCTACCGCTCGGGCATAGTCCGACGGCTGATATTCCTTCGCTGTCGATGGCTCGTTGACCAAACTGCAAAAAAGGAAGAGGCAGCAGAGCAGACAGCTGGAGGGAAGATGTTGCGTGCCCGCAAGATATGATACGGACGAAATACTGCCCTTCACAAGGCTCGCCAGGCAGCGTTTTTGATGTCCAAATATAGATAGGATCAGGAGGGTTACACACGGCCTCGTTCACTCCAAGTCCAGATACTCCTCCATATACATCATGCCTGGAGGAGGGAGGAACCCCAGGGAGCCCTCGTATTCAGGCTGCCAGCCAACTGACAGCGGCGCGTTGATCAGCCAGTTGTTCCGGCCGTATACAGTCGTCTTCATCTTGACACGAACATCGTCCTTCCATAACGGGATGCGCACAGGTGGGAATACATGCATGTGTTTACCGAGTCAGTACCTTCGGCCTATTCTTGGAATCCAGATAGCCCCCACAGTCGTATATATGTACATATATACATATGTACCATGGCCGAATCTCTCCGGTGGCCGGAGCGTGATACCAGTCCGTCTTCCCTGGCCAGACACCGACGCGGGATCCAGGGATTGTTACTCCGTATACTCCATCAGAAGCATGGAAAAAAGAAAAGAAAGGGAAGGGAAAAAAAGAAAAGAAAAGAAAAAAAGGAGGGCAGACGCCATATCACACAATCACCAGCAGTCTGGAAGGATTCATCAAATGCAGAGCTCAAGCGCCGGCTGAGCTTGGCCTGCTTCCTTCGCTGGCGGATTCATGCGACAAGCCAAGCAGAGCGAAGCTTGTGAATAAAGTATTCTAGTTCGTGGGTATAAATCATAATTAAGATGGCTGTCGACTGGAAATTTTTTCGGTTTTTGGCCCCTTGTTACTCTAAAGGGCCCGAACGGCCATTTAATTCCCGTGCCCTGGGATCTAGGAGATGGTACTCCGTACTCCATATGCAGTACTCCGTGTATACTCGATATAGCTACTGCCAACACAAAACCAGCGTGGGGAAAGTGAAGTTCCAAATATAAATAAAAAATTAGGTAGTTCACAAGTCGACAAGTTTAAAAGGCAAAAAACGAAGAGGGAAAAAGAAATAAGATAAAAGGAAACAAGGTACAATAAGCAAAATACCACCAGGGGGGGAACATTGGCACCTCGTAAAGCGAAGGCAGCTCCCTGCACATAGCTAAACGTTATGTGGTCATCATCTGCAAATTGCTTCGGTCGTGAAAATAAGATTTGGCGTAGCGAACTGGATAGTTATACGAATGATCTGGAAAACAAGCCTTGTGCAGATTCGTCGATCATTCGTTCGCTCGTTCACTCGTTTAACATGGGGATCACCAAGATACTTGACCGCTGGGAGTGGGATTGGGGCGGTTAACTCGAGACGAGCTCAGGGGGCTTCATCTCTACCACTGAACTAGCCAATTGAAGGTGCCCAACAAAGTACCTACTTGGACGGGGCTGCCATTATACCGGCGAACAAATCCCGTACAACGTAGATATATATGTACTCCGTACCTAGCAAAACAAATTAAGAAAAAGGGCTTCGACTCCGTATATGATTAATTGACTGAAATACAAAGGTTGGCTATCCACAAACTATTCGTGATGCGGCTGGCTAGTTTACCAGACATGCCCCTTGTTTTGTTTAATCCCGATTACATTGATGTCCCGCCAGACAAAAACAGAGAGGAAGCCAACCACCCAAACTGCAGTGCCGACCGCCAGCATGCTCGCCTGGGCGTCACGGTACGCATGTTGAATTGCCAGGCGTGGTGCGGACCCAATGGGGTACGACAGCTGAGTAGAGATGTTTTGGTAGATCTCGGGCAGCTTGGGAAGCTCTTGGGCAGGAAGATATTCTGCCAGCTTCTGGGGGAAGACGCTCTGCCAGATAGCAGAAGCAACTGTTAAGCCAACGGCACCGCCGACGTTCCCAAACATTCCTAATACGGCGATACAGACAGCGACGTGTTGGTGTGAAGCAGCCGCTAAAATCGCAACCTCGTCACAGATCATAATAGTGCCTGCAGCGATGGAAATGAATATTTGGCACATGATGATGTAGCCCACGCTGCTGTCGATCTTGCAGTAGTGCATCATCAAGCCAGAGCCCAGCACGCTCAACGGAATTCCGATGCAGAGACACACTGGTTTGAAACGCCCGGTGTAATGGATCAGGCTGCCGATCGCAATGGCGGACAAGACCGAACATACTGTGTACGTCTGTACAACATAGCTCGCATTCTCAACACTGAGGTTGTTGACAACCTGCAGATAAGAGCTGAAGAAGCTATTCCAGCACCAGTAGCTCACAAATAAAGTAGCTGACAGGATGCATGAACCTAGCACTGTTCTGTCCAGCAAGAGAGCGTAAGGTATAAATGTGACAGGAGCATAGAACCGCTCCCAGACAACAAAGCAAACGATCAGTATACTCCCCACAACCAGCATCGAAATCACAAGCGGCGAGTCCCAGCCTTGAAGCGAATACAGATTGAACGGAAGCAAGAAGAGCGCAACCCCAGTAGACAGAAGCACAAGGCCAATGGCGTCAAACTGCCTGGAATAGTATATAAATGACTGGAGTGACGTTGGAGAATCCCTGTTACTCCCGTCACTTTGCGAGACCAGACCCATCTCCTTTGCCTTTAGGTAATTGGTCAACAGAAGCTGGAAGAGGGGAAGAGTAATCAGCGGTACAAGGATGGCAAACATGCCGAAAGCCCATCTCCAGCCGGGACCAGCGAGGAAGCCAGAGGATATCGGACCGGCCAACCAACAGGTAATAAGATTTGGCGAGCTGACGATAGCTTGCATCAAACCACGGTTGCGTAACGAGGAAGTGTCGGCTACAAACACTGTTAGGCTATAGAGCACACCGTTGTTACCAACTGTCTGAAAGACTTGAGCGGCGGCGTATTCTTGGACGTTGCTGCATATTGCCATCATAACCAGCCCTACAGTAGCAAAGACAATGCAGAAGAGGTATCCTTGGGGGCGGCCAAACACATCTAGAACCTTTGCCAAGGTAAGGTTGGTGACACCACCAATAACACTGCTGAGAATCCCGACGGTGGGTGTCAGGGAGTGCAAGGCAAAGGTGGAGGTGACGTAGGGAGTTAGGATGCTAGTTGTAGCTAGTAACATCCCTTCGACAAAGTATGTAAGCCAGATCATCACGTATGCAAAGATCAGCGCACCACTAGTCCATGCCACGGTCACAGCCTCAATACTCTGGACTCCAGGCTGAACTTGAGGTGTTTGGGGGCCGGCCGCAGCACCAGGACTGATGTTGAGGATGGTGTCGTCGTTCTCGATATCCGCGTATGTATCATCGTGCAAAAGATTCGTGCGCTCCTCTCTATCTGACGCACCGAGATGGCTGGTCTGGGAACCGTTTTGTAACCCCATGTCCGGCAAAAGGGAAAGATATTACCAGTCAGCAGCTCTTGCAGAAGCGCCTGGGTCTGAAGAGGGGAAGCGAGAGAAAAGGGAAGGAGGAAGAATGGAATGGCGCATTGAAATCTCCCCCCTTCAGCTTGAGGAACGGAAAAATAGAAAGTCGGGATTGCGAGATAAGAATCCGAATTCGGCTGCTAGCTTGAAATTCCACCGTAAGGCCGCCGCGTTCACCTTTTAGCGGTGTCAGCTCTCGTTTCTTAACAATGGTGTCCGCGGCGGAAGGATCAGCAAGGCCGCCTGCAGACTTACAAGAGGAACAAGCCCCCTGTCGGGATCCCGTTTTAAGGATAGAGAGTTTCGCCGAACAATCCCGGCCTCCTCACTATTAATAGGCTATGGAGGCAAAAACGTCAAGAGAGTACAAACGTTGCCAAGTGTTTAAATTTTCTAGTGGGAAGGGGGCAGAGTGGGAAGGATGAGGACGGGAAGATAGCTTTCTCAGAGAGTCGGTACAAGAATACTATAGGCGGTAGTTCTCTGGTACGGCACATACGATTTCATGGCCGGAAATGGTGCGAAGGTGGATAGGCGCGGAAACACGATGTTACATATTTTTTCCTCTACCGCTTCCTTTTTAGTTTTTAGTAAGTCACTTTCCTAATATCGGAAATGGTCTGTAATTTAGCATAGGCGTATACATGGAGCACAACATCCGCCTTGGCCATAGCTGGTGGCTGGCACGTTGAGCACAACCATCCAGAAGTCGAAGGATGCAGGTGAAGCTTTTGTCGACTCAACCGCAGAACCTTCCTAACCGACGGCTGAGCCGACCGTCGCTGGGCTTCTCGCTGGTTCGTTCGGCTTAACAAGAACAAGGAGGGACTAGCTATCAGAGTTCGTTAGCGAGGCTTCGGCAGAACAAAAGGGCAGAACCGTAAACAAGCTTGTATGGTCTCGCCTATGCATCATGCAAGGTGCCGCCAGCCTTTCGCCTATCCCTATCCCTTCGCCTTCGAGAACATCACCACAACCACCTGCACCCGAGTTCACCCATGAGCCCGCATTCGGGTGCTGGAAGTACTCTTGTATCTTTCTTTATAGCTGCTTCTTTCGCCCGCGCCGTCTCCCTTTTTATATTGGGAACAGACACAGACCGTCTCATGTGCACGCCAAGCACCAATCAACGCGCGTCTCTGTCTATTTTGGTCATGTGATATCGGCCCGGGCCGCGGCTTCTTTCGACTTCAAAAGTTAAAAAACAAACATCGACATCGAGGATTTTTTTCGCTTTTCGCTGCTCCAGCTTCAACCTCGAGCTCGACCTCGTCGGCCTCAGCAGCAGCCTGATCGTCGTCCCCAGCCGTGTGGACGACTACAGCATTTCCATGGCATTGGAAATCCTCCGAGATGCAGGCTGACGGGGACAGGCTGCTGAAGGATCGATCTCGAAACCCATCAGGCTCTTTCTCCTCTGCTGCTGGTGGAGGACGGTTTACCGCCAGGCAGACAGCTCCGCAAACTGCCACTCTAACCGGATGAGGAGATTAGTCCTCTGCTAGGGTTATACGAAGCAGCTCTCCCTTTGCAGATCGAGCTCGCTTCTTCCTGATGGTGAGAGCTCAGAGTTTGCCTGGTCTTTTTTGTCATGCCAAGTTGCAGCTCTTGAGAGAGCCATGACAAAGCATGGGTCGGGGGGGCCCCAACCAAACACACATCAGTGAGCGTTTTTCGCTGATCAGCCCTCAAAGTTACAAATACCTGATACTTTTTTTTTTAAGTGGAGGCTAGTTACTTTAACTACACTCTATTTTCTTTCTTTTCTTTTTCTGTTTCCTATGGGATTCTTTTCATCTCCACCAACTCGCTCACAATATCAACTCCATGTGGAGAGGAGTTGGTTTGAGCAGTCACTTGGCCCTTGTGGTCGCAATCTGCCAAGCGACGGGTGAAATTCTGCAAGCATTTGCTCAGGAAGTAAGATTTCATACGGGCTGGCTATTCTTAACGCAACATCGATATCGATATACGAGCTTCCCACAGCGGGAAATTTGTCAACCCCATCCCCTTTTTCTCATCGTGCCCAATCAATTGCACCAAATATGATCTCAAAACACCCACCAGTACATGTGGCGACCATGCAATCCTACCTTCGAGCCATTCCGGAGAAAATGGCCCCCCCTACCACGTCACTCGCCAACTGCGTGGTAAGGCCCGCCTTGCTTCCTTCCTATTTTTGATTTCTGACTTCTCCTCTTTTTTTTTTTCATTAATGAAGAAGAAAATAAAAATATCATCCTCCATACGGCATACCGTCACTTGGCTCGCTTCGTAAGGCTCTAGGATCGTGTTGAAGCTTGTATCAAGGAACGAGAGGCTATGACTATTTCTGCACGGCATTGCCGTATTCTCAGCAGCTTAGACGGATGGGTATATATATATGTGGACGGGCCTCCCGCTGCTATGGATTTGCTGTTACTATAAGACGCATTAAACCCCCCTTCACTTTCTCAGCCAAACATACATTGATGCATTCGCATCCCAAAACCATACCATCCTGACTGTGGCAGGTTTTTATATACTTAATTGACCCACGAAATACCTCACGATGCCTCATAAAGCCGAACTCGAGGTAACGCCATCAAATGGCACCTCTACAACCGAAATCAAAATGCCAACTAATTCACTTAAGACCAATAATGACGACATCCGAAAAACATCTCGACTCATCCTGGATATCATTTTCGAATACGCCCTGAACAAATTCGATGACTCCAAGGATAGACTGGAGGCTGGTGCCAACACGTTCCTCGACGTAATAGACCGTTTCGTGGCTGAGGGAAAGCGAGTGGACTCATGTTTGCCTGCATTCCCCTTCAAGTCTGCAAACAAAGTGTACAAAGTTTTGGGGACTTTGCCTGACATGGCTGAACAATTGGCCCTTGAGCGGCTAAATACCATGTGCGCACGTATACGGGACGTATATCCACCGGGTGCCCAAGTCACCATTATTTCAGATGGTATCACATACAATGGTGCGTCGCGCGGACTCGTCTCATACACAGAGCAAGGATGATATAGACAGCTAACGTGGACTACTTTTTTTGGAATGTGATTCTAGACCTTCTCTCAATATCCGACCAAGACACATGGGCGTATGGGGAGGCGCTACGCAAGATGGCTATTGACAAGAAGTTCGGTTATATCAACTTTTCCAGAATGAAGGATCTGCTTGAATTTCCCCTTCCTGACAAGCTCACTGAAATTACATACGTTGCGAACTGCACGACCTTTCGGCGCCTGCTGATAAATCGATATGGTCGGGATGACCTTGATATCGACCAAGAGATCACAGCAAATCCCGACACAAAGCTCACATATCTCGGGTACAAGAGGTTCTTAGAGTCGGATTTGAAACACATCTTCCCTCGTGGTGTCGGTCGAAGTGCACATAGCTACAAGAGGGACTGCAAATACCTAGCCAAACAGATGCTCTTGCGAGGATATGTAAGCAGCCCTGTGTGAGCGTTATAACTCCTTTTTGCATCCTGTTTACTGACAACCATAACTTATCAACAGGCTTTTGCTGGTGCAGTCAAGAACGCATTCCCCAATTATCTACGACTCTCTATTCATGAGTCCGTTGGTTTGAACAAAGTGTCTGTATGCTTGTTGAATACTAAAACCGGGTTCACAACTCCATGGCATTGCGCTGTTGCCCAATTAGCCGATGGTGAATGGGTCAGCGCTCCAATGGGCGAATTTGCCAAAGACAACAGACTAGAGGTTGTATACGTTGATGGGCGTCCCAGCCATTTTAAGGAGAAACCTCGTGAGAATGGTGCTTTGGCCATTAGCGAGTCCACTGCAACCTATCTCCAAGCAGCTCGGGCCGTAAATGCAACTGGATACCTCAGTGGAACGTCAACTCCGGGTACTGCGTCACCTAAATCTTTCTCAACATCCCCCCCTCGCACAATGGTCCGAAGCAATGGTGGCACTACCCCTGAAACTGAGTCTCCTCCCACCCTTCCAAAGAGCGGCCTTGGCCTTGTGCTAGACAATAAGCCGGACAAGTCCAATGTGCCGAAAAGGTCTAATGTGCTGCCATCCGTCCCATATGGCAAGCGACTAATTCCACAGATTATGGACGAACTGTCAGTTTCCCAACCTGATAGAGTTGTGTTCTCCCTGGCAACTCTTTCTGGCAGTGATCTCGTTTTCAGAGACATTACCGCCCGTGCATTCAACAAGGCTGTCGACAAAACTGCTTGGTGGCTTCGGGATCAGGTCGGAACACCTGATTCTGTCCAGCCCGTTGGGTATATCGGTCCACGTAAGTCAACTTGACTGCGGATCCATTTGATTAACATTCCTGGTATTTTCACATAGCTAGGCGCTGACCAAATTTATGCAGATGATCTACGACATGTTCTTTTGACTTATGCCTGTGTCAAAGCTGGCTACGCTGTAAGTGGATAATTATAACCCCCACCTGCTCTATTCTGCAGAACGAAGATTGGTCATGGTGCTTACTCTCCAGCAGGCCCTCTTCCTTTCCCCAAAAAATAGCACTGTGGGCGCGATCTCAGTCCTCGAGACAACAAAATGCAATATCTGGGTAGGCGCGGGTGAAGTGGCCCCTGAGCCACTTGTTGAAGATATTCTACGAGAGCGCCCCATGAAGCTATTGCAGCTACCGTTGCTTGAAGAACTACTTGATGCCGAGTCTGTGGAAAGTTTTCCTTTCTCTAAGACGTTTGAACAAGCAATAAATGAACCATTTTGTTACCTCCATACTTCGGGCAGTACAGGGGTGCCTAAACCGATTCCATGGTCCCACGGTCTCATTGGCACCATGGATGCAGTCCGACTTTTATCCCCGGCTGAAGGGTTTGATGGGCTGCTTCCGTGGACCTCCGACTGGTTGGATGGTGATACCATCTACTCGTCTTTCCCGATGTGTCACGTATGTTTTTTTTTAAGACCCCTAACGTTTTCGGAAACTAAGTTATGATGGTGCTAACGAGATTCTGCAGGGGGCTGGTATTATTATGAACATTTTGATGCCTGCATTCTTCAACCTGCACTGCGTTATAGGTCTAGCTGGAGCATTGCCAAACATCCGACTTGTCGAGACTCTTGCGGATAATGTCAAGATCGATATTTGGAGTATGGTTCCTTCCCTTGTTAATGAACTTGGGGAAACGCCAGAGGTGCTTGCAAAGCTTAAGCCATCGAAGTTCATCTGCGCATCTGGTGGTCCTGTGAGCCCGATCAGCGCGGGCAAGGTCAATGATGTAGTGAGGGTGTTGAATTTGACGGGCACTACCGAAGGTCTGTTTATTGGCAACCTGATTACTCCAAGGGAGGATTGGTTTTGGTTCTGTTTCCATCCATACTCCGGGTTTGAGTTTAAGGAGATTGGAGAGGATACTTATGAACATTGGATACACCGCAACGAACATTGGCCCCTTTTCCAAGGTATCTACCATACCTTCCCCGAGAAGGAGTCAATCAACTTCAAGGATCTATACATGAAGCATCCTTCCAAGCCTAACCTATGGGCTTTCAAAGGCAGAAGTGATGATCTGGTAGTACTGTCCAACGGATACAAGATAACTCCACTTGAAACCGAAGATCTTGTTTCAGTCCATCCCGCAATCAAAGGATGCATTCTTTTCGGGACTGGGAAGCCACAGGCAGGACTTCTCATTGACCTCCACGACCCGTCTCAAAAGTCTGAAGAGCTTCTTGATAGTATCTGGGAGACAGTGAAGAAGGCAAACTCGATGTCACGCCACAAAGACCAGCTACTCAAAGATTTTGTCACCTTCACAAAGCCTGACAAGCCCTTCATCTACACAGATAAGGGGACAGTGAAGCGGGCAGCAACATTGGCACTCTACGACAACTACATTGACCGCTTTTACAGCTCCTTAAGTGATGACCCTGATGAAATGGACGCTGTATTCCCCATTAACGTGGAATCAACTGATGAGATCGAGAAGGGAGTTCGTGAGATCCTAACGTCTTCAGTACCAGAAATACAGCAGGCTCCTGCAGATGCGGACCTTTTCGAGCTTGGCTTGGACTCTCTTGGTGTTTTTGCTGCTATCAAAAAGATTCGAATGGCAACTAAGTTGGGCGAAAATATTGCCCCTAGGCATGTGTATGCCAACCCTACAATTTCCAGCCTGTCAACAACGATTGCTCAGCTGGCCGAAGAAGCAAAAGCCGCTAGCAAGGCTGGCGCTTCCAACCCGCCCATGGACGATGAAATGGCAAAACTAAGAAGAATGATCGCTCAGCATCAATCTAGGCAATCCTTCAAGCTGAATGCATTGGACTATGTCAATCCAAACCATAACATGGGACTTGTCTTTTATTTCTCGCTCCGTGACGGGGTCAGCTACAAGGAAGTTTTCAACAATTTGCAAGAGGGTCTCAACCGCACATTCGACTTAATCCCCGCTCTCAGTGGCAAGATGATGCATTGTTCGGAGCAAGAAATTGGTTACAAGAAGGGTGACCTTTGTGTGACCATTCCTCCACTGTCCATGGCAGCCTCCGCCGGCAACCGCCTTGTATACAAGGATCTTTCCGGAGTTCTTCCTGCCTTTGACAAGCTGCGACAGGCCGACTTCGCGCCATCACTCTTCAAGGATAGCCTTGTTCTACGAGATGATCCGAGGTCTAAAATACCCGCAGACATTTTTGCCGGACAAGTCAACTTTGTGGAAGGAGGTTGTATTGTTGCCGTTGACTTGAACCACTGCTGTTTGGATGGTCTTGGCGCTATGGTTACTCTTAAGGTATGGGCTGAAAACTGCCGATTCCTTCAAGGCGACAAAACTGCAACTTGTAGCTGGTATGACCCAGAGAGCTTCAACCATAGTCTCCCAGAGATACTCCATGAGCAGGAAGGCTGGACTCGCCCAGTTGATGAGGTAGACCCTGGAACATGGGGTTTCCTGCCATTCTTTCCCCCTGAGGACAGCCCTGCCCACCGTGAATCTCTGTCGAGCCCCCTGGGCCCGATCCCTGTTTTCCCCCTGCATAATGTCTGGCCTGTTCCTTGCGCTGAAAGATGCATGAAAACCACTTCATTCCTTATCACCCCGGAGAAACTCGAGAAAATGAAGCAAGATGTAATTGCAGACCCAGAAGCAAAGGGTGTGATCACATCCATTAGCGATATAGTGCAGGCCTTTTTCTGGCGTACTGCCATCAGAGCCCGATATCGGGTAGCTAAGGAGATCCGGAAACAAAATTTTGGGTCGGACGAGATGTCCATTCTCGAATTACCAACGGATGGTCGTCCATACTTCTCCACCCGCCTTCCATCTACATACATGGGAAGTGTTCTCATTATGAACCGCTGCAGCATCCCCGTGGAAAAACTTTGCGCTCCCGACACAAGTATCGGGTATGTTGCGTACATGCTCCGCCAGAGTACCGCACGCATTACCCCATCGCTCGTGCATGATGCCTTTACCATCCTGCAATCACTTCCAGATCACAGCCGATTCTCGACTGCTAACATGGGCCTTGAGCACATGCACGCTATGATCTCCAATATGATGCTCTTCCCCACTAGCGAGATATCTTTCGGCAATAAGTTCTTTGCCAACGGAGGGTCCCCTGAGTCCATGCGGCCGCAGGTCGACCGTGCTAATGGCATTTTCCGGTTCCTCGCCATCTATCCTATGAAGAAGGACGGAGGCGTCGAGCTTGTCCTGGGAACCCATGCAGAGGAATTGGAGATGTTTAAAACGGATGCTGAGTTTACCAAATACGCGGATTTTGTTGATGTTTGTTGAAGGACTAGTTATGTGCCTGGAGGATGTAATGTGACATTTATGAAAAATTTCTGTAAATACTAATGATTATGCTTACTTTCTGTATACGTTGCTTTTTCGTTTGTATATTCGCTGTTTTATCATAGCTAGTAAATAGCCTATTTCATGAAACTCCCCGCTGAATACACTAATTCCACCGTATTTAAAAGATCTAAAGCACCATCTACCGGTTCCTGGCTAACCAGTGAACCACAGTCGGCGAATAGACCAGCTAGATTTTAATCTGACTATGGTTGTTGTGTAATTGAGGTGAACGACAGTTCTACGATGATAACCAAAGTCATAAGTGGTTAACTAACTAACTAGTTAACTAATTAACCGTGCCTTTCAAATTATTCACATCAGTTCTGATTCCCATTCTGGGCCAGTACTATTTACGTCATTGCGGCCACTGCCGTTGGGTAAAACAGTGCAGACTCCCACCGGCCGCAGCTCAAGGACCTGGGTTAGGCATCCTCGAGGAGAGACCACCCTATTCAGGCGCCATCCAGCATTTTCTGCTAGCGTTCTATACTCATCTAGCGTCCTCTCCTTATTTCTACAGCGAGCAAGCATGCGAATATCTGCATACCGGGCCCCTCGCCCAAGCCGGCCATCGAAGAGGATGGATTCGACTATCAGCACTCGACTGACACCCGTTTTGATGGCTATTGTGTCTCGAAGCCGTCGAAGCAATTTAATACAGTCTTCGTCACCCCAGTTGTGCAAAATCCATCGTAGTAGGTATACAGAGGATTCAGGTAATGGATCCTTGAAAAAATCACCTCCGGTGATAGATGTAACCCGTTTTGTAAGGGGATCATCTGGAGGGAACCGCTGCTGAAGGATTTCTGCGGTCGATGGAAGCTCGAAAGCAGCGGCTGTAGCGCCTGGGAATCTCTCCAGATATGTACGGATAAAATCGCCAACGCCCGCACCAATATCTACAACAGTCTCGCCCTTGACCTCTTCCCAAGGGTAATCGGCAAGCAGCCCAGGGGCCTCTACCACACTTCCAGTGCCTGTAACCTTGTGGAAACCTGCAGCCCTGCCTGTTTCTGCAAGAAACTGGTAGATAGGTTTGTCCGTATTGTAGAAGAGTTCGGTCGCTGTCTTTGGCTGATCGCTCTTCAGCTGACTGGGCAGATGGGACAAAAGATCGTAATACTCGCGCGGGAAGAAGTCGACCCAATTGAGCCAGGTAGCCCAGTGATCCTTGCGGAGTAGATTGGATAGCCGGTTGTTAGACAGTTTGCCGGTTGTGGGATCCTGGTCAAAATAACCCATTTCACGGAGATAGCGGATTATCTGAGAAAGGCCTTGCTCATAGAGACCTGCAGCACTGGCTAGCTCGGAAATGCTACAAGGCTGGAGTCTTTGGACATGGTCTGCCAGCTGATACTCCGAGGCACACAGCAACACCTTGCTGTTGGTGAAAGCTGCACTGAAAGTCAGTACAATACATCTATAATTTGGTATTGTAAGGGGGAATGGGTTATAAAGCCATACCAAACACCCCGTCTACCAAGAGCATATGGGGAGGGGTCAAGGCCACAAGGAGCTTGTCTAGTGCTTGCACCGTATCAAGGAGCTTCTGATACACCACGACGGACGAACCAGGCGACGTGGGAGAAATATCGTGGAATGATCTAAGCTCTTCTGAGAGAGGGCCTTCAAGCTGCTGTAGGGCATGCTGGATATTCCAGTTCAAATGCTCAAGCTCGTTTTCCATGTCTAGTTGTATTCTGATCTTGGCCAAGGGACGTAACAGAATTTTGAATAGCTGCAGATATCTAAAGGTCCTATTATCAAGAGGGTAGGATACATCACAGCTAAATATGCTGCAACATTTATCCTCGTTTTCGGGCCGGGTTGGACGGGCTTCGGTGGATATGATGAATATAATTATATACCCGCCGAGACGCCGGCTCCGGAGCCGCAACAGTAACTCGTAGTTAACTAACACTCGGAAAAGAAAAGACAAGAAGTGGAAGAAAAAGGGGATGTGATGGTCTTCCTCTGCTACGTGTTGGCAGTTATACCAGGCCTAACATTTACCTGCCCCATCGACAGCGACTACAGAATCCGAGAGAGAAACAACCGCAATCACAGCGCTCATCGTCACAAGAACAATAGATAATTATAGCTATACAAGGGTTAACGACAATGAAACAGCAGATGAAGACGCTGCTTGACTACTTTTTCGAACAAGTCCAGCAGTATCCAACGTCGATTGCAATCGAAGATGGAACGAAATCTGCGGACGAGTCGACCTGGAAAAGGGTGACTTACGCCGAACTTGACACTTTATCTGATGCCTGGACTAGACAACTGGCAAAAGCTGGCGTAGGCCCCGGCATTATAGTCCCACTACTATCCAACAGGTCCATCGCCATGGTGGCAGCGGTACTGGCAATCCTCAAACTGCGCGCTGCATACGTGCCTATTGACGCAAGCTCCTGGGGCAAGGACCGTATAGATGGGGTACTTGCAAGACTTTCTCCAAAGATAATTGTGTCGACAGCTTGTCCAGAGGGTTACTATAAATATCCGGTCCTCCATTTGAATGAGAACGACGTATCCGAACCAGTGGCGGGCGACGAAGCTGGTGTTGTGACTTGTTCTCACCAGGCTGCCTATGGCGGAGACGATCTTGCATATGTTATATTCACATCTGGCACGACAGGAAAGCCAAAAGGAGTGATGATCGGACTGGAATCCATATCTCGCTATGTGAAGGAAGGGGGAGACCTGCCTTTCAACTTCAACACCAGGCATGGTACACGGGTATTGCTGATTTGTTCGATTGCTTTTGACGGTATGTTTCCTAAACCTTTTCTTCAAATAGAGTGTGTTATTTAACAAACATGGGTGAAGTGTGCGCGGGCGTTGTATTTAGCACAATATGCAATGGCGGAACTCTTATCCTCGCGGACCCGTCCACCCTCGAAGCAGCGGCGAAGTCTTGCCATGTCTTGCCATTAACCCCAAGCATCTTATGTTCCCTGGATCCGGATGCTGGATTTGACAGAGTTGAGAGAATATTTCTGGGTGGTGAAGCTCCGGAAGAGCCCCTGATTCAGGCCTGGCATTCCACGCAGAGGCGGCTGTATAACTCTTATGGTCCAACGGAGACGACGTGCACTGTGTTAATGAGTGAGCTTGTACCTGGGTTACCAATAACCATTGGGCATCCCATATCATATAGCGTCGTCACTTTGCTGGATACTGAGGGGTCAGAGTCATCTGAGGGAGAGATTTGTATCTCTGGGCCAGGGCTTGCGTTGGGCTACTTTGGGGACCCGGAGCGCACCGCTGCTTCCTTTGTCAAGCTAAATGGCCGGATGGTGTACCGGACTGGCGACCATGGGAAGCATGCAAAGGATGGGATGCAGTTCTGCGGCCGTAGGGATAGCATGGCCAAGAATCGAGGATTTTTGATCAACCTTGAAGGCGACGTAGAGCCCGCGTTGTTGTCATTCAACAAGGTAGCCCGTGCAGCGGTCTGCATGTCGAATGGCAAGCTCATTGCCTTTGTTACTCCAGTTGAAGCCAGAGACGGTCTCCGTGAATATCTCTCAACTACCGTCCCTTCATATATGGTACCGGACATCGTATATTCACTGGATGGATTCCCTACAACTGCGAATGGGAAAATTAACCGACAGAGCCTAGCTCAGATGCATGAAGCCGCTCGGGGTGCCGATGGTAGCCTGTTGGAAGTAGGGCTCAGTAGTACTGAAGCCATCCGAAGAGGGATATCATACGTCCTTCAACAACCAGTGGACCAGGTTACCAGTGCTTCATCTTTCCGGCAGCTTGGAGGCCATTCACTTGCAGCGGTGATGCTTACTTCGTGTCTAAGGCGGATGGGCTTCATCATTGGTGTCCATGATATATTATTGCTAGACACCGTTGACAGGATGGCTACGGCATTGAAAGAGGCCGGAAATGGCACAAACGTCTCTCTAATACCAGGGCAGTTAAGTCACGATCTAGAAGAGACAGTTTCCAAGGCCAATTACCTTGAAAGTGAGAGCTCTGTACCGATGACAGATATTCAGATGAGAATGGCTCGAGCAAGTATAGCAACCCCTGGGCTCTCGTTTATAAAGGCCTCATTTACTCTCGACCATCCTGGTAGAGACGACTTCACAACCATCCTTTATGCCGCCTGGGAGCGCTTACATCAACGTCATGGAATCTTACGGACGTCTTTTATCTTGACCGAACCGGAGGCTCAACTAGTGTCTTGCGATATAAAGCTCGCCTGGACAGAATGTGTAATTGCAGAAACAGACTGGGACGCCACATGTCAACTGGAAGAGGCCCTCGACTTCGGCCAATTCGCAAAGTTCGATCCTAGGGAGCAGTGCTCCTTGTCACGGGTAACTCTCGTGGTGGTGCCTGCCATCCGAACTCGGTTTATCTGGACGGTGCATCACAGCCTTATTGACGGATGGTCCATGTCGTCGTTGATGAGAGATATTGCATCCTGCTTGGACAATAGACCATTACCGCCACCTCCGCCACAATTCGCCCAGGTCGCCCTGGCCATAGACCAGTTGACGCGCGAGTATTCGAGTAAAGCAGTATCATTTTGGAAAGAATATACAGATGGATATATTCCCGTGCAAAGGCTTCGACTACCGCCACCGTCTGATATCAACAATTACAAACAGGCTACTTTATCCCACACCCTTGCAATAAGCGTGTCTGAGCTGGAACGGGCCGCTCAAGACCGGCTGTCTGTCACTCCAGCAGCTCTTCTTTATGCAGCGTGGGGTACCCTTATCTCAAGATACTCCGGAACTGATCGTACTATTCTGGGTGCTGTCCTGTCTGGGAGAAATTTGGAGATTCCTGGAGTGGAGAATGTTGTTGGCCCCTTGATAAACACACTGCCACTCAAAGTAGATGCTGAGGAAACCCAATCAGTATATGACTTCGTGCAGACGGTGTTCAAGGCATTATGCGACATTCTGGAGTATCAATGGTCTCCTTTCGCCGTGATTCAGGAAGGCAGTGGTTATCACCCTGCAAAACTATTTGAGACCCTTTTTGCCTTGCAGTACGACTTCCCACAGACGGCAGGGGAGTTCAGCCAGCTCTATTCACCCCGAGATGTAAGATATACAGAAGCGACTGAAGTTCCCCTTACGGTTCTGCTAGACAGCGCCAACGGCAGGTTTATTGCTCGGTTTATATACCGAGAATCATATTTTAATGGTAGTACCATTAAACAAATGTCCGATCACTTCGACAACTTACTCACAGCCCTGGCTAATACGGTACCGGATGCCAGTCTTAGCACAGTTACCCTTAAGATGTTTAGCGCTCCAGAGTACCAGGCATTAACTGCAAAGGCATTACCTCCAAGCCATCTACCTTTCGAGACAAGCGTATCAGACGCGGTAGAGAAAGCAATTGAACGGTACCCCAATGTATGCGCAGTGGAAGGACTATCACAGTCCTTGTCATACCGGGAATTTGGTAGGATTACGGCAGATACCGCAGCGCAGCTCAAGAAGAGTGTCCAACGAGGGAGTGTGGTATGTGTGATCAGCGATGGCTCCGTTCTCTGGGTAATTGCAATGATCGCAGTTATCAGGGCCGGTGCTGTTTACTGTCCAATCGACCAGAAGCTCCCTCAGGCAAGGATGAAGTACATGGTTGAAAACAGTGGAGCATCACTAGTTATTTACTGTAATGCAAAACAAGACCTTGTGGTACCTGGTGTCCCTTGTTTCAACATGGGCGCAGCCATGTCGGAGATGCCATCTAGAGCCACGGCTACATGCAGAGAGAGTAATCGACCTATGGGCGACGATATTGCATGCTTGATCTACACTTCGGGGAGTACTGGGTTTCCCAAAGGTATGAAAATACGTAGCTGACATTTCTTAACGTCGTCTGAATGAATACTAACATATTCTAAGGCGTTCCATTGAAGCATAAGGGCATCTTGAATGTGATCTCCCACGAGAAAGGGAGGCTATGCTCTACTCCGGGGCAACGAAACGCACAGATGCTGTCACTTGGCTTTGATTGCTGTATCAAAGAGGTATTTTCTACTCTTTGCTTTGGAGCGACTCTTGTTCTTAAAGATCCCGCAAGCCCAATAGCCCACCTTTCTCGAGTCGATGCTACTATGGCCACTGCTTCTTTGCTTACAACCTTGGAGCCCGACGACTTTCCAGGCCTGAGAGTGATCATGGTCGCCGGGGAAGCCCTGTCCCAAGGTCTGGCCGATAAGTGGGCTTCTGGGAGGACCCTGATAAACGGGTATGCTCCCGCAGAAAGTACACTCATTGCTACCGTAGCAACAATAACTCCCGGTAATAGGGTATCAATTGGAAGGCCATTTACAGGGATGTCTTGTTATATTTTGGACTCCAGGCAGCGGCCAGCACCAGTTGGAGTAAGCGGAGAGATCTGCCTATCCGGAATCCAGATTACACCAGGATATCTCCGCAACGAGCAGGAAACGGCTAAGCGATTTCTTCAGGACCCATTCAACCCTGACCAGGCCATGTTTCGTACTGGTGATATAGGTAGGTTGGGAGAAGATGGTAACATCGAGTTTGTTGGCCGTGAGGATAACCAAATCAAGCTACGAGGCTTCCGAATAGACCTTGGGGAAGTCCAGAATACCATGTTCCGGGTGGCTTCTGAGGCAAGGAATATAGCACTGGTGGTGTCGAATGGTAGCCTGGTTGCCTTTGTTACCCCTGGCACACTTAATGTCGAGCACCTGGCGAAGGAACTGGAATCACAGCTGCCAGAGTACGCTGTCCCAAAGCAAATCATACCTCTTGCTACGCTCCCGACCTCCGCAAATCACAAGGTCGACGCATCAGCCCTGAGAAAACTTCTTATAAACCACACAGTCCCGGCACTAACATCCGCGGAGCTTGAGACACCTACTCAACGAACCTTGGCTGCTATCTGGGCGAATATTCTTGGGCATGAGCCTGGCAAGATTTCCATTGGTCCAAATTCTCGATTCTTTGAACTTGGAGGTCACTCTTTGCTGCAAATAAAAGTAGCCCAGGCCATCTCAAAGCAATGCAATATCTATCCTATGCCACTTAGGCAGGTTATCCATCATCAGAGCTTGCAGGAGTTGTCACTGGCAGTTAGTGAGTTGCTGGGTACCACAGATGGAACAGGAGAAGCAAAGCATTTCTTAGAAATGTCCCCAATCGCACGAGAGAATCAGTTGCCGCTGTCACCCCTTGAGCAAGAACTATTTCTCAATCACCTAATATCAGATGGCTCGCCTGCTGGCAATATGACCTTCGCTTGCAAAATTATAGGAGATGTAGACCCAGTACGCTTAGCCACGACATTCCAGCAGGTGGCAATGGACGAAGAGATATTCCAGGCTCGGTACCATGTTGCTGATGGCTTTATGACTCGACACCTGATAAAATCTAGGTGTAACTTTTCCCGAGTGGCTAAGACGTCTGACCCAAGATCTCTTATCCACAAAACGGTTAGAAAATCGTTCAATTTAAGCACAGAGCCACCGTTGGAAATTGCGGTGATTCCATGTACCCCTAGGCAGGTTATGCTAGTGATAGTGATGTCACATGTGGTAGGAGATGCTACTACATTGGCAACCTATCTTGAACAGGTCTCAGAAAGGTACTCCCAACTGGAGTCTCTCAATAAGCCGGAAATGCTTCCCGCATCGCCACGGAAACTGACATATATCGATTGGGCTGGGTGGCCTAGGACACCACACATAAGCCCTCAGTCCCGGGGTTTCTGGCCCGATTATCTTTCCAGTCTGCCGGAACCGCTATTATTCGGTAGATCGTCTGCAGGAACCCTAACTTATCTCGGGTCCACCAGAACTCGGACCTTGCCGGGATCTATGCTTGAGCGGCTTACTCGGCTTGCCGCAAGAGCCTCTGTCACAATGCATCAGCTTCTTATTGCAGCTGTATTCTTGGGGCTACAGTGTGTAGATAGGCGTAATGACATCGTCTTTGCGGCTCCATTCACTCATCGGATGGAGCGTGGGACGGAGTCTATGGCAGGGTTGTTTCTCGACCGCCTTCTTATTCGTGTCCGATGTGGTTCAAACGAAAGCGAGTCATTGTTACAATTCCTGACGGCAATCAAAAGTAGTAGTCAGCGTGCGCTGGAGCACGTTTTGCCCTATCGTGAGATTCGCAAGCTCCTGCCATACAAACCAAGCCTCCTAGACCCTCTGTTCAAAGTCATGGTAACATACCACACTGCCTATGACATGAAACCCTTATTCAGAGTTGAAGGTACTGAAGTCCAAAGTATACCGCACCGCAACACAGGAGCCTCTAAGTTTCCTCTCTCTGTAGAGCTAACTGAGACTCCAGATTTGGATCTTTGTATTGACATGGAGTATGACTTTGGTTGTATTGACGAGGACACTGCGTTACGATTGGAGTACGCAATCGAATTCACCCTACAACTTATGTCCCTAGGTATGGCCCCGCGCCATATAATACGCCTCGTGATATCCTCATTTGGAGTTTTTGATGAAAGTAAACCTCCAGGCTCTGCAGATAGAGAAGCGGCGAAAGGGGAAAAGAAGTGCAACGAAACAGCGGTACACCAGTTAAATACCGATAAGGTGGAAAGCGTCGCGAGGGACATCAGAGACGCAATATGCCGATGTCTAGGTTTGGAGGAACATGTTGTGCTTCTCCACCAGTCATTCTGGGAGCTAGGAGCACAGAGTATAGACGCCCTACGGCTGCAGGATATATGTAGCAAGCAAGGCCTTGAAATCAGACTGCGGGATATATTTGACTCTAGTAGTATAACACAACTAGCAACCCGTGTTTATGGTGCCCTTTAGATAGTTAATCTGAATGGATATTATTGTTCTTTCTCCAGAGCCTCTATCTCCAAAGCACCGGAAAACTTTAAACTGTAGGAATAAATTGGCGACCATTGCAATAGCCTCCCTGGGGCTACTAGTGTTAGGAATCAGCTTGGAGGCCCATCGGAGAGGCTGATCAAATCGGTGACCGAAAAATTACATTACCGACACCGAAGTTATACAGCGCAAGTTAAGGCCAATTCAAGAGCAGTCGGCGCGAACCAGGGATATAGTATATATAACTGCCGAAGAAACCAAGTCCAGTGTCACACCAGGAGAATAGAGCAACAGAATTTCCCAGAAAAACCCATTACAGCATATCCAATATGGCAATCAGCACCGAGTCCTTGATCTCCGCGCCAGTTGAGGTAAAAACACAAGTTAATGGCTCCCAAAATGCAACCGTGCACAAGATAGCAAATGGTGATCATGAAGGGTCGGAACCAATGTGGGCAAATTCTTCCGCGCCATACGACGTGCTTACGGTTGCTCTCCCGTTACCGGCTCCAGCCTCCTCTACTGGATATTGGTGGCGAACGACGGGGCCACTGATGAGCAAGCTGCTGGAAAAGGCAGAATATTCCCTTTATAAGCATTATAAATACCTTCTTCTCTATCATACCCATATCCTGCCGTTGCTGGGGCCGCGGCCAATTGAAGACCCGGCACAAGCATTGTCAAGCATACCACCATGGAAATCTTTCTTAACGGATGACTTTTCTCCCTTGGAACCGAGTTGGAACGTGAGCGGTAATTCAGATTCAAGGAGCATTATAAGACTGGGGATTGAGCCAGTTAGTTTCGATGCTGGAACAGCCATAGATCCGTTCAACCAGATATCCGTTGCACGGTTCTTTGAGTCTCAAAATGCAGCGGAGGTTGGGGTAAAGGGGGGCTTGTTTGAACATTTCCGTAACGATCTCTTCGTGGGCCCTGAGTCATATATGGCCATAAGAGAAATGTTACCTGAGGGTGAACACATGACGCAAAGCTTTCTTGCGTTCGACTTAGACTCGGGCCATATAACCACAAAGGCATACTTTTTCCCCATCCTCAAAGCACTGAGTACCCAACAAAGCACAATAAAGGTGCTATCTGACTCGATCATGGGACTTGCAAAGAAGTCCAATGTGTGGGGGCCGCAGGCTATCGTGGCCTTAGCAATTCTGGAGGCTTGGATTGCTAGCTACAATGGAGGTGCGAAAGCGGAAATGCTTAGTGTCGATTGCGTGGATGATGCTGAATCACGTATCAAAATATATGTTCGAATTCCCCATACTGCCTTGCGAAAAGTGAAAGAGGCGTACTGTTTAGGCGGGCGATTGACGGATGACAACACTGCTCAGAGTCTGGATCTGCTTGATACTGCCTGGAGGACAATGTTCAGAGTGACTGATGACGCTGCTGAACTGCCACATAACAGCCATCGGACAGCCGGTACGATCTTTAACTTCGAAATACGCCCTGGAAAATGGTTTCCAGAGCCAAAGGTGTACTTACCAGTTCGTCATTACTGCGACAATGACTTGCAAATTGCTAGCAGGTTACAAGAGCTTTTTGGGAGGCTTGGATGGCAAAAAATGGAGAGAAACTATCGCAGAGATTTTGCAGATCTGTTGTAAGTCACCCAAGCAATCTATTGATGCCGCCAACTTTGACGTTAGTATATATTCTGTAAGTAAGAAGATGCTGACTTTGAAATAGTCCACACCACCCACTTTCCACTTCGACGGGAACACATACATACCTTGCATTTTCATACAAGAAGCAGAAAGGCGTTTATATGACAATGTACTATAGCCCACGAGTGTACAGTACACAGGCGGGAATCACAGACTGTATTTAGTGTGTTCCAAGGTGATGTCTGCTCCGCTATAAGGGAGGTATCTTATTTTGTTTTCTTGGTGGTATTAGGATTAATTATTTCATCATCTCTGGAACGGACTCAAATTCAACGGAAAACCGTTATTTTTAAGAATTATCCTGTTCTCCGCTCGGTTTTGGGCACCCCGAAGGGAAGGGCATATTCGACATATGTTTACATGTCAGCATGAAGTGAGGTCAGTGGGGTCGAAATTCCAAAATCCCTTGAGATAAATATGTATATTAGAAAATTGGTGGTATGGTTCAAGGGGCCGCGTGCGTCACTTACCCAGTCAAAGCACAAAGATGGATGCTGCATATCTAGACCTCCCAGGTCAGACATTGAAGGGAATGGTAGCTCTTGTGTTGTTGGGTTCTGTGGTGATAGCTGAGACTCTTGGAGTGTCTGGGGCAAAGCCACATTTTCTCGATATAGATTGTAGGGATCATTCGACGGAGGTGAAGATAAGCCGCGGGGGGTATTGGTATTCTTAGCTAAACAGTTAGAGATAATTCGGTTGATAACATTCCATGTAGAACTAGGTTCCAGTCCCCTTGTATCCATCGTCCTTTTCAAGACAGTTAGTGCACGGGATCGGAGCGAGTGGTGGGCTGGTGCCTGGAATTCCGGGGTCCCAAGCTCAGATACAATATGCATAATTGCCTGGAAACAGGCATGTCCGCCGATATGCCACTGGAATTTCTCAGCATCTTTATCATCGGGCATCATATTCATGCTCTCAACCAAGCTAATAGACTTTGTCAAAACGCTGTGTGAACTTGTTAGTCTCAAATCTAATACGAGTTCTGGTGGCGGAGTCAACTAACGATTCTCGGATACCCGGATTTACAACTGCCTCACGGTATTGTTTTGGAGTCCGTAACCAAAATATAGACCAGCATCGCCATTCAATAACAGCAGCGAGACCAAGAGCCAAACGTTGATGTGCAACATTGGGGTCACAATACTGCAGATAATGTGTTTGTAAGTGAGCAGTCATTTCATCAACCATATTTCGGACTTCAATAAATAATGACTGAAGTTCTGTAACAGGGTATACATTGTTCCTTTCATTAATGATTGACGATTTGAGCCGTCGTTCCAGCCCATATGTGCTTCGGATGATTCTCCTAAAACAGTGAATTCCGTTCAACCGAATTAGATGACCCGTCATATCTGTGAATCCAGGCGGTGAATACGTCCCTACCACCGAGTGTTCACCTTCAACGAGGTTATCATCGTTAATATTTCGTGGTAAAAGAGTGGTATAGTCCTCATCGGCTATGGTAGGTTCCTGGCCTCTGCCTTCTGCAGAACGAAAATCTAGGTAGCATATCTGATGCCATAGCCTACGGCGTATTTCGACCTGCACAACATCCATATTATTTGAGGGGAATAGCGAGGGTTCTCTATGAAGGCCTTGTGAAAGGGCTATCCGCATTGCAAGTCCTAGTAAGGTCCACGTCCTTGACATGTCATCCTCTCGAGACTGGCAAGTCTGTATTACACATTTAGTAAGACAAATAAGTGTAAGACAAGAAACTTGGAAACCAGACTTACTAATAAAAGTACAAAAGCCTGTAGGACTTCAATTCTAGGGGTAGTTAGGAAGCTTTCCCTTCCAAGGCCATACTCGACTCCTCTTTGAAATTTAGCAAGGAGAGACCCCTTATCAGCACCAAAACGCATTTGAACTGCTTCGGGAGATAAGCTATTAATGGCAGAATAAAAAATAGCCAGCGCGAGAGGTTCAAATGTATGTATCGCAGGGGAAGATGCTGATGTGATACTATCTTCCGTTGAAAGATTGGAGCCGATGCCATATATCTCCCGGGTATATTGACGGAATCGTTTCCCAAGAGAAGGCTTATGAACTAGCCTCGTCACAGGGTCTACATTAGAGTAAAAAATATCTAACAGCAAAACGCATTCAACAGCTGTCTTAGGCGCCCACACCGCAAGACTATCCGTGGAAAGTTCGGCGGAAAATGGGAATGGGACAATAGTCTGTTCCAGAGGGGAGGGGCTTTCTGTTGAAGCACGGTCTCCAAGGAGCATTTTGACATCGTGAATCTACAATCGTTAAAATGCAGTTACATCGTCGGCCTGAGCAGTTTAGTATAATCTAAGGGAGGTGCCATACCTCGTCTGCCAGGAGGGCATAATGGAGAGATGACACCCAGCGAGATTGGCCGCCTTCAGCTTCCAAGAGCAGAGCACCATCATAGCCATCAGCCGAAAGGGTTTCACGTTTTGGATTGAGTGCTGCTGTATTAGATGTAGCGGATCCCTGATCGATGTTGGAAGGTGTTTGAAGGCCACGAAGTTGGTCAGTCTGCGGTTCAGGAGAGTGCGTGAGGTTGTTACCGCCAGATATCGCCCGTTCTAGCAATCTCTCTAGTCTTTCAAGGCGATTTCGAATCTCATCCTGGCCAGCACGGAGGTTAGATCGTGGTATCCGGCCTGTTGTTCGCGTAGAGGCCACGCCAGCAGCAGCCGGAGGCGGATTCGACTGCGAGTTGACGTATGAACAAGCCCGATTACCTCTTAGACACGGTGAGCATGTAGGTTGGCCGTGGTCACATTTGACCTTTCGGCGACGACATGTCAGACAGGCTGCGATAGCGCGCTGTCGACTTCTCTGTACGCCCCCAGCAGATAGGGTGGGTTGGCCAGTGCTGGCCGCGGGCGGAAATTTTGGGGACGGAGTATCCATCAAGCGGCAGAGCGGCCGGCAGTCAGTAGTTTTCTTTCGCAGTACTGCCGTATTTAACCAGCAGCTAATTGTATAGGGGGTGAACCATCATTATATAACTAAAGCCGCGGACGTGATGTTTTTTTATCTTTTTGGAGTTTTGGTTTCGTCGCGGAGTCGTTAACTTGGAAAGTAAGTTCAGGACTAAATTGAGCTATCACGTGACAAACCTTAACTAAATTAAGTTTAAGTACATAGTTATCTAGATCAAGCACTTGGAAGCTTGGGATAGTTTACCAGTTGATTATTTAGTAATAATAATTAATAGTTCTGTCGGCATTTGGGTAATTGGATGATATTTGAAGCACTTAAGGTGAACAAGACGTATATACAAAGGAAAACTGGGGATGACAGAGCCAACGTTTACTTCCCTGGGAAATGGAACTAACGAGAATCAAAAGAAAAGAAGAAACAAGAAACAAATAACAGGCAACAGCTGGCTAATTAGCTAAATCGTTAAAAAAAAAAAAAGATGATCAAAGTACGTACAAGATTAGGTATTGAGCGACGTTGAGGTCGATGAAAGGGGTGTCGACATCGTCTCTGGTGATTTATCTCGGCATACAGGGTCCAGGAGAACCAGTAGGTCGATATGGAAGGCTGGCTTATACAGCCACTGTGATCATAAGGGCTTCTACCTCTTCCTTTTTGCGATTTATGCATTGGCTCATATAATCTTGGTCCACAGTTGACAAGCACCGGTGAATATTCGGGGTTACGGCATCAGATATCTCCAAATTGGACCCGTTACTTTGTCCGGGTATCCCATGGTCGGGCTCTAGGGGGCCATTAACGAGGTTATGCAGCCCGTCTAGAGTTTGTTTGCCCTTTGACAGGATCATTTTCAGGAGAACATTTTGGATAGCTTTCCCTTCTTCCTTGCTAACTTTATAATCACCAAGACGGTATGAAAGCATGTGGGTCTCCCCGGGAGGCAATAAGCCACTGTTTGCCACTGCAAGCAACTCGAACAATTTGAAAATAAGCTCTATCGCCGAGAATGTGAGTAGAATCAAGGGAAATGATTTCTCACATACACCGCAGGTGATGAAACGCTCACAGGTGTCTAATGTCGATGTTACCGACTTCATGGCTAAGTCAAATCGATCCGAAATATCACGATTTATCAGCTTGTGTAGTGCTGCTATGTTTGCTGCTTGGCTCTGGACACAAGTACATATTTCTCTTGATAGTCCACGGTCTGGAGAATGGCGTATTTGAAGCTCAGGTGTCGCGGGGCAAGTAGGCTCTGTTCCGTTATCTGTCACGGACTCTGCTTTGTCAAATGATATAGGTGTGGCCAGGCCTTCTAGGCTCCCGGATCTGCTTCCACTGGATACGTCCATCATAGACCTTAGGTCCACAGTCCATGTGTCCAAATCGTGCAAGGTTGGTAGACCATCGTCGTTTATACCCGTAGACTTGAATCCTGGGTTGCTGTTTATTAGCAGTGGGGAGAGTGATGGGTCGGTCATAGATGTCTGTTGGACCGTAAATTAGCGACTTCATCCTAAATAGGCACTGGTAATATATTTAACTGGTACTGCAAATCAAGTGCACTTACCGGATCCCACTGTCCATGGGATATAGATGAGGCCGGCAAGTTTGTTAGAAAGTCAGGCATGCTAAGATTTGCGTCCTCAAATCCTTCAGTGCTAGGCTGCTGATTTTGAACCGAATACCATTCTATCCGCTGCTGACGATGGGCCCTTTCGATAGTTTTGCGATTCTTGCATCCTTTGGGTTTTCCTGCCCTATTTTGGTACCCATATCGACAGGAAAGGCCTTTAGATGCACAGCGGAAGCAGGGAGACCCTCCGGAGCATTTGACTTTACATTGATGGCATGAATCACAGGCAGATCGCAATTTTTGCTTCTGCTCCGTTTCGCGCCGTGGCTGTAGTGGTACGGACTGCTCCCAGGAAGGCATTTCGCTAGCCATCTTTGAGTGGTTTGTAAGAAGTGGTAAAGATAAAGGTCTTGATGAAATCAGTGACACAGGAACAATAAGGGTTAACTTGTACTCTTATGAACGAGGCTCAAATAGATAGTTTGAAATTGATGGCAGTTGAGAGGTAGAAAACAGAAAAGGGTTTGGAGGAACGGAATCTGGGGTGCCATGCGATTGCCATGAATACGGCTGGATTGGAGGCATGGAAAGAATAGGTAATACGAGAAAACAGCTAGGTTGCTTACCCCAGCAGGAACCGTAGTACCATAGTCTCGTGGAATGACATGGAGGGGTAACAGGAAAAAGAGAATTAAGCGTGGGGCTACTGCCCTGGTCATACGAGACGTTGGTAAACCTTGCAGATCAAGGCCTAGAATTGAAGAAGCTGATAATATAGATTTATGTTGGGGCATAAACCGCATACACACCCACAGCCTTGAGTAAACTAGTGAATGGAGAAAATAAAACCTCGACCTGTAGTTGGATTGTAACTTATCCATACCCATCTTGCAGGTTACAGATAAATAAAACGCCGAAGCCATAAAACCGGCAGTATAGATCCCCCTGTTTCGGGTTTGAAGGTTCCCTCTAGCTTCCTCTCTCTCTTTTGTTACCTGACCCTAGTGCCGTGAAGCTGCCACTATGGAGTGGTTTCCATGTTTCTCTTCTCTCCTCCAATACCCGCTTCAATCAGGATTGCATTCTATGCCTCTCCCATCAACTGTCGCCTAGATTCCAGCGTGTGGGGTCAGCCTTCCTGCGACTGGGATAGAAATGACACCACCGTGCGAGGAAGCCGTCACTAGCATGGACGGAGTACAGAAAGGGGGTATTGATGGAAGCTGGGAGCTGAGCAGCAAACAGGCGAGAGGCTAACGCAGCCCAGGAACTGGGGCCGCAGCCTGGAAGCGAGAGGAATCAGCACAGGAGAACTCCAGCGAACGAAAAAGAGGCGAGCAAGAACCAAATATAGGAGTTTGGAGAGGCATAATTTCATCTATTAAGCACTTTTCAAGCACTAGAGAAGCGACCAAAGCAGCCAGCCCAGGAACTGGGGCCGCAGCCTGGAAGCGAGAGGGAATCAGCACAGGAGAACTCCAGCGAACGAAAAAGAGGCGAGCAAGAACCAAATATAGGAGTTTGGAGAGGCATAATTTCATCTATTAAGCACTTTCAAGCACTAGAGAAGCGACCAAAGCAACCCAGCCGCAGCCGCAGAACGACGTTAGGATCAAGTAAAATTTGGACAGATAAAGTAACCGTAACGTGCCGAAGCCCCACTTTTCCTCGGCCGAGCCTCGTGGTATGCCAAGAGCCGAACTCCGGACCCACTATGCACACGTCGGCCGAGCGCCAAGAGAGCCAAGAGCGCAAAGGGCGCAGACCAAGGAAGGTTAGTCATGGTCAGGTGATGATCCGCGCGAGCTTTGTGCACGACTGAATTTGCCTGGCCATATACGGACTACAGACTCGCGCTCGGACGAAGGTATTTGTGCGTGCAAACCGAATGATCTCTTCCGGTTTGTGAGGTCATGATGGGATGGGCCAGCATAGGCCCGCGAGGCCGAGTGTTGGGATGCTAACCCGAAGCCGAAGCTCATGGTTGCCCTCTGCCTTACAATAATAGTAGATAATACCCTCTGCGATGCCGGATTTCTGGGGTGTTCTGCAGCTTCTTTGAATTTCAGAGTCCAGTTCCAGCCGAAAGAAACATTATCCACTATGTCGACCTCTTTATCGGATGACCCTATTGCTAAAGAGGAGGAGGCGACTACCCACAACGCGAAAAGTCTTGACCGTATCCCCCCGGATGGTGGTGCTAAGGCATGGGCATGTGTTGCTGGGTCATTTCTCTTGCAATTCTGCTCATTTGGCTATGTCAATGCGTGAGTATGCTTGCATTAAACCGTACCTCTGTTCCTGGAAAGTGTTGGCGTCCGGCTAACCACTTTACTCTTATAGCTGTGGTATTTTTCAACTGTACTACCAGCAAACCATGTTCAAGGAACAAAGTTCCTCGGCTTTAGCCTGGATTACTACTCTCCAAATATTCTTACTCTTTCTGTTTGGCCCTGCGGTCGGAAAGCTGGTTGATGTGTATGGATGTCGAAAGATGCTTCCCCCATTCAGCATTATGGCAGTCTTTGCGGTCTGCATGCTTAGCCTTTGCAAACAATACTGGCAGGTGATGTTAGCTCAAGGCGTTGCCTTTGGGTTTGCTGCCGCTGGATTATCCCTCCCGGCGATGGCCACAGCTACACAGTGGTTCTCAACTAAAAAGGGCCTTGCCGTGGGAATTGTCTCTGCTGGTAGCAGCCTCGGGGGAATCATCTACCCGTGTATGCTTCCTCGCCTAATCGAAGAGGTCGGCTTTGCCTCCGCTGTTCGTTGGACTGCTCTTATGCAAGGGATACTCCTAATCGTCGCCAACCTTCTCTGCTCTTCACCATTTCCCCCTCTTGGTAAAGTACCTGCAACTGGGAAGGATAAGAATGCACCTCGTAGCAGTGGGCTTCAGGGATTTAAAAGCTGGCCATGGGCATTTTTTATTCTGGGGTGCTTTTTCACGATGTGGGGTCTCTTTGCGCCTCTCAATTACCTCCCAGAAATGGCAGCATTACATGGATTTGGTGATTTCGCTCAATATACCCTAGCAATTGCTAATGCTGGATCGCTCATCGGTCGAATTGTTCCTGGTTGGGCAAGCGATATCATCGGTCAGTTTAATGCCATGTGTCTCGTCACTATTCTCTCGGGCGTGCTGGTGTTAGCCTTTTGGCTTCCCCTGGAGTTTCATACATCCCTGGCCGGCGTCATTGTTTTTGCCCTACTATTCGGGTTCGTCAGCGGCGGGTTCGTCAGCCTGGGGCCTCCTTGTGTCGTTTCTCTCGCAGATGACCGAGTCGATGAGATTGGCGTGAAACTAGGTGGCTTCTGTCTAGCAATTGCTTTAGGAGCACTTACCGGGCTTCCTATCGAGGGTGCCATTAAGGACAGAGAAGGTGACAAATTTATAGGCTTGATGTGTTTTGCAGGCGCAACCATGTTTCTTGGCGGGCTATGTACTGGAATTGCCCGAGTGATAAAGGGCGGTTCACAGCTAATGAAAAAGGTCTAGGAAGCTCTCCTGATTATAGACTGTCTAATAAATTAATTGCATTGTGCTTCTTACCTATTTTAAGCAACTTTACAACTACCATTATCTACTAAGTAGAACTTCCTGTATATATATTATCTGATGTATTATCATTTTTGTCGTAGGGTCACCGTACAAAAAAACTGAACCCAACGTTTCTTGGCAGGTGCTTGTCATCGTGGTTTGAACTATATGAAGATAGAATTTATTAATTGCAGAATCTTTTACTTCGTCCTCCATGTACGGCCTTGTCAAGATCAATTAGAACACCATACCGCCGACGCCGAGGTGATATACCCCGAAGATGATTTCGCTTAACCGCCGAGGAGCAACTCCTACAAATACTTGTATACAGTGTTGAGCCTTGATATGATGTGAGTATGAAGGCTTTGTGGGATAATCTAATGAAGCGTATACGTTATGGAGAGTTTGAATACTGTCTCTTACCTTACCATGGACCCTTTACCATTGGGTATTGGGGCTATACTCCTGCTGACCTTGGGTATTAGCGCTATCCTGGTTTCTCCAAATACAGTAGCAGATGTCTTGTGTAACGTAAGTATACGAAGAAACCATTTTTATGATTAACAGAATACTAATAAAATCAGGCATTCTTAACATCCATCCATCGCATCTATGATGAAAGTGGCAAAAGAGTGATGACTGGGCCCCGGTATCAGTTTCCCAATGGCCAGATGGTGGACAAATTCCTGAACGCCAAAAACAAGAGCTGGGAGTGGGAGGAGAAATATGGCAAGACTTACCGCATCTGGGCAGCCAATATACCTGAAGTGTATGAACAAAGATATAACAGCTTAGCCAGGTTAAGCGAATGCTAACAAACTCTCCCTGTGTTTCTGAAACAGCGTTATAACCGATCCAAAGGACGTTGAAGCACTGTACCGTCATTCTACGGATCACCTAAAGGCATCCCAGGCAAATGCAGGCTGGCTCCTCACACAGCTGCTCGGGTCTGGCCTCGGGCTCATCAATGGAATAAGATGGACTGGGCTACGAAAGGCCCTTGATCCAACATTCTCACACCAAGCGTCCATGAACCTTCTTCGGGAGAGGCTTGACAATGGTGCAGCGTCGTATGCGGCAGATATCCATAAGTTTGCGTTGGTTGGCAAGCAGGGAGACACCATTGGAGGTGAGGTTGTAATAAATGCCACGGAAGCTCTCCAACGGTATCCGTTCTTCGAAGTGGCTTCAATATTCTATGATGAGATGAGTGAGAATGAACAGGAACGGCTCTGGGAGCTTGGTCGTTGCTATTCAGCCGTATTTGCGTCAGTTGTGATGGGAGGTATCCATCGATTGAAGCTGACCAAGTACCTCAATACTGATGTCTGGAAAAAAACGCAAGCATACCAAAGAGCCTGGCGCCAGTTCAATGATGATATGTACGAGTCTAGAAAGATCAAGGCTCCCAGCTGCGCAATAGTGACACTCATTGACGCGGCTAAAAGGGGTTATTTGACTCAGGATGAGGCAAGTTGTTCCCAATAGCTTCGCGACAAATGGCACCAATACTCTGCTAACCCTATAATTTTGCAACAGGTATATGACACAATTGCAGAGTCAACATTTGCCAACCTGGATATCGTCACGCAGGTCATTTCTTCATGTGTTATTCTCCTAGCAGACGCTCCAAATGTGCAAGTGGAACTTCTCTCAGAGATGCAAGAGAACAGTGAGAACAAAGAAGCATATATTGCACGGAAAGATACTCTCCTGCATTACTGCCTGATGGAGTCATTGCGTCTCCGGCCTGTGTTGAGTGAGTCTGCCACGCGGGAAGTCGGCCAGATAAACAGAGACTAACCATGTACCTACAGCCTTCACGTTTCCTGAGAATCCACCTAGGGAAAAGAAATTGGGTGGTTTTATTATCCCCAAGGACACCACAATCATCGTTGATGCCTTTGCTATCAACATACGCAACCCCTTTTGGGGCCCTGATAGCCGCTCGTATCGCCCCAGCCGGTTTGCAACTATCAAGCAAAACCAAGTGAGACAACCTAGTTAAGTAAATAGTTAGACTTTGCAAAGTTGATAGTTATTCTAACGTTTGAGTTTTGGCAGCTCCGCTATAACCTAGCAACATATGGCTATGGTCCAAGAAAGTGCCTCGGGCAGCATATTGCAGACAAGCTCATCAAGTCCGTGGTATACCACCTGTTCACCAGGTATCAAGTCTCGCTGGAACCAATGCAGGCTCTCGATGGAGAATTTAAATTGGACAAGACAAGTTGGGTCGGACTATATGACGTCAATCTAAGGCTGAAGCCCAGATCAGGGGGTAGTTGAGAATGGTGTTGGCAACGTATATATTTGTCCCGTACTCCCAGTAGAGACAGCCTAGCGGAGTCATGCAATAATGAAGACATGAAAACTACAGAAGCCATGTCTGACCCTCATGAATACTCCTTATGGATCCGATTGCAAGGGGTAAATTTCAGATCCCGGTACTTATCCGTACATATTACTAGGTGTCAACCAGGGCCACGTCTGAGCACGAAGAACACAGAATACGGGGGTAACTGTATTAAGCAAATACACCCCGGGCTACTCTTCGGCGGATATTTAACGGCATCAAGGCCACGCCGAGCAAGGCTGCAGGTAGGATACCTGCCGGCAGAAACAGGTCATAGATATACGGCGGTCCTTGTAGCAACAGGATTGTAAAAAATGAGTAAAATAACAATACAATCATACAACAGAAGGCAATATGGCTAGCATGAATGTCAATACCATGAAAGAGGAGCTTATTTCCCGGCTTTCAAAATCAAGTGCAGTGACTGTGGAGGCAGATGCAAGTTGGGAAGAGGCCCTGAAGCGCTGGACGAGGTATCGAGGGCAAACTCCAGCAGCGGTTGTTCATCCGGCGAATGAGGAAGATGTTATAAAAACTGTCAGTTGGGAGAAGAGAATCCCGTGGTTCTTCCTGTGTATGCGCCTTGAAGGGTGTCTAATCCGACAGGTGTAGATCTCGTATGCTGTCCAGCATCAACGGCCGTTCGTGGTCAGGGGAGGCGGACACAGCAACGGCTTCTCCACTATCAGCAGTCCTGGAATCGTCCTAGACCTCTCGCGGATGAGACACGCCTCCGTTGATGTAGAGCGAGCGGTGGCTGTGGTGCAAGGGGGCGCAACCATGGGCGACGGAGTGAGGGTTGCTGCTTCAGCAGGCTTAGCCATCGCGACAGGAACATGCAACGAGGTCGGCCTGGTGAGTGACAGCAATCCATCCTCAAGAGCTAGCAACGTGAGAGTCGGACCCTAACAGCTGAAGGCAGGTTGGGGCGTCGTTGGGAGGAGGCATTGGCCGGCTCCTTGGGCTCTATGGCTATGCAGCAGACACAATTGTCTCAATGCGCGTTGCGGTCGTAGAGAGCAGCGGGAGGCCTCGTATAGTTGAAGCATCGCGGGAGGCGAATCCAGATCTCTTCTGGGCCCTCCGTGGCAGCGGCCATTTGTTTGGCGTAGTTGTCCAGGCCACTTTTAGGGCTTTCCCCTGGGCATACGAGACGTGGCACAGCTGTCTCGTCTTCCAGCCGTGTGATGCTGCCCAGGTGGCAGAGACGATAGACCTGGTCAACTACCAGGGAGGGATGCAGGGCCGGTTGGTCTTCTGTGCTCCCAATAACCAGGTATGCGGATGGATGAGGGCCATGACAAAGTATCGAGTATATGCTGATAGAGAAGCCAGCCGCTTGTTCTGTTGCAGTTGTGGTATATGGGCGACCCTGGGGAGGCCGCAGCCAAATTCCAGCCCCTGCTGGAGCTCCCGTCTATGGCAGAGCATCCCCTGCATGTCATCGGCCGTCTAATACCGTATGCAAACCTCAACGACTCGAGTGATAGAATCTGTGCCTATGCTGGGAGGAAGAACCTGGCGGCCTTTGGTATGCAGAGCATCTCAGGGGCCTCATGCACGGCAGCGCTCAGGGTATACACGGATTTCATCACCAGAAACCCTGCAGCGGGCAAGACGCACATTCTCACGGAGTTCTACAGCATGGATGTTGCACAGGAGCTAGACCGAGACGGTAAGGAGACCTCGATCCCCCAGCAGATGCGAAAGGGGGTGAAGTACTGGGTGATGCCTCTGGCCTGGTATGAAGACGCCGCGCTAGACGATGCATGTGCAGGGCTCAACAAAGCCATCCGAGAAGCGTTTCTGACACACGCGGACGGCAGCCGGGCAGCGAGTGTGGGCTATGTTAATATGCCGTTCGAAGAAGATACTGCTAGTAGTATCTTCGGCGATGAAGAGCGGCTGCAGGTTCTGCGCCATCTGAAACAGAAATGGGACCCCTTGGGGGCTGTTCAGGGGGTTGTGCAGCTCCAGTAGCCTAACTACTCATTTTGTACTGCTAGTTAGTTAACTATTTATATGAAGGCACGGTTTGGCTAGGATATAGCAATTATCAACAATATAATCGCACAGATATGTCTAGACTGTTAGATATCCTGCACGTCAATACTATGGACATTCGTATTCGGTTGGCTTTCAACAGCTCGATACAGCTTTTCCAGCGCCTTTGTGAGCCATACAGCCTGTGGCTCGGATAACTAACTAGTTATCATATTGGAGTCGTACTGGCCAAGAACCCCAAAAACTAGCGGTCGATGTCAAGGTGCCGTTCACAATCAAGGTGTAGTTGCCTATGCCGCTATCCACCATTCCAACAATCTATACAGAGTAATTGCATCTTGGTGCAGGGGTATAGTACCCCGTATATATCCTCGATGCGACTGCGATCAATCTTGCACTACACCCATGGCTTTTTCATTAAGGGCCTCGCGACGCCCCGTTTCCTAGAGACGGCTGGACGGTGATCATCCACAAGTATGTGGTTGACCTGTCCTCGTCTTCCTTGACCTCATAATTGAGATAACACCTGTGGATGGCCAGAGTGATGATAACTATACGGAGTAACCAGTCATGAAAAAGGGGGTGGGAAGTAGAATTCACCCAGGTTGATACCCAAAGAAGCAATTATGAAATACACACAGAGACGTTAAAAGGGTATTTATTGGGTACCTTTAGGTACTTATATGGAACAGCTAACCATAAAAGGAATATATCTGAACTGAAAAGTAGGTATATCAAAGGTGAAAGGATCATTGTTGCCAACACGTCCGCCGATTTCAGGCAACCAAGATCAACCATACCTGAAGAAAAGCCCTGAGGAAGCCTGCAGCGTCTGCTTGCCAATCACAGCTCGTCGCAATATTCAGAGCATGCATCTCGCACGGTGGCCGGCTGATATTGAAAGAGGCTGCGTCGATCTCTGGTCGAGTTAACCAATTCCTCATCTGCTAGACCATTTCAGTGTAACGAGAAAATACCCGAAGCATCTGCGAGCAGAAGATGGAAGAGGCGAGATATGGAAGAGAAGGGCGATATATAACTATTCAAATATCCTCCCCGGGGGCTATAAAACGGTCACAGCTGTTTGCCTCAGGGGAAGACAAGATTTTTTATACTAGTTAACAGGTATACAAAGGTCTGTAGAGCTGCTAGAGCGTCAAAATCATGTCTTGATATCAGCCACACCATGTAACTAGTTACTAACTCCTCGATATAGATACAGTCGCAACATGGTCCTCGCAAAGCCGGTGCTCTGGCTGCTGGCCGCAGGGCTGCTTCACTATGCGAGCGCTGCTCCAAATACAGACATGCTGGCCATTGGCAGACGGGCTCAGCCCATAGACGCGAAAGTCATCCACGTCTTCAACCCGGACAAGAAGTGCCCTCCCGGGACAACGAAGGGGACGGTGAAGATGAGCGGCGACCAGGGAACGGTAGACGTCAAGTGCTCATACGAAAACCACAGCTACTCGGCCTCGATCGACCTCTATCCCGGCAGGCTCACGGGTGCCTGCTGCTACGTGCCGGACCAAGACGTCTTCCTGTTTGTCCAGGACCAGCGCACCGAGCCCCTGACCAACTACTCCCTGGACGGCGCCTTTTGCTGCAACGAGGACGCAGGCCAGGCACCCGCCAGCTTCCTACGGGACAAGTACAGCGGCCGATGCTCGTACGGTTCCGTCACTCACGGCTTCCCGACCGACTTCAACCAGGACTTGGTGACCAGATGCTGCTGGTCGACGTCCAGCAACGAATGGACAGTCCACCTCACCGAGCAGCGGAAGCACGTATTCTTTGCCGTCCCGCTGACGCAGAAGATCAAGACTATGACGGTCGAGCGGGCAGACTTCCACAAGGCCTACATGGAGCTCACCGTCTCGATTACATGGGGCGTCTCCCTGATTGGAGGGACTGAGACGAACCGCAAGGTCATCCGGTTCGAGTACGGGAGACACCTCGACAGCGCGGCAGAGACCAAAGTCGGCCACAACCTGGGATGGTACCAGGTCAAGACGTCGACGAGGATCGCTGCAGATGGCACGCCGGAATTCTTGCTGCACTGGGACTCGTGGCTCTTCTCGCCAGACCTCGGGCGTCCGCTTTCCGCTGAGAAGGGGACGGACAAGGTCGAGCTGCCTGCCAGCCGCCTGGACGAGATTGCACGGTTCCTCAGCACAACGGCCACTCTTTGCTAGTCAGTTGCGCAGTTAGAGATGATCGGGCGTTGAAGAAAGGGCATAAAGATGCGGTGGCCTGGCATTTGTATGGATGTTATATTGACTTCCAATGCCCCTTAAAGACTATAACTACTTGTAACTAAAGACCTATAACCAATTAACTATTTACCTTGTAACTAGTTATTTAATAGAGTCAAATTTCTGATTGGCCATGAACTAGCTACCTACAACTTCTGCTCAATATCTTTCTACAGAGAGACTGGATGAAACAGATCGAGTAACTTCAAACGCGATGGATTGGGATGTTCTATGCTTTAATGTGGCTACTTTGATAGCCGGCGTCTTCGTCCTCGACTTTGGCGCAGACAAATTCATCGAGCACACGGTCATCGTTGGACGGCGTCTGGGAGTCTCGCAGACGGTCGTCGCCCTCCTGACAGCGGGCGCCGAGTGGGAAGAGGTATGACTATCCTGATAGATCAAGTATATATCGATCTATCATAGTTAATTTTCTCCGTTAGCTTGCCGTGGTGGTTGCGGCCGTCCTGCAGCACCGCAGCCCCCTGGCCCTGGGGAACATCGCGGGCTCAGCCATCTCCAACATTGTCGGTGCCTTTTCTCTAGGGCTCCTTTTCTACCCCCAGGGGCTGGAATTCGACCGCAGCGCAAAGATATACTCGGCCTTGCTGCTCGCAGTTACCACGCTCTTCGCTGTGCTGGCATTCTTCAAGCTGCTCAACCGGCTCGTTGGCGGTATCTTGATTGCCATATTCGGCCTCTACCTCGTCTCTATCATCTACACCATCTACAAGGGTGTAGTCTCGACCCCGGGGCTGTCTGATAGCGATAGTGACGGGGATGATGATGGTGATGGCGATGACCCTCCGTCTGAGACCGCGCCTCTCATCGAGAATCGTGGGAATGAACACGAGCATGCGCGGTCATCAATTGACAAAGGCAGCAGACGAAGCAGAGGGCTTCCATACCACATATTCCACCTTGTCCTGGGGTTCATCTCGCTGTCTCTGTCCGGGTACATCCTCTCCCACAGCGCCGTCACCATCGCCGACTGCCTGCATCTCTCGGGGACGGTCTTTGGCCTGACCGCCGTCTCGTTTGCTACGACGCTGCCAGAGAAGCTGGTTGCCGTCCTCAGCGGCTCCCGCGGCCACGGCGGCATCATGGCCGCGACAACGGCCGGGAGCAATATCTTCCTGCTCACGCTCTGCCTTGGTGTCGTTGCCGCAGCCGGATACCAAGTGCTGGAGGAGGCCGACAGCTTTGTGCTGTTTGAGCTGCTGGCTGTGTGGGTGTCCTCTTTGGCATTCTGCGCTGTCGTCTGGCTGGGCCTGGGGAGGAATGCCGGGATAGCGCTTTTGGCTGCGTATCTCGGGTTTCTGTGCCTGGAGTTCACCATCTACCGGCGGTGATCATTGCATTGCCTACAGCTTAACTATCCATTTACTAGTTGACCAGATATCAAGTCAAGTCAAGCCTACTGAAGCTCTTGTGGTCGGCCGTCTGCCTGCAGGGTCTTTAAGCAGGACAGGGAGGCAGGATAGATGCATACATACATACATGTCGCATATAAGAAGCCTATGCGAGACTCCTTCGACCTTGCGTAGGAAGAAGACATGCTCATCCCACATAATCTACGTACTACGCCTTGATATCAAGATCTAGATAGTGATAAAAAGAGAGAAGATGCCTGCGTTTCCTCCGCCCCTCGACCCGTCTTACGAGCCGTCTGTCACCCTCGAAAGAGTCCCAGCTACGGCGCCGATCGAAGGCATCGTCGCCGTCCTCAAGCGCGACGGCGGGCTCATCCTGACCGATCTCGTCTCCCGCGAGGATCTCGCTGCCGTCCACGACGAGCTCGAGCCGTATCTGCAGCAGAAAAAGGCCGAGAGTGACGCTGTCTACGACCTGATTCCCAAGCAGACTTCGGTCGTCTCTGGCCTCACCGGCAAGTCACCCGCGATAGTCAGAATCACCGAGTCCGACGCACTCAGCCGGGTGGTGGCCGCGGTCCTGCAGCGAACCTGCACTGCGACGTGGGAGGACAGGACGGAAGAGTTCACCATCGAGCCGCTGCTGAGCAACAGCATGACCTTCCACATCAGCCACGGCGCTCCTCGCCAGCGGCTGCACAGAGACGACATGATCTATGGCGTCTACCACGGCGGCGGCGGAAAGCGTGGGTGCAGCGGGTACAGCCTGGTGGACGAGACGATGCTCGGTGTCATGATTGCTGGGACGCGGACGACTCGCGCGAACGGGGCGACGATGGCCATCCCGGGCTCTCACTTATGGGATCATACCCGCGTCCCCAGGACAGACGAGGTCTGCTTTGCCGGTAGGTCGTAGTTACTCTCAAGAAGAGGAAGAAGAAGAAGAAGAAGATATCTAACTATCCTGTAGAGATGGAACCGGGTTCGGCATTTGTCTTCTTCGGCAGCACGTATCACGGCGCTGGGAGCAACGCTGTCCCTGGCCAGGTACGCAGGGTCTACGGCCTGTTCTTCTGTCCCGGCTCGCACCGCCAGGAGGAGAATCAGTTCCTCGCTGTGCCCCGAAGCAAGATCCCCGGCATGAGCGAGAGGATGCTCTCTCTCCTCGGGTACAAGAAGCCAGAGACGTGGCTTGGTATCGTCAACAACGGCGATCCAGCTGCAAACCTCCAGGAGGTTCTTACCATGGCTAACTCATAACCATCTCGTTATGATGGCCGAGTAGGAAGTAGTGCGTATGTATACAAGTGACAAGTAATGTCCAGCCAGCTCAAGCTCGTTGCATTGGTGTAACTATATCATCTATAACTACTGTGGCTCGTCTATCCAGAGCTTTGATATCATTCATCACCACCGCGACCAGCACGATAGACACACCAAGTCACCCCTGAATATCGAGTTTGCTATGAATAACTAGTTAGTTACCTAGGTATTTACTAAGTACGACTCCGTCTAATCCAAATGATCTGAATAACCCGATTTGCTCCCTACAAACGAATTCGTTTTCCGAACATCATGAGCTGGACTCGAGTAGCTCGCTCATACCCACAAATACCGCTGGCAAAGCCAAACTCTCGGTCGTTTCTGCATCTCGGCAGTTGGGTCGTGGCATTTGCTTTATATATTCTCCAAATTTGTTCGGATTGCATTGCCTTCTTGAATAACATAGCTCCTACCGATGAGATGGTTCCCCCTGCTTGGATGAAATTGCGACAATGAGGGGGCCATTCGCTCGCGTTTCGAACCATGTGAAGGACGTTATCTCCCGTTGGAGCCAAATTGCTCTCTAAGCAGGAAGCAAAATGCTTCCATAGCATGCAGAACCCGATCCTCACGGATTTATTTGTTGCGAATCGTCGCTTAATATGCTCCGGTAGGTATTCAAACGTATCTTCATTTTCCTCACACCAAGCCTCTCCATCCTCATCGTCACCATCTGTGTAGATAAAGTCAAACGTTGTCTCAGCGGTATACTGCAAAATATCACGCATCCGCGGACTGAGGAAACCGCCAATACACCTGCCGCAGGTGCATCCATGCCTAAGTTGTAAGAGAGTGTCTTCTGACAGCTGCTCCGGTGCCAGGCCTCTCAGCAGGACCAAGCATGAGATTGTCGCATTGTCGAATCCCGTAAACTGGTCCGATATATCAGCTCTTCTGTCCCAACCATACTCGTTAACTGACCGTCTCCGCTCCATGGACGCCTCCAGCACCTCCAGCGGGGTGTGCCCGTCGACGTTCCGCCTGGAGGGTAGACATGAATGCTTCTGCATCAGCCATTGGGCACTCTGGGCCTTGAAGGAGCATAGCACAAGATGAAGGAGAGTATTGCCAGCTTCATCCGTGGCTTCCCATCTGGCGTCATGCGAGGGGACATTGCTGAAGATATCGTTTAGTTGCCTCAGACACTCCGCGTCATTGCTGGTGGGAATAGACTTGATTAAACAATCAATTTCTGGTGTAGAGGGCGTCCTGTGGAAGGGAGGCAAGTCGAAATCTTGCTCGGGCGCGAGAGAACGACTCGGGTGATCTTGATCCGGCGAATAACCAAGCCAGCGAGATGAGCCAATTCTTCGGAAGCCCAGCGATCTCCAGAAGCTGACGGCAGCACTCTCTAGCTGGCTCCTTGTCTGCGATGCGTTACGTCTCGCTACACGTTCAAAAATCCCGGGCCACGTTATCCCAAAGAAGGCTTTGCTTTTCCTTGAAGCTAAGTTGAGTATTGCACGAGCCAGCATAGAACCTATTCCCTGCCGCCGATATCCCGGCGAAATCTCAATCTCTTCAATCAGGAGTATATCACCTTTGTTAAGCTCATCGTTCCAAACCCCTGAACCCCGATTGACTATGTGATCCTTGTAATTGGATTTCAAACACCCGAAGTGGTCGAAGAGGTCGAATGCGAGCTCTGCCATCTCGTGCTCCGGTCCCTCCATGTCGTCCCAGAAAGTGTCCGCAATCCACTCCCTCCTAATCAGCTGCGCCCTGCAGAACCCGATCTTCGTCGAGCTGGAGCGGCTATTCTGTTGGAACGTCACCCAGCCTTCAATACCCTCCAGCCACTCGAACGCTGAATAAGAGTCAACATATGTCTCCCAGTCAGGATATACTCCATCCGAATCGGGGGGATGGTCTTCACGTATGGCCTCATCTATATCGTTTTGATCCGCCATAATCAGCGTGTAATTTGGGCAAGGCCCCGACGATGCGTTTCTGGGGTCCCATCGCTCAGCCTTGGTCGGCGAAAATAGCTTTAGATTCACTTGAATCTGCGGAGTGTCTCGTCTTGCAATGGATCTCTTTTTGTGCTGGCTCCTCTTTTCCTCCATCCTTTTCGCATTCAAAGCAGCCTGCCTTGGAGATTGTTGCGGGAGCATGTTTGCAAGCACCTTCTTTCGAGGTAACTCCGCTTGATAGCTAGAATATAAGTTGGTAGGAAAGCCAAATCCGTGCGAGAGCAAGATGTATGTCTGGATCACTCACTATGTCTTTTCACCCCTGGAATAAAGAGTTATTTATGTGGTGGCCGCTCCCTGCACGTCGCATCAGGCCGGATCATGCATCCTGTGCAGCCGGCGCTTAGAGCAGAACCTCCAGGCAACCAACGGCGTTTTCTCTCTTGCTTCACTGCCTTCTTGATGGCAGGATGACGTTGATCGCAGAAACGCCTAACACCTTCTTCTTCTTCTTCTTCGTGCCAAATTGAGATTTAATACTCCTTATTCTGTCCTACTTACTCATTTAACTACCAGAGACATGGATAGGCTTCCGTGGGGGCCAGGCCGCGGTGAAGCCATCGATCACATTCACCGGCGTCTTCTGGATCAAACGTCGCTCACATTCCTGCCGCGTCGCCAGGTCAGCTTCCTGGAAGATTATGCCCATCTCCCGGGGGCGGAAGAGTTGCCCGTTCGTGAGAGAATCAAGATGATTTCTGACGATTACCGGAGAAAGTTTTTGAGGCGTATAGAGACTGTGGTCCAGCATTCGCAGCAGGCTGATATAGACCAGGTCTCGGAGTTCAACTGGGAAGCAGATGCCTGGCGAGATATCTTTGGGAGAATCAGAGACGACGAGCGGCTCCACATGTACGTACGCTGAATGTGTGAGATACGGTAGTTATACGTTGGCTACTTAATCAATCGTGTGTAGGGACAAGCGCGAATACAATTTCAAGGTCACCGTTCTTGACCCTTCAAATACCAAAGATGGTCGAGATTCGTATATGGGGAAAAGAATACCCGATATAAGTTTTAGCCTGTCCTCCTACAGCCTCAGTGACCCAGACGACGAAGGCGTCGACGAGAGCGAAAGGAGAGTACGGAGGCCTCTCCAGAGATCACGTTTGGCTGAAACTATCTGGACACCCAATCCGCGCCACTCCCTGGTCCCTGACCCAAAATGGGGGAAGCTTACCCTTCTGTTCCCATTCGCCGTTTACGAGGCGAAAAAACACGAGAGATCCGATACTGAGGTTACAATGCAGCTAAAGCTTGCGTTTAACACCTATCTCAGGATGCTAGATGGAGTAGTTCGTCAACCGGGCATACAAGATAACAATCAGTCCCCAAGAAGCGCAGGATTTCAAATTTTTGGCTTTACATCTAACGGCAGCATATGGCGCATGTATGTTGGTTACCTTCCTAGTCGCGTCACGGAAGACCCCTATGCCACCGAAGACCCCCTATGTGACAGTGATAGTGTAAGTTTTCAACCCGAATTTTGTCTGATAATAGTCCGCTGATGCTATTCTCTCTATAGCATATGAAACTTATATGGTGGGGGAGCACTCTTAATCGCCAGCACGCTGGTGAGCTTCTTGATATGGTTGACCAAGTTCACGAATATGCAGTTACCACTCACCGACCGTTCATCGCGAGTCATCTCGAATCGTGGGAAAGATCTATAGAAGTCAACCAATGGCTATCTCGGGAAGCAAATACTGATCCTGATCTTGCGGCACTAACAAATACTACGGAAGAGGCCTTGTTGGACTGGTTTTCGATCAAGTCAAATGGAGCAGATGTTAAGAAACTGCTGAGAGATAGACGGGGGAAAGATATCCTGCTAACGGATGACGATGTGAAATGCGCAAGGTTAAAAGCCAAGCTTAAGCAGTTTGAAAAAAATAGACAGAGACCAGATGAGAAGTCCGTCCCAGAACGCGAGAGACTGACAAATTTGTAAATTGTTGGATCAAACTAACTAGTTAAATCAGACAGGCACCAGCATGGGGCAGCAATGATTGCGGCATTTAGGCAGAAACCTGCAGAATTCACGTAGACAGCTTATGGGCCCGGGTCATTTCTCTACTTATACACTTTGTTATATTTGGCTGGGTGATAGTTAGAGCTTTCAGAGAGGATTCCAAAACATAGAGGACGTTTTCAGTTGGATGTTCGATGGGCATAGTTATCCACGTGAGTAGTTATCGTCTCACCCTAACTTCACTAACTAACTAGCTCAGACAGAGTACCTCCAGCACTAATCTTGACCTAATACCAGTAGGGATTTTGGCAATACCCCAATCTCCCTAAATTACCTAGGCAGTGAGAACTCGTTGTCATCACCACAAGACTGGCATATCTTCTCATCAGTTGTCCACCAGCGAGGAGCCGGACGAGAGCTGCAGAGAGCCCAAGCAGCTCTAACTACTGAAACTGACTGGAAGCCATCCTTTCGCAACAATGACTCGATATTCTCAAAGGCAGTTTGTGAAATGACATCACGCAGCACTCGGTCGATAGCGGGGATGCTTGTATAGACTTCTTCGATAGCGGAGGGAAAGTCATCTGTACCCCAACAAGTACGCACGGCAGCTTCGAATTTCTCCAAAGCCTTTTCCTTCAGGTCAGGGATGATGTATTTCTCTGCGACTTTATACACTCTGGCATGGAAGAGCATATTATTGCTGCCACTCGCATCGTAGTCGGCTTCATACATGAAACGGACCATTGCCTCAACGGTGACAGGGTCATCATCATTTGAAAAATTAACGACGTTTTCCGTAGCCTCCTGGATAGTCGTCAGCTAGTTAGTTAACTCGAAATTACTGATAAAGATATAGCCAGTGAACTATATAGCTACATACCTTCCAGTCCCCGTCAAATATGCGGCTGAAGTACTCCGATTGCCCACAGACGACTACTTTGTGGACTTTAATATCCTTGTCTGCGGTTCGAATAACAAGATCCGTAAACTTGGAGGCATCAAAGTATCTATAAAACTATCAGTCAGTCAACCAGTCAACTATCTATATTGTATATAAATTATTATTGCTGTACCTTTTGAGGCTTGCCCTCAGCGCGTCCTCCTTAGCTTTACCCATATTGTCGTATGCAGTTCCAGTGCTAGTATCTTGGGCACCAGCGAGATGGCAGCAAGGTTTTTTCTCCTTCTTCTTTTTCGCCATAGCAGTCAGTGTGCTAACTCTCTAGTTAAGGTAGTGTGTCAAAGTATCAAACTTCACCTCTACCCACTATCAGTGTGGGCTCACTCCTTTTAATGTAGTAGTTGTTACTTGCAGTTTTAAAGTAGCAGCTGGGTATATTCACCAAAGGGCGGGAGGGAGCGGGGTACCTAACTAGGCAGATATGCATATCTAGGCAGGTATGCATGCATGATGCTATGTAACCAGTATATATATGCAGTGCTGTCAGAAAGGTCTGCATTCCCCCAGGCTTATGTTGGCAAAGACCGGCATTCCCGCCTCGTCAGAAAGGATATCAATCTCATCTGAGAAACGCTCCTTTTCGGCCTCGTAGGATCCTGGGAAGTTCGACCAAAACGAATCATCAGTGACCTTAGGCACCCTGCGAGACCCTATAAACGAGATATCCAAAACTGGAGAGGGCTTGCCAGTGCTTATGGAGCCAAAGTCTTCACCTTGTGTCCAAATCGTCATTCTTGTCCACGAAGGGTCCAGATGAATGGTATATTGAAGATTCTTCGCGTGCGGATTCCACTTGATTATTTGAGACTCCAAACAGTCCCAGTCTTCGTCATCCCAATACCAGTACAATGAGTCCTTCCGTATCTCACTGCATGAAAAGTTGACTCCGCGAGCAGAGGGTCCACGAGGGTTCTCATACAGCGACTTTTCGGAACCCTCAATCTTCCAGCTGAGGACACTGTCAGTGGAGTCTTCTGTGAGGACTGCAGGCTCGACAGTACCACTCATATATGGCCACTGAACAGGCTTGTTGGTTATAAGGATGTCTGATAGCAGGAGGGAGTTGATAGCATTGCAGCCGTTGTCACTTGGGTGGAAGCTGAGTGCAACATCGAGAGCCAGGTTCTCGTAGCCCTCGAAGTCAGACCTAACCGGCGGACAGACCTGAAGAGTAGCACCAGGTGCATACGTGAAGTGGACGCCGTAAGGGTCAAGAAGGGCGGACACGTAGCCGTAATATGTCAGACAATATTGGATTCGATTAGAGATACGATCATCCTGCAAGCTGGCAACAGCGAGAGCAGCAAAGAGAAGACAGCAGGCACCAGGATTTAGATGTAATGCCCTTGAGAATACCATCTTCTTATGTATAACTATAAGCAACTAGGAGCGTCGAATAAGGGGGAATGAGCCGTACTGATAAATTTTTATACCTTCTATAAGACTCTACATAGTCATGAAGGACAGGAGTTGGAGTCTTGTACAATTATTTATATAGTTAACTAGTTCACTAGCTAAATGTTAAATATAACTAGAGTAACTATAATATTTATAGACTCGATTAATATAGAATCAAAAGTCACTATTTTCATATTCGAATATTCTTATGTTAACAAGTCAATCATCAAAGATGCCTTTGCTGCCGTACGAATCTCCGACTTGGACGCGAGAATCGCCCGTTAATGATACCCTCGAGCGCGTCGCTGTCGTAGACTGCCCAAGCTACTTTCTTCGTCAAGGAGGCGGTTTTCGCTTTCGTGCGTGCGACAGCGCGGTAACTACAGGACATGCGCCTTCTGGCAATCGGGGTCCATGTCGTCTTCATCACAGACGGCAAAGGAGCTGGCTGCACTACTAGGGGTAACTACCTAGGTATGTATACAGAGCTATGTATATACAAGTGCATCCCTTCGCATGATTTACGGCGCTCGTTATAGCTTTGCGCACTGCTTTTACGTAGTTCGGTCAACCTGCAGCCCCCAAATCGTATCGCCAATCGAGAGCCAGAGATGCTGGAGCGCTTCAGGGTTTCCTACTCCCTGTTGCTAACGTGGCGTGGCGAAGCCGTCAGCGCTTATGAGTGAGCGTCCATCTGGTCCAGTAACTAGTTAACTAACCACCCCGGCATCGCCTCGACGCCAGCAAAGATGGTGGTTGCATGAACGAGGTTTGGGGATGCATTCGGGCTTGTCATGGCGATCGAGCTGGTCACGACTCCTGGCGTACTCTTCCTCCCTCGCGAGATATTCTATCACCCAGGAGCTTTGAGGACTACGACCTGACATTACAGCAGATTGGGCATCATGAGTGTGGAAGCTCTCCCGGCCGCTCGTATCGAGTCATTCACGGCAAAGGACCAGTCGAAAGTTCACATTGGGGATGCGTACACTGTGGAGAGAGATCGCTGTCTTGAACACTTGCGCATAACTGACCCCCGTCACGACAAAAGACGCATCGAAAGAACTGCAGGCGGCCTGCTAAAGGACGCCTATCAATGGGTCTTGAGCTGCGATGAATACCATCAATGGTCCGATGACCCGGAGACCCGGCTGCTTTGGATCGCGGGTGGTCCTGGCATGGGGAAGACAATGCTGCTCAGCGGTATCATCGACGAGATTGACAAATCCAAGGATACCATCAATATCTCATTCTTCTTCTGCCAGGCCTCGGACGAGCGCATCAATACGGCCACGTCTGTACTGCGCGGCCTTATATACCTGTTGGCCAAGAAGCAGCCGTCGCTCACCTCGCACATCAAAGAGAGATATAAAGATGCAGGTAAATCACTTTTCGAGGGCCCGAATGCCTGGGATGCCTTATTCGAAATATTCCAAGCTATGCTGGAAGATCCGGCACGGGAAAAAACCGTTCTCATCCTTGATGCCCTGGACGAATGCATACCTGGGGACCTACAAACGCTCTTGGACCTCATTGTCGAGACTACGTCGTCATTATCATCATCACGCCTCAAATGGATTGTCTCAAGCCGCAACGACCCTGCAATCGAGCAACGGCTAAGGCCCGGCCGGTCGCGGGTGAAACTGTGTCTTGAGAATAACAAGGAATATGTGTCTAGAGCAGTTGAGGCATATACTGAACATAGTATCTCCAAACTGCCAATACATAATGATGAAGCACTTCGAGCCCGAATCCGAGACGCAATACGACAGAAAGCTGACGGGAGATTTCTCTGGGTCTCCTTCGTGATGAGAGAGCTGAGAGGAGTGAGCCAATCGAATATGAAACAGGTGGTTGATGAAACACCCAGGGGCTTGACAGATAAGTACCGCCAAATTCCCGGGAAAATCCGGCAGCAACAGGACGATGCTCCTGGTCTACATACGCTTCTAGATGTTGTTAAGGCGTACCGACCTCTTAGCCCTGACGAATTGCACCATATGTGCGGCCCTATAGACGAGATTGTCTATATAATCCATCGACCGGCGAAACACATTTTGCCTAAAGTAATCTTCATCTCCAAACAAGGAGAAGGCTGCGAATTTGCAGCAATTGAAGGCCAAAGACTAGTGTTAAGAAGCGAAAAGGGCCAGGACCGCGTATTGTTTTCGAGGTCACTCAAGGCCATGTCCAGCACACTCAAACGCAACCTACGCTCCTGGACATCCCGTTTGTCACACCAATCCTCCCGGCCCAGAGCACTTAGCACAAATAAACTACCTCTACCTTTGCTGGACCAATAATTTGGCGGATTATAACACCATAACCAGAGCTCTCAAAGCCGTCAACGGGTTTCTTGGCCAGGGCTATCCTCACTGGATTGAGTCTCTTAGCCTGCTACAAAATGCGCCAGATAGGAGGTGATCCATGGCCGAACTTGAGCTTTTAATAAAGCAGGAGCCTAGAGGCAGTCACTGGTAATAGCTAAACCCATGGCTATGGATGTGGGAGCACAAGGTCAACATCTCAAGGTACCCAGTAGTATTGACTCTAATCTCGCTGAGCCGCCAAACGCTGCAATTGTAGACGGCAGTGACAGAATGGTTGTCCACTTGTGGGATTTAGAGGCCGGGGAGCGTACGCGCATACTGAGGGACCGCACCAGAAGTATTGACACAGTCGCGTTTCCGCTGAACAGCTCTCTAATCGCATCGGGATTAGACGATACAACAGCCAGTCTATGGAGTCTCAGGGACAAAAGTTGTATATGGGTGCTTATGGGCCATACCAAGCAATTTGCTTCGGTTGTATTCTCGGCGAACGGCAGCGCACTCGCAACAGGGTCGAAGGACGGAAAATTTCGCGTTGGGGATATACATCGGCGCACATATACGTTAGTGTTCGCTATCAGCAATATGCTCAACTTGGATTGGGAATTGTCTTCCCCTGATGAATATATTCGCACGAAAACTAAGATTGTTGCTCTTGATTCAAGCCTGGAAGACGCTTCGCCTGAAGAAACCTGGGGCTATAACCTGAGCCAGGACTGCAGATGGATTGTATGGAACAGTGAAAAAGTGCTCTGGCTGCCAACAGAATTCGTAACATTGTCTTTTGATGCGGCTAGTTAGTTAACTAGTTACCTAACTGGCGCAAGGGTGATTCTCGGCTATAAGTCGGGGATGTCTTGATTCTAGATTTCGCTGGTAATACAGAGGATAGATTAATACTCTAGTTCAGTAAAGCCAATTAAATTAGAAGTAATGTCTTTATTATTATTATTATTATTACTATTTTATATAAAAAGGATCAAAAGGCAGCAATAGGAAGAATCGCTAGTTAGGCCAGAGAGAGAACAGAAGATCCGGGCAAGCCGGCGAGGGTCCAGGGGTTGCCCAGCCCGCGAGCAATAGTAACCTGCACCCGAGTTACAGTATAGATACTTGCTGGGGGTTGGAACGAGGAGAAGCGGGAGAGGCGGCAGCACAAGGAGTTTATATCAGGCCATTTATACATACGTCATCAACTAGATCTGGGTCTGGGCTGCTTTTGACCAACTAGCGAGCTACAAAAGCAAATAGAGAGCTCGGGATTTGAAGCTTACAGCAAGCTGGTTGCTTGAACAGAAACACGTCACTCCTGATTCGACCAGAGACAGGAGGCAGGGAGAGATATAGAGCGAGAGCTTCGCTTAAGGGTCGAACCAGCCGGTCAACAGGAGTATGGATGATTTATCCGCGGGTGCAACTCCGCGGGGGGACGGTTCAAGTGTAACAGGGGCCATTGCCTGTTGTATATGTGTGTAGACTGTGTAGCTACACAGGAGGAGGTATATATAGCTGTATAGTTATGTATGAATGTTGAATATTCGCCCTGGTTTTCTAGTTATCAGAGACAAACAAAAACACTAGCTACAGATTCTCTCATTCATTCACTGCTTTAGTTACCGGTTAAAATGTTCATCTCCAGGCCTATTGTTACGGGTATTGGCTCCAGGGCCTCCATTCGGCTCACCACGACGGGCCTCAGATCTATGGCCACCGGTACTGTTAAACCAACCAATATCAACATCAATACCGGCATCAGCATCATCTAATGTTTTGTCTTTTTTCTCTTTAGCTGTTCCAAGGTTCCCCTTCTCACGCCCTCGCGGGGCCGAGCCTCCGGTAGAGTACGCCAGATTGCGCGCAACTGACCCGGTATCCAAGGTCGAGCTCTGGGACAGCAGCCAGGCATGGCTCGTAGTGAAGCACAAGGATATCTGCAGCGTCCTGACCGACCAGCGGCTTTCCAAGCAGCGCAATCGTCCCGGATTTCCCGAGCTCGACGCCGGTGGAAAGGAGGCAGCGAAGAGGAAGCCAACATTCGTCGACATGGATCCGCCGGAGCATATGCAGCAGAGGTGAGAGATAGATATATGCAGATGCAGATGCAATATCTGCTAAATAGGTAAAACCGACGCTGATGATGTTGTTACCAGGAGCATGGTTGAGCCCCTATTCACCCGCGAGCATATTGATAGCATGCGTCCACACATCCAACAGACGGTCGATACCCTGATCGACGAGATGATCAAAGGCGGTGGGAAGCCTGCAGTGGACATTGTCGAGAAGCTCGCATTGCCAACTGCATCGTACGTGAGTGCTCGCAGGGATGAATGAAACATCGTTGACAGACATCCTCTAATCAAAATGAGTCCTTGAACAGATCATCTATGGTATCCTTGGTGTCCCGTTCAAGGACCTCAAATATCTCACTCAACAGGCTGCTATCCGCAGCAATGGCAGTGCAACCGCGGCTGCTGCATCTGCAGCCAACCAGTGAGCCTCTCTATCATGAATTCAGAGCCGAGAGGCAAATTTAACCATGTAGTAAAGAGAAAACGGCTAGTGTAGTTGCTAAACAACGAACGAATGTGTATAGGGAACTCCTCGACTATATTGGTGGCCTAGTCGACCAGAGAACCGTTGAGCCACAGAACGATCTCATCAGCAAACTCGTTGTAGAGCAGGTTAGTATTTCCCTACCTTTTGGATGGTGACTTTTACTCATCAAATATTTTCATTCAGCTCAAGCCAGGACACCTGCAGAAGGACGATGTTACCCAGATGGCATTCCTGATGCTTGTTGCCGGCAATGCCACGATGGTGAACATGATCAACCTGGTAAGCCAGCAGCTACGCTTGACTTTAGCCGTACAGCAACAGATCACTAAAACCGTGTTGTTATAGGGTATCGTAACGCTCTTTGAAAACCCATCCCAACTTGCAGACCTCAAGAAGGATCTGTCACTTGTACCGCAATTCGTCGAGGAGCTTTGCCGCTTCCACACAGCATCTGCCATGGCCACGCGCCGTGTTGCAAAGGTCGATATCGAACTCGGCGGCAAGGTAAGTTAACTTAACTCCTGTCCTCCCCTGCCTGTGCCTTAGTTAGATGGCCTCCTTAGCCATATTACAGCTACTCTAACACAGCCTCAGACTATAAAAGCCGGCGAAGGGATCATCGCCGCTACGCAGTCCGGAAACCGTGACGCCGACGTGTTCCCCAACCCAGATACCTTCGACATGTACCGCAAGCGTGGCGCAGAGTCGGCATTTGGCTTTGGATATGGCGAGCATCGATGCGTTGCCGAGTGGCTGGCTCGTGCTGAGCTCGAAATCGTCTTCAGTAAGTGCCAGCAAAACAATTCATCAGTCAACTGGTTACGTTGTTAAACTAATAATTCATTGTAGCCACATTGTTTCGACGTCTTCCGGACCTCAAGCTTGCTGTACCGCTGGATGAGGTGAAGTACTCAGACCCGTCTAAGGATGTTGGAATCACCGAACTCCCTATCACTTGGTAGATAAATACCCGTAATGATTGTTGTTACTCTTAGAATTGTAGTTATAGAAGACAAGTAGTTAGTTATATTGAAAAGATGTGCTCCACTCACTTACTATATTGATAGATTCAATCTGACTGAAAACATACTATCCATGCTTCGGTCTCCCCAACTCAGCAACAAAATCACCACCGCCGGCAATGAACTGATAATTCTGCTCCCCTTCCATATCAGACTGTATATATCTTGCCACCACCATCTTATCCAGCTCTTCCCCGGTAGTCGACGGATCAACTCCATACAAGGGACCACACCTCACAATTCGAACAGGATCATATCCCAGCATCAGCTCGTCACTGAGTACATGCCATCGGTTCCATATTCCGAGGATGGACGCCAGGAACGGGACTATGAGGATGAAGAGTGCGAGTTTGTTGTACACGTATTTGTTCACTCGTTTCTCTATTGTGGTGGAGAGGTCGATTCTGTCGATTGACCTCCCGAATGCGAAGATATTGTTCATATCCCATGCACGTTCGATGCGTCGTGCAACTTTTGGGCCATTTGCGGTTTCCTTCCATCCAAGGAGCGCAACGCCGATAGGGTGTGTGACAATTTTCTCTCCGTTAGCACCGTAAGCGCCACCAGAGAAGTTCCAGGGACTCGATGCGAGCAAATCACCACCGTAGATACGGCTGAGATAGCCTGCGCCGCGCGGCAGCTCGTCTTTGCTAACGACCTGGAAGCTGGAGCGTATCACTTCGGGGGGGTTGGATCCAACCTGCGTTACGTTCACCCACCCGTAACGGACGGTGCAGTCCACCGTGTATATGAAGCGTTGCTCTTGTGCAATATACCAATTATAGACATAAGCACCGAAGAGGGTGGTGAAGTCGCCATCTGACTCGGTGGCACGCTGGTTGGTGAACATGGCGGCTGTCTCGGGGTCGCTTGACTCTAGGGCGACGCAGACCTTTCGATCACCGGGCTTGGGGCTGCAGAACTGCTGGCTGCGTGCATTTTTAAGACTGCTGGGCTTGAGGCCAATTCCATCCGGGTTTGGGATCTTGTCAGACGCGCAAATCGCTTGGAAGCCGGCCATGCGGGCATTTGCACGACACAGGGAGGTATTACAGACATGCGCAGCGGGAGCATTAAGCGAATGGAGCGATGTGAGGAATGCCGCTTCACCTAGGAGATCGCGGGTCGTCCCGGAGGCATACCAGGTATTCACATCGTCCAAAAAGCCGCTGAAGTCGTTATAGTTCCTATCCCGAGGCTGGAAAGTCGTCTCGAAAGTCGAGTCGACCGTCTGAGAAATGCCACTCACGAGGACGGGGTTCACAGCGGCGCCGGCAAGCAGCAGAACGGCACAGATACGGAGCGCCCATGATCCCCCGATGAAAACGTAGCGGATGCGGGCTGCGGCGGAGGTAGACCATAATGCGAGGTTGCGGCTCTCAGCAGCCGTGATACGGTCCACGGTGGCCGAGGGCGTGAGGTGGTTCCAGAGAGCTTCATCAACGCATCGAGTGACCAGCGCAACGGTGGCGGCTGCTAGGATTATAGACAAGAGGGCGACGACAACCTGTGGTGTGAATCTTGTGCGGCTGGACAGATCATCACCTACGTAGAGGAGAGAATCGACACGCAAGGCTCGAGGGTTTATGAACAGGACTAGCAAGTTGATGTCGGCGAACAGAATCACCAGCACAAGGGATATCGAGATCGCAATCTTGACCGGGCGGCTGTGCGCCATGTAGAAACGGGTAAAGAAGTCCATGGCAACTATCGTATCAGACCGAGCCTGGTGCTGGCAGCCCTGGATAATGGAAGATCAAGGCCAGATTGAGACATGGCCATGGTGAAAGCAGCCGCAGATATAGATATTTATCTTCATATAGGCCTCCAGCCTTGCATTTCGCATGCGCCAGCGTCAAGCGAGCTCGATCACGACTTGCGAGGGAGCATAGCTACACAGCTGTCTAACCATTCAATCCAGACCAGAGGCTGAGCAAGGGTTTCGCTACGCTCCCAAAACTACTGGAGATCGAAGACAAGGTCTGCAGAGCCAAGTCGTCCGCAGTAGCCTCGCGCTCAGGAAGCACGGCTAACGTTTCTCTCGTTGCTAAAGGACTCGGAACAGTTCACGAACTTCTCCTCGGGTATCAATCAAGGCGGACGGTGGCGCCGGCGCGGGAAGCAAACGTAGATCAAAACGGCGGCTTGCCAGCCACATATGTACGTATGTATCTATGAGGCTGTTAACGGTTGGGCATAGATATTAAGGGGCTGAAGAGGTCTGTATCGGGCAATGCACCCTCTGAGCGGACGAAACGAGCTTGAGTGGTGAAGATACATATCTATGTGACATTTCGAGTCGAGGACTTGCCGAAGCGAAAGTCACTCTGTATCGTCTCAATTGCGGATGCTTAGTGATACTCGTTTGCTAACGAAGCTGGCCTGTTCAAGTCTAATATAATGCTAAGCCCGTTCGTCATTCATGCATTGCTTGATATAGAACTAGCTGTGGATAGAGATATCGACTCTCAAACTGCCTTCACCTGTAGATGTGGTAGTTCGGTCTGATATTTAAGAATGATCGCCGTGGCTGATCTAAAGCTGTGATCGCGGCTTAACACGGCTTGCGGTGCCGCCGTCACTTGAGGATTGGTTAAAACTCCTTAGTCTTCACGCAGAATCGCCAATCAGTTGCCAATCTAGATATCAAATAAATCTATTATCAACCGCCAGCCATCAGCCATGATGAGCAGAGCTTTGTGATCAGCCACGGCACGATCTAGAGTTCAATAGTTGACCAATTTCTCCAAACGAGTAGATAGATAGGGGTATCATGGCAGGACTGAAAAAGCAGTCAAAGTAGCAGCAAGGAGATATAAAAATGGCCTGTTATCACCATGAGGTGGTTGATTCCAAGTGCCATTCTTCAATACCTACTCCATACATCCTTCTTTTTCGACCGACCTGATTCAGCATGAAACTTATAATCATCATCGCCGCGCTTCTTACAGCCGTACAGGCATTCGATAAGGCGACCCTTAAGCAAATCAAATGCTCGTTCCCGTGTTTACTTCGCGGTTTTAAAGGAGTGCCTTGCAGTGGGGAGAAGCTTTACTTGGCTGTGTGTGACAACATCGACCATATACGCGACGCAACAGCAAGTTGTATGGAAAAGGAGAACTGTGGAGTGTCCAAAGGATTTAGTAGGATTCTCCCCTTTACTCGAATTTTGACATCATATTAGTGAATTAACCATGACTTTTTATAGCCAATATGGTGGCTGATTCGGTCAAGGGAATGTGTCCAAAGAATAAAACTGGATAAGGGGGCTATCGATAACCCGGGGTGGATGCATGGGGGGAGGGAGCTTTTGAGGCGAGATCTAGTGCTGGGTGATTGCTTGGAGATGCTGGTTATAGCCACTAGATGTAGAGGAAGAGACTCATTGCTGATGACGTGTCTATTCATTAATCAACCACTCTGATAACTACCTTCCCAAGGCCACCCCGGCCGCTGTAAACAATCTGGCAGGCCTCCCGGACGGCCTGGAGATCCCTTAAGTTCGCGGTCGTGCCCACAACCGTCCTCAGCTTGCCGGACTCAACGAGATCTCTCAGCTCATTGAGGTCCTTGCCGCTCGACTCAAGAAACATGTAGGAATAGGTAACACCATAACGACGCGCCCGAAACTTACGGACGCTGTCCATAACGTTCAGGGCGAGCTTGATCGGCAGCGGGAGGACTGGCCGATGGGGTAAATCCATCAAAGAAGAGGTCTGAAGCTGGTCGCCGGACGGTGCAGTCGACACCGAGATGATATGGCCTGTCTTGGGCCGCATCAAGCTCAGGTATTCCATTGCGTTTGCAACGGTATCAAAAAGGAAGTCTACCGTACCGGGCTGGATCGCATCCTTTGGATCTACTTTTGTGTAATCGATGACTAGAGATCGGTCAGTTTGGTCCAAAAGATATTTGTAGTTATGCTTGCGAGGGGAATCTCACTCTCGTCGACGGTGTCGTCTCCCAAAAGCTCTTTCACCTTGGGTATCTTTGAAGTTGATACTGTTGTGATCACCTTGCCGGCTTTGAACGCATGCTTCGCCAACTGGCAGGCAAATAGCCCCGTTCCACCCACTATCACATTGTTAGCATGGTGAATAGAAAGACAGTATCCTAGAGGGCTTGAAAAGACAACATACATCCAGCGGGGACCAGCACGGTTTTCCCAGCAAGGTCACCGTCGTAGCGTCGCAGTGCTTGCAGGGCTGTCATCGCCGCCAGTGGGATAGAGGCAGCATCCGTGAACGATAGAGACGGGGGCTTGAGAGCAACATCTTTCCCTGGACATATCACGAACTCGCTGCATGATCCTATTTACAATGCATTAGCAACAGTGGTACAGTAAAAAGTGACAAAAAAGAGGAGCGTACCCCGAGAGGCTTCTGGCAGGCGAGTGTATACCTCGTCGCCGGCCTTGAGATGGCTCACGCTGCTGCCGACTTCTACTATGGTGCCGGCGCAGTCGTAGCCAATCTTGTACGGAAACCTAGCGAAATAAGATCAGCATTGGCTATTACTATTGCTATTTCAGACTCACTCATCCGTCATCGCCATCTTCAGCATCCCGCCCGCCTTCTTGACGTCGATAGGGTTGATGCTGGCAGCATGGGCCCTGATGATCACATCGTCGCTGTCCTCGAGCTCCGGCTTTGGCAGCTCAGAAAGCTGGTACCCAGAGGGCGCCGAGTAGGTCGGGGTATTGAGAGAGAGCATCTTGTCCTGAATTTATCCTACAGCCTGCCAGATGCAATGAAGACAGCCATCCACTAGATCAAGCAACGAGTTACTTATACTACAACTATATAAATGACTTCATGGGAGGCAAACGTTGATCCTCGGGGCAACAAACTATCCGCCCTTTTTACCAGCGTCCATGGACTTTTCGGCGCAACAACTTGGCCGCCGCGACGGTGATTGCAGCAGTCGATCTACAGCGACAGCCAGCTCTTGATATGCCTTGAACTACCCAGAATAAACTACTAAGAGCCATGTGAATGCCGCGCTCTATATCATTGCTCCGCTATTGTTAGGCTGCCATTAGATATACACAGGGATGCTATAGTCATAGCCGGTATAAATGCTGGCCTCGAGAGCAACAGAACGCGCCGTCGTCCAAATGATACAAGTGATACAAGTGATACAGCTTGACAATGGCCAGCCACGACCTCCTTGACATCGAGGATGCCCTGGTGTCCGATACCAACCCGGCCCAGGACGCTGATAATGGAGTGCTGGACGTCCAGCGCTGTGTCCGGCTGCACAACTACCTCGTCGCCCGCGGCTGGATGGCGAAGAATCATAAGCAGCCCGCCGACCTGCACCATCTGCTTGCCCGGCCGTCGTATGAATCGATACACGCCGACCAGCTCGCCCGCGTCGGCCACAAAATCGACCCGGATCTCAGGTCGTTCCTCGCCGCCATCATTGCTCCAGACCAGGAGCGGCGGGACGAGAACCCTTACCTCTTCTACTGGGTCATTTGCGTTGCGGACCCGGACCACTTGGTCGACTCTGAGGGGATGTACGTACTAGACATAGATGAAGACGAGACCGAGGATGGCCTCCCACGCTATGTCCTGCTCTATCATGCTGTCCACGAACTGGGTGGCCACCAAATAGGACTCGTCTATGACCAGCAGCGCCGCCGGGTTGCTCTGCCCCTAGCCACCGAGTATCTTGAATATGTGATTCCGGCTGACGAGCATGAGGACCGATGGCATCCGCTCGAGAGCATGCTGAGCAACTGGATCGAGATAATCTCGGTAGGCAAGATTGTGCCTGACGGTTGTGACGGATGGAGGAAATGGGATGCGCTTGATGTCTGGCGATGGAATCCGTTTGGCAGCAGGCAGGTCGACAGTGCTGTCCAGGCATTCGACCAGCTAACAGCGGCAATTGAAGCGCGCATGCCCGCCTCTGCTCTCCTGGCCGTTGACGATACCGCTGACGGGGAGACACGTCCCCTATTTACAAACGCGGAACTCGATACGGCCATGGTGCCAAAAGTGTGTTTTGCGCGCTCGCTACTGACCCGCGTGCGGACACCTCGATTCACCATTATTGCACCAGGGCTGGAGGTTCCACACGATGCAGCACAGTTTGCAGCACGCCAGCCCTTCACCACCATCCCACATGGTAATAGCGGCGATGTCTATGTCGATATCGATGGCAATGGCCACGGCGATGACGAAAGTAACGAGCTTATCCCGCCGGTACTGATATTTGCAGCCTCTGAGAAACAGACAGTCAATTTATACAGGGAGTTTTATACCCCCTTCCACCCTTATATCGATATCAAGAGTGCCCCAACCCCCGCAGGACTATATAGTGAGTCCCTGAAGGTAAGTGAGGGACAAGTCGCCGGTGAAGGGTTTCGGTTAATTCTTCCCTTCCCGCTGCGAGAGCATCATGCCTTCCCCGAGCGAGGCGCGCGGACCAGTGCCGGCAGCTTCGTGGAAAGTGGGAGTGTCTCGGAGCTCTTCCAGCATGGATTCTTCTCTTTCGGTGGAGATGGGCGGGCTCAGCGGATCGAAAGACTGTTTGATAGGTGGCGGGAGCTGGTTGAAACTGGTGTCTGGACGGTAGGAGAGCATGGCGTCGAGGGAAGCATCGAGAAGTTCAAAGATGCGGATACAGACGACGGCTGGGTGCATTACTGGATTCCTCCCAGCTGGTAGATTGATATCTTGTTCGTTGTTCGTTGTACGGAGTATATTCTATCAAAATACGGACAGTCTAAGCCCCTACCCCCTACCCCTACCCACTACCCCTGGTCATCACCAGTTCGCGGCGGAGCCAGACGCCGCTGAGCACTGATGTCAGCCGCACAGCGGAAGCGGTAATCGGCCCAGGTCAGAGTGCCAGTTTCGTCTATCCCAGTTATAGGGGCTGGCAAACATGCTATAATGGATAGATTTGCCATTAGCATTTCTTATCTATTTATGCAGTAGTAACTTTGGGGAAACTCACGGGTCATCGTCCAGAGCGCGGAAGCCGTGATCGGGCACTTGGGTGTGGTAAATCTAGCTGCTGGATAGCTGTGGTCGGTATATGAGTACAAAGCAAAACACAGCGACCCTGGTGTCTGGGAGTTGAATCCATAGGCCGAAATGAAGTGATTTCTTGCCGCAACGCCTCTGTTTCCGTTAAGCGGGCCAAATTTCCTATTGTTTAGGCATCAACATTATCAACATTAATTCATGCATCCACTGCTCCGTCCTCCAGTTCTTGAAGTCATTTCCCTGAGCTCCGTTGGCTCTGCCATTCACCAACCCGCAGGCCTGCGGCTTATTACTCCACGAGTCGACGAGGATACCCATGGGGAACTCGTCAAGCTGGCAGGCCGCGCCACCGGCTGATGTTCCTTGCATTAAAGTACGGTAGTAAGCTGACCGCTAGGAGGCTGACCAGGTAGCGTGGGAGCCATTGTGAATACGGTCTGGGTGTTCAGAACACTGGTGATTGCCCATCACTGGTTGTCGCAGATCTCGTCTCAGCCCTTGTCATACTTGCAGGTATAAGTGACTGAGCCGTCGCACTTTGAGCCGGAAGGGGGAGGAATAGGTCGAAATCTGCCACTGTCCAAGGGTTGACTTCTGGCTCTTTGATGCGCCCTTACTCACTTTCGGCTTCTTGGGCGGCGGAGCAGGCCTCTTGACGAAGAAACTGGCGAAATCAGCTGCCGAAACTGCTATTCCAGCGGTGGCAGAGGGTTAATGCTTCGGAGATCCCAATGAGCGACAGGCCAGACGTGAAAGGGGCCGCTGCTATGAGTACTCCCACCGCAGCAGCGCAGATGGCGACTGTCAGGGTATCATCCCGGGCCCCTTTTGCCAGGTCCCTAGACTTGATTCTGGCAAGGTCCAGCTTGTTGAATATTCCCTGGCCATAGAGGAACTTGTTTTTCGTGTTGGTTTTAGACGAGGGCACGAAGCCGGAACAGCAAAAGGCCTGGTAGCCGCCGGTGCATGTCAAATCCATAAGCTGGTCAAACTCGTTATTTGTGTACGAGTTACTGTTCCGGGCGACGATAGCGGCCTCGGGATCGCTGCACACAGGTGTACATGGCAATCCCACGCCGCGGAATCCTTCCCATTCGCATTTGCCCACTGTTGTCCCGGGCGCGCAACACAGTGTCTGAAGCTGCCCGTTCGAGCAGATTGGGCGTTTCTGGACGTTGGTGACCTGCCCCTTGGCCTCGGTGACATCGAAATACCCATCATTGCATCCCTCGTCGCAGAGCGTCCAGTAGCAGGAGGAGGCGATGGCGGATTGCAGCGTTGCGTTGTTGAGCTGCTCCTTATACTCCCTGGCTGCAGCCTCGCTCACCCCGTTAGCCTCCCCTATGCCGAGCAGGTCGTTCATCGCGCTACCCTTGGAGTTGTCTTGGTCGAGCGCCCAGATCATTATCCCCCCTAGACACAGGCTGTTGGCCGCTTGGATTTTCTGCAACGTGGTGGCACCGTCGTCGTAGCTTACCCACTGGTTATTATCCCAGGTCATCCACCGCACTGCCGCCTCGGAGTCAAGATACTGAGTCGCAGCACCAGAGGCAATGATTGCTTTGATTTCGGCAATGGATAGTGTTCCGGCTGAGTTGGTGCAACGTCCTGGTTTGCCGCCCTCCGTGAACTGGCAGACGCCGTTGGGTTGCGAGCATGACGGGTCTGCCAGGGTAAACGAGCGGCCGTACCAGCCTACTCCAAGGGTGACCTTCTCTGGAGCCACTCCGGCCATCCACAGTAGGTCCAATCCTTGCTTGATCTCTGTGAGATTGGTATGTGGTCGAATGTATTGCCCTTGAAAACGGGTATTGGCATCCCAAACACCGTGGATATCATAGCTCATGACGTTAAACCAGTCCACATACTCTTGCATGGTCTTGACATCAAATCCTTGCAGGTACCAGTACGACAACGGCAGTGTTGCAGTAATCCCGTAGGACTTACCCCAGGCTGCCCGCATCTCAGCCACCAGCTCTGCCAAATTGCCCGTATCTGCGGCAACTCCTCCTCGATCATGGGCTGCGGGATACTCCCAATCTATATCAACGCCATTGAAGCCGTACGTCTGCATGAAATTTTCCAAAGACGAAATAAATGCTCGCCGATTCGCCGCGCTACCAACCATTCTACTAAAAGCGGTTCGTGTGTCAGGGTTATTACCGTCATTGTTAAAAGACCACCCTCCGATCGAGATCCATGTCTCTAACCACTGATGCTTGTCCTTGAGTCCGGTGAAGCTCTTGTATAGTTTGGCAGTTGTGTCTGTCATAGGGGTGATCGAGAAGCTCTTAGGGTCAAAAAAGGCGAAGGCGAAGTTGAGATGCGTTAGACCGGTTAGATCTAGGTCGGTTGGCAGCTTCCGATCACATGGACGGGCGCTTGGGTCGCCTGCCCAACCCTCGTAGTAGCCAATACGCCGACCGTTTGCCGAGTTCCCTAAGCATGACGGCCTTTTGACCTCTTCACAGGAGCCGTAATCTTTCTGACATCCCTTGCCGCAGAAATCTGTCGTTGTGCCACAGAAACCGAATTCAGAACAGCAGACGTTCAACGGGCAATTGCCCTCTCCTTTAGCAGCATACTGCCCGCAGGGAGCTTTTGCATCGCAGTTTGAGATGCAGTTCTTAGGCGCACAGCTTGAAGGGGCGTATGAGCAGACTCCAGTTTTGCTACAGCAGGCCCCGTTGGTACACGGCGTTCCAGGTGCACATGTTCCCAGTGGCAGAGCCTTTTTATCCAAAACCACATCTTTGCCGTTGAGACTCATCTGCGAAGAATGTGTGCCATTGGAAGCTAGACGGTTGGCAAGTTCATGGTTCAAGAACACTGGCGTATCTGGTGAATAGGCCTGGAACAGAGCGGCCAGGGCTTTTGAAGAGTTGCGTGGCAGAGGAGGATGCGGCTCCCATTTGGCTGTCGAAGTTGTCAATGACTGGGTATGAGGGATGGAATCTGTCGTCGCATCAACAGAGGCACCTGCGAGCAAGCCTGTAGCTACTATAGCCGAAAGATACCAGCACATCTTGACGCTATAGGAACCGTACAGCCGTGGTGGTAGCCTTGGTCAGAGCGGTTGTAAACAAGTACCAGAGAAAAAAAAGAAATGCAGAGAAGGACTGGAATTCGAGGAGCGGAGGCCACGAGTCCATATATAACTTTCAGAAGCTCCGTGGTCCAGGAGCAATATCCGATAATCTAGCGGGTAGTGGACACGCAAGACCATAAGAATTGTGCTATAGCTGAAGCTTCCACGGTAATTATTCTAAGACCCTGTCTGTCGCTGCAAATTTTCTACTTACAATAAGTGGGTATAGTGAATCTATTTGATCCAGATAACTCTGAGTCTTCGCCCATCTAGCTTACGTCTTATTGTTAGAAGAACGGCATAAATACTCAAACGGGCGATATTCCGTACAGTCTATCACTCACCAGGGCGTGATATTAAGACTCAAACTTACAACCTTAGACAGGGATATGAGCCGCCTCCCGAAAGCCTTTTTTCTTCTCCATAACAGAAGCTCATGTTAGGAAGTAAAAAGATCTGCTGAGTTGAATAGTTATATCCCTCTATAGAAGGAGGTTATCCAGATCCTCACGCCTCGTTTTCTAATTTCCTATCACCCTTGGAAGAAGAACAGACAGACATTGTGAGTTTGCCGGATGTCTTTCACCAAGGGTGTCATGTTCACCTTCCAGCAGTGCCATTTACTCGTCACAGCCATTTCAGTATTCGCTTTGGCTTCTGGCGTGCTGGGAGACTTTAAGCTATTCGAATACTACGACCAGCAGGTGTTGTCGGCTGCGAGGAACATCACAACCTCATGTATTGATGCATTGTAGGTGACCCGATGTTATGGAATCCTATGGCACATTTGCTAACTCTAAAGTAGAAATTCGACCGTTAAATGCGATGAGAAAACCTCTGTGATGTTAGGCAGCGGTGCCGACTACAGCTGTGCGTCCCCAGCCAGTGTTGAGCCAGAAGGAAAAAGCAGCAGAGCTAATGAAAGTCAACAATAGATTGGTATAAGGACGACATCACGACGCTCTGTACGCCGTCATGTTTGAGCTCACTTCGTGGCTGGGAGTCAAGTGTCGAAAAGGCCTGCGAGGGCCAAACCATCATTGAGAGCGGCGCCGTTGTGCAAGCCAAGTCGCTTGTTCTATCCTTCACCTACAATGCAGGCATAACTTGTCTCCAGGACAGGTATGTCTCAATTATATACCCTATGCTGATGGAAGAACGTGAATGAGAGACGGAGAAGCTGATATCCGTTGCATCGTTCCTCCAGTCAATCCAACTGGTGTTTTTTTGAATCCCAGCAGTGGCAGGGAAGCGACTACATCAGATGGGATCCAGATACGTGTTTTGACCCTGACGATGACCCTGCTACCTGTGATGGCTTTGACAGTGATGAAATTACGGATGAAATGCGAGCGATAACCAATTTATACGATAGATCATTTGTATGTCTTATCCTACCTGCACCGTTACTCCTATGTAGACTGACAAAAGTTCACTATATAAAGCTTTGCAGCGAGTGCTTTCTCGAGCTCTATAGGCAGCGGCTGCTTGACCCCTGGCTAGCAAAATCCAACTTCACCGACTACCTGATCGACCAGTTTGATCATGCACAAGCAAACTGCTCGACAACGCTCCCGTATACTACGTCAGCATCAACCCTCTATGTAGGACCACAGACTGTCATCACGCCCACCACTGATGCCTCGACGACAGTCCCTGAGACGCCGATGCCGACACCGACTTGCCTGGGCCAGCTAGTCCAACCGATAAAGAATTGGCTCACCTGTAACGACCTCTGTGATACGTGAGTTGTGACTCTTATTTTTAATAATCTTCTCGAGATAGTGCTGCCGGTTTTCTAGAGGGTATTATTGAGTAGGTCGGTGCTAACCGCTTGATTAAAGGTATAATGTCAGCACTGGAGATGCCCGAGTGATAACTGGCAGCTATAGCTGTAAGTTCGAGACGCCCATTTGTCTCCCACTCCCGTGCCCCATTGATGTTGTCTGGGGCTCTCCAACCTGGTAAGAAAATTTTTCTATCTCCAAATGAGCTTTGGGCAAGGTTATTAACCTATCCCTACTTTCCAGCGATTCACTGGCCAAAAAATACTCCAACTCGGCATTTGATATCTCTAAAACACAGTTCCTATCATGGAACTCTAATATCCAGGGAGGCTGTGATAGACTTGCTAACGCTCAGCGCGTATGCATGCAGGCTCCTGGCGGGGCATTTCCATCCCCTACGGCGTCTATTGAAGCACCAACAGGAACAGATGCCTATTCCACAACAGCAACTCCGGCCTATCCAACCCAAAGCGGCAGTATTGCGAACTGTGGTCGGTACTACAAGGCATCTGCAGGCGATAGTTGCTATACAATCAGTTTGCAGTTCGGTATTAGCTTTGCCCAGCTACAGAAATGGAATCCCTACCTTAACGCTGAGTGCACCAATCTATGGCTTGGCTATGATATGTGTGTCGCAGAGGTAACGGCTCCAAAGGTTTCACCAGATGGGAGCTGTGGGCCAGGATTAGTATGTAAGGGAAGCGGGTTCGGGGAGTAAGTCATCCTGATTTCCAAGAACGACGGAATTAGCAGCCGAGTCCTTCTACTAACACTTTTCCTGCGCGTGTTCACAGCTGTTGTTCGTCTGATGGTAAATGCACGCAGAGTGGCTGCAACAGCTCTCCCGCCGACAGCACCGTTAGCAAAAATGGGTTGTGCGGGCCGGATAATGACTTCAAGACCTGCCCTGGATCCTCATTTGGGGATTGTTGTAGTAGTAAGTGGCCTCCTTTAGCTTCGAAATGACTTAACTTCTCGACTAACCCCATCTCCCCAGTCTACGGCTACTGCGGAAACTCGACAGACTTCTGCGGCGCTGGTAATTGTTACTCCGGGTCTTGTGCCACAGATAATGGAGGGCCATCAATCAACGGTGAGTGCGGGCCCAACTTCTCGGGAAATAAGACATGTACTGGAACGCAGTTTGGGAAATGCTGTTCAACAAGCGGGTACTGTGGAAGCTCGACTGCCTACTGCGGCCCAGGAAACTGCTATTCCGGGACATGCTTGTCGAATACGATATAGTATAAGGTGACTTGCCAATTAGCGAGTATGTTATCTCCACCGCTCAGGATCATTTCGTCCGCTCAGAGGGTGCATTGTATATATAGTCTATCAAAATATGGACAATCCAAACTCTTAACTACCCCCCTGGCAACTGTTTCTTGCGGTGGACGACGATAACTGAATAACTAGCTGACATAGTTAAGCTTCGGAATGGTTTCCTCGATTCAAGTATCACTCCAAGAAAGCTGATTCCAAGGACCGAACCATCTAAATCTACTCTACTTAAGCATGTGGAGGATAAATGAGAAAGACTCTGACAAAACCGAAAAAGAGCATCTGTATCTAGTTACATCTCACATTCAATTAAGCCGCAGCAACAACCGGGGGTGCTTGTTGTCCATCTCCATATTCAAGTGCAACTCTCTTCTGAATCCAAGCACCGGCAGTCATGTTGGGCTCCCACTCCAAGGTGTGCCACTTTCCCATTGTCTCGCATCCTGGAATTGGCTGGATCATCACGTCGTGTTGAGGAGTTCCATAAAATGACATGGAGAAACGTTCGACAACGGTGTCTTCGCTTGTTTTCTCATCCCCATATTTAAGATGGCTTGGGGCAGAGACGTGGTGTAAAGCACTCTTCCACTTGCCGTTTGACTGCTTCTCCAGCATGTCACCGACGTGCACAATCATGGTACCAGGCTTCGGAAGCACAGGTCGGAAGATTCCCGCATTATAATCATGGACTTCAAGGCCGCCGACCATATCTTGGAATAGCAGGGTCAACTGTGTGAAGTCGGTGTGTGTGTTCAATCGGTTGCTCTCGCCTGACCGTAATGGCGCTACAGGCTGAGAAAGATAATACAGCCAGCTCATATGGTTTCGGCTGCGGCTGGGGTCCTGCTGCTTGCCCAGGTAGTCCAGGTCGGTGTATTCCAGGATCTCGCAGAGAGCTCGAAGAACCTGGAGCTGCTGCTGGAAGCAAGCGTCCCACCACCTTTCGATGAAATCCCTGAACCCGGGGAAAACATCCTCGGGGAGCAGACGGTTCACGATTGACTCGCCTGGGCCACCCTTAGAGCGAGGATTACCCATTTCGAGAATCTCTTTCTGCTCAATAGGTGCGGTCTTACGCATCTTCTCGATCTCATTCTTGTCCCAGACATCCTGGCTGACAATGCCAGTTCCGACAGCGGCCCAGCCACGGTGATCAGCTGCAACAGTGTTGTGCTTGCAAAGCTCCTTTACCTCGTTCGGTAAATGGAAGAAGCGCCGGGACTACGAATCATTAGAACAATGAATGTTAACTAGGTGGTTTAGGACTTTGAGCATACCCAAGAAAAGGCTTCATCAACCAGCTTTTGCCCGATACTGTGGTTGGACAGGTAGATGAAGCCGTATGTTTGGAAAGCTTCGTCAAGCTTGTTCAAGGCATCTTTACGCTCCTGAGGATCTTCAGAAGTAAGAGCCCTGAAATCAATGACAGGGATGTTGGCAGGCTCGACATATTCTTTGGTCATCTTGGAGGAGTCTCTTGAAGGGCAAACTAAATCGATGATATTGTGAACAATTGCCCAGTCCTAACTCGGGTCAAAACTCCCTTATATACATGGGATACCAATTGCGAATGCAAATGTAAAAAGCCCATAATATCAACTAGTCACCCTCCAGGGAATTGGGAATGCCACGTCATGAAAGCGAGAGCAATGCTGAGCTGGAAACGTCAACAACCTACCTTTGATTGATGAACACCTACTGCGGGACATAGGACCCGGGCTAATGTTGCATCAATACATGCATGGAATGTGATCAATAAACTCCATGCCGGCAGACATCCTCTCCTCACGATGACACTGGAGATGACGAGCTGAAATCCCACAAAAGCAGAGTTTAGTCCCATCTCTACTGTATTTTATTTTCATCAGAAGTTGTGCCGTGCCGTGCATAGATAGTTACAAACCTGTCTATGCTAGCCTTCCTGGTTTAATTCTGCCCCCACTTGTAAATATGATCTTTGGTTATACTCAATGTGAAAAAAACCTTTGACCTTTTGCTTCCATTACCAATATTTCAGTATTTTGATATAGGCTGCAGATGGCCAAAGAGAGTCACCAGGCAGTTTATCTACCAAATGATATTTTTTGGTCTCGATTTGACTGCCCGTCGATCTTAAAATCTCAGCTCACTATGCGGGGTCACTATACCCTTGGAATCGATCGTTGTAACAGTATTTCATCGACGATCTCACGAGTTGAACGTACAGCAATAATGCTGAGTATTCTGAAAAAATCGTAACAGATCGTCCTTGACTAGTTATGCAATGCACTCATTGTCATCGCTAAATGCAGCTGGGTTCTGCTGGATATCAGATGAGAGTATTCCGTAGATTGCTTTCCTTCGGAAGCTTCCAGTAGAGAACGATTGTCAGGTATACAGACAGACTCCGGACTTCAACCAGCGTTGACTTCCGCATTTTTAGAGGTCAATCTTCACAATTGCGCCGCAATTTACCTGAAAATACCCATTTTGAACATTGACCCAGAAGCCAGCCAGCTGGTCTGTGTGCATCTTCAATATGCGCATATCGATCATTCAGCCCGTGTCGACACCCGTCGACCTGTCGAGCGAGGAACTAGAAGGACTGTGCAAAAACGGCATCACCTGCTCGGTCGTCAATTTGAACACTGGCCCGATCTCCGTCGAATCTCGCACCGACAAGGCATTCGCAATCCCCGGCCTGATTGCGGCCGCCCAACGAGAAGCACAAAAGGGAGCCGATGCCATCGTCATCGATTGTTTCGGCGACCCGGGCTTAGATGCCCTGCGAGAAGTTGTCGATATCCCAGTCCTAGGCGTGGCGCAGACTTCAATGAACATATGTGCCAGTCTCGCGGATACATTTGGGGTCGTTACCATCTTGAACGCGTCCATTCCTATAATCAAAGACTCGGTTAAAGCATACGGTCACGACGGCAGGTTCGTCGGTTGCCATGCCATCGACATGCGGTCGCTTGAAATCAAGGGCGAAGTCGACGAAATGACGAATAGATTGGCTGAGCATGCCCTCGCTCTGGTGAGAGATAAGGGTGCACACTCTATTATCCTCGGCTGCACTGGTTTTATAGGCTGTGCCGAAGAGATCAAGAAGCGGCTTGAGCGTTCGGGATTCGATGTTCCGGTTGTTGATCCGATGCCTGCGACTGTCTTTTCCGCCATCCCGCTGCTGCGGTTAAGCTTAAAGCAGAGCAGGGAAAGCTATCCGAGGAGTGCGATCAAGGAGACCAAAGGTTATACAGAATTTGAGTGAGGATCGTCAGAAAGCGTGATATTTAATACTCTAATTATCTTGCTCAACGCTAAGGCTCGATATAAAAGACATTTTATGTTAGCTATCGAACAACTCTTGGTTAATTTCACAGACTCGATCTCTGCCCGCATAAGATCAAGACAAAATATTCAACACTATTCATACAATTACATGATGAGAAGGCCCCGGCTGGCGACAGTGAGACAAGCAAAGCCAACAGGCATAGCTCAGAGCCCAAACCCGTCGTCTTAGACACAACACTCCGTCTTCTTTCCTCTGATAAGCACGTAAGGCAGGGACATCAGCACGGAGCACACTCCAAGGGTGACCGTCAACCCAAGCCACCCAGCGTGAACCCGGATAACGCCCATTACGACCGGGCCTAGCAGCTGGCCTGCTGCCAGTGCCATGTTGAAGAGTGCATACGCCTGCGCAATTGGGAGCGTAGCACCAAACGTCCCAGGGAAGTCTGCCTCGTGGTCTTCAATCGCGTACAACACTTCGGTCATCGCAATCATTTCGGCTGTGGCAATGCAGGCACCCAGAACAAACAAAATGCCAGCCAAAAGCACTTTATCATTCGTCGTATTTTGTTGAACAAGTTGCATCGTGAAGCACGAAACCCCCGCGAGAATGAATGCAGCTGCTGCAACGATCCGATGTCCGATCTTGCTAGCTAACGCCGCAATGTATATAGTAGAGAAGCTGGCGATGGCAGGCACCATGAATATCAAGCCAGCACCGCCAGATGACCAGTGGAATTTCTCCATAACAAATAGGGGAAGGGTCTAAGAAGAAAACCACGAGGTAAGTAACTCATTAACTAGGTTATGTGATGATATATTTGGGGTGCATCCGCGCGGTTCACTCACGGTATCCAGAGATGAAACGATGAGCGAAATCATCACAATTGACACCAATGCCAGGGGCAAGCGCGGAGAGCACAATAAACTGAAAACAGTGGCTGACGCCCTCGTTTCAGTCTGAATCTGCTGCGCATCTTCGCCCTTTTGCTTTGAATGTCCTAGCAAAGGGGCTCGCTCATTACCGTGATTAACGGCTGAGATACCGCCAGCAGAACTTTCTCCATTACTGGACTCTGCGGTAGGTGAGGTGGTGACGCTGGGTTTCAATTTAGGAGAATCGTTGACTTGTGTAGATTCTGCTGACAGTCAGTAAGTGACAATATTAATACACAGCTAGGGGAGCATAACTAGGTGTGTATAGACTTACTCTTTCGCTCAATCATTGCAAACCGCATGGCTACATCCACAGCCAACAAGCATATGGGGACTATAAACGCCCCGTAGAAGCCTACCTTTTCATACATCACTCCGCCAACAGCGGGACCTAGCAAGGATCCCCACGCAAGCGCAACAGTCGTATAACTCATCGCCTCCGCGACGCGCTCAGTTGGCACATTATCCGCGATTATAGACAGTCCGACGATCCACACGGCGGCAGCAGATAGTCCTTGCAGCGCGCGGGCAATGACGAGGACGGGCAGGGATCGAGCAACTGCAAATAGACCAGTGGACGCAGAAAGGGACACTAATCCTACCACAAAGGGCATCCGTCGACGTTTGCAATGGTCCGCGAAGTATCCGAAGAATGCTGAAGTACAAGACAGTTCCTGAGCTTCAGCCTGATGCCATTCAGAGAGCCCATGCGATGATACAAATACTCACGAGATCCAAGCAGTATCGAGCCACCGTACACGGAGAGAAGAATCGAGACCCATAGTTGAACTGAAAAAAAGGAGGTTCTTAGCCGATGAATCGCAGAAGAACCAAGGATCATGCCATGCGTATGATACCATCTTGCTGACTGACGCCGATGCGCTCTACCAGGGCGAGAGGCATGATAGGAACGATCTAGGAAACGAAGTAAGCATCACTACACCATCGTTCAAGCGCCGTTACCCCGTCTCTCTCCCACGAAGCATCTGACCATCAAATATATAAACAGATCCTAAAAGAGGTTAATTAATTACTGACAAAAGCTCCCCAGGGCCGCCGACCACTACTACTCACAGTGAAAATGGCAATCGATACGGTCGTCACGACAAACGACTCTGAAGACCGAAATCCCTGAAGCCAGGCCATCTTGACAAGTGGACCACCCTGGCAGCCTGGAGGAAAGAATCGTGGGACAGAGTTGAAAGGCAGAGGGATTCATTCCCCTCAAGACTCGAAGAAAAGGACTTAGTAAAACCTCAGCATGAACCACGATGATTGAACTCCGTGGCCACACCTTGCATCGCGGTTCCCGTACGGATTACTTCTGTTGAAACAATCGACGCTGGAAACTTTTATAACCAGTTGATTGGTGCCCTGTACAGAGCTCTATCGTGTTTTGCTTTTTGCTTTTTGCCTGCCAGGTTCACCGGTGGCTAGCTGAGCCTAGGATCGCTTTGGCTGCATACTGCAAACATGCTGCATCTCAAATTCTCGATCGGACCGTTCTCAAATTTCGGTTATGCTTAGTACCAAGCTCTTCATACCCGTATTTTGGCTGACTTCTTCCCTTTATGCACCTGCTGTTTTACTGCCTTGCATTGGGACAGCTCAGCCAGCCTGGGTGCAACAGTGCAATGGATTAAATTGAAGATTCAGTTTTTTGCATATCTTTTGCATAAGATCACTATGGCATGAGTCAGTCCCCATTCTCACACAATCGGTGCCAGAAAGATGTGACCGAACTCCCAGGTTGCACAGCATGTCAGCATGTGCATATGGGCATTCCCAAATTTGATAACTACAGCCGATGAACTTTTGATGTCGTGGAATTTTTAGGTATCAAGTAGCGTATAACTACTTGCCAGAATTTGCAGATTACATACCGCGTTGCGAGTATTCCAAGTTGAAATATTGAACACGGCCAATAGCTCATCAATAAGGCCCCACGAATCCCCCAGCTCTTTCGATCTTCCCTGCATCTAATGGGCTTTTGTAGTAGTTCTTTTGCAGGGGATACTTGGAGAAATCATTGTCTTCAGCGCAGCCATGGAAGTATACGGGCCAAAACGCAGGTTCGGAAGTGCCATTTGACTATCTCCACTGATTCAATTTTGGATTGGAGGTAATTCCTTTATATTACTACTACGGTATTATTCAGCGGATCAATTGATACATATGACGTCCAAATGCACGCGAATTGATAAAGGCAATTAAACATCCCCAGGAAACTGACCGAATTTTGGTTAGTTACTTCATATGCTAGCCGACGTTTCTCTCCACAGATATGTCTATACCAACCGATATCGCCAACCTAGTGATAGGAGAGGATGCTAAGCTTTCAATTCACTTTGATGAAATCCCTCTCCGCAACGATGGGCCTGGCAATGGCTCCAGGTTTTATATGCTTTCCACAAACCGTGCCCTGAAAGACCACGAAGAAAAGGAAGACGACCTCAGATACCTATCTAAAGGCAGACAAAGTGCCATTAGGCTAAACCAGCTGCTGAACGCCCGCCATGTCATAAAAGAAAGAGAATGCACAGCTCAAGATGAGGAGAAAGCTGTAATGCGGCTTGGGGAAACCACTATGGTTGTCGACGAAACATTTGATGCGCAGCCAATTCACAGCCATATCTGGAACTCGTTCATGTCAACTGAATTTCGCTTCCCGAAAGCAGACTTCACATCACTTCAGTATCTACAAACGTCTTGGAAAGGTCTCGAATTCGGTGATACCCTTTTCACCAAGGAGGGAACACCAGCCTTCGAAGAAGTATCCATCGTTTCTGGAGTTTGTCTCTTCAATGCAAGGCTTTTGGAAATGAGTGCAACGAGCCCGAAAACCGGCGGCATTGATATTGATCTCCTCAGGAATTCAATTCCTACATACAATGAACTGGACTATATTGCTCGCGCGTCAAGCGCCATCGCTGATATTGCTGCCATGAACATCTTAAGGGCTTGCGAGCAGGGTTCCGGACAGCGACTTCAAATAAAACTTGACATCCCTAGCTGGCACTACTTCCATACAGTAGCCACACAATTTGCCTCAAAGCAATGTTCGAACACTGAAGCATTGCAATGGATGGACACAGTTGACCAACGACATGATCAGATCGGTCAAGCCTTCGTGGAAGCCATCAGAGATGGGCTTGAGCAACGAGGGATTCGCGACAGCACCAGCTATAGTATTGGCATAACATCAAGGACAAACCCAGCTGCTGTTGTAATTCGAACAGCAATTGAACATGAAAAAATTCCCTCGTTGGATTCCGTTCTCGCCGCATTGGACTCTGAAGAAGACGGGTGTTGGAAACGATTCTACGAGATGATCCCGACCAAGGAACGACCCTCGAATCTTGGCCAGCTAGGTTATCTGTTCTATGTATACGAGGCAATCAGGCCGTCTCTCGTCGAACGACCAACAACAGCCCCTCTGGCATCTGAAAAGACCAAGACAGCCAACTTGTCCAAGAAGGCATTGAAGAAGCGAAAACCTCGCCGCCTAATCATCAGCGTTGACGACTCTGCGGAACGACGCATTTACTCCAGAGCTCAAAGGATACTCAGCAAGATTCGACAGTCTAGCGAAAAGCCTGAGACTTACTTGGTAGAGTCATACGTTTGCAGAAGGTTCTTGATCAATGGCAACGAAGACAGGGCGCGGCTAGGCCGGTTAGATCCTCTTCCCGACATTCCAGTTCGCACGGGTTCCCACCATGATCCTATGCTGCCTCTCGATGTGGTGCGGCAGCTCTATGGAGACAACTCAGCTCTCAATTTGCAGCGATGGCTTCAAAAAGCGGGACTCTCAGTTTAACTTAGATTTACAAATCATTTTTCTGCGCATATCAAATAACTAGTTAGCGCTTTGAAGAGAATTTGCAAAAGATTGCCTTACGAACCGATACACGTCCGTAAAATACTTATGTATAGTCGACATCAAAATAAATCTTGTAGCGGGGGATCGACATATTTATCTGTTCAAGTTAGTTGGCTCTGTAGAGATTGGTGATGCATTCCGGCTGATAGATCTCCTCCCTGCCCCAATTGCTGCTGTACTACATACACTATCTTTCGACAGATTCTCCATGCACACCTTCGTGTCTGCGCCAGAAATCAAAGGCCAGACAGACCTGGCACGGGAATGATGTCACCACTGGTCATTGCTTTTGTTTCTTTCTTATTTAAAATGATTCTGCTCGCTGGTTGTTCAGCCTTTATTCTACAGCAATTTGACACACCTTTCAAGCCGTCTTCGTTCTATTTAGTTACTACTGTGGAACGCCAAAATGGTCGGAATCGAGATCGTGGAGCCCGCAGACATTCCTGTGATCAACTTTCAATCTCTCTCATCTGGCACTCTACAAGAGCGTAAGACTGCGCTCAAACAGCTCGATGATGCATTCCAATCGGTTGGACTTATACATCTCTCCAACCATAGTATCGGCCAGGATCTGGTAGAAGAGGCATTTGCATGGGTATTGTGCTCTATCTTGATATCTATATATTACCATCGTCTTCATTTACTGACCAAAACAGTCTAAACGCTTCTTTGATCTACCGGATGACGTGAAGGAACTAGTTCGTCACCCTCATGACACATCTGACCACCGTGGCTGGGCAGCTGCTGGCACTACCGTCTCAAGTCAAGGTGTTTGGGATCATGAGGATATCGAGCGCATCCATAAAACTGGCCCAGTGGAAAAGAGGGAAGTTTTGGAGACAGGAGACCCCTACCCGAGCAGGATTAAAAACCCCGACTTCGTACCAAATCGGATACTGCCTGAAGAAATACTTCCTGGCTTTGAAGCATTTACTCAGAGGTGGTGGGATGCATGTATAGAGCAAGAGCTTCAACTCCTCCAGTGCCTTTGTGAAATCCTTGATATTCCAGACAAAGATCTTCTTGGGAAACAGCAAAACCCGCACTTTAATCGCAGTGCGACTGGTTGGAATCATTATCTATCTTCACCCGCTCAATCCCTGGCTAGTGGAAAGGCTACTCGTCTCAATGCTCATACAGACTATGGGCAATTGACTTTACTGTTCCAAGATACGACTGGCGGACTCGAGGTTGAGGATAAAGAGGGCAGCATTTTTAGGCCTGTGCTCCCTCGACCCGGTACGATCATTGTTCAGATTGCCGATATGCTTGAGAGACAGTCTAATGGGAGATGGAAAAGCTCTTTGCATCGGGTTACCACTCCTCATCACCTGAAAAACACTGATAGTACGTTGATTGAGCGATATTCGATTGGTTTCTTTATCCAGCCTGACTTCGATCTGGTTATAAAACCTCTCCCGGGTTGTGAAGCTAAAGGAAGATGGTCATCACTGGAGTGGGAGGATGAGATTACCGCCGGTGAGTGGCTGACTAGAAGAGTCGCTCTGGAATATCAACCCAAGGATGGCATCTCCAAGTCCGCCGTATAACTAGTGGGGAAACTGTAGGTTAGAACTACCATGTTGTGGAAATGCTGTTCAACAAGCGAGTACTGTGGAAACTCGACTGCCTACTGCGGCCCAGGAAACTGCTATTCCGGGGCATGCTTGTCTAATGCGATATAGCCTGATAGACGCGAGCGTTAGTTTTGAAGAGAGAGAGAATTATTATACTTTTATACGTATGGTTGCTTAAATACTGCTCATTATATTAAGTAGATTATATAGTATACTGCCTTCAAATTGAAGGCAGGCCCCGGTTGTCGATGATATATTCCGGGGACACATTAACTAGTCCGCCGTACATATTGATTTTTATCGTGGCGAGGCGCTCGGAGCAAAAGCTGTCGATCCAAGGTTAATGTGTCAGGAAATTGACCCATTTGACCCATTATGCTCGCCCTTAACGTCGAACGACACGAGGTTGATGCTGCCTGTGTAGCCTGTGGGGCCGCAATAGCTGGCGGCTCTCCAGTTATAACATGTCAGCCTCGTCAAGGGACGCTTTCTAGTGGGCCTGCTTCTGTGCTCTGATCAATTTAAAGAATGTCACTTTGGCCTCCGCAAGG